TCGGAATTGCTTCAGGGTGCCTCGAGGTGCCTCGGAGTGCCTCGGCCCGCGGCACGCCGCACGGAGGCAGCTGCGAATGCCACGGGTTTCTGTTCCATGCGCTATAGAAGGCGATTTACTAACCTAAACCATATATTGTTTCCATTTTGCTGCGCCAACGGCGTGCACATGGAAGTTGTTCCTTATCTGACATTATTCATGCAGGCAACGACACGTAACGTGCTTGTTCACTTTATGCCCTATCGTGCTCGATGCATAACAGTATTTCGCGCGCCAGCTGCGTTTATCGTGGTAGCGGGGTGCTGGGTGCATCCTCATGCCTTCAATGCCCAACCGCGACAGTTATTTCCGTTTCTGCCTGGGCCTTCTCATTCTGTATGCCTGGCACCGCTACCAGCATGTACAGAAAAGCTATCTCTGTTGTAAGCGTTTCCCCGGTGCGTGAATAACCCAAGCAGCATGAACGCATCGAGGCTAGCCCCCTCGATCGGCGCATCAATAAACGGGAACCTTTGCAATGTGGGAGTATTGCGCTGCTAGCTAAGCCTAGCTACCTGCCCATATCCGGTAAAATAACGCACTGAATGTGGCGGGTCGTTCTGTTAAGCATTAGAGAGATTAGACGCCATCCGTTCTTCTTCATCGCCAGAAGAATCCATGCGCTCAGGAAAACATAATATCTCTTCATAGCATATATCTTTCGCCGATGTAAGTTGCTCTCCAGCATGCGCGTCGATGGAGCTTCACGTCAGTTTGCATACGCCTGCGCGCGACGTTATTGGACCCTTGCTTAGGCTAGGAATTACTGCGCTTTGCGGCCCCATCGTTGGTGGTTGTGCCCCTGGATTGCTATTACACTTGGCAGCTCCTTGAATGCATAGACCCAATGCCGATATTGCTCAAGACATGTTATGCATGAGGCTACTTACGCCGCTGGGAAGCAAGGCAAAGATGTTCCCATGAGGTTCAGGTGCATTATATAATACATGCGGCGGATGGATACCGGTATACCTTCTAGGTTACATACAATTACAAAAGGAAGACCAATTCAGAGGGAGAGTACAGCAGAAGATTCTGCACCTACTAGAGAATAATAGCTTGCAATGGAAATGCGGGTTTCTACACCGGTTTGGACCCATGGGTCGCAATAGCGAAAACGTATAACGTGCCCGCTACCTCCAGCCAATCCCATGCATAAGGATCGGCCCGTCGGCATACAGAAGACGCATATAAAGGAGTATCTCGAAAGTCTTAGCGTCTGGCAATTCTGCGCGCATTGCACATGCTCCTGCCACTTGGTATTCAGGCAAGCCGTAAGGATTAATGGAGTATACTAGTCGTGCAGCCGCCATAGGTACTGGAAATAGCTATGCCCGGTATCCAGCACGGATGACATTACTGCTAAGACGGCGCGCCCGGTGCCGTACCTACACGCTTATTCAGCGGATATAAACCCAGTCACTAAGCGCAAGGCAATATGAATAGTACGAAACCTCCTAGTGAGGTTGGAGTATACAATGTAAAATAAATCGATTAGAGTACTAAGCAAGGGAGATCGCAATCGGAACACACCCCTACCAGTATCCTGCGGTAAAGGCTTTAGTACAGAAAATAGCATTCAACCTGTAGCCAATCAAAATTGTATGCACACACCCAGCCATCACGCCTGTCCGCACAGTACTGCGAACAGAGACGACCCACAACACAATACGTCCTCCACAACCTGCCCAACGTGACGGGGGTTCGCTAAAAGCCTGCGTCCTAGATGATGGTATGCGGCGGAGAAAGCGCATTAGCAACATCAGCACGTCATGCACATGCAACGCGCAGATCCTAGCAAACTTACAGGCACCACAACACAAGCCTGCCATGCGAGTATGAGCCAGCGCACGGCCATAGCCACAAAGCCCCGGCCTTGCGTGGGCCCACGTCATCTACACCTGGGGCATGTAACCAAGCCACCCACCACAGTAGTCTAAACCATGCCTGGCCTGTTTGCTGCATCAAATTCGTTCTGCTGCTGACGAGGAGACACCGCTTGGTTGCGGTGCCTACGCATCTTAACGGCCATTACAGCCACGGCGGCAATTAATGCCACACCTGCAACCGCACCCACCGTAGCACCAGCCAGAAGCGCCACGCGCGTCTTGTCCGAGTTGCTGCTCGTGGTCGCTGCATTGCCACCAGCACTGCTGCCGTCACCGCTGCCAGAGCCCCCTGTTGTGCTGTTCGTGGTACCCGCATCAGGCATCATCGCCGCCAAAGCCGACGTATCAACTGCTGCGGATTGGACCTGGGACTGGAGGCCCGCGCCAGAAAAGTCAGCGGCGAACGCGGTTGTTAGGCTCTGAAGCGCGGCGGCATCTCCTGAGGCAGCGGCGGCTGCCAGCTGCGTGAGGGCGCTTGCCATGGACGTTTGCTGCACGGATGAGACCTGTGCCGCGCTGCGCAGTACCAGAGAGGCATCTATTGGACTACCTGAAGCGGCAGCAGCTGCCACTTGTTGGTCCAGTTGCGCCAGCATTGCCGTACTCTGGGACACCGTGGCCGCAACAGTAGTGAGGAGCTGTGTCAGCTGCGGCAATGAAGGGTTCGGAAGAAGAGGGGGCAGAGGGAAGGAGGGGCACAGAAGTGAGGCATATGACGAGGTAAGAGATGGCCGCAGCGACGTGGCCCCTCGCCTGAAGAAAGCCAGTCAACATTACAAACACATGAAGCTCGCCCGCCCTTCTCTGCGCACCCGGATTCCTCACCTGGTCAGCAGCAATTGCGAGTAAACTGCGGCGGCGGTGACCAGCAGTCGCGTTAACTTGCGAGTTGTAGTACCCAGCCATGACGTTCACCAGGTAGCTCGAGTTGTCCAGCTTGAGGGCTCCGGACAGCAAGTCTTTGGCAAGCGCCTTCGAGGTCAGGCTGCGAGCCACCGCATCTGCCGAGCTGTTGCCAAGCAGACCTGCGCGGTGGGTAAAGCAGAACGGGTGTTGTGGTTAGACCGGTGCAGCAATGCATGTGTGTCTGGACGCCTAGGTGACACAGGGAAGAAAATACGCCCCCCTTTCTCAACTAGGCATGCACAATCTGACCACGCTATCAGTCTACGATACGTCACTATACTGCTACGCGCGTGGCACACACAGCAGGTCCGAGAGCAGCAGAGACCACCAATGCGACGCATGCAGGACAGACACGAATCCGCCAACCCACCTGCAAGGAAGGTGCTGGCAGGACTCAGCAGCGAAAGCACCCGCAGATTCAGCAGGTACGCACGCGTCGCCACAGTCGCGTTGGAGGACCAGTTCTGGCGCACAAAGTCGGTGCCCGCTGGCAAGGCACCAGCAGTTCCTGCGAGCCCCACCCCAAAGTAGTTGTATACCATGGCGTAGTCGGACGCAGAGATCGGACGGGAGGAAGCTGACGTATTGTTAGAAGCGAAAAATGCGGCCGTTGCCAACGCGGAAATGATGTCAGCCGTGCAGGAGTTGTAGCCCATGGGCACAAGCACCTTCAGCGATAAGTTGGTTTTCACAGTCTGGTTGGAAGTGGACAGCACGGCGTCACGGCAGCCAGAGGGGACAGTGACCTGCGAAAAGGAGGTGGTGCGGGAGTGTTGGAGAGCGCGCGCGGGGAAAGGACGGTGACACCAGCCAGGTTTCGGTGCACGACACCTTGACCCCTTGTACACAGGTGCAGGCATACACGCTGCCACTAGATGCCGCATGGAGGGCAAGCAAGCCCAGTGCGTGATAAGATTTCTGATGCATCGCCGTACGAGCAGGAGGTAACATTTCGTACCAGGGATCCAATGGAGCCGTGTACGGTGGCAACGCCCTTGTCGTCCGTTGCGACAGTTGACACAGTCCTTGCATAGAGGTCCCAGACAGATACCTGCAGGTGCGATTGGAAAGAGCTACTGCTAAAACACTCGTTTGCCAAATGCAGATTGGTCTCAAAAATAGATGATGTCGCGACAGTCAGGCAGCAGGAATACGCAGCGTAAATAGTACTATTTCCCTAATCCCAGCATGCCCGCCGACACCTACCGAGCACTGCGCCAGCCCTCCTGTAGCTCGGACGTTAAGCCGAAGGTCGACGGGCGCGGGTGCTGTGCCCATACCCAGGGCTGCGGCCATGGCTCCCAAGTTAACAGGTGCGGCAGCCAGGTGGGAAGGCCAACCTACAAAGGCGTAACAAGCATGCAACTTAGGATCACCCACAGAGCAGCACAGATGCTATAAGCAACGAGCAAGCAGCTTGACAGTCAAGAAGATTCAGGGTTCAAAGCCCATGCCGTACTCACCAGCTATCAATTGCTGTACAGCTAGCACATTGCTGCTTAACGCCATTAGCGCCGCCGCTCCCTTGGTTTGCACAACGTACGACACACGCGCCGCCACTGATAGCGCCTCTAAGGGCAGGAGGGAGAGCTCAGCCGCCCAACTGGAGCTGCTCAGGCTCAGCTCCGAGACAACGGCTTGGTAAAGCACGGCAGCTTGGGAGGTGAGGTTGGTGACAGCGCTAGCAGCCATGGTCGCCGGCGCTGCCTTGCAGCCGCTTGAGGCAGCCGACGTCAGGACTCGGGCCATTAACGAGTCGCTGGTCAAGTTGACGACAGAGGCATTGGCAGTTGGTGGCGTCAGCGCGGCCAATGCAGCGTAGACGGCGTTAACTCGGGATTCAGTTGTGTTGCAGGCGGAGAGGGTGCCGGATGGGAAGGCTGCGAGTGCGGCAACGGCTGTGACGACGAGAGACGAAATCGCGGTGTCTGTGAACAACATGCGGATGCCCACGGACCTGAAGGGTCAGAGGGAGGAATGGAGAGAGGGTGGGGCGCAGCAGGACGGCATGAGCATAGGGCACATGACCACATAATAGGGAGGGCATGCATGTTAACGGTAGCAGACTCAGACGACAGTGCGCGGGTGGAATTCGATGTGGGTCAGCCGCAAGGAAGGAATAGTGCCTTCCGCCTCGGTAGCGGATGAACCAACAGTTCCCACCTGCCCGCCGTTGAGTTGCTACGTATAGCGGCAAACGCGCCAGCGGGAGCGCTTGTCGCGTTGATCCCAAAGTAGCCATAGGTAAGGCCAACGACGTTGTCTGTAGTGGCCATGGTGTACTGCAAAAGCCGTGTTGCCGGTGTGGCGATAGCGCTCATGGACCCGGCGCTAGACGTGGGCCGATACAGCGCCCCAGCGACCGAAAACGGGAGAGGGAGGGTTGTGAAGGCGTCTGTGCACGATGAGCCAGACGACGTGACGACGACAAAGACCTGCAACAGAATTAGCGGGCAGTTGGATTGTTGGCAGGTAGGATGACTACCGTACCCCGCCCAGGGAAAGCCACAAGAAAGGGTTGCAGTAACGTGCATGAAGCCGCTCCATGCCAGCCATGCCAGTAACCTTCCTCCATCCCAGTCTTCCCTGATCCTTCCCCGGTGTTCAGCTTCCCCAACGTAGCAGAGCGTAAAACCGACTTGCCTCGACAGCCGAAGGTGAGGAGCCACCCGTGAAGCTGCCATCGGTTGCCGTAGTCAGGTTGTAGGTACCGTACCCATCAAGAGCAAAGCCCTGTACGACAAGTTGGTAACAGAGGGTGTCAACGGTTGATGGGTAGGGTGCGGTGGGGCGCTGAAGTCCAGGCAAGAGGTATGGGGGCACGCAACGATCCCCTTGAACCCCTCACCCCCAGAATCTCCGAGCTGGAACTGTCTTCGCCATTGTTGGTTTATGAGTACATCCACCACAAAACGATTCCAAACTTACTTGGCATGACTTGGCTGGGCCAATGAAGCTTGCAAGCCCAGGGAAGGTAAACGTTGGTTGTTGAGCGACGGGTGACGGTGAAAGAGTTGGCAAGGGCGGAGGTAGGCTCGAGCTTGGTACAGGAGGAGGCGACTTGGACGGTGGGTATGATGGTGGCAGCGGCGGCGGACTAGACTGTGAGTACAACGGCGGTGGAACTGGGGCTGGGGACGTTGATTGTCCAAGCAGCTCCGCAGAGGCGGACGATGCTGAAGCCGCCAGGAGAAGCCAAACCAGGGCAAGTAGACCTGTAGGGTAGGGACATAGTCGTCCCACAGGGTAGGGGTTGGTGCCATCTAGGAAATGCCTAATCGCGATGGATGTCAAAACAGCAGAAGGACCGCAAAATGAGAATCGTTGGTCTGCAGACATGCCTGTACTATTAACTGGACTATGATTATCAAGCCTTTCTAGATACGGTACGTGGCGTTTCACTCAAATGCTGAAAGAGGTAATGACCGTTGCAGGGAAGCCGAGCCCGAATGCTCTTTCCAAAGAGCAGGGGATAACCACATGTTGCTAATACTGCACAATAGGTAAGGCTAGAGGAGGCTACTTACCCATATTGCTGATAGCGGTTTTGAGCGGTTTAGAGGAGAAGCAGTGAAGCACCGAAGTCAGGCGCCTTGCAGCCAAACCAAAGAGCCCAACTATCGCTTGTTGTCTGTTAGAAGAGTTTATTTGCTTATTATAGGTAAGGGTCACACGAGTAGAGGTCCAAGGTCAAGGAATACAAATAAATCAATTGCTATGATAGTCAAGGGAATTGCGTTACTAGTAGTGTAAGTATGTGAGGCTTGCAAAGGTTTGCGTAAAAACAGGGCTGTGTGCAGCGTTCCGTCGCCGTTCGGTAGTTGGCCGTATGGCCGTATGCAACATCTGACTGTCCATACACGCGCAAGCAGTAAATGGAATTTCAACCAGAAGTACCTTCATCCTCGTCAAGTGTTTTAAAGGCGCTTTGCAGCTGCGCAACGAAGTCGTCCATGTGGAAGACGTCCATGTCTGACAGCCCCTGACTAGGTGTCCGAGTGGCATAAAAGTGTTCACTACAGACCACCTGAAACGATTTCGCTGAAGCTATAGCAGACTGGGTAGGACCTTGGCATTAACCAAACCTTTGCCATAGACAGCTGCTAACGGCGGTCTGCATGCTTAACGCATCCCTTGAAGAAACGCTGCGTTTACTTTTGCAATCGTTACATATTTGAGCAGGCGTAGCGTACAAGGAGCTCTGAGCGCTTGGCTCTAATCCCTTATCCCACTTGGGCCGGGTGTCCTTACCCTTGCCATACCTAACCTTACCCCATGTCGACAATTGCTTTTACTGAAAACCCAAGGGACCTCAGCCGCACAACGAACGCTTCTCCTGTACATACAGCCAAAAAGCCGTGCATCGTATCAGTGGTTGGATTGCGCTAGCACCCCTACCGCCACCATGCAAGCAAAGCACACCCTTGTCCTCCACACTATGAGCGGTCCAGCTCCGCCATACGTTGCTGGCGCACAACTCGTACCAGCTAGTGCAGCCACGTGTTTCCACACACCGGAAGCCCTGACCCAACCCTTTCGCCGGTCGTTCACTCGACCGCAGGAACCATGGTCCTATGGACCAATGTCTGGATTGAGAACTCGCCGTAGCTGCCACCTCTTTCCTGCCTTACTGCACCGGTTGCCACGCACGCCCTATTGTGCATAATCGCTCTGTGGTCTCCACCTCAGGTAACGCCTCTCACCAAACATCGAAGGGTTTTCCGACCCTGTCAGCGCTGCCCACGTATGGCCCTAAGCGGTGCTGGTGCCGCTACTTCTGCTGCGGCGATGCAGGTGCCGCAGCGGCTGCGGGCTGTGCAGGCTGCTCCTTGGCAGGCGCAGCAGGGGCTGCGGGCTGGGCTGGCGCAGCTGCGGGCGCCGGCTGGACTGGCGCAGCTGCGGGCGCCCGCTGGACTGGCGCAGCTGCGGGCGCCGGCTGGGCTGGGGCAGCCGGGGCTGCGGGCTGGGCTGGGGCAGCAGGGGCTGCGGGCTGCGCCAGAGCAGGCTGCTCCTTGGCCGCAACAGGTTGCTGCGGTTGAGCAGGCTGCTCCGCTGGAGCCGCAGCCGCTTGCGCCGGGGCTGGTTGCGCCTTGGGGGCGGCAGCTGGCTGCTCCGGAACGGCAGCAGCAGCAGGCTTCGCCGGCTCAGCCTGCGCCTGGCCTGCAGGCGCTGCAGCGGTGGATGTCCCGGACCTGCCGTCAGGGGCTGTCCGCTTCGCCACCCGGAGGGTCCGCCCCTGGAAATCCCTCCCGTTGACCTCAGCAACCGCCTGTGAATAAGGAATTGGCGGCAATGACGGGACTAACTGCTTGCGCGGCAAGTAAGGAAAAGTGTGGGTGTAAAATGCCGTCGTACACGGGGGGAGAGGGGCACCAGTCCCTTCCCCAACATGCACACGGAGCTGTGCGCAAACGGCATCCAGCATACGGCGTTCCCCCCTAAGCGAAGAAAGCAACTCAGAGTGTTGCCACCTCATGCTGTTCGCTTGTAACCCACCAACGGAACCCTGCCCCAACGTTCAGCGCTTGCTTATAGAATGCTAGCTATATATTCAGTTCTAGTTTGGACGCGGCCGGTAAGCGTTCGGAAACCCAGTACCACTGAGCGAGGTATGTTGACTCCGGGGTGTGTGAGAAGGGTTATACTCCGTGTGTATCCAGTTCGGCAAACAGAGTAAACAGTGACCGTGGTAAATACTGTACATGCAAACTACATCTCCCATGGCGTGCCTACGCTTAAAAGGCGCAACGATAGGGCTACATTGGGCCACATAGCCTTTACGGATAATGGCAGAGGCTGAAAACAAACCAGGCGCCAGGCGGAGGAGAGAAAAACGGGAGTACCGAAAGCGAAGTCGATTGCTTATCCCGGGGTAACGCAAAAACGCCTTACGCCGCCCAGCGCCATGCATCCTCACCTTGTCTACTTTATCAGGATCGACTGTGACGAAAGCCATTCCTCGCAACCTCTTGGTCTCTTTGTCCCGTAGCATATGCACATAGCCGCCTCCATATGCCTCGAACTCCTTTCGCACGTCGAGTGGATTTACCTTGTAAGGGAGGTTCCCCACCCAAACCTGTCCCCTCTCAGGCTGCTCCGCAGTGGTAGATGTGGATGAGGCAAACCCGAGCCCCACTGAACTAACAGAGTCCGCAAGGCGGCCGAGTGCGGCAGTCCATGCCCTGTGGGCGAGAGCGAACGGCTGACTGGCGTGACGCAGCATTTTTGTAAGCCTAAATGGTCAACATCTAGACTCCTTGCTGGGCTTTGCCAACTGCGCGGTGCATTGCAATCGGTTTCGGAGAGTCGCCGTGCTTGTCGCAATTTGCAACCGAATGACAGCTGCTTGTACTCCTACTATTTACGATCAAGCCGGTACCGTATGGCTTCCATCCTTCCGAGAACAAGCCAGTCAAGCCAACCTCCAACGTACCATCCGCTGTCAGTACCTAGTGATCCATGGCCGCAACAGTCGACCATTTCTGTCCTACCAGCTCTTTCAGCTTACAGATTAATAAGGCAAATCCGCCAGTCCACAGGCGCTGACGCCTGCATGCTGACACGCTTAACCTTCCGTGGCTCTCCCTGGGCTCTCGCCTCCAAAGCCAACTGCCATTTCTCGTTGCTTTCGCCTACGCATTGCAGCACCCTGATGCTCCTGGTGTCCGCTGAGTGGATATTTTCGCAGCTGGTGGCATATATAACCCTTGCACTTAAAAGCATACATGCAGCACCAAGTGCTCGTTACCTACACGTTCACTTTGCACGTTACATTTGTTCCGCCACCTCTACCTCACCTCCTTCACACTGCACCTCAATCCTCCACGCCGCAAAGCCCAAGCCTATCTAAATCCCTTCAACTCCTTGGCCTTCGCTATAAAAATACAGGCTTAACTCATGCGTATGCAACTCGGTCCCCACCTACACCTGCGCTGCTCCTCTGATGCCACCGAGCTCCTGCAGCCATCCGCACAATCCCGCATAGCACGGTGAAGGTGAACCTCCCAACTCATGCGTCCAGGGAGGTATGGTGCTGCCGCTACCGAGCGACATGAAAGGAAAACCTACAGGCGCATGCCAGCGCTGCGGGCTTCTGCAGGCCCCCAGAAAGACCATGGCCCCGTAGAAGGCTGTCGAAACACCAAAGCGGCCATGCCTCCTGAACACCAAAGCAACCATGCTCCCTAACCACCGATAGCCGCCTACGAGGCCTCCTCGCCAAACTCCGAAGTGAAGCGCTCGAAGACTTCCAGGTCGCCCTTGCCCACCGTTGGCCGGGCGCGCATGAGGACCTTCTCAAAATCTCTCATGGTAATGCGCGGCGGCAGCACCTGGGTGTGGGTGAACAGGATGCCGTACCGGGTAAGGAATACGGCGGCGAAGGAACGTAGCGGTGCCCTCTAAACCCGAGCGTGGAAAGGGTCAAGGCCAGCCAGCAGTCACCGTACGGGTGCATGCAAGCATGAACCTTTTAGAAATAGGCTACCTACTGTGACAGCCTCTCTCCAAGGCCATTGTTTTGCGGCAAATTGAGCTTGACGGCTCAACACACTCCGCACGACGGCGTATGCGTTCGTGTGTTACCTTATCGGCAAGTCCATTTTCCGCAAAGTAGTTGAGGCTGAGCTCCTGGGCTCCGCTGTCCCCGGGGCTGCAGGGCTCCCAGCCCTCGCCTGCAGGGAAACACGGGCGTGGGCATGCAATTGGCTGCCGTATCCGGGGACCTTGGCGCCGGCGCAAGCTCACATGGCAAACATGTACAGCTCGGCTCGCATTTGCTACGTAAAGCCTAAAAAGGAATGCAAGGGATGCGAGTGCACAACAAGCAGATAGTGCACCAGGTAAGGGACTACCGGAGTAGCAAATTGGCGCAACGCCAGAGGGCGCCCCTCCGAGCTGTGGGCATCCATTCCACAGTCGTACTAACACACATTGCGAACCTATCCCAACTGCTTGCTCTTGTTCTACTCAACTACACACTGTGACCCTTCCGCCTAACGCACCTCCATCTGGCGTGCGCACCCGCTTGAAGTGCGTTGCCTCCCGCAGCAGCCGGATGGGTTGCATGAGCACGTCCTTCACCGCCACGCTCACATCGCTGCCGGAGAAGCCCTCCGTGCGGCGACCCAGCTCGCGGTAGTCCTCGTCTGGGTAAGGAGAGGGAGGAAGGTGCGGTTTAACGGGTTTCACAGGTTGAAGGGTAATTAGGATGCACTCCATGGGCACGGGAAGACACAGACATGATCACACGGAAGGGTCATGTCCTTGGAGCAGGGTGGAGGCAATACATCCTCAACACATCCTGGCTGCGTGATGGGAGCAGCACGCCCAAGGAAGGATTAGCGCATACAGCGATTGAGAAGAAACCCAAATGCGGCAAGAATAACCCGGCCCAGCCGAACCCGAAACTTCATGATATGCAAGCCACGCCGTGGTTACAAGGACACCACAACACCCCTCCAGAGCGACGCATGACACGGCTGCAAGATTACCTCCGACAACCACCCATCGGCAACGCTTTACCTGTAAGCGTGTTGGGTGTGTCGCCCAGATGAATGCGGAACATGTGCGCACGCGCCGTCTCGTCCGGCAGCGGAATGTAGATGCGCTTATCGAAGCGACGGCGAATCGCCTGGTCCAGGTTGTACGGCAGGTTGGTTGCGCCCAGCACCAGCACTCGGCTGTTGTTGGTGCCCACGCCCTGGATCTCAATCATGAGCTGTGTTTTGATGCGGCGAGCGGCCTCGCTCTCGTTGTCGCCCCGCACGCTGCACAGCGAGTCAACCTGAGTGGGTGCAGGATGCGCGAGAGCGTTGGTGAAGGGAGCGCACACCGTTAAGGAGAACGGCCGCAGCCACCACAGTAGTAAGAGAAACGTATGTAGTGATTGCCGTGGGGAAAGACGTGTACTTCAGCAGCGTTACACTTGAGTACAGTATCGGAGAGGGTCGCCACCTGTCTAAACAAGAGGAAGGTCCTAACGGAGAGTGCCGACAGGTCGCATCGCTCAACCTCATTGGCTCACCTCGTCAATGAAGATGATGGACGGCGCGTTCTCGCGGGCCAACGCAAACAGCTGCGACACGAGCTTCTCGCTCTCGCCCAGCCACTTGGAAACCAGGTCCTGCGAGGAGACGCTGAAGAAGGTCGAGTCCGCCTCCGTCGCCACAGCCTGCAGGAGGTCGTGGCGGTTGGTTGGAGCTGGATGGGCGGGTGGCTTAAACAAAATAGGTTGGCCAAGAGGCAACGCAACGGGAGGAGGTAAGCGGCGATTACTACCCGTCACGGTCCTGCATTATGTAGCTCAGGAAAAGCCGTACTGCGCTGACCCAGATGACCTCATTGGGTAATCCCATGTTGGTGAGTGCTGCCCGTGTGCCAGAGGCCAGTGAGCTCACCTTTGCCAAGTACGACTTGCCCGTACCAGGCGGTCCGTACAGCAGGATCCCGCTCCAAGGTTTTCGCTTGCCTGCGTAGGTCAATGAAGTTTACAAAAAAAATGTAGTGAGTTGAATCAATGCGTTCCAATCCCTGTTGGTCACAGAGGGCAGCCATGCGGATGCCCCTGCTGAGCCCCTGTATCCTATGCCCCCGTCCCATGCTGTACATAAACCCACGCGCCTGTGAAGAACTGCGGGAACTTGACCGGCAGGATGACGGCCTCCTTGAGAGCCTCCTTGGCGCCCTCCAAGCCCGCCACGTCGTCCCACTGCAGCAGCAGCGGGAGCCACACAGCGACCCACATCAGCGACCCACACCGCGAAGAGTGACCAAACGCATTGAAATACATATGACCAAGTCTATCACACGTTGCCGTGAGGAGAGCTACTGGACATGATGATGAGTCCATGGGTTCACCCGCGTAGCGAAGGTAAGCACTGGGGCCGCGTGCATGTCATTAAACTGGGTTTCCAAGCTGACCCAGATCAGATAGTGTCTTACGAGGTACCACTATCTTCGCTTGCATGGTGATATTGAAAAGCAGTGCAGCCCGCTGTACATCACGCGTAGCGCCGCAACCCTCTAACCCAGTTGGTGCCAGCGCATAAGCGACACGATGGCTACGCCCATTGCAATTGCACATCGTACCCGGACGTTGGGCTTCTCTGTAAGGATGGCCCCGGTAAGTCCCGCCTTCAGCTTCTCCTTCTCCTTGTTGTCGTCCTGCGAGGGAGAGGGAGTCAGTCGGTACATCGTGGGAGCGAGGTGGTATTTCTGGATTGCCAGCACTCGGTGCCAGGGTCCTGCTAAACTTGTGCGAGTGAAAGGGAGGGCGCGAAAGGGAGCGCTCCCGGCCGCCGTGTGAAAGAAAGCTCATGCACCAACGAATTTCACGGCAGCACAGGTTGTACGGCATTTGCATACTTCAGGTGCTGCTGCGGGATGCAGCCGGTGATGAACCGGTGTGTGCTGTCAACATAGGTCCTCTGGAACTATGGGAGGGTCACGTTGAACCTGCCTGAACACCATACACAACCCCATTGCCGTGTGCGTTGTCCCCACTTTGTCTTTGCACTGCTGCGCCATCCATTACGGCGACAGTATGCCGCGCTGTTAGCAACCTCCTTGGCTCGACGGGAACGAAACACGTCCGGCATCCACTAAAGTTTGGACAGCCTAGGCAGCACTCCTACAACTGTCCAATGCCCCAACATATCTCACGAGCTGCCACGCCTCACCTCCTCCTTTTGCCCTGGCTTGCGGACTCTTTGAGCCGACGCTGTGCCGCTGCCGTTGCCAGCGGTGTCGTTGTTGTCGGTGATGCCTTTAAGGTACTCTGCCCGTGAAAGGTACTCCTTGAACTGGAAAGTAATGATCCTACACGTTGGTACCACAGGGCAAAGCACCCCAACAGCAAGGAACCCTATCCGACGCACCTTGGCAACGACGGCCTCCCTGCACTTCTCGTTCTTCTCATATTTCAAATACGTCTTAAAGTACTCAAGCGACGTTTTGTACAGGTCCAACGCCTTCGCGTAGTTGTTCGCCTCGTCCTGCTCAACCGCTTGTTTGGCAAACTCTATGGCTTTCTCCTTAAACCCTATATATACTGCCATGCTGCTAATTAAAGGCTGGGTCGTGCAATTAAGGTTTGATGTCCCTGGGCAGTCCTAGGCTCGTGGCTTCCTCCAGATGATCGGTCGGTAAAAGCGATGCCAGCTTGAAGCCCAATTTCAGGTAAACGTTTATTACTCTACCGTTGGTTGGATTTTTACAGGCAACATAGCGTTAAAGAACTATGTGCGTTTGGACTATTGGATAAAAGTAAGCAGTTGAAGCGGCGTCATACGTGGCTAAATTGGTGCGGTTATGCAAAAAAGATGTAACTACAACGAAGGGACCATTGCAACTTTGTGGCAACGGGCCCATGTTGCTGCGTGAAGCTGGTTGTACGGGAATACGACCAACGATCCATTCTAACTGTGAGATAATAAGCAGCGGTCAAGGCCCGACAATTGTTTTCCGATGTGGACTGTTCGAGAATCATGGGGCTATCTTCATACATAGCCACGCTATGCCCTGTGCTTGACGCAGGGTACGGCAACTGTATATGGGTAGGGACCAATGTCATCCTTAGATGCTTCACGCCCGGGGTCGCGAAGCAGTGCCTAGCTGGGGTTACACCAGCGCAGGACGATTGGTCAATAGCAACGGCGAGGGACGAGCACTGTGTATGGCAGATCACACGGCTGGTTTCGAGCAGCTCCATCTAATATAACATGCACACACAGTCAGACTGCATCTCTGTCGATCCATAGTTATGTACAAAAATAACACGGGTCACCCGCCAAGTGCCACTGATGAACGCATAATCGTCCGAGTGGGGATAATGTCTACGTCTATACGCCCTGTCCTCAACTCATGACTGCAGCAGCATCCAAGAAGGCGGTTGCAGCCAGCGAGGTCCACAATTATGTGCGCACACGTAAGTTCAAGCCACAGTCCTCGCATTCGTAGGTCTAACGCGGCAGGTGCCACTACCCATCCATCGCAGCTGCTGCAGCCTGTACGGCGCGTGCCTTGCGCTTGGCCCGCCCTTGCTTGCCGGTGGGGAGGGGCCACTCGGGCTCCGGAGTGCGCATATGGATGCTCTTCACCGTGATCAAGGCTGCGCGGCATGAAATGGGGGCGCAGGAGAAAGGATATAAACTTCTGCCAGAAGATAAGCTGGAGGTGAGCATCGGTAGGCGCACATGATCACACTGGGGGGATTATAGTGGTTCAAAGAGGTCAGGGCACGCCCCAATCAACCATGCGTTGCCACGCAACTCCCTATACATTGCCACTTACACTTGTGGTCGCGCCCGTAGGACTTGACCTCGCCTCGCCAGTACTCCAGGGGCCGGACCCGGTTCCGCGTGCTACGGCGGACACCCACATCGTCGACTACAAGCCCAGCGCCTGTACGCAGAGGAGTGCAGTATAAGGGGTTCAGGGCTATGGACAGAGTAAGCCGGGCGCATGGCAGCGTCACCGGTGCGGGAGGTACTGAAAGGGCATCAAGTCACTACACTTTAGTTGATGAACAAGCGCTGTCACATCTCGGCCGCATCATTAATACAGAGCCAAAGAGACATGTGGCAGGAGCTGCCTACTTACCCGCAAGACTCTTTCGGTCAGCGGCACGTCGTCCCTCATCTACAGCCGGACGGTTCGCCGCCCGCTTGCCACGCGCAGTTTTACTTGCGGCTGCCCTCGCGCCAGGCTGCTCACCGGCAGGAGCGCCCTTGCCAGCATCTTTGTCATGGACGTCGTTCCCATTGCTACCACGCGGCGCCGTCTCAGGCTCCTCAGGCAGCGCCCTGACCTCCTCCTTCATTGCGACGTCGTCGTCAGTGTCCTCGTCGTTGCCCTGGTACATCATGCTGTCGGGCTCGGGCGCCTCGTTGCCATTGCCGCCGTGGTCAGCACGGCGCGGGCTGTCCTCGGGATCCGACCTGGCCATCTCAGAGCCACCCGCATCTGCGCCATTGCTGAGTATGCTGTCTTCAGCCGCATCCGCATCGTCCATGCCGCCAATGTCGCCGGCGTCGGGCTTGCTGTCGTCTATATCGGCCGCTGCAGCGTGGTCCCTATTGCGTTCGTCCTCGCTGTCACCGTCATCCGATCCTGCGTCGCCGCCCTCACTTGAGCTCACAGGTGGACTGGCCGCTGCAACTTGGGCGTTCTCGTGTTCGTCCTCGCTGCCGTCGTCGTCTGATCCTGCGTCGCCGCCCTCGCTTGAGCTTGCAGGTTGATCGGCCACTGCAGCGTGGTCGGCATCCTGTTCGTCCTCGCTGTCACCGTCATCTGATCCTGCGTCGCCGTCCTCGCTTGAGCTTGCAGGTTCATCGGCCGCTGCAGCGTGGGCGTCCTCCTGTTCGTCCTGGCTGTCACCGTCATCTGACCCTGCGTCGCCATCCTCGCTTGAGCTCACAGGTTCGGAGTCACGGTGGTCCTCCTGGTCGTTGCCGTTATCCGCCATGGCTACGCCCGCGTCGTAGAGGCCGTCATGTGGGTCATCGTCCGCCTGCCAGTCCTGCCCGTTGTCATCAACGCCGTCGCTAGCGCTACCGCTAACCTCTTCGGCTTCGGTCGCTATTGAGGCAGCTGCAGCATGACCACTTGCGCGCCTACCATTCCAGATGTGCGGGCCGCTACTTGCACCCCGTGCTTCGTGGACTTGCCGAGGTGGCTCCATGGATTGCCCGGTGACGCCCGGAGTCGCAGCGCTGCTGGCGGGGCTGGCGTCAGCCGCAGGAGCGCCACCCGCTGCTAGCGCTGCTGCTGCGCCTGCCAACGTGGGTGTAACCATGGCCACTCCGGCTGCGGTACCTGCATGAGGTCCGCCGTGGGCTCAGCGAAGGCACGCAAGTGAAGAGGGGTTGCTAACGAGTTCCAGTAACACTTTACTCAAGGGAGGATATTTCACGGTTCATGCGCTGCAAGCAACCAAGTTCGGTACACCAACCTGCGTCTAGCTGGGGCCCAGGCTCCAGAGCAACCAACGCTCTGCGGCATCCGCCCATTGGGGACGGCGTTCGTGACGGGAAGATAAGTGCGCCAGGGGGCGCGCGGTGAATGAGATCCTCTAGCCCCCGTGCACCATCCGCTTCGGAAGGCGTGCGGTGGTGCCTTGCAGCAAACGCCGCAGAGTCGCGGCTGCATGCGATTAGGGGCCGGTTCGCTGCTACGGAACCGTGGCCAGTAGTGGAAGGCGGACGTGGCGGCAATGCCCCGCGCAGTGGCTGCGATGCACGGCAGCTGGGCGGCCCACCCATGGCTTCAGTGGCCCGGCGGACGGCATTGGCCACCGCCGCGGCCACGTTGTTGATCTTGACCACCGCAGGCGTGCCGTTGCTTGGCGTGGGGGACGGCTCCTGTGCAACCGAGGTGCTTGCATGCGGCGCAACTGCCCGCTCAGGAGCCAGGTCCACGGGTTGCTCTGGCGGCCCCCCGGAAGGTTCTGCGTCAGCCTCCGGCTGTAGTCGCAGGAGGACTATCCGGGTTGCAGCGATGGCTGCAGCAGCGACGTCCGAGACCGTCAGGTCAGGTGGTGGGTCCGGCGCGGCAGAGCATTCTGCTAGTGCCGGCCCGGTTATAGGTACACCCTCATCACCACACGGAACCGTGTCACAGCCTATACCCGCAGCATCTTGTCCTAGCGCCGCACATCCCTCGTCCTCCCCGCCATCGGCACCCTCCAGTGGCCCCGGTGCCGACTGGTCCGCCTGCGCCTGCTGTATCCCGCATGCCACGGGCCCCTGCCACGAACCCATTGGCCCGAGTCCGCAGCGCCCGCCCCCGCCCGCTGCCCGACGCGCTGACTCCGGCGAGTGCAAGCGGGGACGCTTCAACATGCGCTCCGGCACCCCCTCGACCGGCGTCATGCCCAAGAACGCGCTGCTGCAGGCACCCGGCCTAGTTGCCGGCCCCGCATCCTTTACACGCAGTGCGCTGCCGGGCAGTAGCAGTCGTTCAGGGACACCCTCGATGGGCGTTCCGTAGGTTGCTGCCGGTGACGGGACGGGGGCGCCCTCGACTCGCGCTGCGCAGGTACGCTCCAGCGGCTTCTCAGGAACGCCCTCAACGGGTGTCATGTAAGACCGTGCCGGTGTGGACCGCAAGAACCAGCTCAGAGGCGAGAGGGCAGCGCAACGGTTGGGTGCTGGAGTTCGAGCTGGCAGCAAAGATTGCGGCACGACCTCAGGCTGCTCTAGCCCTGCTGCTGATCCTACCCCATCCGCCGATGCCGTCGCGCCGTATGATGTTGATGCTTCCGCCGCTGAGTCCCCTACTCCCAACATGGCGTGTGCGGCTGACGCAGGTTTGAACGCATTCGGCCTGGAAGCTGCTATCTCCATGGCCAGGGTGTACAAGTCCTCGAGCTGCGGCATGAAAGGCGACGAGGCATCCTGCAAAGCACACGGCACGGATGCATTTGGCGCCGGCGTCGCACAAACGCTTGGCGACGGTCCAGGGCTGGGTGACGGCAGCGGAGATGCCGCAGCCCGTTGTGCTGGGACGGGTGGCGGTGGTGGCGATGGCGGTGGTGGTGGCGGTGGAGGTTTGAAGGATAAGGTATACGAGCGTGGCTGCACCCTGCGGCCTGACCCCGGTTTGAGCCCTAATGCGACAAACACACGCTGTGCTCGTGACTCTGATGGAACAAACACTTGCTGCACGCTGACAGCAATCGGGGCGTCTTCCTCCGGCGCCACAGCTTTGGCTGGCTGCGTGGGTTCAACAGGACTGGGCTGCATTGGCTGGATAGGGCTCGCTGGTCGAACAAGCAGCCCACGCTCAGGCGAGGCTGCTTGCCGCGACGGCAAAGCGACTCCTGTGAAGCACAGGTTAAAGAATTGAGCCTTAATTGAGATGAAAGAGTCATTAGGATGTGTAGCTCGCTTAAAAGCGTACTTACCATTCTCGGGCGCTTTGTGGGATGGCTTGATGTTCGCAAGCAGTCGGCGTCGCTTTCCTACCGAGATCCCAGTCAGGCTGTTTAAGGGGCGTAAGCAGCAATGTAAGAAGGATATTGCAGCATACAGGTAGCAGCAACGGTGTGGCCTACTTGATGGTCAACGGAAAAGCCCTTGGCCGGGGCTGCCATCCGCTTCCAGGCTTACGTGGCTGTCGAGCAAGTCGAAAAGCATTTGTGGTATCTTCCATAATGGACAACGCATTCGGTAGGGACTGGGCCGTGAGGTGTTTGGCCCTTCAAAATGGACAGCAACTCTATTTCAACTCCATATCATACGTAAAGGTATGTTACCACCTGAATATTGATATGTATATATGGATATGTAACAACAGTAAAAAATAAGGAACTCATGAGGCTTCTAACTCCTCAACCCCATGAAGGTGCTTGAGATGAAAAGAGGCACCAGGTGCTAGCAATGTACAGTACAAGAAGCTGGCCCCTGTCTCAGCCTCTGGACGTTGAACGCACACCGCTGAACTTTGGAAAGCCGTAAAGCCGTACCTAAGCTGGCCTTACCTTCCATCTAACACAGCATGTGGTCTTCAATTTGTTAGGCTTACAGACTGGCATGCACACTATCGCTGGTTATCCTTGTTTCAATGGCGTTGCGTACGGGCTGAAAACCGTGCCGTAAACACTTCCTGAACGTGACTTGTTAGACAAAAGACCGCACCTCCGGCCACATGCTTCACGGTTCTTGCACAGCCAAGTGTGCGACATTTAGCGTGCTGCTTGGCAGGGTTACTTGTCGCGCGTGGTTGCTCCTTGCTTAGACGTTGGCCTCGCCGACAGTTATGGTTTAAGTTGACGACTTCCCGAAGGACCGGCCCCCGACTGCGACTTGCACTGAGGTTATTTATGCGTTTCCCCGCAGTCGCAGTGAGTGATTCAGAATGCCACACTATCCACAAGCAAGGCTAAGGCGCGGCTCACGGGTGTAGGAAAGCTGCTACGGTAGTCAAAAGCATAAGCACGGCAAGCAGCATGCTGCAGGGTGCCATTTACGGCACGAACCACTGTGCCGCAGTAAGTTAACAGGCTACGGGCTAACGTTGTTTAAATGTAAGCTTAAACATAGTTGGTAAGATGGGAGGCTTAAACACTAGGGAGATGCCATGGAAGTGAAGCCGCCCCAAACTGGCTCCAAAATGAAACACTCGGCGACGCTGCGGCACGAGGCAGCAGATAAGGTAGCAGGATTTACCTCCTGTCATACCTTGTAAGCGAACGTTTCCACGAAAACGGAAGGGATTTCGGTGAAACGACTTGACCAACGACCTCTAAACGACCTTTCTGCACATGCCGTACTAACTAATAGGTAACAACCCGTACAACCGTTAAAAATTACCAAGACACGGTAAACCGGTACAAACGTTGCAAAGTCAAAGTGGACGCGGGCAAAGCCTGAATCCATTCAACTCTGCAGCGATGTGTGTCGACTATCGAGGCCCTAGCCGAAGCCAATTGTAGGCCACTCATACAGTTACGGCACACCCATGCAGTCATGTGCTTAACAACTCCGAATGCCCGCTCAATTGGGGTCAAAAGGTCATCGGCCGAATCCATGTCGCATTAGCAGCATTCATACACTGCTGCGCATAACCGGTGTCGTATGGAGTTGCGCCTCAAATGCAATGCACCCACAGGGTAACCTCCAAAACATTTAACAGTACGCAACTGACTTGGCAGGTCGCCCACATGCAGTAGCCGGCAGTCGCAGGGTAGGTAGCCGCGCAGAGCTGCAAATCATGGGGAACCAGCAACCCTGGTGGCTTCAACAGAAGGGTCCAACAGCGCTAAACAACCCCGACCTACAAAAGGCACTCAAGGAAGAACTCCTTCCCCTCACCAAACACCCACTTGTCGTCACCGACGTAACATGACAACCGCCCGAGCTTCACGCGCTTCTCGGGGCCCCCTCACTCGACCAGCCACATGCCTTGCTTGTCTCTTGTCTCTTAAGCAACTCCCAGCATCTGCCAAAATACTCCTCGACAAACGCGCGCAGGCGCCTTTGGTGAAGTTTTGTAAAACTGAACACAACCACAATTACACAATGAACAACCGCCCATTGTCGCCAAGAGGAGCACCGGGGGGTCCGCTAAGACAGCTGGCCCCAGCACACACACTCGAGTCATACCGAGCACAACTCGGTCGTGCACGGTTGGTGCACGTTACTTCGGCTGATCTGGCTTGGGTAGCGTGCCAGCAGGCATCATGAGGCCAGGCATGCCAGGCGGTAGCGGCAGTCCTGGGAAGCCAGCCGGGATCATCCCCGGAGGCAAACCCTGAAGGAAGCAGCAAGCAAATGTGGTGGGGCATGCCGAACGAGGAAAGGGACATGCTGGACAAGGGGTCCACACACGGCGCAAAACTCACAAACAGTTGCTTGCTTGATATGGCAGCGAGTAGCTGCATTGGGGCATACCTGGAACTGCGCCTGCATAAGCGGGAACGGCATGCCGCCTTGCAGCTGCAGCAGCGGCATCAACCAGGGAAAGCATGTGACCACAAGTCAGAGCTCGCATATTAGCATGAAGATTAGCTGCATGCAGCCTTTGTGTAAGCATACTACTACTAGCCAATGCAAACAGGTGGACCCAGAAAAAGGACCCAACAATGCGGGACAAACCAAGCTCAACAAGGACCTTGCAGCCAGAGGTCAACGCCCGCGCCCCTACCTGGGCGTGCTGCTGTGCCGCTTGGTGCTGCTGCGCGGCGGCTGCAGCGGCCGCGGCGGCCTCCCGCTTTGCCTCAGCCCCAGCGCTGGAGCCGCCTGGTTGCTGCTTTGCGACGGCAGCCTGTGCGGGCAAACGAGGGTAGCCCACCCCTCCTTGACCAATTCCCAGCCAACATTCCACATATGGACGCTCGGCTAGCATCGGGGTAGCTGTCCTACCACGTACCGCAGATAGCCTGCCAAACAGGAACGCTTTGGTAACAAGCAAACCAGGACAGTACACACGGGCTGTCCGGACGTGTCCCATGCACCATACCAGCTGAGGATCCTGCACCACCGGCCCGTTACGCCTCAGCATACCTCAGCCTGTACGAGCGGCAGGGGAACGGGAAGCGGAAGGGAAAGAGTTCTTAGCGTTATCAAACTGTCAGGGTCAATGCCCTCGGAGGACGTGTAATGCAGGGGCCTCCTACACACTTTGGACGCCTCCGTGGAACGCCCACAAACCCAACTGATAACCGTTTTCTCTGTGTTCACAGCCCTGCACCCAAACCCCTCCCAGCAATGCTTTCCCTTCCCACTCCAAGCTCCATGACATCCAAGCTTCACAAGCAAGGCGACCACCTCACCTCGCGGAACTTGGCCAGGTAAAGCTTCAGCGGCTCCAAGTACTCTTCGAAGCCCAATGTTGTCATGGCCCATAAAAGGTCATCACCGTTAATGGTTTTCCGCTTTTCTCGCTGGCACTTGTCGCTGGCCCTACTTAGCCGGGCACGAATGCGACAGTCAGAGAGCTGCCAGCTTTCCAGGATTACTGCAAAGCCGCTTACTCTGATGTAATGAAGCTAATAAACTCTGAAACGCATTCCTGCACTGTCTCTTTGGCATCCTTGGCTATTTTGGCGTTCCCCGGCAGCGCTTTCTTCATGATCCGGCTAATGTTTGCAATAGGCAAAAACCTATCTTGCTCTCTAACGTTGCTACTTCCATCGCGGCCATCGCCCTCGTCGCCGCTCATGGCGCTCGCAAATTCTAACGACCAAGGTGCCTAGTTGCCGATTTAAGCAGCGACAAAGGTAAAGTAGTTGTGTGCCTAACTGCAATTGCCTCCACAAACACGCAGGGCAGGGCGCATGCCACATAGCAGGCAAAGCAGGCTGGCAGGGAACGCTTGTACGGTGAATCCACAGAGGAAGCCTCACGCAAGACAACTTTCACCTCCAATTCTGCGATCATAACATAATCCACTTGCCTTCAAGGTGTCACGAGGCAACGCCCCGAACCCCTTCATAGCCATCCGCCCGTTGGTGGACGAAGAGTCAACCCAACCGACTCATGCACGTCTTGATCCTAGTTGGAGTACCGGGCTCTGGTCAGTTGCTAGGACTCTTGCATCGCTCCTGCCGCCAGTAAAGCCGCCATGGCTGTTGCCCGATGTGGCTCGTAGGGACCCCATACACAACCTGCGCTGAACATCCTAACTTCATCCTGCTCGCTGGATTTAGGTAAAACCACTATAAGCAAGAGCTTGGCGGCTCTTGGTTGGCGTCACATAAACCAGGTTCGTACTTGAAGCTGGAAGCGTAAGCCCCCTCCCTAGCTGCCAAGGCTGCGCAGGCGGCAGGCCTATACCGCCCACGCGCTTGGGGTACACCAGGGCTGCACATCTTATCGTATCCGGTTGCCTCATTTGAGCTTTATGGCCTTTGCTCCTTCGGGCCGTTGCCAACGTTGCACGGCAACACCCGTCGCCGCAACCGAGCACACCTGCAGTTCCACAGCCACGCCTATGCCCCATACAATCCCTTCTCCTGGCACCCGCCCGCACTTACCTAACACCCGCATGGTCTCCGCCCTCTGCCATTTTCACCTCCAGCCCACGCCTGGTCCTCGGCCTTTGCACAAGGGCGTTGATCCAATCCCTCAACCCCCGCACCACCCCGCTATCCACAGGATGAGCTAGGCTCCCGGAGGGCCTGCGAAGATGCCTTCTGGACGGCATTGCAGCAGCGGCGGCATGTGGTGGTGGACAGGTGGGCCAGGTGTTGGGTAACTAACATCGCCACGCGGCAACAACCCCCGCCGCCCACGTTGCTGCATGATTCGGGATTCGGGATTGGGACTCCGTTGTTGCACTCGTCTATTGTTTTCCCCGCCCGCGTTGCTGCTTATGATTGCCCCTTCCCCGTACAGCAAGCGGGTCGCGCGCATTCCTTCGTGCCTGCCAGTCGCGAGGAGCTAGTATGGGTATATAATCTGCTAGTGCGTAATCGTGCGCGTGCACCTCCACTTGCTCGCTTTCGTCCCACAGGTGCAACATAGACGAGAGCCAGCGCGCCCATTGGCTGCGCCTGGCGTGGGAGTCCAGGGTGAAGGGGTGAGAGCTGCGCCGCTGCTCCTCTGCCTATTATGCCCTCCTCCTTCCCTGCTGCTTCTGACACGGGGAGCTTTGTTCCTTCTCTGCCTGCTCACTGACGGTGCCGCAGCAGCCGACCCTTCCCTAGCCGCCCCCCCGCTAGCTTGCGCATTCCCGCTTGCCCGCTCCTCATGCACTCCCTGCACCCGCGTGCTTTAATGGCCACCCTCGCCTCCTTCCTCTCATCTTGCCATGCCTCCCTCCTTGGTGCTTGTCTCTTACTCCTGCGCCTTTCTGGCCTTCGTTACGTTCCCGGTGCACACGCAGGGTGACGTTTGTGGCGCTGCAGCTGCTGCTGCCGCTGGAGGTGTGCAAGCAGCGCGCCGCAGCTCGTGCCGACCACCCCACACTGGGGCCGCACAACTGCTCGGAGGTGATCGACAGGTGGGAAGATGGGTCAAGAGCCCAAGCCGCGACAATGAAGTACTAATGGTTATAGGAAACCGGGAGTTGATGGTGGCGTCCCAGCTGGTTAGTAGGAAGGACGAGGATGGGAAGGTACCTCGTGTGCGGGGGAGGGCGCTCCACACAGCGACTGCAGTACAGCACCTGTTTTATTGCTTGGAAGCACACTTGGAAGCATGCTTCCCGGCTTTGGGGCCTCCCTTCCACACCCGCTTCCAACTGCCACACATGCACCGGGCGTCTGCCGTGTCTGCCTCCATGCTTAAGCCAAGCTCCACACCCGTGTTCTGCCGCCCTCTCCTGCCTCGTCAAACGTCCCATGGGTCGCCCCCTCGCCCAGGTTTGCGCAGGACTTCATGAGCGCCGCCAAGCGCGAGGGCTTCCAGCGCGTCATTAGCGTTCACAGCAGCGAGGACGCGGAGGCAGCCGTCCAGGAGCTGCTGGCGGAGGCGGGGCCGCTGCTGGGGCCGGAGGCTGCTTTGGCGTCATGCCCGCCATCCTCACATCCGCTTTATCCGCCTCCTCGAAACCAACAGCACGGGCGACAGCATGCGCCGCACTACCACCAGCACCAGCACCACCAGCATCAGAGCCACCACCGAAGGGCCTTTCACAGTGTGCAATATCCACAGCACCAGCACCAGTGGGGCGGGCACTACCAGGATAGCAGCTACCAGGCCAGTCACTGCCAGGACAGCCACTACAGCCAGCAGCGGTTCCCTCGGGAACAGCATTACCACCACCACCAACACAGCCCTGCTTACCTCGGCGCAACTCCCATGAGCGTGGCGATGAGCGTGGAGATGGGCGTGGTCGCATCCGCTCCGGGGGCTGCTGGAGTTGATCCCAATGACCCGGCCATGGTTTGGGACGCCCGTGCGAGCGTCGTGGCGCGGATGGAGGTGTGTGCAAGTAGCGGGGACGTGACCCACGGGTCAGCGGAGATGCTGACGTCCATGGTGGGTGTTTCAAACATGGTGGCGTTACCTTCGCCGTTGCAGCCGCCGCCGCCGCAGCAGCAAGGGCAGCAGCAGCAACTAGGGGAGCAGCCGGAGCGACAGCAGGAGCAGCAGCAACAGCTATTAGGCAATGCAATGCCACGGGAGAGCAAGGGCAGGGCAATGGAGCCTCGCGGCGGCTACGGGCGACGGGGTGGCGGGGGTTCACGGCGCGAGGGCGGCAGCAGCAGCCACCAAGACATCGTCAGGGAGCTGCGTGACACCTACGCAGATCCGAGGTAAGTCGTACACATTGGGCCTTACACCCTTATCCCTAAATAGGACCACGCCGCATCCTGGTACGGCGCATCACTAGGCACTAACGCTGTTTACGCATCGCTGCCGTGTGTGTTTCCCAATGCCAGGTGCAAAGTGGCCTATGACGCCGACACCGACCCGCGGGTCATTCTGTTGTTCGACCTGAACGGCACCCTCACCTCGCACACCAGCGTACGGAAGGCGCAGGGCGTCACAACGCTGCGACCCGGCACGCACCACCTGCTGCGGTTGAAGGAGCACTTCAGGTAAGTTCGTTTGCCGCCGCTGGTGTCGTCCTTACCTCGTGTGTTGTGTTCTTAGGTCCGGGATTGTGCTCACAACCGGTATGTGCTCAGCTGCTCACTTCAGCGGAGGTACAGGACATTAGTATCGCGCATACTACCGGTAACACGCCCCACCAGCCCTTCTTCCCTAGCATGAAGCACATGTCACTTCCACCCTTCCCCCATGCCCAGCTTTTGAGAGCCTAACCCCGTCAAGCCTGCCTCCTCCATCCCTCATCTCTTACCCCTCGACTTGTCCCCGAACCCGCTCCCCGCACCCACCCACCGGCACCCATGTTGCAGCCCATGTTGACGCCTTATCTCTCAGTCAGTTAGTTGTTTCCTCTTTACCCCACCACCACTACAGGCTGGGCATCTACACCTCCTCCACGGCGCGCACCGTGCAGACCGCGGTGGGGCTGCTGGAGGCGGCGGCGGGCGGGCAGCAGCTGTTCGAGCGGCGCCTGGTGCTGCACCGGGAACACACAGCGCCGGCGCCGGCAGGTCATGTGGACAGCGGCGGCGACCCATGGGACACTCTGAAACCGCTGGGGCGGTACTTCTCAGCCCTGAGCCGTGTCATCCTGATAGACGACGATGCGTACAAGAGTATCGAGGGTGGGTCTGGGTCTGGATTGTCGGAAGATGATGTCCCCATCAGCACGCCACGGGAGACAAGGATTAGGTTATCATGTGTAATTAGTTATAGTTCCACTACTGGTGCTGGGAGTAAGTAGGACGTAAGAAGCACTCGATCTTACAGCGACCGGACCCTACCTCCCCCCCCCGCGGCTGCAGGCGAGGCATCCAACATGCTGCTGGTGCCCTGCTGGCGCACCCAGGACGCGGGCTGCTGCGTGCTGGAGCGGATGTGCGCGCTGCTGCTGGAGCTGGTGGCGCCGCTGGGCAAGGTGGGTGGGGAGCTGGGGTCCAAGATACATTGGATACGACAATGACATGTCATGGGGTTTAGGAAACCACAAGATAGGGCAACGCACTGGGGAGGGGCAAGGTGGGGTGGGAGCTGAGGTGATGTGGGAAAAACGAAATTCCATAGATGATGTGGGGTGGGGAGAGGGGAGGGGAGGGAGTGGGAGCTGAGGAGGGGTAGACGCTGATGTGGGATGGGACTGAGGTTCTGCATGGGGGTTGCCGCCAGGTGAGGCCCTTCGGTACGATGAATGCATCACGCCATGGCTGTTGTGGTTTCCGTACACGTCCTTACTGCTGCTGCGCTTCCAATTGGCCCCACCCGCAGGAGGCGGACGTGCGCGCATGGACATCCGTGGTTTCTTCCCGGCTGCATGCGTCAACGGCAGCTGGCGCGTTGGCATCGGACGGGTCGGCAGCAACCGGTGTTGCAGCAGCCGCTGTGGGTGCGGGTGCGGGTGCGGCTGAGGCGCCAGTGGCAGCTGTCGGCCCGGCAGGCGACGTGGCTCCCGCGGGGCTGCCTGCCGCGATGGAGGCAATGAGCGATGCGGGGGTTGTGGCTGAGTTGGGCGACCCATTTGAGATAGACCTTACCCTGGACGATTAGGAAAGGATGAGTGGATGGCTAGGGCATGGTCGAGGTGGTGGTCCGATATGCAGTCGGTGAGTGTGGGTTGTGTTGGCACTTGGCGAAGTAAACTTGGCACTTGGTTAAGATACCGGTATGGCAGGTGGGGGAAAATCATTAAGTGAAACAACGAGTCCCAATCCCATATCCCGACTTATGGGGGGTGGGGCAGGGTAGCGGCACGGCATCGTGTGTTGGGACTGGAGTTCGCCTACTAGAAGTCCGGAGTCGCGGGACAGGCGATGGACATGCTGCTGATTGTGGGCCCTGCAGGACGTCGCAGACACTTCGCACGCGTCCACCTGCTTCGACCCCGACATCCCCTACCACTACAGTACTCACCTCCTTCGCGAAGTATCACCTGCTGGCACACGCGACAATAGCGGTACGAACGTGTAATGCTGGGTCAGGAGCTCATGACTCATCGTAAAAAGAAAACCGTTTCATAGGGACCTCTTCAGCTGGGCACTAACACACAGGGTTTAAGCTTCCTTGTCCTTTGCTTTATGCAAGTGGATCAGCTTGGCGGCGCGGGACCAAGACGCGGGACTATCTTAATGAGGGGCCCTTAACCTGGTTGCCCGTGCCTAAGGCTCTGCGACGTTTAGCACCATTGGATTTGCCTATGGACAGTCTTCATACTGTTGGGTGCCGTGGAATTACAGTATGCAATGCAAAAGCGCAGGTATCGTCCTGTGGGTTTGAGTGCACGAATATCCATTGCTGCCCAGGTTCACGGGGGGTGACGCGCTAGGGATTATAGCTCCGTACAACAATCGAAACCGCTCTATACTCGTATGATTCCGATTAGTAAGACATTTAGGCCAGGGTAGGACTGACAGTACGGCGTGTTCTCATGCAGTACGTGCACCCCAACTGCCTCCGACTGCACAGCGAAGTCTGAGCAGCTTCCACTCACCTTACCCTATAATGAATTGGGTTTCTTACTTGTCCATTAATCGAAGGCTAGTCGTCTTTCCTTTGCGCACAGACCACAAAACTTCCTTCCTACGTTGCTTATCTAGAGCCGCCCTAATCTTAGCTGTTAAAAAGAGCCAACATCCGATTATATCCCAAGCTTCATGGAGTTTCTCATAAAATGGTTACCGACCTTGCGGAATCTGCCGTGTAGTTGAGCAGGCAAGCAGCGAACGTCTTATGTTATGCGCATTATATCATGCGCCGACTTATAAAAGCGATGTTTGTTGCCCGTTTCCGCAAAATGTATTGGCTTACTCGGTCAGCTTCGCACCTGCTGCACCTATTGCCTTCGCTCTTGCTTTTCCATTCTAGTGGCTGCTTCTCTTTCCCTACCCTGTTCCTTACTTTCCTGCACTTTTCTTTTCGGCATTCGCGCGTATGTGCCTTTGTCGCTTCCATGTTACTTTTAAACGTCGACAGCAATACCCGCTGTGTGCTTTACTTGTAGAACCATCTTAGACTTCTGGATCGTGGATTGGACTACTTTGGAAATCATATCCAGCGGCCTTGCGACCGCCCGTTGGCAGGCAGGGCGAAGGACACTTTATCGACGTATTTCGGGGCCTTCCCGCTACCAAACGCTTATCGCGGAGTCGTTACTGCCGGGACACCCTTTGCCCGCGTTCGACTGCGCCGTCGCTACCTGGTGCAGCGGCCGGTAACTACATGACAAGTCTGGCGAGCGCCCGACAAGTGGCCAGCCTCTAAAATATCCCAGCGGGCACGGCCAGGTCCTCAGCACCAGCGTCAGCCCCTGGGGTAACCTCGCCGATCTTGCCTTCCCAGCATGCTTTCTAGATACGTCCCAGGGTGCCTAGCGGAGTTTGCTTGCAGCCACTTAACACAGCTTTCAAGCACCTGCTGCAGCTTAGCGATGTCCAGCTGCGGCAGCAGCAACGGCTACAGAGGGGTACGGGGGCGTGCACATGGGTCCTCTGCCCCTCCGCGGATTTGCCTCTTCTTGTTACTCGCCGCCACAGCCATTGCCCTTCCCATGTGCCATGGCGCCACAACGGCGCCTCCTAAGGCCAAGCCGCTTCCACCGTCTCCCAAACCTCGGCCCCCTCCGCTGAAGGTGGCGGCACCGGCAAACTCGCCACCACCGCGGCCGTCTCCCAAGTTGAAAAGCCCCCCTCCATCCGCGGCTGCGTCCGTGCCGCCAACAGGCCGCCCTCCGCCGCCGTCCCCTAAGAAAAGCCCGTCCCCACCGACGTCAGCTCTGCCTACTTCCTCGCCGCCGCCGACCAAACAGCTTTCAACGCCGCCGCCGCTGGTTCGCTCGCCGCCGCCGAGGCCCCCTCCTCCGTCACCCCCGCCTCCCAAGTCCTCACCCCCGCCTCCCAAGTCCTCACCCCCGCCTCCCAAGTCCTCACCCCCGCCTCCCAAGTCCTCACCACCGCCTCCCAAGTCCTCACCACCGCCTCCCAAGTCCTCACCACCGCCTCCCAAGTCCTCACCACCACCACCCAAGTCCTCACCCCCGCCTCCCAAGTCCTCACCACCACCACTCAAGCCCTCACCACCGCCTCCCAAGCCCTCACCACCACCACCCAAGCCCTCACCACCGCCTCCCAAGCCCTCACCACCGCCTCCCGAGCCCTCACCACCGCCTCCCAAGCCCTCACCACCGCCTCCCAAGCCCTCACCCCCACCTCCCGAGCCCTCGCCTCCGCCTCCCAAGTCCTCACCACCGCCTCCCAAGCCCTCACCACCGCCTCCACCTCCCAAATCCTCGCCCCCGCCGCCGACGAAGTCCCCCCCGCCTTTGCCGACTCCCCCGCCGCCGCCGCTGCAGCGGCCACCGCCACCCCTGAAATCACCGCCACCAGTAAGCTCGCCTCCCCCCGCAAAATCGCCTCCTCCTCTGAAATCGCCGCCGCCGCTCAAATCCCCTCCACCCCTGAAGTCTCCGCCGCCTTCACCCCCGCCGCCACCACCATCACCGCCGCCGCCGCCGCCTCCCTTAACCCCCGCCGCCCTCCGTTCCCCTCCCCCACCATCGCGATCTCCCCCGCCATCCCAGCTGCGGCCGCCCCCCACTCCGCCGCCCACATCCACCGTGAAGAACCCGCCGCCGCCCTCCCAGTTCGCGACGTACAAGTCCCTTTCACCTTCCGGTGAGGGGCCCACCTAGCTACCCGCACATGCTCTTGGCGTGAGCGCCCCTCTCTCATCACACTCTGCTCGCGGGTCCCGACTGTGCGGGAGGGGGGGCGGGAGATAAGGGGGACCATGCCTAGTGGCCCCCGGGGGGGGGCGAGGGTGCAGCCTTTTAGGAGAAGGAAAGGGCACACTGCTTCCTGCCACGGTAGTCGCAACATGCGTCCTGCAGGGCCCCCCGACCCAAATCAGCCGCCCTTAGCCTCCTCACACTCCCCCACTTCATGCCCCCCGACATCCACTCCACAGCGCACATGCGGCTCCTGCATCCCGGTATGCCCACACCTCTCAACGTAAAATGCGCCGCCACTCATTCCCTTCTTGTCTCCCCCGTCCCCCCGCCCCCCCTCCTGCTGCTGCTCCTCCTGCTCCTCCCCGCCGCAGTGGGTGATGAGATCCTGGTCCTCTCCCTGCAGCACGACTCGCGCTACTGGCAGGCAGCGGAGCCGCCGCCCGCAGACGACACCTCCCCGCCGGACCAGCAGCAGCAGAACGGCAGCGAGTGGCAGTTGGAGTTCCCGCCGTACGACACGGAGCAGCGACTGTACTTTGCCGTATCGCCGTACACTGCGGGGGCGGCGCTGAGTGATGGCAGCAAGCCGCTGGTGTACCGCCGGCTGGTGATGGGAGACCAGGTGGTGAGTGGGGTGGTAGCTGACAAGTAGTGTAGAAGTGGAGGAGGACGGGAGGTGGAGGTGGAGGAGGAGGAGGAAGGCGGGTAGCTGGGCGCAGGAGGAGGTATTGCGGGGTCGGTGTATGGAGGCGGGGGTTGGCGTGTTACGAGAACTGGCTGGAAACTGGGGTGGTGTTAAGAAAACTGGCCGCGAGTAGGGCACCACACTGGGCTGGTGTGTGGTGGCGTGTGGTGAGAAGAGGCTTTGGGTTGTGCAGTGGGGCAGAGGCTATAGGGCGGAGGTGGATGGGCTGGATTGTTGGGGGTAGGTAGCGGAGTTTTAATGGCTTGCGGGGAGGTGGTTTGGAGGGGGAAGGGAAGGTTTGGCCTGATGACGCGAATGGTGAATGACGCTGGGTTGTTGACATTACTTACCACCCACCCTCCTTCCCTCCCTCCCTGTACTTCTCCCCCCCTCCTTTGCTCCTTTCCTCCCTCCCTGCAGCCCCGCATCACCTACACGGCTTTCGAATCCGGGGACTACGTGAACCTCATTGGCAGCGAGCGCATTCCCGCGGCCTCGCCCTCGCCCCCCGCCTCCGCCGCCGCCTCCCCTGTCGATCTGGCGGAAGGCGCAGACGACCAATGGGACGCGGATTACATCATCAGCGCTGAGGCGAATCGCCAGGCGGAGAGTTACTACACGGATTGGAGCTTCCGTACGGATACGGCCACAACTCACCCTGTCACGAGCGTTACGTTCATCCTGAATGTTTGCGGCATGAGCAACCCCGTGAAACCCAAGGTAGGAAGGGAATGGAATGGGGGTTCAGATTGGGATGAGTTGCGGATAGGTGTTGTGTTGGGAAGGGTGGGTGAAGGCAGGGGCAGCTGGGGAAAGGAAGGTAGGGTGTAAGGTTCGTGGCTGGTTCCTGAGCGTAGGTAATCTAGTAAAGGGTTGCAGGGGGCACGGGATGGCTTGGACGTCTGGGCTCCCTAAGATTGCATCACTTGAAGGGGTAACGGCTCCGAATCGTTGCAGTCAAGTGTTTGCTCTCGATGCTGCTGCTGTGCTGCTGCTGATGAGGCCGTTGCAGTACTACTCCTGCTGCTGATGAAGCCGTCGCCTCCCTGTCGCTCTCGCTCCCTCATCCCACCTGATCCCACCACCCACCCGCACAGGATCTGCGGCCGTACTGGTACGGCACCAACAACACGGACGGCCCCTCCATCAAGCAGTTCTTCGACAGCTGCTCCCGGGGCGCTCACCCATTCACGTGAGTGAACCTTTCCAGCTGTCGTGCTTTCACATGAACATCTGCATTTTGCATAGGAAGGCTGCCATTTTGGGGTTTTGATACATCATTTCCCCTGCACCAAGGGTTCACAGCCCTCATGCTGTCGCACACATGACGCACTGGGGGCTGCATGCACGCTCTCTGATGCTTTCAGGCGTCATGCAGGGGGGATCATCACACGTGCACGTGCCCCGTGTGCGAGACGGATGCTCAAGCGCCAACCCCTCCACCTCCTGCTGCTGCTGCTGCTGCTGTCCTGGTATTGTTGTTATTCCCAACACCCCCGCCGCCTCATACGGCCAAAATGTCCGCCCCAACCCATCTGTTATGTGGTCCCCGCCTCCTGCCCCAACCCTCCTCCCCTGCGACCGAGCAGCGAGGCCAACAACCCCATCCTGGGCCCCATCGACATTCCCTGCAACGCCACCCCCGGCAACGGCCGCTTCTTCGACTCCCGCCGCTGCACCGACCGAGAGGTCTTCGGATGGGCGCAGTACGCTATGGACTATGCGATCAAGGTGGGTAGGCGCGGCCTCTTGGGTGGGTAGGCGTGGATATCTAGTGCTATGACTGGTATGAAGGAAGGAGCGCAAGCGGTGAGGAGTGTGTCCCAGAAAACTGGACGCGAACAGGACCGAAGGAAAGCGTGTGTGCATGTAGCAGGGGGCACGCATGTTGGGTGGATAAGAAAGTGTGAAGCAGCCCCATGCTCTCTCTCAGAGGCTTCCGGGTCGCGCCTTGGGGCAGCGAGGCACCTCTCCTCACTCCCCCTCTCCCTCCCCTCCCAAACACATCCCACACCAGTCCGTGTCCAACTTGACACTCACGCTGCGGCGACCCGAGCGCCGCATCTTCCTGCTGCCCGACCTGCCCGCGTGCGCCAGCTGGGAGTCCCTGGCGTCGGTGGGGTGCGGCCGCAACTGCCCCATCTTCCTCAAGCTGGTGAGCAGCGGGGGAGCGGGAGAGCAGGGGGAGAAGGGAGGCGGAGGGGAAGTGAAGTCGGGCGTGCGGGAGCGGAGGAGTGGGTGGATTGGGTTTATCTGGGAGCCACGCAGCTGATGAGCGCGGAAAGAGAGAGTGGAGCACGCTGACCGTGGTCGCGGGTGTGGGTGTGGAGGGGCTGCGAGGAGCGGTCACGAGGGGATGCTCTGCGAGCTGATTGGTGATGGTTGTGCACAATGTTGCGATGGTGTTCCCGCCTCCCGCACGTATGCCATGGTGTTTTGGTGGGGACATCATCACTACCGGCAATCCAATGTGTTCCGCCTCGCGGCCAGTTTTCTTAACACACACACACACACCGGCCAGTTTACTTGGCAGTCTTGACACCCGCCGGTTTGCTTCCACACCTCCACAGAGGAGCGGCAGCACGGGCCGCTCCGTGTCCTCGCAGCTCATTCACGACCTGGGTCACACCTACAGCATGTCGCACAGCGCGGCGGACGCGGGGGTGGTCAGCAGTGCGGCGGGCCCGAGGCAGGACGCCTCGTGTCCCATGGGTCAGGCGGACGAGGTGGGCGGGCTTGTCTGCCCCAATGCGCCCAACGGGTGGAAGGTGAGCAGCGGTTTGACGTGTTGAGAGCAGGGGTGACTGGAGCTGGGGGGTGGGGGTCTTGAGGAGGTAGGTTGTGATGGGGGGCAAGGGTTGGAGCAGGCGCCGGGTTGTGCGGTCTGTGATGGTAAAAGGTCTCTGCCCTGGCGTTTCGCTCCATACCGCCATTTAGCCTCTATCTATGCAGAGCCGCCGCAAAGGTCACCCATCTCTGCTCCACCCTCTCACTCCACCTGCTCCGCTCCCCTTCCTGCGCAGCTCGGCTGGACCACCTCCATTCGAGGCAGCGGCTACACCCTCACCGCGCCCTACTCCGGCACCCTCGTGCTCTTGCCGGCCAGCATGGGCGCCGCAAACACCCAGCCAGTGGTGCTGCCCGCCAGCCTGAAAGCAGCGGGGGACCCCTCATCCTACCGTGACAGCACCTACTACCTGTCATACCGCGTGAAGGCGTCCAACAGCGGCAGCAGCAGCAGCAGCCGTGGTGGGGTATACGATTCGGGACTGGATTCGAACCTATCCCTGCAGGTGGGTGGGTGGGTGGGCGGGGTGTGTGTTAAGGGACGATTGGCTGCGAGTAGGAACGTATTGGCATGGTTGCGGTAAGAACACTGGCCGTGAAGAAAAACATACTGGTATTGTTGTGTAACATGAAGTGTTAAGAAACCTGGCCGCGCGAGTCGAAACGTACTGTGGTGGTGAGTGATGAAGGTGAAGTGTGCGCGTGTGTCGTTGTTCCGTTCCACAGCCACAGCCACGTAACCGTGCTGCCCATGCGGTGGATAGTTAAACCGGCCGTTAGTGCGTGGCCACGTGTGTGCGACCATGTGTGGCTTTGTGTGAGGTAAGAACCGCACCTTGCCTAAACAAGCTCCCTCCTGCACCCCTTCCCTCCCTCCACCCCTCCCTCCCTCCCTCTTGGATTGGTAAACTGTTGCTTCAATTTCCATTTATTTTCCCCTCCCTCCCTCGCTCCCTGTTGCACTCATTTATAATTTTCCCTCCCTCCCTCCCTCAGGTCTTTGTCCACCAGTACGACGGCTCCACCTACCGCCTGGGCACCCCCTTCAAGCCCCGCCTGGTGGGCTCCTCCGCCTCCCTGCAGGGGGACGACTTCGTGCACATGTCCGGCTGGGCCGCCCGCTACTTCACGCTGCAGGTCCGCAAGCGCGACACCAGCTCGGCAGTCGCGGTGTTGTACCTGTGTACGACACGAGGGGGGGCGCTGCCGGAGTCGGAGGCCAGCGACGGGTGTGACTACTGCTGGGACGGAGTGGACAATGACTGCAACGGGTGGGAGCTGGGGGGGGGGGCGCGGTGGGGGGGGGCGCTGTGGGTGGGTGGGGTCGTGTGTGGTAGTGGGCGCGTGCGGGGGGAGTTGAGAGGAGGGGGCATGGAGTGCTTGGGTGCTGTGTTGGGGAGGAGGGGTTGCAGGGTTACAAGCTGTGTGGGTTGGACGCGTCTTCTTTCACGACGCGTTGTCAAAACCCCTGTCACTCCGCTGTGTGATTGCTGCTGTCTGCTGCTGCCGTGCACACTGCTTGTTCATTGGCCTTGGTCTTGTTAGTGCGAGCGCTCTGTTACTGACTGTCCTTGATCCTGCGGCCCGTCTGTTTGGTTGATGGTGCATGCAGGGTTGCGGATTTCGAGGATGAGGCGTGTCAGAGCTGCTACTAGGCTGCACAGCTGCCCACTCCCGTGCTGCTAGCTCCTGCCGCGGTCTCGGTCCAGCAGCGGAGTCGCTGCTGCTGCTCCTCCTGCGACAGCTCGGTGCCTACCTGTGATTGATTAGTGCACGGAAACCTGCCACACAAACCTGCCCGCAATAGCAATTGTTGTGGTCGGAGAATGAAACATGCAGTCGATAACTGGCAGGCAGGCAGACAGGCAGTGCGGCGCCTACAGCAGCCGCAGCAGCGGCATTCCGTGTCGCCGTCTCCGCCCGCCGCGATGTCGGCGGCGCTGCCCGGTTGTTGGCACAGACGACAGCACCTGCCCCTCCACCGCCAGTTCCACCACCTCTGGTCCTCTGCGGCCCTCCTCCAACGGAGGTATCGCAGCCGGTAGGCAGGCATCAGCCCGGGGAAGGAAAGGAGGTGCGGAGAGCCGGAGTCTTGCAGGAGGACCGGTGTGGAGGGAAGCATCCTGCAACCACCGCGAAAGGCCTTTCGGGTGGAAGCTTTACTTGCTCTTAACCATCTTCTGGTGCCAAAAGTTGTCACCAAAGAGTGTGAAGTCGGCGTACATTGGGGTGGTGTGTAGCAGCAGAGACAGAAGCTGTGGCAGCAGGACACGTAAGGCAGGAGGGATGGGCGTGACATGGGAGGAGAAGCGCCTGCCTCGACGTGCGTTGCGTTGAGATGAGAGGGGGGCATATGCCCTGAGGGTGGCCCTGTGAATGGGTGCGTTCATGTTTGGGCGCTTGTGCATGAAGCCAGCTAGGAGTGGCTGTCTTGGAACGGGTGGCGTGTTGGAAGCCGGTGGAAGCAGCAGAGCGACTGTCCTTGCAGAAAGGATGTCAGCAATTATCAGACTCATTACTACTAATTATAAATAAATATAAGGAGAGGAGAGTGTTGGTGGCGCGCGCGCGCGTGCGTGCATGATGAAGTATGGCTCTGGTTGTGATGTGATATGTTACATGACATCCAACGCCAGACCGGCTGGCGATCCTCAGTTGGCAGTTGGGTTGCGTTCAAACTGAAGAACCGCATTCACAGCACTGAAGCCAGAACCGCAAGCGGCTCGTCCTTGCATCCCCCTGAAATGGCGACTCTCTACCAGACGTAGGGCTGTCGTTGGGAAGGCCCCTGCTGGCTACGGACCCTCGGGGTATCCTGTCGTTGGTGTTCTGTCGGAGATGGGAACGTGCGAACGTGCAAGGAGACATCAGCTTCATCGTGCCAACACGCCAGTTGCTTGTGTTCATCTATGGGTGCTGGTGCTGCGCCGTTGTCGGAATGCGCTGCCGCTGTTTGCCTACTGTTAATGCCTCTGCCGAGGGTGTGCAACTGCGCAGGAGAGAGAGAAGGCTGAGACGGTGCCAAGACTTAATTTGCTCGAGGGAGTGAGGCATACCTGTGTGGTGTGGCATGGTTTAGCTTTGGGTTGCGACACGTGCGTGTGTGTTTCCCTGTAGTCTTGGGGGAGAGACTTGTTTCCAGCAAGGGCCGGTGTGACGTGTTGTGACGGTGAATGCCTGCCCCTCCCCCCGGAAGGGCATGAAGCATGGACTGATATCGATTTATAGCATGGGCAAGGGGCTATGTTGTTCAATGCTGTGGCATCTTTGTACGCATCTATCCATATGCTGCGCTGCGCTGCCGGATTTGGAATGAATCAGGCAGCGGAAGGATTAAAGGGCCGGAAGGGTACCGGTAGTTGCTGTGGATGTTAGGAGGCGGTTGGGGGGCTTAGTGGACGGAGGTTATTTGGCAAATGATCAAATGTGTGCATTCATTTGCAGTTGCGGTGTTAGGACACGCGGACATTGTGCTTGTTTCTGATGTGCGGAACTGGGGTACGAGGTGCGGAGCTGGGGTACGAGGTGCGGAGCTGGGGTACGAGGTACGGAAAAAGGGAGCACCTGCCACCTGCCGCTGCGGTGGTTTTCTGCATGGGCGACTGGGGGGCGTCTTTAGCCTTCTGTATGTGTGCAAGCACTTGCTTTCGTGAATGTGTGTCTAGGTGTTTCCAAAGAACACGTTTCCGCATTAAGTTTTAGTCGTTGCATTGAGCCTTAGTGGTGTGTTTGCTAGTATCTCTTTTCCCAGTTTGCTTAGGTACCGTATCTTGTATGGTCCCGTACGTTGTGGTCTCTGGCTGGTTTGCAAAGGCATCGTCGAACTGTGCGCCCAAACACATGCACATTGGGACGCCGTTGCTCCGAGCTGCCGGCGTTAAGAAACCGTTACAAAACCGTTGGTTTGCATTCATTTAGCTGCATGTTGGGTTAGGCGGGCTGCGGGCGGGAAGAAGGCGCGCCGCGCATGCAATTGGACCTATGTGACGACCTAACGAGTGTACTGTTGGACATGTACTCCGAATGCAGTTGGGACGTTAGTGCCCCATTAGCAAATGGGGCCCCGGCATGGGCTGTAAATTAAGGCACCCATGGTTCATTTACTTTGCAGTTTACACACCATCCTTGCAGCGACGCTGGGGTTGTAAATCTGATAAGGTAAGAGACTCCACCGCTGCTGTTGAGACGTGAAAGTCATATAAAACAGTTCGTTGACGGTAACGAAACACCAGTAAACATATAGTTGTACATACCAAGTTATGATGTCACGCACATTGCTTGCGATAAAGACGCACGGGATCTCCTATCCCCAGCCAAACCACCACACGCTCCCCTCACCTCCAGCTCGCTAGATGAGTTGTTCCCTGTTGCAAGTTGTGCCCTCACGGCCGCCCGCCGCCCTCACAGCCCCACCAGCATCAGCGGCCGTACAATTCGAACAACAGCGGGCCATTGCAAGCAGCCAGCGATAGACATGAACGGTACACCAGTAACGCACGCAGCGCGCCCCCGTTTCGGATGTCGCGAGGATACACCCACGTAGCATATTGGCAAGCAGCTCGCACAACTCAATATATTCATAAATAAAACCTAGCCTTGAAAGCCTCGTTCCCCTGTACGAACGCACATTCCCTAAATGTATAAAGGGTCGGAACATACCACTCAAAGAAACACAAGTCGTAAGCCACGCTCACCCACACACCCACACAACCGGGGCAACCCGCCCCCCCCCGTCATCCACTACGTCCGCTATCAAACATGAACGCGTACTTGGGGTTCCGCGCCCAACTAGACGTGGCGCCCTTGCCCGCGAATCCCGCGTACTTGTAGTGGTTGTAGCGCTGGTGCCAGGGCGACTGGGAGCCATGGTTGGGGGAGCTGTTGGCCTCGCCCGCGTAGGGTGAGGGGAGCTGGCGGTAGGTGGTGACACGGGCGGTGTTGGGACCGTGCACAGCAGCAGGGGTGGCGGGGGCGGGGGCGGGGCCGCCACCGTGGGAGAGCGGGGCACGCAGGTCGACCTTGGTGTGGTAGGGCTCTGGGGGGGGGGGAAGAGCGAGGGAGGGAGATGGGGAGGAGAGGTGTGGCGTGGTGAGGGGTTGAAAGGGAGATACTCGCGATCTGGGGGCGGGTAAGCGCTGAGAAACATGCAAAAAATATCAGCCCGCACGAACCTACTGAATCAAGGATAACTTTCTCGGTTTCTCCCCTTTGTTGCCAACACACCTCCCTCCCTCCCTCCCTCCTCACCCAGTAGCACGGGTCGCGCCTTGCCACCCGAAAACGGTAACTGTCCCGTACTCCTCCGGGGGGCGCTCTGCGGCCTCCCGCTGCCCCCACCCGTCGACCTCGCCCCCTGCACCCCACCCTGCACCCCACCCTGCCCTTGCTGCGGTCTGGCCCCGCCTCCCGTGCTTGCCGCCACCCTCCGCCTGGCGCTGCTGCTGCTGCCAAACAGTAGCGCCGCCTCCTCCGCCGCCTCCCGCTGCTGCTGCTTGCGCAGCTGCTGAGGCGACAGCGGGCGCGGGCCGCCCGGCGCGGACCTCTGGGGTACCTTGAGGTGCCGCAGGGTGCGTGCGTCCGGGGTGCGGCCCACCGCCACGTCAGCCAGCAGCTGGGCCACGTCACGGGAGGAGGGCACCCCCTCGGCATCGTAGTTGTGCCAGCTGGGGGGACCAAGACCATACCAAACCATAGGAGACCACAAGTTAGGGCAAAACAATGGGGGTAGGAGTTGGCAGGGCTGGGGGAGGGAGGGGGAAGGAGGGGGGTCAAAGACCAGGCACCAAGGCAGTGGAGGACCACATGTTAGGGCAAGGTGGCGTGTTAGGAAAACTGGCCGCGAGTCGGAACCAGTTTACATGGGGTGGGCCGCTAGCCTCGAGTCTCAGTTCTCAGTTACCGGTGTTACCGGTACTTCGCCGGTGCCATGCTGCCATTGCTGCCAAGCCCCTCAACCCCCTCAACCCCCTCCACCCCCTCAAGCCCCTCCACCGACCTGAACTGCGTCACCAGCTGCCGCTCCAGGGGGGTCAGCGGGCGGCGCGGGCCGTCCAGGCTCTCCTGCAGTGGCGGCGCGGAGGGCTCGTCGTAGCCGCCGCTGACCACCACTGTGGTGTCCCGTGGGTCGGCGCTGAAGAAGTCGGCGTAGATCCTGGGGGCAGGGGTGGGAACATACAGGTGAGGTGGGGTGGGGAGATGTGCTGCGAGGGTGGCGGGTGGCTGGTGCGTGTGCAAGAGAGGGGGCGGGGGGGGAGGGGGGGGTGCGTTAGTTAGCACGGTGGTTAGTATTTGATAGAATGGGCGTCTCCTCGGCTGCTGTGACCTGCGTTCATCTTGCCTGCCTGTCTGCCTGCCTGTCTGCTTGCTTGCTTGCTTGCCGTACACCAGGCAACAGACCTGTTGTACTTGGGGTTGTGAGCCCAGCTGGTCTTGGCTCCGTGCCCCCCGAATCCGTAGTACTTGTAGTGGCGGTAGTCCTGATGGAAGGGGCGCACACCGCCCTCGCCGTAACCCACACGCGAGGGGGGGACCTGCCAGGGGGGTGGGGGAGTGGGGGGTAGGGTGGGTAAACAGGAGGGCGGAGGACGCCGTCGGGGAAGGCGTTGCGGGCTGCCGGGGAGGTGAGAAAGAAGTGGGAAGGCGAGGAGGAGGCAGGTGGGAAGAGATGAATGGGATGAGAGAGGAGGAAAGGGAGTGTGGATGGGATGAGGAGGGATGGGCGGGAAGCGAAGGGGGGAAGTCAGCGATATTACGGGTATATTGTTGGTAAGGGCTAAAAAAGGTACCGGTGAGGAGAGCTGGTGGGGTACCGGTGTGCCCCTCCTCCACCACCACCACCACCACCCACCACCACCACCACCACCACCACCACCCGCGCGACCCACCGCGTACGTCTGCACTCGCGCCACCCGCCAGTCCCCCGCGCCGCGCTCCGGAACCGCCTCCCACACCGGCGTGCCGCTCTCCATGTGCGCGGCGACCAGCGAGGGGACCGTGTAGCAGGGCCGGCCTGCGGGGATGGGGGGGCGGGGATAAACAAGGCAGATACCAGAAGCCATAAGTAAGGCCAAGACAAAGAGGAACGGAGGTGGCCTGGGGGCGGGATTGGGAGGGGAAGGGGTACGGAGCCGACGCGTGCGGGTTTGGGGGTGTGTATCCTCACCCGAGCCCACCTCCAACACCTCCACCCCTGCCCATCCTTCCACCCCATTGCCCGCCCCCGCCCCCGCACCCCCTTCCGCACACCTGTCTTGGTGGTCATGTTGTCGAACAGCGAGGCACCCGCCCCCACAATACCCAGATCCTGCCCCTCGCCGCCCCCTCTCCGCGCACTGCCGGGGCGCTGCGGGGAGGAGCGGGACGGGGAGGCGGAGGCGGAGGCGGCGGAGACAGCGCTGGGGCGGCCACCAGGGGGCGCGGAGGAGGGGCGCCGGGGGGCGGTGGTGGTTGTTGCAGGGTCTGCGAGGGTGGGGTGGTGAGGTTGGGCGTCCGGTTTGTTAGGAAAACTGGCCACGGGTCGGAACGTATTGTGATTGCCCGCGGCTCCCGTTGCACCTCCCCCGCCGCCCCCGTCTACCAGTACCCTCCCCGAGCCTCCGTCCCTCCCCCCGGTTATGGTTCGTTTCTTCCTCTTCCTCTTTCCTCCCCCCCCCCGCCTCCCCCCCCGCCTCCCCTCGCCCCACCCGCATCTAGGGTGCTGCCGTCCCAGGGCGGCGGCGCCAGTCGGGGGCTGTCCCTGTAGGCTGCGCGCGCCTGGGGGGAGGCGGTGATGAGGAAGCGCGAGTGGTCGTTGAAGGGGCGGTGGAAGTGCTGGTAGACGCCGCGGGAGCCATCCAGCCTGCAGGGAGGCGGGAGGTGGGGGGTGGGAGGCGGGAGGGGCAAGGCAAGGAGGGGATGTGTGCGGGGGGTGAGAGCGGGAGCGCCCGCCACTTGGGGCCCCTTGCACATGGATTGCCCGGTTAGTTGCAGACACTGAACTGACAACTGCTGTTATCAAGTTACACAGATGCATGCAGTGGGGCGGCTTGGACTTTCTAAGCCATTTACTTACTGCTGGTCCGACTCGGGGATGGTGGTGTTCGGGTGGTACGGCACAGGTTTCTCGCGGATTGGGAAGCGGTGTGCGTCCAGTTTGTCGATGTACGACATGTTGCCGGGTTCCACGCGACAGATGGCATCTACATAGATCCTCCCGGCCATGGCTTGTTAGCGGTGTTACTTGGATGGGCTCAGGAGTTAGCCAACCGTCCGAGCTTCCAGAAGGTGAGGAACTTGTTCACTTCTTTTGCTTTATCGTGAAAGTTGCGCTTGGGATGTTGCTTATTACGACCTGAAAGCGGGGAATGCGAAAGAATGAAGGAGCACAAAGGTGATAAAGAGAGAATGTTGGTTGCGTTAAGGGGTTAAGAAACGGCAGACACGGTAAACATGGAAGACGCATCCATACAGGTAGAAAACGTATAGATATTATGTTATTGAAGACGTTCTTACGGAAGTGTACCCTCTATTGCGTGGCAGTTAGGGGCATGTCCCGCAATGCGCATGCCGCCCGCCCTACCTAAAGTGAACCAATTGCTCATCTATTAGGGCCAATACATGTACTACCACATGCCGAAAGTCAATGTCAGGTAGCCTGTGTAAAGCCTAACCCCGACGCTTACCTCCCAATTTGCAACTTGGAGTCCTTTGCTCGTTAACACGGCAAGTGGCAATGATGTGTCTCTATAGATAGCTTAGGGAAGATTGCCTCCAGTAATGCAAGCGGAGACGCTTTGCACACAGGCTGAGTTGTCCTTGCGGCAAGGTGCCCAATGACGACGCTACCTCCTAAAATCCAAGGAACCTAGGAAGATAGCTGACTTCTTACACACTGTGTATTGTTGTACATCAGTCGCAAGTAGGTTGACATGGCGGTTATAGTATTGAGCATTTACAGCGGGTTACTTGTTTTGTGACGGAGTGAGCAGCTTCGGTTAGCTAGGCGAAAGGGTTTCAATGGTTGCATTAAAGTTATTGCACATGCGTTTAGTTCTTTGGTAAAAAGAAATGCTAACAGGTGGCTCCGAAACGCCGCGATGAAGGTTCTCCGGGACCCCGTTTGTGCACTATCTGGCTCTTCCGCTACGGATAATCTGTTTCACCCAAATGTATACATTTACGTGTTATACATATGGGCTTTAACTGGCGCCGACCATTCCGCATTAGGTCCCGCCAAAGGCCAAGCCACCACCCAAACGCAGGAACTCCATTCAGCCCCGCTCCTATGTCGAACTCCCACGGCCTTACAATTGGGGTAGCCGCAGGCTAAACCAGCTTTATGCACTAATCGCAAACTGTCTTAACCGACTCGGTCGGATGACTGAAACCTTGGCCCGGCCGAACGAAAGGACGAGCGCGCGTTGTCAAAATCCAGCTGGGTCCGACCAATAATTACGCCAGCCATTTGCTTACATCACCGCATCATACTGAAATTACTCAATTCACGCCTCCATCGGCCCGCTACCCCGGTCACTTCACATACTGACCAGCTTACACCTACATGCGGCGTCAGGGGTTGACTGATTAGGCCCAACTGTTTGCGGCTGGAAGACCTGAGGGCAAGCAAACTTTTACAGGCAAGTAAGCTTGAACTCCTAACAGCTAGGCCCTTACCTGCCTTGGGCATCACTCCTCACATCCTCAGCCCCTGCTGGGAACACCCTTGGTCTCCGCCCGCACCTTTGGTTGCCCGTTCCCGCCCACCTTTGGCCCAGCCTGGCGGCCCTTTGCTTCACACATCGCGATGTGAAGAGGGCCCGAGCATACATGCAGAACACACTTTGCGTGTAGAGTTTTCCGCCGCCGCCTGTTTAAGCGCTTGCTAGCCGTCAACATGCCCACCACCAGCTAGGATCGCATAACATCCGCCAACTGCCCCTATACCGACTACTGCTGTTTCGTTTCCCAACTACCTATCGCCACAGAAGGTGTATATAGCACGCGCTACCGCAAAACATCTTCAATAACTCTGCCAGACTACTGATCTTTCGTTCCGCCCTTTAAAATCGACTGGTATCAGGTTTTCGAAGCTCTGCTCGGCTTATTACCCGGCCTGCTCGTGGAGTGCAGAAGGGACCAGCCAGCCTTCACAACCCCATCGCAACATTGCCCTTGCAACAGCAAAGAGCCAGAGCCGTAGCGCTCTCTAGCCGAGAGGAGAGCGCAACGCCGCGTCAGCACACCGCAGTTTCTCGCCGCAAAATTGCGAAGCAAGGCAACCGCTCTCGATCGGGGTAAGATGTTGACGCGCGCTGTTGATTTCCATCTCCAGCCTGATTTTACGGCACATGCTACGTACATGCAATTGTGTCCGCGTGGGAGGTGCATGCATAGCGGGTGCAGGTGCATTGGGTTGTCGAGTAGTGTTTATATGCATCTGGTTGATAACGCTGCCTGTCGATCGATTAGCTGCTCGCTCGCCCACCAATGTTCGCGATTATTACCATTCGCACGCGGCTGCATCACAGCCTAAATCACCGCAGCAACAGCAGCGCAAGTGGCTTTTCGCCATGCGCCCTGTTACATGGGCCGGTTTGTTTTACTCTTTTAAGGATTGTGAGTCTAGCGCTTTCACTCTTACTTCCACCGCTCTTCAACCCAGGCACGTCTGCCACTCCCGTCGTCCCTCCTTGTTGTTCCTACGCGCCCGTGCCCGGCAGGAATGCGTTAAGGATTGTTTGCAATTGTTGTAACGCTCGAGGCCAATCCTGGCAAGGCACACACACGGTGGCAAAAGGCAGCTCTTGTTTCAGCTGAAGGCCCAAAAAAACACCTTCCTCCCGCTACGGTACGCCCTCTCAAGTGATTCTTCCTCCCGTTCATCAGCTCTTGCTCGGCTTCCTACCTCTTCCATTATAAACCAGCCTTCGCAAATCACGTCATCACAACTGCTGCAAGTCAGTGTCGTTGAGGCAACGGCAACAGCAGCGGCAGCACCACTTCACTCACGGCATACAATCAGTAACCCCACCCCCCGACCAGCATCATGGCTATTAGTAAATCCGTTAGTGGTCAGACTTTTGATCACAGCGAGGCCTCGCGCAGCCACCAGCTGGATGAGTCGGCAGCAGCGGCGGCGGCTGATGCATACCCTCCCGCTTCCGTCGCCCCTGCGCCGCCACCTCCGCCGACGTCGCGCTGTCGGCCCCTCTTTCGCTCCGCCTCCCTTCAGCCCAGCCACATTGCCGCCGCCGCCGCCGCTAGCCCCGCCGACGCGGCGGCAGCGGCGAACGCCTCGCTTGCCGCGTTCCTCGACGACGCTGCCGCTGCTGCCGCGACCGTCGGCGCCGCCGTCCCCGTGGCCGCCCCCGCCGCCACCGTCGACGAAGGCAACAAGAAAGATGGCGGCGACTGCTTGCCGACCGCTACAGCGCAACGCCGCGTGGGACGTCGCGTTGTACAGGCAGACCGCGGTGACCCGCAGCAGGCGGACGACGGGGAGTCATCAGAGCCGGCCTTATCGCTGCACCACCACTACCACCACCACCACCGCTACTACCATCACCTCCACCATCACCGCCATCAGGTGAAGGTCAGCGTCAGCCCAGGCGGCGGCCATGGCGGCGGCGATGGCGGCGGCGGCAACACCGCCATTGGCAGCAGCAGCAGCAGCACCAATGGCGGTGGCGGTGGCGGCGGTGGCGGCGGCGGCCTAAGGTTGCGTTCGTACAAATCCGTACCGGCTGCCGTACTCGCCGCGGCCGCTGAGGCGTACCTCCATGCGCTGGGTCGCACCTTCGACTCCGCCGCGGGGCAGCCGCAGCCGCCGCAGCAGCAGCAGCAGCCGCAACCCCTGCAGGACGAGCAAAGAAAAGAGCAGCGGTCGCCTCCTGTGATGCCAGCAGACGCTACGGCAGCGGCGGCGGATCATGAAGTGGCGGCGACGCTACTCAATGGCGCCGCCGCCGACGCTGACGATGTCGTACATGATCTACATGGATTCGGATCTGGGTCGCCGGCGACCGGCCCGGCGACACCAACAGCGGCCGACGCCGCGCTCGCTGCCATTGGAATCTCAATGGGCGGACTGACGAGCGGCAGCAGCAGCATTAACACCAGCAGTGGCGGCAGCAGCAGCTACGAGGTCAGCAACAGAGGCAGCAGCAATCACGATACCGGCCGTGTGCCGAGTGCAAGCGGCAGTAGCAGCTACAGCTGCAGCTTCAGTGACGGCAGCGGCCGAATCGTCGAAAGCCGCAGTAGCACCATTACGACCGGTTTTAGTACAATCAGTGGCGGCAGTCGCAACAGCATCGGCGGGCGTGCAAGCTGTTGCAGTGCCGGCGGCTGTAGCACCGGCCCCTGCATCGGGTGTACTACATTGAGCGAGATTGTCCCGAGCGATAGCAGCAGCGCGCTTCAGCCGCAGAGCCCTAACAGCCCCATCTTCCGTACACCACTGAGCAGTGACGGCGGCGCCGCCACAGCTGCCGACGTCTCGGACCTCCCAATCATTCCCGAGAGCCCTGCTTCCCTTCGGGCTCCGCCTGCCATCACCAGCGCTGACCCACGGGTCACCGGCACTCCCTCCTCCTCCTCCTCCTCCGCTCCTACCACATCATCAAAAGGCCCACCTCAGCTCGCCAGGCTGTACCCCACCGAGCCGCCCGTACCCAGGCCTCCTCCCGGTGTACGACACTACACCGATGGCCGTAGCGCGTCGTACAAGCTGTCACTGCCGTACAGACTGCTAGCGCAGATCACGCTGGGGATGTACATCGGCTGGCCGTACGCGCTGCTTGCTCTGCTGATCTGCGCGACCCGTGGGTCAGTGGTGGCGCTGACGGTGCTGGCATTGCTGGCGAGTACGCTGCTGCTACCGGCGCCGCCCCGACCCTGGGAAGCGATGCTGAGCTCTCCGCTCTTCAGGTGCGTGGTGGCTTTGGGGCGGGGATTGCGTCTAGGAGGCGGTAAATTGCCGAAGTGGTATCAAGAGATTTGTAGGGCTTGTGGTGTGACTGAGTGACCGTTACACTGGTTGGTGTATGGGGGTTTGGGCCAGGAAGTGCTGCGGCTATTTCACAAAAGAGAGTTTGTGTATGTTGTTTGCCTGTGCTGTATGTTCCCCACCACACGATCGCCCGCTGCACAATACCGCTGCTACCGCTGCTGCTGCTGCTGCTGCTGCTGCTGGTCCCAGGCTGTGGCGCGCCTACCACAACTTCTCGTACGCGTACGACGAGATGTTGGATCTGAGCCGGCCGTACCTCTTCGTCACCAGCCCGCATGGAGCCTTCCCCGTGTCGCAGGTGGGGGCGGAGCGGAGGGAGGGAGGGGGTGGGTGCGGGGGCGGGGGGAGGGAGGGGGCGACCTAGGGAAGCAGCCGAGTGTTACCTGCTGCCAAGCAAGCCTTTCACATTGCCCTCTTACACCGCCCTCTTACCCTCTTACCCGCCATTGCCCGCACCAGCACCCTGCCTCCCTCAATGTTCATCACATGTCCTCCCTCCTGCATCCCAATACTGGGTTGGTCTCTGATGCGACTATGCTCTATCCACTACCTATCGCACTGCAGCTTCTGGACAGCAACAACAGTACTACCGCCACTAATATCGCAACCCCCCCCCACACACACATTACTCCCGCCCCCCCTTCCCCCGCAGATCCTGGGAAACAGCCTAGGCAGCCAAGTCTTCCCCGGTCACCCCATCTTCTGCCTCGCCGCCTCCTGCCTCTTCTACGTGCCGCTCTGGAGGCACGTCAAGGCATGGATGGGCGCAGCGCCCGCGGACAGACCCACTGCCAAGCGGCTGCTGGTGACCCATGGGTCAGTAGTGCTCCTGCGCGTGCGAGTGGGGGTGCTGCTGCTCCTGCTACTGCGGGGTTACTGATCCCCGACTAATTGCTGGGTCGGCCGCGGTTGGAGATTTGCAGAAGCATACCGGTAACCGCAAGGAGCGTTCCAAGCTACCCACATGTCGTACCCCAGGTGTTTCTACCTTCATGCACCTTCATGCGCACCCATTCCCTGTGGGCCGGCCCACACACATGGTCCCTCCTTCCCTTCCCTTCCCTTCTCCCCCATGCCCTCCCACACCCCTACAGCTCCATTGCCGTGATGGCTGGCGGCATAGCGGAGATGTTTGAGCAGGGGCTGGGCGGCGGCGTGTGTGAGAGGGTGAAGCTGCTGGGCCGCCGGGGCTTCGTGAGGTGCGGGAAAGAGAGGAGAGGCATACCGCGTGTGATGGAGGGGATGGAGGGGATGGTGTGGATGAGGTGTAGATGGGGGGGTGGCAGGGGGGGAGCTGTAAGTAGGGCTGCGAGGGGGCTGTGAAAGCTGTGTATGTGGCACACGGGTTTCATGCCGTCGTTCCCCCCCCACGGTGCCCCCACCTACCCCCAGCTGTACCGCGACTGCACCCAACCCTCACCCTGGCGCGTGTCCTCTCTTCTTCTCCACCCGCCCTGCCCTCCCCGCCCTTCCCCACCCCCCCAGACTAGCCCTGGAGATGGGCACTCCCATCGTGCCCGTGTACCACTTCGGGAACAGCCAGGTGGGGCTGCCTGGGGGCGGCGGGGTGGGTGGGGGGGGGACGGGGTGGGGTGGGGGGACGGCAGCTGCAGGCCCTGCAACACGTGTTGCTGTGTACCGGCAATCCTTCCCCGGTTCCCCTCCACCACGACTCAGTTTATCTAGTCGCCCTCCTCTCTCCCCTCCCTCCTCCCTCCTGCCTCTCGCCCCCCCCCCAGGTGATGTCATTCGGCCCCACGGCACTGCAGCCGCTGTCACGACGACTGAGGGTGGCGCTGGGTACCGTCATGGGTGGGTGGGGGGGTTGGGGGGGGTGGGGGGTATCATCCGTTTGGTGACAGTGACAGTGGGGGGACACCAGCAGCTGGGTTTGCAGCTTAACACGCATGTTCGTAGGTAGCTGAATTGTCACGGAACGGCTTACCTCCCAACCCTCGTCCCCGCCCTTCCCTGCCACCACCGCTCCGCTCCGTATCCCAAACACCCACACCCTCGCACCCCCCCCCCACTCGCCCCATGCAGGCGTGTGGGGTCTGCCCGTGCCCCACCCCCAGCCGCTCTTCATGTGCGTGGGTCGGCCCATACCCGTGCCGTACATCGACCCACGGGACGCTCGCTTCGACGCGCTAGTGGAGGAAACGCTGGATCGCGTCGTACAGTCGTACCGGGAGATGTACGAACGGTACGGCAAGGAGTACGGATGGGCGGATCGGCCGCTGGTGGTTTGCTGAGGGGAGGAGGGAAAGAGAAGGGAGGGGAGGGAGGGGGGTGGCAGGAGGGGAGGGAGGGGGTGGCAGGAGGAGGATGGCCGCTGTTTACGGAATGATGTCGATCGGATGAAAGGAGTATCCCCATGCCCCCGCAGAGTTGTGGGAGTGCAAGTTGTAGGAGCCATGATTTGAATCTCGGCTGGGGTTCCATCTAGCTGGCCTGACAGGCGAAGCTATGCACTGTTAACCTAGTTGAATAAGGAGAAACAGACTAGCCACTCTGAGCTTTACAGAGCTCTGGAGAAGCATAACAACAGTAGGTATGGGGGGAGTGGGGGTGACCAGGTTGCGTGAGCTGCTTCTGCGCTGCGTCCTTTCGTGCGGTGGGTTGTCCTTGCGTTGACTGGACTGGATTGCACGCAGGGATGTGAAGGAGGGCGGTTGGGGAGTGGCTGTGTTTAAACCCCAAGTCGTCTGTTGCTCTGTTCTTGGTTTCCGACGTGGTAAAGGAGTTGTCACGGACATAGGAAGCGAGTTGTGTCAAGAGGGAGCACCCAGAGTGGGCTCTAGCGCGCCTCAGTTGATACGCGCGCGCGCGAGAGAGGATGCAGTGTGGTTTTGCGGAACTCTGCAGCACAGGAGAGACTCTCCCTTTCTTTAGGACCTTCGTTACACGGTCCCTTGCCCACCAATGCCTGCAAACCATACCTCCCACACAAGCCGCGCCAGCATTCCAGCAGGCTCGCAGCAAGGGATGCGCTGAGGACCCTTTGGGGGGGCGGCAGCAGCGGCAGGGGAGGGGATGGGCACCACTGCAACATACATACCGGTAACCACCTCTCCCAAAGCAACATGCTAACAAGGAACATGAACACAAACTCTTTGGCTTAGGCAGCCTTTCATGTGCACAGACGTCAACGTGGACAGACGCGGGCAACCCTTCCTAGCTAGCTATCTGATAACGCCCCTGCTACCTCCACCTCCGCCGCCGCACGGCTACCCTACTACGGTACACCACCGCCATCGGCAGCAGCAGCAGCTGCAGCAGCAGCAGCAAAGCGAAGCGACGGTTCGGAAAAACGACAATGAAACAGAAACCTGCAAGAAGACGACGAGCAAGGAAGAACCCACCGAGACCAACAACAAACACATACTCCTCTTCCTCTTCTTCTTCCTACGAGAATAGCAAGGAACGCTTTCTAACTGCCCCCTGCCCTCACTTGTGTAATTTCCATGTAGTCCATTAGGTCAGGCTGGTTTCAGTTTCAGTTTGTCCCCCATAAAGCCTTCTCCATGCGATGGTACCGGCATCATGGTGATCCATGTAGCTGTCTCCGCTATCTCTCCACAACCCCAACCCCCATGTGACCCCCACGTCCTGCCCCATGCAGCTCCCCAACCCTTCCTCTACACCTCACCCCATCACCACCACCCCATCACATACCCTGGTGCTGCTTTCCCAACCCCTTCCCCACCCCCTCCTCCTCCCCCACCACCCCCGGCGGCGCCCTCCCCTCCACCACCCACTCCCGCAGCCCCTCCGGCAGCACCACCCCCGCCAGCCATCCCGCCAGCGCCGCCCCCTCCACCCGCTCCTCCCTCTCCAACTCCTCCGCCAACCCCGCATGCACCCCCCGGTTCGCCTCCAACACCCCCATCGCAACCCGTAACCCCGCCGCCACCATACCCCGCACCTCCCGCTCCACCAACCGCCCCATCTCCCCTCCGCCCCCTCCCGCCATCCACCCCTCCCAACCTCCTCCTCCCCCGCTCCCATCCCCCGACCCCCCGGCTGCCAGCACTCCCACATGCAACGGACCCACTGCGGCGTTCAGTCCGAATTCGGCGACGGCACGCGTGGCAAGGTCGGTGGCTCGGCGGATGTCGTCCGCTGCTCCGGTGGACAGGGCGGCGCAGGTGAGGTGCTCGGCTGCCCGGCCGCCCAGCAGTACGGCGAGCTGACCTCGGATCTCGCTGTCGAACAGCAGGGCACGGTCCTCGGACTTTGGAGGGAGAGGGAGGCGGGGAGAGGGGGAGAGGGGGAGGAGGGGAGTGAAGGGGGAGGAGGGGAGAACCAAGGGGGTACGTGCCAGGACGGGTACGGTAGCAGACAATTGGCCGCAAGTCTGACACTGACCTCGTTGAAGTTAGGGAGTCAAAGGGCATCCCCTCTCGCTTCGTGCCGTTACCATCCCTCCACACCTCGCCCCTCATCCCGCTCCCGCCCTACCTTGGGTGGTGTGTATGTGAAGCCCAGCGCTCCCCCCGTCCTCGGAATGATGCTCAGCCGCTCCGGCGCCCCCAGCCCCTCCAGCAGCCGGCTCACCGCCGCCCCCACCACCGCGTGGCCCGCCTCGTGACGCGCCACCACCGCCTTCTCGGTGCCCTGCAGGGGCGGGGGAGGGGGGAATGGAAGGGCCGACGCCTAGTAGGGATGCACTCATCCATCGTGCCTGCTGGATGCACACCAGTAGGGATGCACTCATCATTCATGCACTCCTCTTATTCTCCATCATGCCTGCTCACCCAGAGCCCCCAGCCCCTCCCTCCCACCCCCCACCCCCACGCGCCTGCAGTATGCTCCGCTTCTTCTCAATGCCCGCCACCGCCCGCAGCACCGCGGCATCGAACTCCTCCATGCCCACCTGCGGGAGGGGGGCAGCAGGGGGCGGGGGGGTGGGGGGCCACACAGCCATACACACACACGCGCACATGCCATGCATGATGCGTGCGCTACACTGCAACAGCGCCCGCCCGCTACCACGTCCCTGCCCCTCCTACTCTCCCTCTCACCACGTCCCTGCCCCCCCCCTCACCACGTCCCTGCCCCCCCTCTCACCACATCCCTGCCCCCCCTCTCACCACGTCCCTGCCCCCCCTCTCACCACATCCCTGCCCCCCCTCTCACCACGTCCCTGCCCCCCCTCTCACCACGTCCCTGCCCCGCCTGCCCCCCAGCAGCGCCGCCTCGTTCACCAGGTTAGCCAGGTCCGCCCCCGTGAAGCCGGTGGTGGTGGCAGCCAGCTCGCCCACCCGCACGTCGGGCGCCAGCGGCAGGCGGCGGCGGGAGAGGTGCACGCGCAGGATCTGCTCGCGACCGATCTGGGAGGAGGAAAGGGGAAGGTGGGGAGCGTGGTAAGACAGGAGTTGGTGCCTGTGTGTGATATACACAGGGTGGCATGAGAACAACCCTTTTCACTTCCTTTTCCCCCCTTTCCCACTCTCTCCAACTTCACCGTCTTCCCCCCCGCTCCCCTCCCTCCCCTCACCCTGTCCGGCCGCTCCACTGCCACCCGCCGGTCGAACCTGCCGGGTCGCAGCAGTGCCGGATCCAACACGTCGGGGCGGTTGGTGGCGGCCAGACAGATCACAACACCGCTGGCGGGCTGGGGCTGGTGCGGGTGCTGGTGCTGGGGGTGGGGGTGGGGAGTGCCATTGCTGGTAGGACTGCTAGTGCCGGGCTGCAAAGAGGCGGGAGGGGAGGAGGGTGAATCGCCGCCCCCTCCTCCCAGCAACGCGCCGAGGAAGGAGCCCCCATTGCTGCCGCCGGTAGCTTTGTTGCTGCTGCTGCTGCTGCCATTGCTGTCTTGCGGGGGCGGCGGGGGCGCTCCCTTGTCGGGTCCCCACTCGAAGCCGTCCAGCTCGGTGAGCAGCTGGTTGAGGGTCTGCTCGCGCTCGTCGTTGCCTGGAGTGGGGTGGGGTGGGGTGGGGTGGGGTGGGGCGGTTAGGTCAAACAAGACCAAACACAGCAACACCACGAATGTGGCGGGGAAGAGGTGGGGGAAGGAGGGTGGAGGAAGCTGGTATCGCCTCTTCTTAGCCGGCGATGTGAGCCTGGTGTCACATCCCCCTTCTGCCCCCACCCTCTTCCTCCATCCACCCACGAGCCGGCAAGTCTGCTCCCTACCCGCAGATCGCAGCCGGTTGTCACGTCCCTTGGCCACCGCGTCTATCTCGTCGATGAACACGATGGCGGGCGCCTCGCGACGAGCAGCTGGGGGGGGGCGCGGGAGGGAAAAAGGAGGAAAAAATTATATAAATGAAACAACGAGTCCCAATCCCATATCATAAGGGAGGAGGGGGAGAGGGGTATTAAAGAAGACACCAGCCAACCGTGTGACATGTAGGCTCCACCAGGAAAAGGGGAGAGGGGGTTGGAAGCGGGAGGAGGGCGAGGAGTGGTCAGTGTCATAAGCGGTGGGGAAGAAGAAGGCGGGCGGATCGGCTTCCGGCCCCGCATCGCAACGGGGCCCTCTCCTCCCCCGACCGGTCACCTCAACCCCCCCCCCCACCCCCCGCTCCCCCCCCACCTGCAAACAGCTCCCGCACCCGAGCTGCGCCCATGCCCACATACAGCTCCACGAACTCGGACGCGGAGATGGAGAAGAAGGGCACCCCCGCCTCGCCCGCCACAGCCTTGGCCAGCAGCGTCTTGCCGGTGCCGGGGGGCCCCACCAGCAGCACCCCCGCCGGCGGTCTGGCCCCCAGTCGGGAGAAGCGCTCGGGGGCGCGGAGGTACTCCACAATTTCCTGGGACCCGGGGGAGGGGAGGGGGCATGAAGGGGGAAAGCTGGGTTACGGCGGCAGACCTAATCTGCGGGTACCGACACCTGAGGTTGCAATGTAGTTACGATGGCGGTCCCCTTCTCCCGCAGGGAAGCCTTCGTACACATGGGGACACAACCCCACCCCCCTCCTCCCTCTCCCCGCACCTGCAGCTCCTCCTTCGCCTCATCCACCCCCGCCACGTCAGCAAACGTGGTGCTCACAGGCGCCCCCTCCTCCCGGCTCCCCGTACCACCGCCACCCCCAAAATTAAACCCAAACCCGCCGCCTCCGCCTCCGCCGCCTCCAAACGCCGACCCAAATGGAAACGACGGCGACCCAGATGGCCGGTGCCGCCTGCCTGGCCCCCGGGTGTCCGGCCGACCTAGCAGGCGGCTCAGGGTGGACAGTACGAGGAATGCGACCACCACATAGCTCAAAACGGTTAGAATACCGTTGCCGCTGCTGTCTCGGCGTTCGTACGCGGTTATGGGTACGGCATTGGATTCTAGGACGTCGTACGGCATGGGATAGTCGTCGGGGCGTATGGAGTAAAAGATAAGCGAGGAGGAAGCGGAGGAAGAGGAGGAGGGTGCACTGGTGCTAGCTGCGGCGTTAGTGGCTCGTCGCTCCTGATCCGCCCCTGTCGTACTCGCTGCTACAGCTGCTGCTGGTGATGCTGCCCCTGCTGCTACAGCCTCTTGTTGCTGCAAGGCAGGAGCCGCCGCAGTAGCCGCACCACCACCACCACCAGCAGCAGAGGGAGCAGCAGCAGCTGTTGGGATGGGGGTGGATGTGGCTGCGTGCTCCCCGTGGCCCCCTCTGCCCCTCCCGCGCTGCAGCGGCAGCCAACCGCGCCAGGAGCCCCCACCACCGCTTCTGCTAACAGCCTGCTGCTGCTGCTGGTCGGGCGCCGACCCATGGGACGGCAAGGAGGAGGCGGAAGAAGCGGAGGGCAATGAGGGTGCAACGACCGCACTGCTCCCAGGCTGCTGAGGTGTCACCTTCACCAGCACTGGGGCACCTGGGGCCGCACTGGCGGCTGCAGCGGCAGCAGCAGCTGCCTGCTCCTGTTGCTGCTGCTGTTGCTGCTGCAGCTGTCCCTGTGCCTGCTTCTGACCCTGCTGCTGCTGTTGCTGCTGCTTGTTCCTGCGGAGCTGCAGGATGGGGCTGTCTGGTCGCAGCGTGAAGTAGACCTTGGGGCCGTCCAGGATGACCACATCCACCTGGTTGGTCTTGGAGGAGCTGGGGAGAAGAGGGGGGGGGGGGAAGGAGAATACCCAAGGGGCCGGTGAGGGGGGGAGGGCAGGAGGAAAGGGAGGCGGGAAAAGGAGAAGGCTTAGGGTAAGATGGGGTACCAAGATGGGGTAGAGAGACACCCAACCCAGATGGGGTGAGAGGGGCGGTGTGAGTTGGGGACAGATGGGAAGGGAGTGGGGGCCGTTGCCATCGTAATGCATCATTAGTTGCAGCATGAGTTTACTGCAACTAATGTGCACTAACCCCTGTCCTCAGACTTTCCCTTGTCCTAAGGAAGCAATGTTGGGGTGGAAGCTTGCTTCGCGCAGGTTGCATCCTTGGTATGACACAGGGATACGGCAGGACGCTTACCGCACGAATTCCGAGTACGGCAACTTAATGGGCGATTCATCGGAGCCATCGCCCATAAGGCCCCGGCCGCCCGGCCACAGCCGCATCAGCACCAGCAGCATCGATACGTTGAAGGCGATGCGGAGCGGCAATTGCGCTTGCGGGTGCGCGAGGACGCGAGCGAGCCAGGCAAGCAGGCTGCTGCGGCTGCCGAACCGCTGCTGTTGGCGCCGCTGGCTGGGCGGCTGCGGCCTGGAGTAGTCGCTGTTATCGGCCGCAGAGGATGGTGGGGATGATTGTGCTGGTGAGGCGGGAGGTGTTTCTGCGTTAGGTGGATCTTGGGGCTCCGTTTGCTGTTGTGCGTGGTTGCTGGGGGCTGCAGACGGCTGGGAGTCCGTGGCATCTTCTCGAGAAGGCGACGATGACCCGCTTTGCCCACGAGATGCCGAGCGCAGATGTGAAAAGGTAGCCACGCGCCGGCCTGAACAAGGCCATCGCTGTGGAGCTGTAAGAAGGCTGGGCCAAGAGCATGTGGGTGGCGAGCAAGACTGCGCGCAAGATATAGGAGAGCTCAGACGGATTCCAACTACTACCCTACCGAAGCCAGATGCGCACAAAGGCCTATAGCCGTTAACGTTATCTATGCAACAGCGCGCCATGCCCACTTAAGGGGCCGGCTATGTAAAAAAATACAAGCAAAGGTTGTCTGCTTCGTTAGGATGATGACACACGGCCGCGACGAGGTAGAGGGGCCCTACTTCCTGCACTATCGTGAGCGTTTCCTGTTAATATGATAATTCGCATGGCGACTTGGGGCCTAAAAACGCAATTAATGGTTTCGGAGACGGAGTGCGATCCCATGAAGGTGTCCTTCTTGAAGCGGCTACACGAACCGAAGTTATGTCGGAAATGATCACTTACCACCCGGCAAAAACACCAGTTGAAGACATAGAACTCTGCAGAAACGTTTGCACCAACCGAACCCTAACGTTGCTCACGTTATCTCTTGACCGCAGGGCCAGCGCACCAATTGCACCAACCCTTCACGTTCACCTGTAAAAATTGAAGTCAATAAGCGTCAGTATGTCCGACAGAAGTTGCAACATGGGGGCAGCACTTGACAAGCTGCAACCAATGTATGGAACCGTCATATACTATGGCTGACGCTAGCTCATGACTACTGCTATGCCGTAAGCCTGGTTTAGTCGCCAAAAGGGAAATTGTGCACTCGAATTGCCGACTGATGCGGCATACATTTCCTCCAAAGGATCTACCGTACCGGCAGCAGCAGTTGATACTCGACGACATTATGCGATCGCTTATCATAAACGCCGCCGTGGAAAGACGCAACCATTTCATATGCGACGTGCATCTTGGTTTGGTCGCTTCGCTTTCGGATTTCCGGCTTTACCTTGGTTGCTTGGAACTTAACGCCGTTAGTTGTTAATAGTGCAAAAGCGTACCGGTTGAATGAACGCCAGAACTAAAGGTTCTAAACATACCTAGTTAGGTCTGTAGGGCGCTGCAAGTGACGAAGCAAGCAGAAATGAATCCGGCGGGCAGCGTTCCCGAGCACTTGCCTCCAGCCAAGGACGTGACGACCGGCCCTTACGAGGTCAAAGAGCTGCAAGCTCCCGTCCTCAGGGGCTTGGCGCTTGGCATCGCGGTTCGCGTGTTCGAGTCATGGTTGGGCCAGTTCCTGTACCCCGTGCTGGCGCACCAGAGTGGAATTACACAGGTTTGCCTTAATGGTGGGAAACTGTAAGTAGCGGAACGTGTCAGGGTACAAGCTTGCGTTAACCGTCGAACACCTATGCATGCAAGCTACGTGAGACTTAGCACATTGGCACGCTGCTCATTTAAATACCGGTAATTTTTCTCGGTTATAATTCTTGCGTCCCTTGCAGGTGCTCCAGGGCCCGCGACTTCCCGAGGCGCCCCTGTTCACTCCCGTTGTGTCGCTAATCACGACCGAACCTGAGGAGCACGCCGAAGCTCTGGATGTTAACTTCCCTGAGGACTCCACAGATCCAGCATCAGATGCCGAGGATAGCGAGGGCCATGTTGACGACGAACACGCCATGGCATGCCGCGCCATCCGCCGAGCTCTGCGTCGCGGCCTGCTGCCTCACCTCCAGCAGTTAGAACACACACAACCATCGACTACTGCTTCGGTAAACAACAACGCCGATTTAAAGGCAGCAAGTGCTGAGACCGCACAGGATGTTACCGTTGGATACCCTGCGGAGATGCCCAGCCGCGACCACGACCAAATTCCCCTGGAGCCGCGTCCCTTCACCGGCGGCGCCACCATCCTGGACTACGCCAGGGCGTACCGCTCAGGTGCGTGTGCTTATGTACGACAATTGCAATCGCCGCAATTAGAGCATGGTATTCTTTAGTTCCTTCCCACCCTCCTGCCGCCCCCCACTAGGCTCCGTCACCCCCAGCCAAGTGGCTGAGCGCATCATCGCCTTCGTGGAGGCCGGCAGGACGGGGGGAGCTAGTGGGGCAGGAGGAGGAGGGGTCGGAGGAGGAGGGGCAGCCGCCTTGCCGCCCCAGGGTGTGGGTTGGTTCGCCGACTGGCGTCCCGAGGTGGTGCGGCTGGAGGCGGAGGAGAGCAGCCGCCGACTGCGCTGTGGTCGCCCCCGCTCGCTGCTGGAGGGGGTTCCCTTCGCCGTGAAGGACCTGGTGGATGCGGCGCCGTACGACACGGCGGCGGGAACCTGCTTCCTGGGGGCGGAGTGAGTGTGTGTTGAGAAAACTGGCAGCGAGGAGTGTGTGTGCAAAGGGGGGATTAGGTGGCGAGGGCGTGTACGGCAGGTGTGTACGATGGCGGTGTACAGCACGTCACACCCTCCTCCCCCTGCGGGTCAACGGGTCGAAAGGCAGCATCCCACAGCAGCTACAACGTACACGTTAACCCCGCACACCCACAACACCCGAACCCCCCACCCCACCCCCCTCCCACCCCCCTGCACAGGCGCCCGGTGGTCTCCGACGCGCCCTTCATCTCGCTGCTGCGCCGGCTGGGTGCCGTACTGCTGGGCAAGACCAGCATGCACGAGATCGGGCTGGGCATCACGGGTCTCAACATCCGCGGAGGAGGTGGGGGAACGGGAGGAGGAGGAGGGGGCGCTACGGCCCTGAACCCCTATGCGCTGGGCTGCCGTGAAGGCTCCGGCCCCCAGCTGCACTACTGCGGGGGCTCCTCCAGCGGCAGTGCGGCGGTGGTGGCGGCGGGGCTGTGTCCCTTCGCATTAGGTGAGTGGGGGCGCTTCGTGGGGAGACACGCTACTTTTAGGACCCACCATCGCCGCTATGAACATGGCCCCAATGGGAGCACTGAAGGTAGTCCCGGTCGCGATCAGTTTCAATCATACTTACCTGGCCCGTTTCTCGAGGTGGTCCAGTTGGCCTCGGTTACACGGTTGGACTTCGCCTTGCACTGCGCGAGGGCCTTCCGTGGTCGGCCCTTCGGGTGTCCGGCAGGGCTTAATTTTTGCAAGGCTGAGGATCTGCGCACTGCGCGACCTCGGCACCCAACATTAATGCAAAACAATTTCAATTATTGATTATTGCATTGATTATTTTTTGACGGCGCTGACGAGATTGATATTTCTCGGGGTTGTTATGGGCGGAAAGAAGAAGAGGACCCATTGTGATGAATGGGAATGGCAAAAACATGAAGACAAGCTCCTGGTGTGAATGGTGGGGAGGAGGGGTACGTAGCTAGGTGGCCACAGGGTTCAGTCGCTTCATCCGCTTCATGGCTCCTCCGCACGCCCCCTCTCCCGCCGCCTCCCGCCTCTCAGGCAGCGACGGCGGCGGTTCCATCCGCATCCCCTCCTCCCACTGCGGCCTGGTGGGGTTAAAGCCGGGCTGGGGGCGGGTGGGAGCGGCGGTGGGGGCGGTGGATCTGGACTGCAGTGTGGCGTCGCTGGGGCCGCTGGCGGGCTGCGTTCAGGTGAGGAGTACGCGAGTGAGAAGTGGGCAATGAGAACTGAATGAAGTGATGGTGGGCGATCTGGTCGGGAGCCGCCGAGCTACCCCAGCAGTGCTTCACAAGGATCCGCAAGCCTACTTTCCCCCTCCACCGCCTTTCGCCTCCCTGCACTCCCATCCCTGTTTTGGCCTGTCTCCTATACCCTCCTGCCCACACGTCTCCCCCCCCCCTCCTTCAGGACGCCGCCTTGCTCTACGCCATCATGAGCCTGCCTGCCCTCACCACCACCCGGCAGCCGACAACAGCAGCAGCAGTAGCAGGTGAAGCAACAGCAGCAACAACCGCGACTGCTGCTGCTGCAGCCCCTGCTGCTGCCGCTACTCCCGAAAGTGCTGCTGCTGCTGCCGCTGAGGCCCCCCCCGCACCGAAGCATCCACAGCCGGCCCACACCACCCCTGCTCCGCATTCAGCAGCCCCAACCTCCCTGCCGCCTCTGCTGCTGCCCAGTCAATGGCCCATGGGTCACCCCGCCCCCGCCCCCTCCCTGGAGTCCTGGCAGCCCCTCAGGGGGCTCCGCATTGGGGTGTACGAGGAGGTGGGTGTAGGTCCCTTGACGCTAGCTGGGAGGAAGGGCAAATGCGGCGCATTTACGGTACAATGCCCGCTTCCCACTCCCCATTTTCCACACCTTCCCTCCGTCCTCCCCTCCCCTGCCCTCGCCTCCCCCCCAGTGGTTCTCCCACGCCTCCCCCCGAGTGGTGGACTGCTGCCGGGCTGCCCTAGCGGCGCTGCAGGTGAGCAGCGACACACGTGTGTTAAAATAACTGGCCGCGAGGCGAAACGTACTTTGATTGCCGAAAGATGAAGTCCTCCCACCGAAAACGCCACAGGTGTGTGTTAAGAAAACTGGCCGCGAGTAGGAACGTACTGCACAGGTGTGTTAAAATAACTGGCCGCGAGTAGGAACATACTGGGATGTCGGAAGATGAAGTCCCCACAGAACCGCCGCAGGAGCCGAGGAATAGGGTAGCGTATGTACATATAGAAGTCCAATACTGGTGCGGAGAGTAACAGGTGTGTGTGTGTGTGTGAAATGCATGTGCATGTGGACCTGCTTGTGCACGAATACGCATCTGCATGCATTGATACGCCTCTGCATGCACCTGCATGCGACCTGTTTCCACGCTATGCCCCCCCTCACCTGCCCCCCCCCCCACCTGCCGTACACACACAGTCCCTGGGTGCGGCGCTGCTCCCGGTGGTGGTTCCGGAGCTGGAGCCGCTGCGGGTGGCGCACTCGGTCACCATCGTCAGCGAGATGAGGCACAACTTCAGGGTGGGGCGGGGCGGAGGGGGGGGGGGTCAAAGGCCATACCTAATTGTTGGGGCGGGGGTCAAAGACCACACCCAACCGTGGTTGGTGGAGAGGGGAGTTGGAGGATGACCTATGTGGAATGAGGGGAGGAGGGGGGGGGATACACAGAAAGGAAATAACCGCGGCGGAGAGTCGGGGAAAGAGGAGAGGTGTGGATGGCAGGAATGGGGCTGAAGGGGCGGGTCTTGTGACGCTACTGCCCTCCGGTCTCTACACGTGCACGCACAACCAACACACCCGCTCTCCCCACCACCACCAGGACCGCTGCGCCTCCCCCCGCCTGCGAGCCGCATTCAACCCCGATGTACGACTGGCGCTGGCCAATGCGCGGTTCTGGAGCCCGGGGGACTACCTCACGGTGCGAGGTGTGTGTGTGTGTGTGTGTGTGTTTGTACGGCACATGCATGTGTGCGTGGAGGTTTGGTGTTTCCTCCCTTTGCCGTAACCTATCTTTCCTACGGTTTGGTACCAGTATGGTCTTTCCCCCCCCGCCCCGCCCAGGCTCAGCGCATCCGGGCTCGAGCCAACGTGCACTTCCGGCGGGTGCTGAGCCAGGTGGGGGAGGGTGTGCTATCCCGTCAGTACTGTGGGGGCGGTTGATGGGTTACTCGAAACCTGCTCGAGTTTCCCAGGTGGTGGGAGAGGGAAAGTAGACATTTAGTCAGGGGAGAGGGGAGGGGTACCACAGCGCCCGTGACTCCCGGGCTCGGGATCGCGGGGAGATACACCTTACCAGCTGTTTAGGTGCGGCCTCGTGGGCTCACCCCGCTTCTCACCCCACCTCACCTCCTCCCCCCATCACCACCCCCCCCTACCCCAGGTGCATGTCATCGCCACTCCCACCACCCCCTCTCCCGCGCCCAGCATCCACCCAGAGGCTCTCCGCGGAGGTGGGGTGACGGACCGGGGGGGGGGACATGTGTCCCTGTCGTCGTCTTGGGCCTTCCCACTGCCCCGGTTGCCGTACTTTTGCCTGTCATGTTCTTATCTTCTATATTCTGTTCTCGACCAAGCCGCCCTGCTTCTTCCCTTCTTCCCCCGCCCTGCATGCGGCTACTGTCGCGCTGCCCTGTGCCATGGTGTGCGCCTCGCAACCGTCCCTGCATCTTCTCAGGAGAGAGCAACCTGCGACAGGTGGGGCGGGTGGGGTGAGGCGAGGGGCTGGGCGGGCGGGCGCCTTTCATTTGGGTCTGTACCCATCTCCCTTCTCCTCCTTCAATCCCCTCCCCCGCATCCCTCTCCAGGTGAGCCGCATGATGCGGTTCGTGCTGGCCGCCAACATGCTGGGGCTGCCCGCGGTGTCGCTGCCGGTGGGGCGGGTGGCGGCGCGGGGGAGGGGTGCGGGAGGGGCGGGAGCAGGAGGGGAGGCAGAGGCGGGAGGAGGAGGGGGGGCGGGGGGCAAGGAGATAGGGAAGCAGGAAGAAAGGGTGGAGAAGGAGGAGGGCGAGGGCAAGGAGGAGGAGGCGAAGGAGGAGACGGAGGAGAAAGGTGGGCGAGGAGGTGGAGTCGAGGGAGAGGCTGGCGGCGGCGGGGGCGGCAGCAGCGCACGAGGAGACGGAGGAGTCGAAGGTGGTGGTGGAGGTGGTGGTCTGCTGCTGCCGGTGGGGCTTCAACTGATCGGTCGGCCGCAGGGGGAGGCGACACTGCTGCGGGTGGGGGCAGTGCTGGAGGTGAGTTGGGGTGGGTGGGGGGAGGGGTGGTGACATGTTTGTTGGGGGTGTGTCCGTTGCTCATGACACACGAGCAACATGTGTCCATTGCTCATGTGTGCTGGGTAATACGGTATGTAGCGCCCGGCTGCTGCAGTGCTGTAGTGCCCCAGCCCTGCTGCCGTACCGGTACTCATCCCGTGTTAGCCTTCCTGACAGCAGAAGTAGCTACTACTTCTGCCTGCCGCTGCTGCTGCTGCTGCTGCTGCTGCTGTTGTCGATGGCGACTATGACACTACATCTGCTGCTGCTGCTGCGGCTCCCCCCTCCGCACAGGCGGTGCTAGCCAGGCAGCGAGCAGCCGCGGAGGGCAGTGGCGGCGAGGGCAGCGGGCAGGGCGGCGGCTGCTGCCGGCCTGCACTGCACCTCAACCCGCTTACCGGGGAGCGATGGGGGCTGTAGCAGCAGCAACAATGGCAGCAGTAAGAAATAGCAGCGGCGGCAACGTGAAGGGAAGGATACGGATCGGTTCGGGAAGCGGCTAAGTGGAGTTGTGTACGAAGGAATGTATGGCACATATCCCCGTAGCTCGATTCCGAGGAAACGTATACGTAGTATACGGTTCCGGAGGAGCGAAGCGAAGGGATGCATACCCCGTTCCCGTCACGCTCAACGGGATCCTTTCAGCGCTCTTGTTCACGGCTCGGCCTTCACTTTGAACCGTCCAGCGTGGCGCGCTTTTGCTGTCACGCTCTTTGATACGGAATCTTACCAGATTTTCAACGGCCGGCCAACTCTTCGTGCGTCGCTCGTGTCGTTGCTTGTGAAGTTTGTTCGAGTTTGTGAAGTCTATTGTGAAGTTTGTTCGAGTTTGTGAAGTCTACTACGGCTATATTGCGTAGCCAGCGTGGCTTCACCGCGCTTCGATTTCGCGAGGAAAACCACGCCGCTTCACAACCCACCTACGAAGATGTTTTAGATAGACGTCTAAATAAGCGTATAAGAAAGCGCGTAAAACCAATTTATAACGGTGCACAAGCCACGCCACGTGCGGCGAGGCTAACGAAAGTACTTCCTTGCCTGGAAAGTAGTCCTAGCAGAGCCTTTGGCTTGCTGCTGCTGTTTTTTGTTTCGTTGTTTGGTATAGAGCAACCGCTTTCCGAGCTGGGCACCATGGGAAAGGATGATCAAGGTGTGTGTGGCGAGCGCATGACGTTCGGTTATATTCTGGCGCTGTACCAGCCTTTCCCTTGGGCGTGTCGCAGGCGCGGGTGACCCGCTCGACAACGTGCTCTACTGCAGCGGCTTACGTCGGCTCAGCGTGTGGCCGTGGTTCAAAGCAGTTGCCAGCTTGTTGCTGACCGAGCGTCAAGGTTTGCCTCCTGGCGCACCTGTAAAGGAACACAGGAACGCTAGGCTAGGGATTAGATACTCAACAACAGCTGCTCCCTTTCACCCGTCTTTGCTGGGTACGACGACAGCTGGTCGCTTTTGCCCGTCAAACCCTCTGCATGATTACAGCTGCTCGCTTAATCCGTATGTTGCTCTGCATGCTTGCTGACTTCCGGTGTTTCTGTATATGATAACCACACTGCTTTCCATTCCCTTGTTCCGTGCAGCTGGCCCAGCGGGGCGACGACCCGGATGTGGAAGGCCCGCCGGACGAGCACGATGGTTCAGAGCTGCTCCCCATCGGTTTGAACACGGTGCCCGAGGACGGTATGGACGCCGTTGCAGCTGCAGCTGCGCAAGCGGCAGATGCACTCCCGGACGTGGACGCTATGGCTGGTTTCGACATGACTAAACCGGAGGGCAGGTACGCGTACGACGCTGTAACCCGCTGTAGTGACGTGCACCTTCCAAATGGCCATGGTGCGGACGCGGTGTCCTTTGTTCGGCGAGCCACCCCAGAAGACGGCCCCATGCTGCGCGCCGCCGAACAGCGCCTCAAACAGTTTGTGCTGAGCGATGCTGAAGTAGCTCCTGCAGCAAACAGCGACAGCCACCAACGGCTGCACGTTGCCGGCGGCCATCATGGCGACCCCGTCCGTGCGTGGGTCACCACAATCGATTCCATCACCGGAGCCAGCACGGACATTCACCTGCGCCCTGGAACCGCGCCGCCGTACGTACACATGGCGACGCCGCCTACACCCGAGCAGACGATCCAGCTCTTCACGCTGTCAGCAGAACAGGGCGTAGCGTTCTTGCTTATCCACCGCGCATTCATGGCTGACATCCAGCACCAACCGCAGCCGCCGCTGCACCTCATGGTGGTGGGCGGTCCGGGTACTGGCAAGAGCCAGACCATTAAGGCCGCTCTGTGGCACACCTTCCAGCACGGGCACCGCGATTGGCTAGCCACAACCGCTTACACCTGGTGCGCGGTGATCACGGTCAACACTCCCTACCACCGGGGGCTGTCGACCAGCACCATGTTCCAATTGGGATGGGGCCGAGGTCGTCAGCAACAATCCTCACGCGCTGGCGAACAGGTGCGCACACCGTGCTGACTAGAGGTAGTGTACTCCGACCGCATGCCCTCCGCTTTAAACCCAGCTTTGCGTGCCCTCGTTTCCCTTTGCCCCTCCCTCCTTTTCGCACCTCCTCGTGTTTCCAATTCCCTCTCACGCTCATCTTCTCCCTCTTGTCCGCTCTGTCCCTCCTGTCCTGCTATTTCCCCCCTCCCTGATTCTACGGCCCTCCCTCCTGATCCCTTCCAATGATTAGGTACGAAAGAATGTTCCCGGAGGTGCCGTATCCTTCGATGAGCTTAGCTTCCTAAGCCTGCAGCACCTAGGGCAGATCAACGCATCGGCCAGCAGGTGAGCGCTAATCTGGCTGATTACTCCTATCTGGCGCTATACCCTCCCTCTCCCTACTTATCTTCCTGCCTATCAATACGTCTCCAATCCGTAGTTACACCTTTAAATCTAGTCTTGGTGCTTGACCGCCCGCTAAACGTGCTTTCGCAGGCACCTCCAGCGACCTCCCCACCTGTCCCGGAGTGGTGCCGGCTACAGCATGCTTGCTGGTCGGCACGTCATCATGTCCGGCGACATCCTTCAGCACAGGCCGCCCAACGGCAGGCCACTTTACACGTTTGCAGAGGGCCTGGAGAAGGACCGCAACTACCTCGCTCGGCTTCGAAGCGGCGACACCACAGCCCCACGCGGAATCCCGCCGCTGCCAAAACAGAAGAAGCCCAGGCCGCCCACCCGTGAAGAAGAGGCTGGCCTGGACTTCTACCGCGCCATCGCTTTCATTATACTGCTCTCCAAGCAGCAACGCCAGGACGACACGCCAAGCGGCCGCCTGCTAACACGGCTAGCAAGTGTATTCAGCGGCGGCCAGGATGTCAACCGGAGAACGATCGAAGAGCTCGTCCGCCAGTTGAATAGCCGCGTCGTACCCGACCTGGCTGCTCTCGGTTCCAGCGACCCACGGGTCGTCCTGCAGCGAAACCAACCCCGGCACGGCCTCAACATCCGTCTCATCAAGCTGCAAGCAGCACACCAGGGGAGGCGGCTGGTCGTGTGGAAGGCGCGTCACGCTCGTACGGGGCACAACGCACTCCCGCTCAATGAAGCAGGCCAGCGTGCCGCTTCTATGGCGCCTGACGAGGGCTATGAACAGTTCACGCCTGACACCTGGTACTTCGAGGGCGCCAAATTCCTCGTCCTGGACAATAATGGCCCTGATGCCGGCAGTTGCCACAACAACACTGTGGTGACGTGCGGCCTGTTGACGGACAAGGAGGAGCCAGATGACACGGGAGAGGGACCTTACAGGCGCCTGCAGTTCGTCCCCCGTGCGGTATTCGTACGGCCCGCTGCCGGGAACACCGACCTCTCCGTCCTTCGCGGCCTGCTTGACTACGACGAGACTCGTGCCGCCTTTGTGGTTACCCCACGGTGGAGCGGCGCCCAAAAGGTGGTATTCCCTGACCGTACGGTTGTCAGCGATGGTGAGCCCGCTGTCAACTCGGCCAGCCTCAAGCGCTTTAACATACCCCTAGGCGACGCGTACGCAGTGGAGGAGTTTGGGGGTGGGGAGGCTAGGGGGTGGGAGGGTGAATAGGGCTGCGTCATTCGGCGCTGTGGGGCTGGGCTGGGCGCATGCAAGCCCTGCAGCTGTTGCGGCGGCTACTGAAGATTGCTAGGTACTGGATGGCGGTCAATGATGCCTGGCGGCTCGCAAAACACCGCATGCATCTTGCATGCCTCACTTGCTAGGGCTTGCTGTAAATCTCCCTCGGTCGGGCTTGCGCGTGCTGCAGCTCTTGCGATGACTACTGAAGGTTGCTAGGAACTGGATGGTGCTCAATGATGCCTAGCGGGTCGTAAAACACCGCATGCATCTCGCATGCCTCGCGTGCTAGGGCTTGCTATAAGTCTCCCTCGGTCGGGCTTGCGCGTACTGCAACTGTTACGGTGACTACTGAAAGTTGCTAGGTGCTGGATGCTGGTCAATGACGCCTGGCGGCTCGTAAAACACCGCATGCATCTTATCGGTGTGGGTTGTCCGTGCCTCTCTTGCTAGAGCTTGCTATAAGTCCCCCTTAGACTTGCGGGTACTAGCCGCACTGACGGTGCTTATTACTGACGCCACTGACTGCAAACCTACACGCTTTAAGTACGCCTCGTAATCTATTTAGCGTCTACTTTCCGATGCATGCCAAACAACCAATATGAACACGACATCCGACATAACCGTTTCTTACAACAAATCCTCCTCTGTTAACGCTCTGCTGACTGCAACACATACAAGCAACCGCGGGCTAGGCAGTAGGTACTACCCCCTTCTCAATCAGCGCCGTACGTATCCGTCGGCGCGCCCACTACAACCCCCGCACCAGTTCGCTAATAGCTACAAGGCGACCGGGTGCCCCGTGACTTCTTGCAGCAGTACGGTAACGGTAACGTCCACTAGATAACGACCTGCTGTACTTTTAGAATGCGAAAGTTACAAGGGGGACCGGAGTTCCTGAAAGCCTGAGAGCCGTACAAGAGACCCAATCGCTAGCGGTACACGCTAGGCAGCCGCAACAAAGCAACCTACCCCAGGGACATGCCTTGCAAAAAACAAGGAGCCATGCCAGGCACAGAACCACCTGAAACCAAGCCCGCAAGGCCACCGCTCCACAAACACCAAGCCCACGAGGGGGAAACAGCACTCAGGCGAAGCCCGCGACAGAAGCAACAAATTATTGTACAGAGCAACTGCCAAGCTGCTGCTTTGTGACACAGCAGTGCCCAACTGTCACCAAGTCTGACGACAACGGCGTGAGCCTAAGGTAAGAGCACCCATAGGGGTTGTCAATGGCAAAACAATCCAGGGTCAGGGGGAGGCCGGCGGGGACGCAGTATCAGGCGGGCCAACAAACCGTACACGGCCAGCCGCATTCGGATCTATCTGTACTTTTAGCATGATAGATCCGACGGCTGGTTGCACGGCACTGGGTTTGGTTGGTGTCCGTTTTGCTAGGGGATACACTGCTGGTCACATGCCACTAACTAGACTGTTTGGCACCATACCAAGCTGTTCAGTTGTTGTTGACTTGTTGCCAGTTGCCAAAAGACTAGCGACAATTGAACCAGGTTGTACGCTTGGCAGAGAATACCTGCCGGCCGATTGTACGGAGATTGACTCCTTGTAGCAGCAACATACCGCCCATACATTTGTCGCCTCCTCCCGTTCCACACCACATACCCAACCTAACTTTCAGCTTACATAACTCGCTTCCCTTGCCGAGCTACGGGTCGCTCCCGCCGAAGGCGGGCCTTACTTGTGAGAATGATAAGACTGGGGATACCACCGTTGCGGCCGTTGTATTAGTTGTTAGTTGTTAGTCATGCGGCGGGGTTGTTGTTATTGTCGGTTCCCGTACGTCTATCACTCCTGTGCGCTTTGCTGTGTCAGTTTGCTGCTCTCTGTTCGCGGCGCATGGCATCAAGCGTTGTCACTTCCTCGCATGATAGCTTTATGGCTGTTGTAGGATTGTTCGGGCTGTCAGATGTACCAAGCAAGGCAGGGCACATAAGTTGATGATCAGCAGTAGGTGCAGGCGCGTGTTGTGTCCGCCACAAGACGCACCATGGATGTTGGTGTTTCCACTCTTTTGCCGTATTGGGCTTCCTCTCATGTTCTATCTATCTCTTGTACCGGTAGCCATCATGTCCAGACCCTTGGGCCAACCGTAGTCGCGAAGGCGCCCAGCTGGGCAAATTACGATGAACACCTATCGAGTGTAAAAATATACCTGCTGGGATAATTTCAACATCTGTCGACAGAATCCTGTTTGCATTTCGAGTGAAAGCCGATCCACCAATCCTCGCTGTATACCATGAAAGGATATACATTAGCATGTAATTGTAGTTCTATAGCAAGTTTATCAACGAGCGCTATCCGAAAATACAGCAGCAAGGAAACAAACTGCAAGCAAGCAAGCGCCTGCAAGCATCATACTAGCATAGTAGTGTTTTTGTCGACTAGATCTACTCCATTGCTGATATGAACGCTTTGCCTCTTGAGCGCGACCAACCTAGTTAAGATTAGCCGTTTGCGAGCCTCCCAAGGCCCGAGTCAGCAAGCATGCTGGGCTAGCGCACCAGCCCTGAACGCACCAACATACCGCTGGATGCAAAGCCCAAATGCACAAGTTAACAAAAAGAAGAGACACCTATACGTCGACGAATCGCGGCGCCATATGCGACACAGCCCATGTCCCCGGATGTTGCAATGCCACTTCGATGGCCAGCACCTATATGGCGCCCGCTCGCCCAGCCGCCACTAGCCGATCATTCACCCCCTGCCGCGCATCCTCCTTCTCATCAACCTTCCACTCCTCTTCTCGCCCAACAGCTCTCTCAGCCCTTCCCCACTCTCGCACCCCCAGCCTCAGCCCTTCCGCCCGCACGCCGTCTCTGCTCGCACCGGCCCCTCCCTGCCTCCCTCATCCTCCCCACCTGCTCCCCCTCCCCCACCGCCGCCGCTGCCCTCCCCCCTGCCGCGCCGCGGGTGTGCTGGAGGGTTTCAGCGGCGTGTCAAACCTCATGTCGCCGGAAGCCGCCACCATCTTCTCCGCCATCATCGCCATCAGCTCGGTGGCGCTCAACCTGTACGGCGGCCTCATCACGGAGAAGCGGCGCGCGGAGCTAGCACGGGAGGTGCGGGAGGGCTGGGGACAGGGGGCACGGGAGGTGAGGGCAGGGAGGGGGAGCTGGCACGGAGGGTGAGGACAGGGAGGGGACAGGGGCAGGTAGTGGCGGTAGAAGGGGGCGGGCGGGCAGGGAACATCGTAGGAGAGAGGTCACGCCAACCCCCTTCCACCCACCCTCTCCTCCCTCCCTCCTCCCTCCCCTGCCTCATCCCACGCAGGTGGAGCGCGAGCGCCAGGCCGCCGCCGCCGCCGCGGAGGAGCGCGGCGTGGTGGCTCGCTACCGCGGCCCCCTGCTGGAGGCCAGCGTGGACCTGGAGGGGCGGCTGGTGCACATCGCCACACTGACGGGCGAGTGGCGCAGCGGGGAGGAGGGCGGCGCGGAGGAGGAGGTGGTGTACACGCTGTTCACGCTGGCGCAGTGGCTGGGATTCCTGGAGGTCATCCGGAGGGAGGGGCCGAGGGAGCGGTCCTTCCTGCAGAGGATGGGCAGGCGGGCGGTGGGGACGGGGGTGGGGGGGATGGGGATAGGGATGGGGGTGGATGGAGGTGCAGGTGCAGGTGCAGGAGGAGGAGGAGGAGGAGGTGGAGGAGGGGGGCTGGCGGACGGCAGCGGTACGGACGCGTTGAACACGCTGGTGGAGGGGTTTCGCTTCGTGCTGTCAGCCCACCCGGCCACCCTGCGCAAGTGGTGGGTGGGAGGGGGGAGGGAGGGGGAGGGGGAGGGAAGGGGAGGGATTTAGAAAGGGATGCTGGGGATCGGAAGGGAGTGGGTTTGTCGGGGCGTACGGTTGTGGTTGTACGTTCACGGGGTATTCACCTTCTCGGTCGTCCAAGCCCTCTGCCGCATATGCCTCTGTGCCCATACATGCGCTCTGCTCTATTCCCCTCTTTCTGCCTTTTAACACACAGGTACGAGCAAGGTGACGAGCGGGACCACCCCGGATGCCGTACTCGGGCCCTCATGCTGCGAGGCACACCCGCGCTACGCATGCTGCGCAGTGCTGGTGCTGCAGCCGCTGCTACTGCTGGTGTCACGGGGGCGTCAGGACAACAGCAGCAGCTCGCAGCTTTAACGACCGGCAGCAACAATGGCGCTAGCAACGGTGGCAGCAGCAGCAGCAGCACTGCCGGCACTGCAATCATGATGCACAGTACGGCAGACAACAGTCTGAGCAGCTACGATGAGCCAGCGGAGGTGTACGAATCGCACAACAACGGTAGCTTTGGCGGCAGCAGCAGCAGTGGAAGTGGCAGTGGCAGTGGCAGTGGCAGTGGCAGTGGCAGTGGCAGTGGCAGTGGCAGTGGTCGCGGGGGCCGCATGCTGGCCCCCCGAGACGTGTTCCACCTGTCGCGGGGCGTGCAGCGCTCCGTGGGGTCGATGATGGTGGTGACTCCCTTGGGTGGGTGGAGAGGACACAACTTACTGGGGTGGGGTTGGGGTTGGGGTTGGGGTTGGGATTGGGGGTTTGCATGTAATGGAGGTTTGGGGGGGTCCTGGTCTTGCACTTGACAGGGGCTGTGCCGACTAGGGCTGCGGGCACTCATGTCGTCATGCGCCCCCGCCAGCCCACCGCCCCCTTGCAGCAACTCCATACCCTTGTCACCTGTCCACTGCCTCACGTGATCACAATCCTGCCCACACCTGCCCTTCTCACGCTCCTCATCAGCCCCACTACTGGTACCCAATACCCCAATCCGCTCTTACCACCATACACACCACCCCTCCCCCTCCCCCCCCTGCGTGCTGCCTGCTTCCCCCTCCCTGCAGGCGCCAGTCGCCACTACACGCTCAGCTATGGCGACTTCTACGCGCGCTACACACGCGACCCCTTCTTCGCGTCCTGGCTGGCGCCCGTGCATGCGGACATACTGGCGCTGGTGGGGGGGGCGAGGTGGGCGGGGCAGGGGCCCTTCCCGATCAACAGGTGGGGAGGAGAGGGCGGGGAAGGGGGTGGGGGGACATGGGTGGGAGGAGAGTGCATCGGGCGAGGGGGCAGGGTGAAGGGAAGACGCAGCAGGGAGCAGCAGCGGGGGCAGGGTTGCTGTTGTGTCTGTGTCCATGATCGGCGGGAGACATGCCGGGAGGGATGAGAGGTGTGGAAGGGCTGTGGGCCCTCCTGGGATGACAGCTTCTTTCTCTTTTTACCTCCTCCCTTCCCATACAACTTGGCTATTCTTCTCCCCCCCCCCTTTACCCAGGTGGACCCGTCTGCTGCTGCTGCAGCAGCTGCTGGTGGAGGCGGTGGAGCTGCTGGACCCCGCATGCGTGCGCGTGCCGGCGGACAGGCGGGTGGTGCTGGCGCCCGTGGCGTTCAGGCAGTCGCCCGAGCTGGAGTCTTACCGGGAACGCATGCGGGAGATGAGCCGACTGGAGGTGCCCTTCCTGCTGCAGGGGCAAGGGCAGGGACAGGGACAGCCGGGGACAGGGCAGCAGCAAGGGCTGGTCGCAGGCTGGAGTCAAGCTGCGGCTGGTGCTGTCGCTTCTTGGTTGCGATGGGCGGTGACGGTGGCGGGGGGCTCCTCCCCCTCCCCTTCAGCTGCTACCGGTATTGCCACCGATACGACCGCTGCAGCTGCTGTCAGCAGAAGCCCGAACTCCTCAGCAGAGTCAGGAACGGGGGCATCAACATAGGCAGCGGCAGCATTCCAGGGCCATCCGGCGGGTAGCGGTGCTTGGGCGTGTGAGCTGCCTGTGAGGGCGAGCGAGGGGCAGCAACAGCAGCACGGGCGGTAGCAGCAGCAGCAGCACTAGCAAGTAGGGCAAGCAGGCAAGCAGCAGCGGCAGAGGAGTGGAGGAGTCCTGTCGCTCTTCTGTTCTGTTCTTTTCAACCTGGACTCGGGGTGCATTCACCATGGGGTGCAAACGTGGTAGTAGCCGGCCCATCCCGCCCTGCCCGAATACTGGTGGTCAAAGACCTTACGCCTCAATAAGGGGTGATAAGTTGAGAAGGGGGGTGGTCGCTGTAAGTCCCGAGTCATTGTGGCCCCGTGGCGATCAAAGAACGGAAAACACTATCCTACATCTCCATTACCACTTTACCAGCTGGTTCGGGTCGTTTGGTCTCACTTTAACTCGCTCGAAGGTCATCCATCCTGGTCTCCTGGCATCCATCGAAAACAGCAACCGCAGGGGCGGGTTGCCAACAGCAGCGCCGCACGCCACCATTCCTTCATTCCTGGACAACCAAAACAAAACACCGACAAAGCACCGACAAACAACCTTTGGGGCATTGAGATGTCTTACATACTCACATACCAAATCAATCATCGTTCCTCATCACATGCTGATTATACCTCCTCCGGCGGCCGCCGGCCTTTATTCCCGCCTTTTTTCCTCTCGCCGGCGGCCGCAAAACCCGGCGCAGCAGCTACCCCCTAAGAAGAGCAAAGTCTTTATCAGTTATGGCGACAACGCCAACAACAGCCATCGCCTAGTTGAACGTATACAGCTACCTGGCACACACGCACGCAAGCAGAATGCCCTACACGGCTACGCCACCTTTATTGTTAACCCCAAGCCACATACACGCACACCGGATTCGTCCACTTTCCGGCGATCAATCACGGTACGTCTCCGCTGTACCGGTCAGCAATGGCATTAGCACACCCAATCAGCAGTACCCGTACCCGTGCCTCGTCCGCTACATGCATCAGACAATGACCCTGTCGCCCTTTCGCCGCCGGCTGCCCATACCTGCGCCACGCAGCAGCTCTTCCTAATCATTAAATCACCGCTCCCATTAGATATCTCTTCCCATTAGAATATACTGAGCCACGCCCGCGCGCCCCTCCGCCCGATCGCTCCGTCCTAGACAAGCCCTCGCAGCACACAGCTGTCTTCTTAACGTTCACACCGGTTCGTTTCAAAACCCGCAACTGTTAACTGGCAGCGCGCCGCAGCCTTGCATGCAACATCCACGTGCCAAGCAAGGACCACAGCAGCGGCAGCAGCAGCAGCAGGTGGACCGCTAGATATAGACCACATGCATGCAGCGCACCCCTCCACACACAACCCCAGTGTCAGCGTAGCACCACACAGATACTCAAACAGCCACACCACTACCGTACACATCCCACAAGGACAAGTCCTCTTCTTAGAGCCATCGGAAACCACTTTAGTAGAAGATGAATAAGCGGGCGTGCTTGCCTGCTGCTTCCATGTGCGCACGTACGTATTCTCCTTGCTTGGAAGCGAGTGAAACGCTGCTGGTGACTGCCACATACGGTAGCCTCCATCTCTTTCGTTCCATGCAGCCCCACTCCTGTTGCCCCTGCTGCTGCTGCTGCTTGCGTTCTGCTAAGCCGTTCTCGCTTTCCTCTCTCGTGGCCCTACGGCATTGCTTGTTATTGATACACCCCACCCCTACCTACCTCCCGATCATTCACAGCATGGCATTTCCCCTTGTCTTTCCTGCTGACCTCCCGCCTTCCTCCTCCCCCTCCTCAAGCAACCTCACCGCCTATACCAGTACCTCGCTCCAACCCTACCCTCCGCTGCCCCTTCCCCCGTGCCTCTATCCCCAACGACCCTTTCCCTTTCCCCTGATGCTGCCCTCCGGCATTCCCCCGCTCCGCAGACCCTCACGCACCACCCCCTCCTTCAACACACCTCCCTGCTGCCCCCGCCCCTCCTCCCGGCCCTCCTGCCCCTCCCGCCCCTCCTGCCCCTCTTGCCCCAACCCCTGCTGCCCCTCCTGCTGCTGTTCGTTCCTAAACTGAGCTCGCTGTACGGCATCCAGCGCCACCGTCAGCAGCCCGCAACCCAGCGTCCAACTCAACGCGTACAACAGCAGCGCCCCTGCTGCTGCGGGGCCCTCCTCCTCCACTGCCCCCCCCAGGCCGCCCAGCCCTCCCCGCATGCCGCCGCCACTGCCGCCCCCCCCCGCCGCCGCCTGCAGCCGCATGTAGTGCAGCCCGGTGGCCAGCCCCTCCAGAGCGCGCAGCGGCAGCACCAGCGGCGCCCGCGCCTGCTCGAACAGCGCCGGCAGCACTCCCTCGCACATAACATCCTGGTGGGGGAGGGGCGGAGGAGGGGAGGGGCGGAGGAGAAAGGGAGGAAGGGAGGAAGGGAAAGGAGTGAGGGAGGAGTGGGATGCGATGATACAGGGGTACATGATAGGTACGCCTGGGCCTCAAGATCCAGACCCATTCATCAACAACAACCCCGCCCTCCAACCCCACCAACCCACCCGCGTCGTCTGGCCCACCCCTTTCCCCCAAGCACCCCTCTCCCTCCTCTTATCTCTTTCCACCCCTCCTCCTCCTCTTCCTCTTCCTCTCACCATGCCCCAGCCAACGTAATTGGGTGACACCTGCGCGTACGGCAGCAGCCGCACCGCCGCCGCCAGCTTCAGCAGCGCCCGCATGCCGGTGGTGGCGGCGGCCAGCGGCTCCCGCAGCCGCAGCCACCCCGCGAAGTGGCCGCACAGCAGCGCGGAGGAGAGGGCGTGTGGAGCGGAGAAAAGCAGCAGGCAGGGCAGCTCGTGGGGGCGACCCTCCTTGAGCGCGCGGCCCAGCACCGCGATGACGGCGGAGATCTGGAGAGGGAGGCGGTGGGTGAAGGTGGCGGGGAGGGGAGTTGGAGGTGGCAGGTAGGTGGGCACACAGGAAGCAGCCGGGTACAGGGAGGGTGGAGGCGGTGTCGGAGGTGCCCAGCGAGGATACACTACCTGGCCGCCTACCCGCCCCCCCTTTCCCCATGCCGGGGCGCCCTGGCGATCTTCTGCCCCGCTTCTCCCCTCCCCTCCCCTCCCCTACCTCCCCTCCCCTTATCCTGCTGCCCTAGTTCGTGGTTTCGTATGGTTTGGTCTAAATCGACCTCCCTTCCCTCCCTCCCCTGCCTCCTCCCCCGCCCCCCTCCCTACCGCCCTACCTGGTACACCAGGTAGCAGCAGTGCCACAGCGCGCACCGCGCCCCCACCGCCCGCACGTACGCCGCCTCCGCCCCCCGCTCCCCCCGCCAGGGAGACAGCAGCGCGGCCCCCATCGCGCCCGCCAGCCACCGCAGCCCCGCACCCGCGCCCGCCGGGCTGCTGCTGCTGCTGCTGCGAGGAGGGCGGAGGCCACCACCGACATGTGGCTGCCCCGGGGGGGCGGAGGCGTGGGAGGCGCTGCTGGTGTTGGTGTTGGTGCTGGTGGTGCTGGTGGTGCTGGTGGTGCTGCCTGGGGGCCATCCTGTGGTCTTCTTCTCCGCATCGCCGCTGCCCTGTGCTGCGATTTGGGTGGCTGATGGGCAGGCGGCGGTGGCGGGGGAGGGGGAGGGGGCCAAGCCGACGCGCGGAGAGGCAGGCCAGGCCGCAGCCATGGCTGGGGTTGCGGTTAACGGGGGGTTAGCTAGGGGAACAGCGGATGTGATGGAGGATGTAGCTGCTGCGGCTGCGGCCGCTATGACTGCGGCGGCTGCTGGTGCTTCCGCTGCTGCGGCTGCAGCGCTGCGAGCGTCCGCAGCCACAGCGACCACCTGGCCTCCTGCACTCTCGGATGCGGTAGCTGCAGCTGCAGCGGTGCAGGTGGTGGTGGCGGTGGTGATGGTGGGTGCATCCCACATGCGGCATGCGGCGTGAAACTCGCTAAGGATGCGGTCCGCGAGCTGCTCCTGACCCCGCATGCTCTCCTGCTCCTGCTGCTGCTGCCGCTGTTTGAAGGCCCCTTGTGGGTCGGCTAGGTGGAGGGGGCCGTTAGGGGCGCATGCGCCCGCAGCAGACGGCAGCAGCGGCGCCGCGGGGGGTGTCACCCTTGCAGGTGGCAGTAGCGGCAGCATGCCTAGAATGCCACCGAGGGTGCTGTCATCGGCGTCGCCTGGTAGGTGCGTGGCGACCCATGGGTCCGAGCGGTTGAGGGCCTGCGTGTTGATTGCATGCGTGCGTTTAGAGGGGGTGTGGTTAGAGGGGTCGTGGTCACAGTAGGAGCAGCATGGGACCAGGCGGAGTGCATGTGTGTGAGGATCGCCCTTCCAGCTCCTCCCCAGCATATCTCTTCTTCCTTCCCCTCCTTCCCTGCTTGCCCCCCCCCTCCTCAGTTGCTTCATCAGAGTCTCATTATCTAAATACTTTTTACCCCTCCTCCCCCACCTGCCAGCACTCCCCCAGCGGGGTGCCGTACCGCTCCCCCAGCCGTACCAGCAGCGCCACCATGTCCTCCCCCCGCCCGCCCCCTTCCCGCGCCCCCGCCACCGCCGCCCGCTGCAGCAGCGACAGCAGCCCCCTGCCGGCTGCACCGGCAGTACTGCCGCTGCTGCCGTTGTGGTGGGTGCTTGATTCGTCACTGCCGTCAACACTACCCGTTGTGACGTCGATGTTGTAGCAACCGCTAGCACTCGCCTTCCTGCTACTGCTGCTGCTGTTGATGATGCCGCTTTCGGCACCTCCAACCCCACCCCCGCAGCGCTCCAGCAGCTCCCGCCAGCTGAGGCCCGCGGCCCGCAGCTGCCGTACCAGCAGCTCGGCGGTGTAGGTCCTGCGTTCAGGGAGGGAGGGGGTGCAGGTGGGAGGGGGGGCAGGTGGGAGGGGGCGGGTGGGAAAGTAGAGTGAAAACCCGTGTGTTGAGCTATGGTGGCAGAGCACTGAGTGGGATTAGGAATTTAGGAGTACTGATATGTTGGGATAACCGGTGCGCGGACATGGGGCAGGAGGAATACGAGTCCACTGTTGGTGCCCAGCGTAGCCAACCTAAGCACCCACACCCGGCCTCTCTCACACATACACGTCTCCCCCGTGGTGTGCTGGTTTCGGGGACATCATCTCCCGACATCATTTCCAGCACGTTCCCCCTCGGAGCCTGTTTCCTGTGCACACAAGCAGCCACCCAACCACCCACCCCCACCCCCACCCACCAGCCTCGCTCCACCGCAAACTCAAACAGCGACACCCCCACCCCCGCCATGTGGGCCCGGTAGCGAGGTGTGCCGTACAGCGCTGCTAAACCAGATCCAAGATCCGACCAGCTGTTGTTGTCAGTGTTGTCCATGCTGTTCCTGCTGGTGGTGGTGGTGGTGCTGGTGGTAAAATGGGTGGTGGTGGTGGTGGTGTTCCTAGCACCAGCCCTGGCGTTGCTGTTGTTGCCATCATCGTTGTCACTGCGGCCGCTCGCGCTGTTGTTGTTGTTATCCCAGCTGTTCCTGCTGTTCCTGCTGCTGGTGGTGGTGCAGCTGCAGCGGAGATCACCGGTGTCATCATCACCGCCCGCGTCCCTCCTCAGCTCCTTCCCCCCTTGGTCGCCCTTGTCGTCATGCCGCCGCCCCTGCCTTCGGGCCTTCTGCTGCTGCCGCTCGCCCTGTCGCAGCTCCCATGAGCCATCACCGTTCATGCCGCTTGCCCGCTCACACCCTTCCCCATCCTCCTCCTCCTCCTCCTCCTCCCCGCCCCCCGCCCCACCTCCCCGCATCACCCCCAGCACCTCCAGGTAATCCAACCACAGCCCCAGATCCCCCAGCAGCTCATCCCAGCAGCCCCTGCCGCCACCACTACCACTACTGCTGCTGCTCCCGCCACCGCTACTGCGTCTCCTTCGCCCGTCCCGCTCACCACCATCCCCATCCCCATTACCGTCACCACTACCGCCGCTGGAAACTCCCAACCATTCCTCCTCCTCCTCCTCCTCCTCCTCAGCACCTCCCACGCCCCCGAGCACGCTGCCCAGCTCCGCTGCCAGGCGGGGGTCCTCCGTCACCAGCACCGGCCGCCAGTTGGACAGCAGCGGCCCCACCCTGCACTCCACCACCACCAGCCCGTTGCGAGGCAGCAGACCCACCGGCACATCCAACCGCACAGCAGCACCACTTGCAGCAGCAGCAGCACACCCGCCACTAACCCCACCACCGCCATAACCACCCGCGATACCACCCGCAGCAGCGTCGGCACCAGCAGCACCCGCAGCACCACCCGCAGCAGCAGCAGCAGCAGCGTCGGCGCCACCCGGTTGGTGCGGCATGTGGGTTGATGATGAGGCGCCCGGGGAGCTCAGTGGTGCGGGGGCTAGCGGGGTGTGGCTGCCCGCCCCCTCCACATCTTGACGCTGCGGCTGCTGGCAGTGGGGGTGCAGACCAGCAATGGCGCCCGTGCTGCTGCTGTTGGCGGCGGTGGTGTGGTTGAGGAGGATGGTGGTGGTGGTGGTGGAGGTGGTGGTGGAGGGGGTGAGGGGGTGCATGGTGACGGGTAGGTACCTGCGGCGGCGGCAGCATGCGGAAACGGGGTGAAATGCGGGAATGGTTGTGTGAGAGTGGCAGTCGGGATGGCGGTGGTAATGGTGTGATGCTCCCCTCCCCGACTTGGCTTCTCCCCACCGCAAGTCGACACTCTCGTGCACCCCGCACACCCGCTGCTGCCGCGCCATTCGGCTCCCAGACCCCCTCTTCAGCTCGTCAGTGCTCCCGAACACCATACCTGCCCCGGCACCGAGCTGAGAAGGCGGGCGCACTGCCCGCATTGGACACCGTGACGCGCAGACTGGCAGCTGCCGGCCCTGCTGCTGCTGATAATGGTGACGCTGATGTTGCCGGCCCCTGCAAGGACCCACGTTGCTGGCAGCTCCTGGACGCAAAAGCCGAGTAGGTGCAGGAAGGGGTGCCCCCACCGCCATCACCTCCGGTGCTACCCCCGTCTGCGGCAGCAGCCCCAACACACCCCACGGCACCAGCACCAGCACCAGCAGCAGGTGCAGGTGCAGGTGTGGGTACAGCAGCATCCCTCCTGCGCTGTCTGCTCCCTGCCCCTGCTCCCCCTTCCCTGCTGCGTACGAGGATGCAGGGCGGCTCCACGCGGGTGATGCGGGGCAGCTGGCAGGGCCGCATGCCGCCCGCCCGCTCGGGCAGCCACTGGCGCAGGCAGGCGTCCCAGCGGCTGACCCACACCCTGCAGGAGCGAGGGATGGAGAGGGGGAGGGGGATGGAGAGGGAGAGGGGGATGGAGAGGGGGGGTTTGAGACAGAAAGAGATGAACAGCCATGCTGTTAACGACAGGCGGAGGTGGGAGGGAGGATAAAGAGCTGCCAAACATGTATTCATGCTGGGGAAAGCCTTACCGCTGTCCCCACCCACCCACCCACCTACCTGCCACACGCCTGCGTCAGCACCTGTGCGCCCGGCGGCGGCTGCAGGTGCAGCGCATCGATCCACGCAGCGGGGTCCGCATCCCCCAGCGGCAGCCGCCCCGACAGCACCGCCGCCTCCAGCGCGCCTTGCGAGTCCAGCAGCCACCCCTCGCACTCACCTCCCGCCTCGCCCCAGCCAGCATGCCCGGCAGCAACAGCAGCCGCAAGCGCAGCAGCTGCCGCTGCTTCAGACGGCGGGTGCGGCTGCGGCGGGTGCGGTGGCGGTGGTTGCGGGGCGGCTGTTGGAAGCAGTTGAGTGTGGGGGTGAGGGTGAGGCAGGGGGCTGGGTGGCGGGTTGAGGGGCCAGGAGCGCAGCAGGCGGTGCATGGCGGGGGATTGATGGGAGCCGGGGCCGAGGTCGTACGCGTCTGGAGGAGGAGAGAGAGGAGGAGGAGGAGAGGGAGAGGTCACATGGCCACCTGTTACTACCTACTACAAGGCTACACCCGTTCTTCCCGCTACTACCATCCACCCCTTCCTTCACGCTCTTCCCAACCCCCGCCCCCCGCCCCTCCACCCACCCTGTTGTGGCAGCAGGTCGAACACCAGCTCGATGCAGCCCGCCCGCACCGCCGCGCCCGCCAGCATGCAGTCCCGCCCTAGCCCCTCCTCCAGCGCCACACTCAGCCGCTCCAGGAAGCTGCCGGGCAGCTGGGCGGGCTCAGCCCACGGCACCTTCATGTGCACACGTAGCAGGGGAGCCTGGAGGACAGGGTGCGAGGGGGGGAGGAGAGGAGGGGGGGTTGGTCACAGAAGGGAGCGGGTGCTGGAATGTGACACAGGAGGAGGGTGGGGTAAGCCATTCCGCCCCAGTCCTCGTCCCCCGTTTACGCTTCGTTCCTGCCTCTTTATCCCCTTCAAAGCGCCTACCCTGGAGCGATAGCGCCGGTTGCGGCCACTCCGGCCCGCTGACGCCCCGCTCAAGCTGCCCAATCGCAGGCCCGCGCCGCCAGCCACCAGCACACCCGCAGACACGCCCACTGCCACTGCGGCAGGCGCCTGGAACTCCTGATCCTCCTCAATCGTCAGCCGGTTAAGGCCCGTTGGCTGCTTCAGGCTGAAGGCGCCGGCCGGCGGTAGCGGCATGACCCGGGCTCTGGGGCCCTGAGGACCGCGCCTGGCGGGAAGGCAGGAAGCAATCGCCGCTGTCGTCGTGCTGCTGCTTAGTGGGGCCTCTACTTGCCTGGCTGCAGCTGCTGCTGCTGTCACCGCAGCAGCAGCTGCAGCGGTTGTTGCCACCTCATCAACCTCACCCTCGCCACCGCAGCTTACCGGCCTCCCTGTTGCTGCCACAGCGGCCACCGCCGTACGGCCTCCACCGCCACCGGCAATGACCGCAACCGCATCCTCCGATACCCCATCCTGCCGCCGAGGAGCCGCGGCCGACGCAAGCTGCCCCGTTACTGCCCGCACCATCACCGCCGCCACGGCGTCTTCCGCGGCGGCGGCGGCAGTGGCTGATGCTGCCGCGGAGGCGGTTGCTGCTGCAGCCCTGGCCAGCGCTGCCCCCGCCAGCTGGCTGCCGCTGCCGGCGGCGCTCGGCGGCTCCGAAGGTGGCAGCGAGGACGCCAGAGAGGGCGGGAAGCCGCTGTCAACACCCTGGGGCGAGCCCCTGCCGCTCTCCCTGGTTACCGGTACCGGCACCTCCTCGCTGGATACCTCCTCGCGCCACGTATCGCCGATGCCACCGCTGCCGCTGCTGCCGCCGCCGCCGCCGCCAGTTCCTGTCGTACATGCGCTGCCGCTGCCCCTTAGCAGCTTCCACACGCACTGCAGCAGCAGCGCCTCCGTTGAGGAACCACTGCTGCTGCTGCTGCTGCCGCTCTGATGGTGCTTGTGCCCGCTGCTCTGGCTGCCGCCGCCTCCGCCTTCTCCAGCGCCGCTCCTGCTGCTGACGTCAGCCCTGTCCCCTCCTACTATCCCGCCTCCGCCTCCGCCAGTGCTGCTGTTACTGTTACTGCCGTTCACACCGCGCTTTACTACGCTACCCTCCGTCTGCATGTTAGCCTGCGAGCGCGGCTCAGCTGGCGAAGGCACGGTAGCAGCGGAGCTGCCGTCGCCGCTGCCGCTGCCGCCAGTGGGACGGCCACGATGGCGGCGGCGGCGGCGGTGCAGAAGCGCCGCGCGGAGGGACTGCAGCGCGGCGGGGTTCTGCTGCAGGGACACGGCGGTGGCCAGGAGCGCGCAGACGTAGGTTTGCGTCAGGATCCAGGCGGCGTTGAACAGCGGCGGTGGCTGCTGCTGGAGGGGGTGAAAGGGGTGAAAGGGGCGTGGCTGCACCAGGATGCAGATGGCGGTGGAGAGGGCGCAGTGGGCAGCTAGCACCAGCATGCCCGGCCAGAAGGGGTACTGCGGGGGGGGGGAGCGGGGTACAGCGTGTGAAGGCGGGTATTACAGAGGGGCTGAGGAGAGGGCGGGGATTCACGAAGGGCGGAGAAAGACGAGAGCGCAGCGACCTAGGGAGGTCAGCCCAGGGGAACAATCGCAACAGGTGATGCAAACCATGTTCCTTCTCAAAACCCCTGCCTCCTTAACGCCCCTGCTGCCTGCCGTACACACCACACCACACTACCACAGTACGGTAGCACCCCACAATACCCACATTGTACACCAGCTGCTGCCACACGGTGATGGCGCCCTCCAGCGGCAGGTAGGTGCTGAAGTAGCTGCTGGGCTGCGCTCCAGGGAATGCCAGGAAGCAGCCCAGGCTGGCGGCCTTGGGAAGCAGGCCGATGAGCACCATGCACACCCGCCGCCCTGCCGTCAGGTACAGCCCCCGCGGCAGCAGCAGCAGCGCCAGGAGCTGCGCCGCCATGACGGTGGACACCAGGGGTACCCAGAGCTCGCCGGGTGGGAGCAGGAAGGCGGCACGGTAGGCGGTGGCGATGCGGAGGGTGAGGAAGCTGAGGCGGCTTGCGATGGGCGCGGAGCAGGGGTAGTGCAGGAGTGGGGTTGGAAGGGGGAGGGAGGAGGCGGAGGAGGAGGCTGGTTTGGCCATGTGGGTCGGGTCGGCTGCGCAGTGGGCGGAGTCCAGGAGGCGGCGGAGGTGGTTGACGAAGAACATGCCTTGGATGATGAGCATGGTGGCGTCTGCTAGGAGGATGCGCATGGCTTGGGCGTGGTCGTGAGGGCGGGGGTGTGGGGGTTGTCGCGTGCGTGGGCTGCATGCTGGTGGCGGGCGGCTGTCAAGGGCGAGGGGTTTGTGGCTGATAGATGGGAAGTCCCCGGCTGACTTGGTATGCTGGGTAGACTCCATGGAGAAAGACTTCGACAAGCGAAAGTCGCGGCTGTCGGTTGGGTCTGTGGGAAGCGGGTGGGCGAGACCAAAAAGAGGCTGTGTGTTAAGAGGCAGATTTCGTGGATTGTTGTTCACAACAGGGTTGCTTTCCGTGCATACACTGTACGCGCCTCTTGTACGCATCTCACCCTCGTCGTCGCAAGCTCGGCGCGTCGCTTTTATGACAAATAAGGCGCGATGTCGCTAAGTCCAAAAGGGTAACGGCCTATGTACACGCGGTCTATGTCACTTACCTTCACAACGGACCTCCGAGCGGAATGTCTACCCTTTCCGGGCGTGCAAGCTACCTAGCTTCATCAAGGCTTAACTGTCATGGAGTTAAAAAAAAGATAGGTTACTCAGTTATAAACATGACAGCAGGAAATACACACTAACTAGGAGGGACTATGAACACCTCTGTCTGACAACTAACGGAAACAAAGTTGAAGCCAAGCCGGGTTTCAATCAAGCTTTCAGTAAACTGTTATATAAGACACTTAATACGCGAGTTGTACTGTAAAAAGAAGCGCATTGAGAAGTTCACAGGTTGTACGACAATTGGCGAGGGCTTTTGGGTCATCTTTCCTACTTACTTCATGCCGGAAGATTCATAAAGCATAACGACGCTTGTAGCATGGTGCGAAAAACAGCAAAGAAGAAAGAGATTGCAGAATTTCTGCGCGAGGTGGTTGGTTTCAGCTCGGTCCTACACGAAATAGGGCGCGATCCAGACAATGCCGCATTCGGCAGCATCATTTGACATGGTTCCGTAGACTTACTGTACTTATAATTCTGTCATACGCGGTTGTCAACATTCCCATAGAATTAGTCACGGCAGCAGCTTCAGCGTTCATTCCGCGTTCGTCCGTCGGTGCGGAACGCTCCAGATAGCCTAGTCTGGCCCTAGCTTGTTTTGCTGATGGGGGAACGTGGGGGGACGTCAGGTATCCGAGGCCATTTCGTTACCTTCACGTAGATGTCTTAAATTCTTACAAGCGTACCAAGCGCACGCAATACTGCACCCTCCTGCTGACAACCTGCAGCAGGCATCTCATTCGTTTATCCCATACGGGAGTATGTAATTGTCGCAGATCCACTGGTTTGCCTCACGGGCGTGCCAGCAACCCCATTGGAGGGGGAATCACAAAATGCGTCCGAAAACTTATTGTTGTCCGCGAGTCAGTAACAATCAGCACCAATCAAAACCACTATTGCGATGGGGGCTACAAACGTGTTACTGTGTGTACACCCGCTGACTAGCCCAACTGTGCAGAGGAATCTCAAGGTATGAACCATGGATAGCCACCACTGTACACTCTATACTCCAAATACTCTTGAGCGCTCATGAAATGCTGCCACAGCACCAACTAATCCCATGCCCTACTAGCATTTCATCCCTCACACACTCATTGGGCCTCTCTACAACTCATCGTGGTCCCCAAGATCGTCCGAGTCGCCGCCGCTGGGGCCGCCGCTGGCCTGGTAGATCTTGGTGATGATGGGGTTGCACACGTCCTCCACCTCCTTCAGCTTGTCCTTGTAGTCCTCGGGCTCTGGGGGCGGGAAGAGGGGAATGGAGGAACGCACGGGATTAGGTGGTTGCCATGAGCCATGTTTGTATTTGCCAACACACTCAGCCAAGGACAGCACACAGGCAATCGTTTACTGTTCCCATTGAAATTTTCAACGAAACGCATTCCCGCACCGGGCCACTACCCTAGCCCATAACCAAACCCAGCCCGCCGTCCTCCCCGCTATCCCACCCACCCGCATCCGGGTTCTCGTCCAGCCACTCCAGCGCCTCCTTCACCGCGGTGCTGATCGCCTCCTTGTCGTCCTCGTCAATCTTGTCCTTCATCTTGTCCTCCACCGTGCTCTTCATGTTGTAGCAGTAGGTCTCCAGCTGGTTGCGCGCGTCAATCTTGGACTTGACGGCCTTGTCCTGCTCCGCGAACTCCTCCGCCTCGCGGACCATGCGCTCGATGTCGTCCTGGCTGAGGCGGCCCTTCTCGGCGGTGATGGTGATCTTCTCCTTCTTGCCCGTGCCCTTGTCCTCGGCGGCCACGTTCAAAATGCCGTTGGCGTCCACCTCAAAGGTGACCTCGATCTGGGGGGTGCCGCGCGGCGCAGGCGGGATGCCGTTGAGGTCGAACTGGCCCAGCTTGTGGTTGTCCTTGGTCATGGCGCGCTCGCCCTCGAACACCTGACGCGCGAGGCAATAGGAAAGGGGAGGGAAGGGAAGGAGGGAGGACGGTAAGTAGGAAGAACCTGACGGGCACCATCCGCAAACGCGAAGTAAAGGATGTACAAGGCGCATACGTGGCAAACGGGCTGTTGTGATGGAACGGAAGCAAGGCAACACGCGCCCTATGAGCAACCAGTCAAACTATTCGAGGAAAAATGCGTAAGTGCAACGTGTTGCCGAGTCCGCCTGAGTACTAATCCCAACGCTATACATAAATGGATTGCCCCAGCGCCCTTGACAGGGCCCTACCTGGATAGACACGGTGGTCTGCTGGTCCTGGTAGGTGGTGAAGGTCTGCGACTTCTTGGTGGGGATGACGGTGTTGCGAGGAATGAGCTTGGTCATAACACCGCCCACGGTCTCAATGCCCAGCGACAGCGGGGCCACATCCAGAAGCAGGATGTCCTTCACTTCGTCGCCACCTGCGCATATGAGGAAATAGGGATTTAAATGCCTAGTGCTACATAGGATTCTGTGCTACATACCCAGGCCCACGATGGCCAAGTTTACAAGGAAGTCCTCATCAATGGGACACATGTCCACGACTCACCCTCGCCGCCTAGAATGCCTCCCTGCACCGCCGCTCCGTAGGCCACCGCCTCATCCGGGTTGACTCCCTTGTTGGGCTCCTTGCCTTCGAAGAACTCCTTGAGCAGCTCCTGCACCTTGGGGATGCGCGTGGAGCCGCCCACCAGCACAATCTCGTCGATCTCGCTCTTCTTCAGGTTGGCGTCGTCCATCGCCTGGGAGGAAGGGATATTGGAGGGAAGAGATTCAAGGAGGGAAGAGATTCAAACACGTGGCCACGTGTGCGCGTGGTCAGAGATGGGACTAGCAGCAACGTCTACGGTTGCGGCGTGCAGACCAAATGCATGCTGACCCATGGGCCTTTCCCATGGATCCCACCAACGCGCATGCTGCGTATGGTTGGCAATAATAACTGCCACAGGCCAACCAAACGCCAACATACGCCTCGCATACACACCCTTCTCCTCCCCGGCCCACCCTTCACGCCCTGCCCTCCGCTCCCCCTCCTCTCACCTTCTTGACGGGCCCCATGGTCTTCTTGAAGAGGTCCATGTTGAGCTCCTCGAAGCGGGCGCGGGTGAGCGGCTCCGACAGGTCGATGCCGTCGTACAGAGCCTCGATCTCCACGCGAACCTACCCGTACAGCAGCGGCGTAGGGGGGAGGGTACAGGTTGAAGGGCAGGTGTGCGGATAGCATCCCAGTAAACTGGGCTTGGCCGCCAGCCATCATAGCTAATCCAACATATACTACCCGTAAAATAGCAGCAGATTTGCTCGCACCTGCCTGAACCCATGCATGACCCCACTCGTTCACAATTGAAGGCAAAAGTACCCAATTCACGCAGCCCCCCGAACTGTGTCCCTACCTGGTGCTGGCTGGACAGGGCACGCTTGGCACGCTCAGCCTCACGGCGGAGCTTCTGCAGCGCACGGGCATCACCGCTGACATCCTTCTTGTACTTCTTCTTTATCAGCTTAATGAAGTACTCCATAACACGCTGGTCGAAGTCCTCGCCACCCAGGTGGGTGTCGCCGTTGGTGGAAATAACCTCGAAGACACCGTTGTCGATGGTAAGAATAGACACATCGAAGGTGCCACCACCCAGATCAAAGACAAGGATGTTTTTCTCGCCACCCTTCTTGTCAAGACCGTAAGCAATGGCAGCTGCGGTGGGCTCGTTGATGATGCGGACAACGTTCAGGCCTGAAATCGTGCCCGCATCCTTGGTGGCCTGGCGCTGAGCATCGTTGAAGTAGGCCGGCACGGTCACAACAGCATGCTTGACGGTCTTGCCCAGGTACGCCTCCGCCGTCTCCTTCATCTTCTGCAGAATCATCGCTGAGATCTCCTCGGGGCTGAAAACGCGGTTCTCGCCGCCGACGTCAACAGACACGTAAGGCTTGCCATTCTTGTCGACGATGTCATAAGAAACCAGCTTCTTATCGCGCTGCACCTCCTTGTCCTCGAACCTGAAGCGGTTGGAAAGTGTGAACATGTGCATTAACCAAAGGAGTTTATAAGCCACAGACCAAACAAACCCTGCGTACCTGCGACCGATCAAACGCTTCACATCATAGATGGTGCGCTTCGGGTTGACAGTCGCCTGGTTCTTGGCCGCATCACCGATCAGACGCTCGCTGTCCGTGAAAGCAACGTAAGACGGCGTGATACGGTTGCCCTGGTCGTTTGCGATGATTTCTACACGACCATTCTTGTAGACACCCACGCAAGAGTACGTGGTACCCAAGTCAATGCCGATGACGGTGCCAAGCTTCTCCTCTTCCGCCCAAACACCAAAGCTATAAGAGGCGCATGCCACCGCTGCATAGATCAAGCATATAGGTTAGAAAATCGGCCCTGGAAAGCAAGATGATACTATGCATACAAACCGACCTAGAAGCAGCACGGCCGCCTTCCACTGCGCCATGTTTAAGGCGCACAGGAAAGTAGGACGTTCTGTATAAGAACACCAATGTAAGCTCTTCGGAAAACCAGAGGCTTCACGCCTTTTTGAGTGCCGGGCGTTGCGATGGACATGTGTCCCTTTACGTCTATTTAGACGTAAGAAGCCTGTCGTACTGGGCCCGTGCGATTTCTCTACACACTCCGCAGCGCTCGTTCAGAGTTTCAAGCCTTCCTCTTTTGGAAGAGGTTTACTAGGTACCTGTGTTTGGCACTTGAGGCCTAAGGCTCTGTGGTCACTTCAAGTGTTGTCCATTAGATCACTGATTGGTAGTTGGTCGAACACGAAACATGGACCGCAGGGCCGCGGCCCTTTTGCTGTTAGCTGGTATGGCGCTTTGCGCCTTGCCAGGTGAGCAGCATTTCCCGCCTACGCATGTAATCCATGCTCTCGTGCGGCGCGCCACAGCGTAATATTTTACCTATGTGCAGCGTGCCGAGCTGATGCTGGGATTGACATGACGGATGCTCCCAAGGTGGACAACGGTGTGTCTGCGGGTCACGCGACGACAACCGACCCCACCTCCATCCACAGGTGCGGTGCTCGAAGTTGCGCATCGCTTATGTGCAGACTCGATATTTCTGTGTTGCCAGCACGTTTCCTTTCACAGTTACTCTACACCGCCTAGCCACCATGACGTACCTGACACGCGGGCATGTGCATACCCGCCCTGTTGCAGGGAGAAGGAAAGCATGTCGAACGCCGCAAACCGCCTCCGCAGTGGGGCGGAGCAATTCACTTTCCAGGCTGAAGTGACGCGTATGATGGACATTATCATCAACTCGCTGTACTCGAACAAGGACATCTTCCTCCGTGAGCTTATCTCCAACGCGTCTGACGCGTTGGATAAGATTCGTTTCCTGTCCCTCACTGACAAGAGCCAGCTGGGCGAGGGCGAGGTCGCCAACCTGGAGATTAGGATTTGGCTGGATAAGGACGGCAAGACTCTGTACATCCGTGACCGCGGCATTGGCATGACTAAGGACGACCTGATTAAGAACCTGGGAACAATTGCCAAGTCCGGTACTTCAGGTATGTATAAGGGAGGATGACCCAGATCGGGATTCGGTTCTAACAAATTAGCATTCCTTACCTTTTGGCCCCGTTCTGACGCATGAGACGAACGGCTCGCCATGTGCGTCCCCATGACGACTCAATCCCCACGTGTGTCCCCATACCGGCATCACTGCCCACCTCCCTGTAGCTGTGAACATGCAGCAGTGAGTTTCGCTCTGCGCTCAGCCGGCACATGGCTTCCCATTGCCATCTGCCGCTTATCACCCACGTCTTTGCTGCACCCTCGCCCTTTTGCTTTCCTCGCACCACCCACTTGTCCACCTTTGACCCAGTCTGGCCCCTTCATTTCCGCATTGCACTCCTCCGCCTCTCACCCTCTCCCTGCCCACTACTACTGCCTTTATCCCCCTGCCTTGCCACACGGTAAGCTCTAATTCCTCTTCCTCTCCCACCCCCACCCCACGCGCCAGCCTTCCTGGAGCAGATGCAGAAGGGCGGCGACATGAACCTCATCGGCCAGTTCGGAGTGGGCTTCTACTCGGTGTACCTGGTGGCAGACTACGTGGAGGTGGTGTCCAAGCACAACGACGACAAGCAGTGAGTACATACCCAGGGGGTGCCGTGCCGGGGGCTGCCGGGGCAATGGGGGTAATGGCAGGAGGAGGGGGAGGAGTATCGGAAAGAAGAGCACCGGGTAATGGGTCTGTGACCGCCGGCAGCGGGAACGGGAGTGTTGATGTGTAGGGGACATCAGCAAGGGAGGAGCGGGGGCGACAGATAGCGCACAGGAGGTCACCTGCTCGTCTAGGAAGGCGCGTCGCGCCTGCTACCGTCGCAATGCATGCCCTGCAACGCCTGCGTGACAATGTGGCACGCATGGGAGAGGCCTAGGTCTCCAGCTCCTCGTTGCTGCACGTGTTTGAACTCTTAGGTGTTTGCACTTTTAGGGTGTGACGTACCGCACACACAGCTGACATACTTCCTTCCCTCGTTTCCTCTCTTCTCCCTCCCTCCCTCGCTCCCTCGTGTGTCCGCACATCCAGGTACATCTGGGCCAGCACCGCGGACGGCAGCTTCACCATCAGTGAGGACACGGAGAACGGGGAGCTGGGCCGCGGCACGCTGCTCAAGATCCACCTCAAGGAGGAGGCGCAGGTGGGTGGGGAGGAGGAAGACTGAGCAGGAGGCAACTACTAACTAGAGGCCTGATAAGGCTGGAAATGGGGGATGGTTTCACCAGGTGTGGATGAAAAGCACTGTAGTACGATGGCCGTACCACCAGAACTACTTAAGAGCGAGTTAGGTTGGGGGATTGGTGGATGAGTTGGCCGCACGGTTGCCGAACCCTGCCACCCCTTGTCACCCCCCGCCCGCAGGAGTACGCCACCGAGGCCAAGCTGCGCGAGCTGGTGCAGCGCTACAGCGAGTTCATCAACTTCCCCATCTACATCCAGACGGAGAAGGAGGTGGAGGTGCCGGTGGAGGAGGAGGCGGCCAAGGAGGGGGAGCAGAAGGAGGAGGAGAAGGCGGCCGAGGAGGAGGAGGAGGAGGATGGTGAGCGCTGTGCAAGGAAGGGGGCGTGCAAAGGGGTATGTTGGTGCATCAGCGCTGGAGTGAGTTGCGTGCTTGTGTCACATTAAGCATCATTGCAGCAAGCAGCAGAGAAACGTCGCGCAAGGCGCCGGGGAGGTGTGCGCTACTTGCCGGTAATAACCCCTGCTTGTTGAGCTGTACCTCACTGTAGTGCCGTACCACCTGTGCCGTACCGGCCATGCAGAGGAGGGCGCTGAGGACGATGAGGAGGAGGAGGCCAAGGAAGAGGAGAAGCCCAAGGCAACTCGCAAGTAGGGCTGCGGAGCGCACTAGCAGCGGCCATGTGGTGTGGTGTGTTGTGGTGTCCTGGTGTGCTATCCATTAGCGTATGCCTGGCTGCAGTGGCGGGTTCAGGCTGCCACGGTTGCTCGCACTCCCTCGCCGCACCCTGCTGCTCCTCGTGCTGCTCGCACGAAACCGCCCGCCCATCACCCCCGCGATCCATCCACCTCACGCCCATCCACTCCTATAACAACACCTATCTATAACAACACCTACAACCACACTTCCAACTTGACTTACTTCCACCCCTTTTTCTGACTCCCTCCTGCGCCCCTTCCTTCCCTGCTTCCTCCCCTCCTCCGCGCTGCCGCGTTCAGGGAGAAGCGCCAGGAGTGGGACCTGCTGAACGACAACAAGGCCATCTGGCTGCGCAAGCCCTCCGAGGTGACGGAGGAGGAGTACCAAAAGTTCTACAAGGCGGTGTCAAAGGTGCGTGCGCGTGTTAAGAAACTGGTCGCGAGTAGGAAGCTAGGAACACGCTGGGAGAGCGTTTGTGTATTCAGTACTATACAAGCGTTTGTGCTGAAAGGGCGGCGAGTAGGAAGAAGGTAATGTGCATGCATGTGGCCCCACACGCCCCTTGCCTCATCCCCGCCTGCCTGCCGTTACCTCCCCACCCGCCTGCCGTACGCACCCAGGACTACGCGGAGGCGCTGTCCTACTCGCACTTCCGCGCGGAGGGAGACGTGGAGTTCCGCTCCATCCTCTACATCCCCTCCTTCTCGCCCTTTGACTTCTACGACAAGTACTACGAGAAGGCGCAGAACGGGCTGAAGCTCTACGTGCGCCGCGTGTTCATCAGCGATGACATGAAGGAGCTCATCCCCAGGTACGACATGTGTGGGATGTGTGGCGTACATTGCGTATGTCGTACATGGCATACGTCGTACATTGCTCTGTGCAATCAGCAAGTGCAATTAATTATCATTGCGGTGTGTATGTGATAACGCCGTCTAACCCATCACTCGCGCTTTGGCATGTTGGTTGACATGCGCCCTTGCCCCGCGTGCCCCCCTCCCCGCGACCCCCCGTGCCCCCTTGCCCCCCTCCCGCGCCCCCCAGGTACCTGTCGTTCGTGAAGGGTATCGTGGACAGCGACACGCTGCCGCTCAACGTGTCGCGTGAGATGCTGCAGCAGGAGGCGGCGCTCAAGACCATCAAGAAGAAGGTACGACAGGGGCGGCTGCGAGCGAGGAGAGAGGGGCGCCCCAAGTGTTGGTGTAGATTACACTATGGGAGCGACCGCTTTCCCTGCAACTCCCCTTCAAATCCTTTTGTGTGTGCTGAGTAAACCGGTGTGTCAATACACACCTAGTGGCCTCCTCGCAACCCCCATCCACAACCCGTGTCAACCCTCTTCACCCCTCTTTGCCCCCCGCCCCGCCATGCATCTCCTATGCGCCCGCCCAGGTTGTTCGCAAGGTGTTGGACATGATTCGTAAGATGGCGGAGACGGAGGTCAAGTGCAAGGACATGGACGGTAAGAAGGCTCCCAACACAATAGCACATAAAAGCAGCAGCACATTGCACCTGCTGCCGCCGCCCCGTCGAAATCACGATGCTGCGCGGTGCTACGCAAGCCGTGTGCCATCTTGACTGGGTCTTCTGCACCTCCTACCTCATCATCACCTACCTCATTTCCTAATCCCCTCACCCCATCCGCATCCGCATCCCATCCCCACATCCCGCAGCCAAGGGCGAGACCGAGGGCAAGCCCAGCGACAAGGAGTGCGGCCAGTACGGCAAGTTCTGGGAGCAGTTCGGCCGCGCCATCAAGCTGGGTGTCATTGAGGACGCCACCAACCGCAACCGCCTGGCCAAGCTGCTGCGCTTCTACACCTCCAAGAGCGGCGAGCAGCTCACCACGCTGGATGAGTACATTGGGCGCATGAAGGAGGGGCAGAAGAACATCTACTACCTGGCAGGTGGGAGCGGGATGGGGGGGTGGCGGGCTGAGGGTGTGGCGGTGGTGGTGTTGGGTGCTGTGTGGCGCAGGGGAGGGGAGGGGAGGCGGCGCTGCATGGCGGGGTTGCATGCAGGAAGGAGGCCGATTGCATGTGGCATGTTTCTTTTCCTGGTTTCTTCCACATCCGTCCCAACCACCCACCCAGCCACCCGCCCGCCTGCTGCTGCTGCTGCCTCACCCACCCGCCCGCAGGTGCCAGCAAGGAGGAGGTGGCGCACAGCCCCTTCGTAGAGCAGCTGCTGCGCAAGGGCTACGAGGTGATCTTCTTCACGGACGTGTTGGACGAGTACGTGATGGGGCACCTGCTGGACTACGACGACAAGAAGTTCGCCAACGCCAGCAAGGAGGACCTGAAGCTGGCGGACAAGGACGAGGTGGAGAAGAAGAAGGACAAGGTGGGGGGCGGTTGGTGTGGGAGGGGCAGGGAGGGGGAAGGGAAGGAGCAGAGGAACCAGGAGTTGCGAAAGAGCATGGAAAACTAGGTGGCGAACTTCTAGGGGGCGGAGAGGGGTGGTAATAGTGGTGGTGGTGGTGGTGGTGGTAGGGAAGGGAGGAGGACGGAGGAGAGGCGGATGGAGCTGGCGCGGGAATGCCTTACAGAGTGGATGCCCTCCTTCCCTTGTGTTGTTGTTGTTGTTGTTGTTGTTGGACAGCTCTTGTGGCGGTGCTTGTGTGTACCGCCTGGGAAACTTCGTATCCGGGTACGGTGCAATGCTTTCCCTCCGCACCCTCCTCGCCTCGCCGTAAGCCTTAAGCCTCGCCTCGCCTGCCCCCCTCAGGAGCTGAAGGAGCAGTTCAAGGACCTGACCAAGTGGTGGAAGAAGGTGGTGGACGACTCGCGACTGCAGGCGGTCAAGGTGCGTGCGTGTGCGTGCGGGGGAGGGGCGTGCAGGGGAGGCGCATGCGGCAAGAGAGATGCGGCTGCAGTGCGGCTGCCTGGTTGAGGCTGGCGGTGAGAGGGGCGGATTCACCGGGATGTGTGCGGCTCTTGTGTGTGTTACACCACGCACTACGCGAGCCAGTGCAGGATCCGTTTTACAGGGATGGTCCCCTGCTTCCCACCGTAACCCACTGTCCTCACATCTCTCTCGCGGACGTCTGTTCACCCTCAGCCTCTCCCGCCCGCCCCTCACGTCTCCCTCTCCCCCCACACCCCCACCCCAACTACACCCACCATCAACCCGCAGGTTTCCAGCCGCCTGGCCACCACCCCCTGCGTGGTGGTCACCGGCAAGTACGGCAACTCGGCCAACATGGAGCGCATCATGCGTGCACAGGCCTTCTCCCGACCCGGCGCCTCCTTCACGCCCACGCAGCGTACCCTGGAGATCAACCCCAGGTACGGAGGACGCGTGCCGTACGGACATGCCGTACGGAGGCACATAGTCCACAGTGGTGTGTTGACCGCACCGTTGCGCAGCCATGCAGTCGCCCTCTTACATACCTCGTTGCGGGATTGCAAAAACCTCAACTCCACTTCCTCCTCCCTCCTCCTATGAAGCCTTCTTCTTCCCGCTAGGTTCTTCCTCTTCACCCTCTTCTCCCTCCTCCCTCCTTTCCTTTCCTTCCCTTCCTTCCCCCAGGCACCCCCTCATCGTGGCTCTGAAGGACAAGCTGGCCGCCGCCGCCTCCGAGGACGCGGTGGATGAGGCCACCTCCGCCACGGCGCGCCTGCTGTACGAGACGGCCCTGCTGGAGTCGGGTTTCGTGCCGGATGACGCCAAGGCCTTCAGCTCGCGGATGTACGCGGTGCTGAAGGGCACGCTGGGTGTTGAGTCGTTGGAGGTGGCGTTGGAGGAGGAGGCGGGACAGGGTGAGGAGGAGAAGAAGGAGGTGGCGGGTGAGGAGGGTGCGGCTGAGGAGGAGGCGGAGGAGAAGGAGGAGGCGAAGGATGAGCTGTGAAGGGGCTGGAGGTGACGATATGAGGAGGAGGTGGAGGTGTCCCCATGGTGTTTTCGAGTGGTTTGCGAGCGGGGATGTGGGTGGTTTTGATGGCAGTATGGGCGGGCGGCGTGTTGCCGCATGTGCCATGTCGAGAGCGAATGTGAGGAGGGGGAGGTGTCCCCACTGCAGAGCTAAGCCGTAGAGCTTGATGCGGTTAGCGTGCGTGCGCGTGTGTGCGCGCGGGTTGTGTATTGGGTTGTGTTGCGTGGGTCGGACTGTGACAACGGTCTTCGCTTCTGAGTGCCGGACTTGCCCCTAGATGGCTTGAAGAGAGGGAGAGACTTGAACGACCTTTTCGAGAGAATACCGGGAAGTGGCTGGTTTAAGCCGGCCTATAGTTTGTATAGAAGTGCTGGCGTGAGCAGCAACCTACTCAGGTGCTGGCGTGAGCAGCAACCAGCTCACTAGGGAAAAATCCCTGCCTTTGCGTGCAAGCAACGCGTTGTAATTTTTTCCTGCAGGCTGGGTCGCTTAACACAAAACGTACTGCTGGGACACGCTTGGTTTGTTCTACGTTTTGCTTTGCGCGTCCTGGACTGTAAGCAATGCGTTGGGAGAGGATCGAAAGGATCTGAGTTCGCATGTGCATATGACGTGCTAGACTCGCACAAGCCTACAGGATGGACCATACGGTGTGGTGGGGCGCCAGCGCGCCATCGAGCAATACCAGCCATTCGCGCAGGCCAGTTACCGCAGAACAGAGCTGCACTGTTGCCCTGAAGGCCATGCGAACGCTAACGGGCGCCCCTGTAGCTTCTGGCCTTTGGGTAGTCATCGCGCTGCATACTTGGCTAACATGTAAGGAACGATATGCGGCGATGTGGCAAGCGGTGGTACATGAGCTAGTGTAGGCCAGGTATACCTCCTACTAATCTTAACCGCGGGGATCGGTTTATTTTATATTTATACATTTGGAGCGTCTACATGGTGATCCGTTGGTTTTAGTGAGGGGTAATCGCGCCTATGTGCAAGTCCATGCATTGAAATTTTGCATGGCCGCGACCTGGAGGTCCACGGTGTCCTGCCCGGATGACATTTTGCGGGTTGCAATGTATGGTTCATAACAATGTAAGGGAGACACCAACACGTCCGATTAGACTTCCTTAATAATTAAGGGGAATAGAGACTCGACCAAAGTCCAAACTGGAACCACCAAAATTACCAGGCATAGCTTCGGCTACTGTCGAGAGCATCATAAGGCTTGAGAAGCTGGACAAGGTGTCAAGCGATGCTGTCCCTGTACTGCGACGTTGCTGTCCTAACCGCAGTCGGTTGGGGAGCACCCGCACATATCTGAGACAAGATTTGCCTTCCTCTTACGTAAAACGTTTTGCTTTACATCCATTGCTTACGAACCTGCACATTATTTCGACCGTTAAGTGGTACTTGTCACAGCGGTCCGCACGCGATGGCTCGGCGGGAAAGGCAAGGATCAACGCGTACGCAGAAAGGTATGTCAGAACTGTAAAATGAAAACTGTCGCACCAATTCAGCATAACGAGCGTGCGTATGATTATTCGTCGTCCGTATGCTTGCTTGCACATAAACAGTAATGCCCGTAGGCCTATGAGCAAACGTTTAGCAATAGGAAACTAACATGGATAACAACCTGACGCAGGCCTCGGTGTAGCCTTGCTGCTATTTGCATGTGCCGCAACTGCAATGGCATCGACATCTGCCGACGACTACAAACTCGGTACCGTCATCGGCATCGATCTGGGAACCACCTATTCCTGTGTAGGAGTCTATCAGAATGGTCGTGTCGAGATTATTGCAAATGACCAAGGCAACCGCATTACGCCATCCTACGTCGCTTTCACTGACACCGAGCGCCTTATTGGCGAGGCGGCTAAGAACCAGGCCGCATTCAACCCCAAGCGCACCATTTATGGCATTAAGCGCCTCATAGGCCGAAGGTAAGCATCCTGCTGGTAATGAGTACAGCACCTTGGGTGCATCTAAACTTCTAAAGTACTCGTAAACCTGTGTGGCTGAAAGGGTGGTTCGCCTGCGCTTAGCTAGCAGTCATCACAACCAACACCTCAAGCCCACCCTTGACACTAAGTCTGAGCCCCGCCTTCTGGAGCTTCTTTATGCTCCCAACTGATAACAAATACCTATAATCATGCATTCATGGCTTTCCGACGCTTGTTTCTCTTGCTCCTCACATTCCCCAATCCTACGTAGTCGCCAATGTCTCAGACTTCCCTTGCCACTCTGCCGTGCCTGATGTACGACAGGTTTGAAGACAAGGAGGTACAACAGGACAAGAAGCTCGTGTCGTACGACATCGTCAACCGAAGCGGCAAGCCGTACGTTTCGGTTGAGGTCAACGGCGAGACACGCGTGTTCAGCCCCGAGGAGATCTCCGCCATGATCCTACACAAGATGAAGGAGACGGCTGAGGCCTATTTAGGCAAGCCTGTACAATACGCTGTCGTTACCATTCCAGCCCACTTCAATGACGCGCAGCGACAGGCAACCAAGGACGCCGGCACCATCGCGGGCCTCAATGTGGTTCGCATCCTCAACGAGCCAACCGCCGCCGCCGTGGCCTACGGATTGGATAAGAAAGGAGGTTAGTTGGTTAGTTTGCCGTACAACGGCTGCTGGGGCAAGGTGGGCTACGGTAAGCAAAAGCGGTATTGGCGCTACCCACTATCCGGGGGCATCACCAGCATTGGCGTGGATGGAGTAATGGCTATTGGGTGTGGGGGGGGGGGTATGGTCAGAATGGAGGTGTGTGTGGGAGGGGTATGGTCATGAACTCAGAATGGCATTCTGACCACTCCGAAGTGCACGGCGGTTGGCCTGTTCCCACCCGTATGCCCCCAACACATCTAAACGTATGCACGGTTCTTCTTTTCCCCGCACCCCGCACCTCCCACCCCTGCAGGTGAGAAGAACATCCTGGTCTACGACCTAGGCGGCGGCACCTTCGACGTGTCCATCCTCGCCCTCGACAATGGCGTCTTCGAGGTCATCGCAACCAACGGCGACACCCACCTGGGTGGCGAGGACTTCGACCAGCGTGTTATGGAGTACTTCATTAAGCTGATTAAGAAGAAGTACAAGAAGGATGTCAGCGGTGACGCCCGTGCGCTGCAGAAGCTCCGCCGTGAGGCTGAGCGTGCCAAGCGTGCCCTGTCCAGCCAGCACCAGGTAGGGACACAGTTCGGGGGGCTGCGTGAATTGGGTACGTTTGCCTTAAATTGTGAACGGGTGGGGTCATGCATGGGTTCAGGCAGGTGTGCTGCTATTTCACGTATGCTACATGATGATTGGCTATGATGGCTGGCAGCCAAGTCCAGTTTACTGGGATGCTATCCGCACACCTGCCCTTCAACCTGTACCCTCCCCCCTACGCCGCTGTTGTACCGGTAGGTTCGCGTGGAGATCGAGGCTCTGTACGACGGCATCGACCTGTCGGAGCCACTCACCCGCGCCCGCTTCGAGGAGCTCAACATGGACCTCTTCAAGAAGACCATGGGGCCCGTCAAGAAGGTGAGAGGAGGGGGAGCGGATGGCAGGGCGTGAAAGGTGGGGCGGGGAGGAGAAGGGTGTGTATGCGAGGCGTATGTTGGCGTTTGGTTGGCCTGTGGCAGTTATTATTGCCAACCATACGCAGCATGCGCGTTGGTGGGATCCATGGGAAGGACCCATGGGTCAGCATGCATTTGGTCTGCACGCCGCAACCGTAGACGTTGCAGCTAGTCCCATCTCTGACCACGCGCACACGTGGCCACGTGTTTGAATCTCTTCCCTCCAATACCTCTTCCCCCCAGGCGATGGACGACGCCAACCTGAAGAAGAGCGAGATCGACGAGATCGTGCTGGTGGGCGGCTCCACGCGCATCCCCAAGGTGCAGGAGCTGCTCAAGGAGTTCTTCGAGGGCAAGGAGCCCAACAAAGGAGTCAACCCGGATGAGGCGGTGGCATACGGAGCGGCGGTGCAGGGAGGCATTCTGGGCGGAGCAAGTAAGGGGTGGGGGTGCAGAGGAAGAGACCTGTGTGAAGTAAGGCGGAAGGGGGGCATGTGGAGATGTGAGGTGTGGAGAACGGCTGCGGGAAGAGTGGATGGGTGGCCTTATGGTAGCTGAGGGCAGTTGTTGTGTAGTAACCTTCAATGCGCCATGCCCCCATGCACCATGCCCCCTCCGGACCCTGAAGCCCACCCCTACCCGCACCCCACCCTTCAATGCAACCCACAACCCCCCGCGCTGCTGTTGTCGCAGTGGACGAGGGTATCAAAGACATCCTCATTACCGACGTGGCCCCGCTGTCTCTGGGCATTGAGACGGCGGGCGGCGTCATGACCCCCGTCATCCAGCGCAACACCATTATCCCCACCCGCAAGTCGCGCATCTTCACAACCTACACCGACAACCAGCCCGCGGTTTCCATTCAGGCGAGAGCGGGCTGGGTGGGCCGCATGTAGAGGTGTGCGTGTAGAGAACTTGTCGCGAGCACTCGCGGAACGAGTCCTGTGCGTGGGCTGCGTGCGATGGGTCCGTGTGGTGTGTGCGATGCTGTTGGTTTCGCTAGCTAGCTGCATAGCGCGAGTGTGTTAAGAAAACTGGCCGCGAATCGGAATGGCCACGGTTTGCTGTGTGTTGGGCGTGAGCTGGGAATGGGACGGACGCTTTGACCCTTTGTGACCTTGCAAGTGTCCCTGGGGATCCTGCCACTGCTGTGTACAGCATGGTTTTCTTCTTCTTCTTCTCCTCTTCTGGTCCCGTCCAGTTCTTCATGTTAACCGCCCTCTTCCCTCCTTCCCTTCCCTCCCCACCCCTTCCCTTTGAATGCGCTCACTGCATGAGTCGGGATATGGGATTGGGACTCGTTGTTTCACTTATTTATTTTTTTCACCCCTTCCCTTCCCCCCCGCGTCAGGTGTTCGAGGGCGAGCGCGCCATGACCAAGGACAACCACAAGCTGGGCCAGTTCGACCTCAACGGCATCCCGCCGGCGCCGCGCGGCACCCCCCAGATCGAGGTCACCTTCGAGGTGGACGCCAACGGCATTCTGAACGTGGCCGCCGAGGACAAGGGCACGGGCAAGAAGGAGAAGATCACCATCACCGCCGAGAAAGGCCGCCTCAGCCAGGACGACATCGAGCGCATGGTCCGCGAGGCGGAGGAGTTCGCGGAGCAGGACAAGGCCGTCAAGTCCAAGATTGACGCGCGCAACCAGCTGGAGACGTACTGCTACAACATGAAGAGCACGGTGGAGGACAAGATGAAGGACAAGATTGACGAGGAGGACAAGGAGGCGATCAGCACTGCGGTGAAGGAGGCGCTGGAGTGGCTGGACGAGAACCCGGATGCGGGTGGGTGGGATAGCGGGGAGGAGGAGGGCGGGCTGGGTGGGGGTATGGGCTAGGGTAGTGGCCCGGTGCGGGATGGATCGCGTCGAAAGGAACAGCAAACGATTGCCTGTGTGCTGCCCTTGCCGGTGCGTGTTGGCAAATACGAACACGGCTCATAGCAATGACCTTAACACGTGCGTTCCTCCATTCCCCTCGTCCCACCCCCAGAGCCCGAGGACTACAAGGACAAGCTGAAGGAGGTGGAGGACGTGTGCAACCCCATCATCACCAAGATCTATCAGGCCAGCGGCGGCCCCAGCGGAGGGTCGGGGGACTCGGCGGAGGGCCGGGGGACGATGGGTTACGACGAACTGTAGAGGGAAGCTGTAGAGCTGCCGAGATTGGAAAGGGCGAAAAGGGCTGGTCTGGCAGGGGATTCGGAAGCCTAGTGGATGCATGAAAGTGTAGGAGCTGTGGAGAGGTGGGAGGGACGTACGTGGAAGGAGCGGAGAAGCGCAGTGGGGGGATGGTTGCTGCTGGGGGGGGGGGGGCGCAGTACGCCATCTCAGCAGCAGTGCAGGTTGGAAGGTCGGGGCGTTGACGGTTGTGGTTTTGGCATGGATAGCGGGCGGTTTGTGGTATAGCTTGGGCGCCTCACTTGGGCGGACAACACATGTGAGGCAAGAAACGGATGAGGACTGGAACGCCGATGAAGCAGACACTGTACTGGCTATGCATAAAGTGGTTGCGAATTGAAGGATGGTCCCTTCCGGAATCCCAATCAGGGGAAGGAAGGATCCCATCCGGGCAGCCGAGGTGTGCAGTGGAAAATTGAGGTCCTGAGTTAAAAGGGTTCCTCAAGTCCTGAAGAAGTCGCAGTTGCAGTGAAAGCTAAGCCTGTAAGGGCTTACATACGATGGGGGGCCGGCTGGGGCAGCGCCATCCATTGCCCAAAGGCAACAGTGGTAGGCAGATTGACACGGAACCAACCGCCTGACCCTTGGGACCCGATCGCGCTTCCACTGGATGTGACGAACCTATCAGATAAGGATTCACTTTAAGGCTCTATGGCCGTCATATCGAACGGATGTTGCAGTCTACCCGGGCCTCGTTGCGCAACAGCTAAACGACCCCGCACGACATTCGCGAAGAAGAAAGAGCATAACGCATATTTGCATTTATACATAGTTGTTCAGGTATTGGCTTTAGGATCAGCCACGGGCGGCCCTTGCATCCGTTTCTCCATACAATAGATTTCTTCGCGTTGCGTTCAGAAGGTACAGAGAGGTGAATGCAGTCTGAACCTGGAAACGTAGGTATAATAAGTAAAAGCAGTAGCATTGTGCACGTCTCTGAACTCATGGCTTCGTCAAGCGGGACAGAGGTTGGGGTTGAGGTAGAAGAGGAGGTTGAATACGTCGAGGAAGTTGTTGAATATGAAGAGGAAGAGGAGGAGGTTGAGGTAGAGGAGGAAGTTAACGAGGAGGCTAAACCAACGCCTTCAAATGCTGAAGGCCAGTCCAGTTCGGAAGCGCCAGCTTTAGAAGCGTCAAGACAGCCTGCAGCAGACGAGGACAAAGCTGAAGATGAGGTTCCCGTCCCACCTCCAACTAGCATCGCTGCTAAAGACGGGGACCATGGTGAGCCATTCCGAGCAGAGCCTTCAGCCTCGCAGCCGGACGGCGCAGATGCTCCTGCAGTTGCATCTGCTTCCACTTCTGAGGCGGCTAAAGGAACAACGGCTGGCGTGGGCGTAGATCTGGACCTAAAGCAGCTCGAAGCACAGGCTGCGAAGGTAAGCACATGTCCCAACATAGCCTCTGCGAGCTAACACGCCCAGGAATCCCTCCCCCTCCCGTTAAGCATACCGCAACAAGGAGAACTGATCCTTTTCCGCAGGTGGCGAAGGAGGTGTCCCAAGTCGCGCTGGACGTCTCCAGCAAGGTACGCGCAGCTGCCTTACCCTCCTTCCCACCCCTCCTTCTCACCGCGCCGGTAAACCCCATCCCGCACCCATCCGCACTCCACCCAAGCCACACCCCTCCCTCTCTCTCTTTCTCCGCTTCCCATCACCCGCACAGCTGACTGCCGGCTTCCGCAATGCCTTTGGTGGCGGCTCCTCATCTTCCGCGGCCTCTGGAGCCGACGCTTCCTCTTCCTCGGGCTCCGCCGCCGCCGCTGCCGCCGCCGCCTCCCTCACGCGGCTAGCTGGCGGCCTGAGCAGCTGGTGGGGATCGTTGGACCCCGCGCCACAGCCCGTGAGGGACGAGACGGCGGAGAGGGTTGCCAGTTCAAACAAGGTACATTGTTTGTTGTTTGCACGTTCGTACGTGTACGGAATCAACCAGGGGGAGGACTATGTATCAATGAACGAGTAAAACCAGCATGAGAGTATGAGATACGAGGTAACAAGTGCTTGCGGTAAACAGTGCTACTCATATACAATATAGTCGTTCACCACCATCCTCCTGTCCTCCTATGCCATCCTATGCTACGGCCACGGTCAGTATTCATCGCGGCTCAGTTCATCTGTCTTTCCCTCTTTCCCCGCCACCCGCACGCACGCACGCACACTGCCCGCAGGCCAGCAGTGAGCTGCAGGCGCTGTTCGGTCTCTTCCCCGAGGAGGCCCTGGTGGAGCACTTCCGCTGCAAGCTGCTGCAGACCTACGCGCCCAACCACAACTCCCACACGCCCGCCATCCAGATGTCCTTCCAGGGCACGCTGTACGTGACGGACCGCCACACCTGCTTCTGCGTGGAGGAGCGAGGTCGCAAGATTCCCTTCAAGGTGCCGCACAGCCAGGTGGTGAGGGCGACACGGCAGCGACCCGCACGCAAGGGTGAGACGCGAGGGAGGAGGAGGAGGTTGAGGAGGCTTTAGGGGCTTGTGGGCGGTGGTATGTAGTTGGTGGTGGTGGGCTGGGATGATGGCCGGCGGGTAGGGGGTACAGGGCAAGGGAGGCTCGATCCGAATCAGTCACGTTGTATACTGTCCGAACCGCTTCTTTCCCAACTTCCTGCTCCCCTGCTCCCCCTTGCGCTGCTCCCCAGGCGACCTGTCTGACGTGTTGAAGCTGGAGCAGGTGAGCGGCCAGTGGCTGGCCTTCAAGGACTTTGAGAGCGGCTCCGCTCTGGACAGCGCACTGGCGCTGGTGGAGCACCTGGCGGAGGCGGGCAGCAGCTAGGGGGGGAGAAGAGGGATAAAAAATTATATAATGAGAAGCAGCTAGGGGGGGAGAAGAGGGAGGAGGAAACTGGCGAGCTGTATGACGAGGCTAGGTATGCCTCTTAAGCATCGTGAAGATTCGAGGGCGCCCGTCCGGAAGCGCGGTTGGTAGGTGGGTGCCGTACGTCGATGATTTTGTTAGTCAGGAATCTGGGGGAGGTAGCTGAGGAGGTGCTGTTGTGCACGCGTGATGAGGGCTACGCGTATGCCTGCTGTTTTGCTTGCTCGCGGTCAGAACGCGCCGGTGTGGCTGTGATATTGAGGCAGCAGCGCGGCACGCAAGATCGGTTCTGGACAGGTTGAGCCCAAGGTGCTTGGCATGCTGCTACGGGTGCTATTTACGTGCCTCTATTTGTTTCCAGTTCTTCTGTGACACATGGTAAGGGCTACTGGTTGTGGTGGGGCTACTATTAAGCCCTCGGGACTGGCCTTTGAACTTTGTCGACCTCTTTTTCCGTGATCTTTGTGTAAGAAGGCGCTGTCGTACATGTCGTGTATGCTGCCAACTGGGTTTTTGCTGCTGCTGCTGCGGGCGTCTGCTGCATAGTATTGCATGTCTACACATGAGGGCAGGAGGGACCCCGGCATTTGCCCCTAGCCGGTTTCGCTGTGCAACGCAAACGTGTTGGGTAGCGGTCCGGTCACGGCTCATCTCACGCTCATGCCGTCACACCCGCACGGCACCATGGTTGAACTGCAAGCGAGCTCCACACTGAGCCCTCCCTGCGCACGTTCCCTAGCAGCTGCAGCGATGTCCGCTGCGGGGCCATGTGCGGTCGCTACACCGCGGCACCCCCGCTGCTGCTCCGGGCACAAACGTGGAAGACATTCCTTTCCCGCGTTCCTTCCCACCCCACCACGTAAAGCATGCATCCATAGCTCTAAATACCGGTAGGAGATGCCACAACTCCATTCCGCCAAGCTTCCACCACCTTTCCTCGCAAACTAGCGCAATGACTTATGCCCACGTTTAAAAGTAATAAATGTTTGCGAGAGTCACTGGTTGCATACTTGCAAGCCCCCGTGGGTTGCCCCCTCATCACCCTCGTCGCGCACATGAGTACGGTATGCAGCGGCTGCACAGCACCAGGCACACGTGGCCTGGCAAGATGGCTTGTAGTAGTCCGAGATGACAAGGACACACTGCACACAAAAGCAGCGGCATCAGCGCAACATCACCGGCACATGCAGCATGTTTTTGAGTTTTGACACTGTAGCAGGGACGTGGCCCGCCCAAATCACCGCACTGCACCTTTCCGTTCGTTCATTCGTAGGATACGGGAGAACAGGCACGTTCCCCTCCCTGTTAATCATTCGTTTATCGGTTATCCCGGTATTGCATCGTAGGCAATGCGAGATCCGCCCCACATGAGTCGTCACAAGTCCTGCCCTCTACCTTATCGAGCGCCTCAAACCACCGTCTCCAAACACTCAAAGCCCGCCACATCAGCATGCCTTAACCCCAGCGCACGAATCGGAAATGGAGTCCGTGCACCACACCTTTCCTCCAGCCCTCCTACCGGGGCAGTTCTCCCCATGCCGCCATGCTGCTGCTGCGCCGTACATCACCCCGCACCCACATCATTCATATCGGTGCCGCCCACACCACCAGCAGCTGCAACCCCGCCTTACACCTCCTACGGGTTGGTCTACCCTCCACGCTCACACTTCCGCTGCACGCAGCGCTCTAGCACCGGTGTCACTGAGCCCGCAGGCAGCTTGCAAGGCAGCTCCCGTTTCCCACCAGCCAGCCAGCCAGCCAGCCAAGCCCGCCCCCATGTGCCTCCCCCTCCTCCTCCTCCTCACACCCTGCTGGCCAGCCAGCCAAGCGGCGGTGCTATCATCACACCCTGCTGTCAGCCTCCCGCCCCTCCGCCACCACCAGCTGCTGTCGCGAGGTGGAGGTGGAGGAGTCCAGCGGTAACAGCTCCCGCTCGCGCTCCCGGGAGGAAGACTCCCCGCCACCCTCCCTGGACGACCTCCGCCCCTGCTGCTGCTGCTGGGGATCATGATCTGGGTGGTAGCTGTACGGGTAGGGGTACTGGTACGGATACGGTGTGGGGTACTGATCGGAGGAGGACGGCGGCGGCAGCAGCGGTACCGGCAACCCGCCGTCACTATGCGCCCGCCCGCCGCCTTCACTGCTACCCCCACCCCCACCACCCCCACCCAGCTTCCGCAACGCTAGGTCCGCCTGGCGGGTGTCCCACACGGGCTTCAGCACCAGAAAGTACTGCAGCGTGAGCACCAGCGCGGTCACTGCAACCATGTGTGCGACCCGGAGCGCCTCGAAGCCCAGTTGGAAGGGGTGGAAGAGCACCGTGCAGCCGCGGCAGGCCAGCCCCACCGCCACCCAGCCCGTGGTGAGGAGCTGCAGGGTGCGCAGGCGGCGCGTGATGACGCGGTTGACCACCACGGCGGCGATGCGCTGCGTGACGATCCACAGCGCCAGCAAGCAGACGGCGCAGACGGCGGTTGAGGCAAAGGTGGAGAGCAGCGGGAAGACGCAGAAGGCGCAGTTGTTGGGGTCAACGGAGGCGGGGTCGCAGTGCTGGGACTGGTTGGGATCGTAGGTGGCAAAGAGGAGGCGCAGGATGCGGCTGTGGGTGTAGTCGAGCTGGACGATGCGGGTGAAGAGGGCGGCGACGACTTGTGCGGCGCAGGCGGGGAGGGAGAAGCCGATGGTGAAGAGGAGGATGTTGCTGTTTGGGCTGCGGGCGGAGTCGCGGCCTTGGACGGAGTAGAGGCAGGCAAAGACCGCGAGGAGTAAGAAGCCCGGTTCGAATATGCCGTAGGTGGCTGCGATGTAGACGCGGCAGAAGATGGTCGGGTAAAAGCCACCTTCCTTGAACACCGATGCCGGGCCCCATAATAACTGCAGACGCAACAGGTGTGATATCGCGTATACCGCCGATAGCAAGCCCATGAACGCCCTGATGCGCCATAAGTAGTTAAACTCCCGTGCCGCGGGTCGGCGGCTGGAGCTGGAGTAGGCGAGGGATAGACATGCGCCGGCGAGGCTGACGAAGAACAGGCAGGCTGCGACGCCGATGATTCCCCAGTCGATGCCATCGACTACGACCTGTCTCATGGCTCCAGCAGCAAGGCTGGACCGTCGGTTAGGGCCGTGCGCGTGGGAGTCTCCAGCTCGCTCAGGTGCTGCCGGTCATCTGCCAGGGCTGCTGCTATTCTGGGGCGCCCGTGGGGGCGCCCAAGCAGTTAATAGTTTGCACTTCCACGAGAGCTGCCTCTGGATAGCGGCACGTTAGCGGTCTGTCGTTCGCGCCTATTTGGGAGAAGCTGCGCAGTGTCTTCGGGGAAAATAAAACGACTCTGCTATTTAACGTATATCTTTCATAGTAAACTACAGATCACAGCTGCCTGCTGATTTGTGGCAGGACCTCAAAAACAAAGTCATCATGTATGGGCCTGGGGCATACAAGTCCCTACCAGGAAACAAAGCGCACATATGCAAAGGCCGTGGACGCGCATATACAGTACTGATGTTAGGACTGCCTGCAGGCAGGTGTGGTACTACCCAGGGTAGTACGGCTCCGTTGATGCACCCTCACCCCCAATCATAGTTAAAGGTAATCCTTAATGCAGTCGCTTAGCGCATACAGGGACTTGTACGAGGGCGTCGATCTGCTAACCCGGCTAGGCTTTAAAGTCTACTACGTAATATGAGCCAGTCGGCACAGAGCCTCATTAGGTTGGCGTTTGGGGTCGCCAAAGGGCAGCAACACATCCAGCAAGCGAAACGTCTGTTTGGGGCAGCAGCAGAACTTCGGCGAGGAGGGCCTGTGCCAGATGGCCACCTAAATTCGGACCTCAGCCCAACCGTATGTCACATCGGGCTAGGCAGGCGCCGGGACCTGACATTGCGACAGGATCTACGCTTGTGGCAGGGCGACAAGCAGCTTACGCTGGCGGAGGTCTTCAAGGCAAGGCCAAAGCCCTGCAAGTGTATGCGCCGAATGCTCCGGCCCCACCTAGTCGCGTGTCAAAGACCAGTAGCCTACAGGCCTCACTTCATGTTCATCAGCCGTCTTTGGCTCCGGCTGTTTATTCCGGTCACGCAGGGCAAGAATGTCGTCCTCGTGGGCTTCCCAGGTGGCCCAGTCTGCGTTGAGCAGCACATCCCCGGCTACATCGCCCAGGTAAATACACCACACCCACGCGCGACACAACACAGCACTTGAGCACAACAGCGTGTCTTCATTACCTGTGCAACGTGGCGTACCAACTGCTTTGGTGGGACCTGGCCTTCCAAACCCAGTACCCCAGTCCCGCACAGACCAGTCCTCCACCGTCCTCCACTGAACCTCCCTCCTCCTTGCCAAGACCTCTACATCATGACCCCGCACCCCGCCGCCTGCACCACACCCCCACCCTCCGCTGCTGCTGCCCAAACGTCGCTGCTGTTCCTCCTCTCCTACTTGTCTACTCCTCAACTGCCGCTGCTGTTCCTCCCCTACTGCTGCTCTGCTTCCGCAGTCTGAGAAGCTGGGCAGCATGGGGGTGGACAAGGTGCTGTGTGTGACGGTGGACCTGCCCGAGCAGGTGGCTGGGCTGGCTGCCAAGCTGGGCCTGGGGAGCGGCAGCAAGGTGCGGCACCCCTGCGGGCTCCCTGCCCTCCTTGCAACCGAACCGACTGGGCCCCTATGACATGGGTGGGAAGCGAGAAGCGCGTGTCCAGCTGTTAAGGAACAGCGGATGATACGACTGCGCTGCGCCGTCGGGGCTATACATGTCATGGGGCTACATGTTGTCTGCTGTGTCGGACCGGTGGCGCGATGGCCTCCTGGTGCGGCTGCTGCCCACGGTGGCTCTTTGGGAGCTGCTGAGAACGGTACCGCGACCTGCACTAACCCTGCCCCTGCCCCTGCCCCTCCACTTGTCCATGTGCTTAGTAAGTTAGCATGGCTATTGCCTGTTGGTCTGTGGGTGGATTGAGATTGCTTCCTTGGCGGCCGGTGTCGATGGGTGCAGGTGGAGTTGCTGGCGGACCGCAATGGAGGCGTGGTGCGGCTGCTGGGGCTGGAGATGGGCAGCCCGGAGGCAGCGGCGGGACCCAAGTGCCAGCGATATGCGGGGGTGGTGGAGGACGGAGTGCTGCTGAAGCTGGTGCGTGAGGGAAAGGGAACAGTGATGATGTCGGTGATAGTCGCCATGTTGGTGATATGTGGCACGCGGATGGGAGGGGAACATTAATATGCAGGGGATCTGGCAGGCAATCTTGCGAACCCGAGTAAACTCTCCCTCCCCACTTTCCAATTTACGCAGCGCGTCGAATCTACGCCGGCGGATCTCAAGGTCACGGATGCGAAAAGCATGATCGAGCTGTGGAAGTGCATTTACCCTAACGCGTGCAAATAAGGGACAGCGCGCAGCTGTGAATTGTATATTGCGTTCTGTGAGCCCGGGATTAGTGGAATTGGAATGTCATGACGGGCAGGAGAGAGTACTGCTTTTGTGAACAACAGTTTTGGACGAGCCTCTGTGTTTGGCTCCCATGTTGACACGCCTATGTAGAATAGTTTTGAGGGATTTGAACTATGCTTAATGCAGGCTTTAATGTGCTACAAACTGTTAGCTGTCTTCCTTTCGACTTTTCGCATGACTTGCCGATAGATCAGGCCTAGCAAGGCAGACACATGTACGTTAGTTACATTTGATTTTGTGTAAATGGAGTAGAAATTCCTCAATGATACACAGCCCGATGCTCCTGCACTTCATACGGCTCCTACCCGTGTTATACATATGCAGCTTATGTACATACTCATCGCAGGCTCTAACAGATAGGCAAAATGCGTTTGAGACATGGTCGGAGAAAGCAGGCTGCCGTGACAGCGACTCTTCGTGCCAGGATTGGGCCAACATCGGCGAGTGTGACAAAAACCCAAAATTCATGAAAGCGAGCTGCCCCCTGGCGTGCAAGCTTTGTCAGGCTCCTGAGATTGATCCGCGAAGCTATGTAGGCGAGACCCTTGTGCTCAACTGCTCGCTGGGCCAGGTGGGAGGCAACGGCATGGCTAGGGGACCGCGGGGGAGGCTCGCCACATCACCTGCACGCCGGATGGCCACCGCCTCACAACCTCGCACCCGCACATGTTTCCACACGCGATGGGCGCCCCAACCTACCCTACCCCCGGGCCAACAGTGGGTCTCCCGTGTCCCTACCTGACCCGCTATCACCCACCTGCTGTGGTCCTGCTGCTGCTGTCACCGCCGCTGCCGCAGATCCGCATCCTGCCGTACTTTGACCGCGCCCCGCTGACCGCCGCGCTGGTTCTGGAGCTAGCCCACCAGCACCACCAGCAGGGGGGAGGGGGCTCCGAAACCGCGTGCAGAGGCTGTAACTTCTACCGGAATGAGGCCGTACCGCAGGTGCGGTACCGTACTGCCGGAAACACCACAACGGTACTCGCGCCATCACAACGCGCGCCTCAACGCTTGGCTTGGTTGCCGTACCTCTGTCGTACCCCGGCGCCCGCCCCTTCCCATGGAAGAAGCACACTCCACCCCTTTCGTATAGCACCCTTGATGAATGGACTGTCATGGGCCCACGGGTTGCCATCGCCCTGACCTTTCCGGAAATAACCCGGAACAGTGCCGGATCGGCACCTCACGCGCTTCTCTCCTTCCCCTGCCCTCACGCACTTCAGCTTTTTCCCAAAATTACACGCAATTCCACCATTCCCTATTCACCTCCTGCCCTGCCCTGCCCTCCCTGGACCCCCCGCACCGCCCCCTCCCTGCAGTCCGGCTCGGGTCCCCCCTACGGGCTGCTGCAGGGCAGTCTGGCGGGGCTGCTGCAGGTTCCGGAGCTGGAAGGGGCGGGGGGCGGGGAGATGAGGTGGGGCGGGGGGCTGGAGGGGGCTGCGTGTCCCTTCTCAGGGGTTTCTAGGTGTGGGTGTGAGTGGGGGGAGGGGGGTAAGGAGGAGGAAACTGATGAGCTGTATCCTGTATGACAAGGCTGGCGGGTGGGGAATCCGGAGGCGGGCGGCGCATGCGGTAGGGTGGTGTAGCGGTGGGGAGGGGGGGGTGGCCGGGAGCTACACCGGTAGGAGATCCCGGAAGAGAGCGGCTAGGAGGTGGAGAGGGAGCAGCAGGAGGTCCCTGCAAGCGGGCGGTGGCAGGGGGAAGCAGGGAGCAAAGGAGGGAGCGAAACCCTACGTGGTGTGTGGGGCGTGTGTGACCATGTTCCCTCCGCTCCTTTCTCCACCTCCCTCCCTCCCGAGCGCAGGCGGGGGCACGTGGCGATGATACCCGGGACACGAGAGTGAGTGTGACACGGGGTCGGTGCGGTGCGGGGTGCGGGGTGGGGGCATGTGGAAGGGGCAGAGGGGGAGCTGGGAGTGCGGGGAGTGTGGGAGGCCGTGGATGTGCTTCTTGGGTCTCCTGGGGTGCCCGTACCGAGGCACAAACCGACCCGTGGCTGACTGGTATGGTGGTCATCATCGTGACATAATCCGTCTACCAGTAACCCCCACCCCCACCACCCCACCCCCACTCCCACTCCATCCCCACCTCTCCACCACCCCAACCCCAATCCCCAACCCCAATCCCCAACCCCAATCCCCAACCCCAATCCCCAACCCCAATCCCCAACCCCAATCCCCAACCCCAATCCCCAACCCCAATCCCCAACCCCAATCCCCAACCCCAATCCCCAACCCCAATCCCCAACCCCAATCCCCACCCCCACCCCAACCCCCACCCCAACCCCAACCCCAACCCCAACCCCAACCCCAACCCCAACCCCCAGGTTCTTCATCAACGCCATGCCCCACCCCGGCTGGTCCTCCTCCATGACAGTGTGGGGGGAGCTAGCGGACGAGCCCTCCATGCAGGTACGGCGGGGGCCGGGGGCGGGGCCGCCGAGCAAACCCACCAAGAGCATGCAACCCATGGTACCGCTCGTGTCATGCGACTTCCTTACTTGTCACACAGTTAGTTTATTAGTTGTTTACGGTCCCTTCCTCCTCCTACCTCCCTTCCTACCCTGACCGCCCCGCAGGTTGTGGAGGCGCTGCTGCAGCTGCCGTACCACGAGGTACGACATCCCACGTACGGCACCGTCATGCGCATGTTGGACGAGCAAGTGCGCTTCGTGCCCATGCTGGACGAGCGAGGGGGGAACGTGGGTGGGAGAAAGGAGGGAGAGGAGGAGGGCGTGGGTGGTGGTGGTGGTGGTGCCGTGGGGAGGGAGGGGGAGGGTGGGGTGACGGCGGGGTATGCGAGCGGGGGCTTGGATGGGAGTACCGAAGGGGCTGAGAGGGTGTGATGGGGCAGGCGAAGGGGGATGAGTTGGAAGGAGGGCCGTACACCTGACTAACACGGCCGTGAACGACACAGGGAAAGACACCAACCCGCTCTAATGGACATGGAGAGTGAGGGAATGGAGGGTGTTACAACCGGCAGGACTGCCCCTCCCTGTAAGAGGCCCCCTGATGGCTCCCTTCCCTCGGTGGGTACGGTATGACGTACGATACCGCTCAACCTTGTTGGGCCCTTGTACGCGTATGCGTCAAAACAGAACAACTGGTTCAATGAAACTTTCATGAAACACTATCCAGGCAGGCTCTTCACACCAGGGGGGACGTCCCCTCACATCACACATCGTGAATCCGTACACACGAACACAGCCCCCACACTTGTTTAGTTGTAACAATATACGCTTTCCCGTAGGTGTGCAATGCACGCTGCTACAGCTGTCTGAGAGCCGACAGCAATAACCTCAGCAGCATACCAGATACCACCCGCTACGGTAATCCCACCATGCATGTATGGTGGGGCTGTATTTGAAGATGTTGAGTTCCCCAGGACTGTTCGTCGTGTTCTTCTTCCCTCCACGGAATCCACCCAGCAATACACATTGCGGTTAGGCACGGCAATCCAATTTATCCTCGCTGTTCCCGCTACGCAATGCCTGCCTAGTTGCCACTAACAGGCAGGCTTGTCTAACCCCCCGCTACCAAGGCATAAAGTCTGATTGGCGTCACCTTTGGTTTAACACAACCAAAATTATAAACGATTTGCTGCGCCCTCAGTTCCATATACTTCGCACACTCTTACTCGCACTACCACTCGTACTTTCACGTGTAGCGCTCAAACTCTGACTTCCTTCCGCGGCCGCCGCCGTTGCCGCTACCACCACCGCCGCCACCACCCCCACGCGCCGACTGCGGCCTACCGCTGCTGCCCATGCGACCGCCTCCGCCGCCGTACCCTGCTGCATGGGTGCACGGGGCAGCCGTTCCGTGTGCTGAGATGATGACACAGTACGGCACCGATGACAGTCGTGCAAAGCAAGCGGCAGCTGTAGCAACATTAATAGCATTTTCAGCAGTAGATAATATCAAGCAACAACAGCACGCAGGGGCATACCGCAGGAAAGGGGCAGGCCAAGTAAGCCCAGCTGCAGTACCCCTCCCTCCCTCCCCCTCCCACCACCCCCCGCTCACCTGACGACCCCGCCGCCCCCCCATGCTGATGCGGCCTGCCGTACTGCTCCAGCGGTATGGGACGCGGGTAGTCCTGCCCGATCCTGCAGCCCGCCGCCTGCTGCTCTTGGGGTGTTAGCGTCCAGGGTTCGTGGATCTTGTGCTCCGGAACCCGCCGCAGCTCGGGGCACCAGGTACGCACGTAGTCGCCGTGGGGGTCGTAGTCCTTAGCCTGGGGGTGTTTTGGGGGGGTAAAGAGGAAACAACTAATTGACTGGGGGGGTGTGAATGGAGGGGTTGGATGAGGGTTGGATGGAGGCTGGGGGTATATGGGGGCTGGGGGTGAACGCGGAGTCTTGGAAGACGGGTGAACGCGGAGTCTTGGAAGACGGAGAGGGGGCGGGAGAGCACACACCTGCTTTGTGGCGTCAAGCAACCCCTCCCCCCCCCACACACACGCACCTGCTTTGTGATGTTGAAGTGGTTGATCCTGCCCCCCGTCAGCCCCGCCGCCGCCACCCAGTTACCCCAGTTAGAGGTCACATCGTAGTCCAGCAGGCAGCTCTCGAACCAGTCGGCCCCGCGCCGCCAGTCAATGCCCAGGTCCAGAACCAGGAAGGAAGCCACGTTCTGGCGGCCGCGATTGGACATGAAGCCTGGGGTTGGAGAAATAGGCTTTAGTTCAGTCCGTTTCAGTCCTTTCACGTCAGCTGCGCATGTTTGCGTGGCAGGAGGAGGCAGGAGAGGAGGTTGGTTGACATACCGGTAGCAATCTCCCCCCACGAACCGGTAGCAATCTCCCCCTCACTAACCCTCGTTGCCCCCCCCCGTGGCCAACTCCTACCCCCATTGTTTTGCCCTAACTTGTGGTCTCCTATGGTTTGGTATGGTCTTTGACCTCCCCTCCATCCCCCTCACCGGTCGCCGCCAGTTCCCGCATGCACGCATCCACCAGCGGCAGCCCCGTGCGTCCATCGCGCCAGCGCCGCCAGAGCTCCGGATCCGGGTTCCAGGGCAGCGACCGACCCGTAGGTCCGCCCGCCAGAAAGATGCGGTTGCCGTGCTTGAGTGCGAAGAAGCGGAAGAAGTCCCGCCACAGCAGCTCAAAGATGACCCAGTAGGTGGATTTGTTGGCGCCGCGTTGGGATTCGTACTTCTTGATCTCATCTGCACGCATGTGAAGAACAGGGGCATGTAGTACAGAGGCAAAGAAGGCATTGTACCCTAGACATGAAAGCTACTACCATACAACTGATAGCAAGAAGGCTGCCGTACTACCACGATGATGGCGCAATGAACCCGTAACGTGTACTATGGTTCTTGGCACGATGTGATGATGGTGTTTTAAATGACACCCCCTCTTCTCAACCACTCACGGTAAACCCTCCGCGGGCTGATGCAGCCCGCCGCCAGCCAGGGCGCCAGCTTGGTGGAGAAGTCGCCCCCCAGCAGCCCGTTGCGTGTGTCAAAGTAGCGGGAGACGCAGTCGCTGTCCCACAGGTAGTAGTGCAGCCGGGCCAGGGCGGCAGTCTCGCCGCCGCTATGTGTGGGGGGTGGGGTGGGGTGGGGCGGGGTGAGGGGGGCAGTGAGATTGTGGCTGTGTGTATTGGGAGGGGTGGGAGCGGGTGGTGGTGGTGGTGAATGGGCGGCGGCATGAGATTTTAGATGCGGTGGGGGGAGGGGGCTCCAGGGGTCAAGCACGTTCAAGACGCGTTCAAGTCGCGTTCAAGACGCGTTCAGTACGTTCCCTCACCGGAAGTCCAGTACGGCATGCGGATGCTTAGCGGGCGGCGACGGCGGCCTGATCCCCGGCGGGTTGTACGGCAGCTCGTCCCAGCCGGGCAGCGGCGCCGCCAGTGCCGTACGAGCCGCCTCGCTGAGCGCCTCCGCCGGCGGCAGGGGCAGCTCGCCGCGCCGGGGAGACGGCAGGTCGCGTCGTACTGCCGCGTGTTTTTCGAGCTTTTCACGAAAGGGGGTGAAGACGTCGGGCATGTCCTGCATACCTGGAGCGAGGGAGGGAGGGGGGAGGGAACGGGAAGGGAAAGGGAATAACTCGGCGGCCCAGGCTGTACACGTGTAGATGAGAATTTGAACGTCACACCGGACTCACTTCCCCATCCTAGCTGCCCGCCCCCCCCCTATAACGACACACTGTGGTTTTGCTACCCCATACACACACGGTTGCCGGTTGCCGGTTTCCCCAATACACGTTCCCCTCTACTCACCAGCCGCGAAGAGCCCCCTGCTGCCCCCTGCTGCTGCTGCTGCTGCTCCCTTCCCACCTCCTCCTCCACCTCCCCCGCTCGACCCCTGCTGCCGCTGCTGCCGCTGCTGCTGCTGCTGCTCAGACGGCGGCAAGGTGATGTCATCGATATGATACAGCGTGTGGTTCCAAAATCGCAGCAACCGCCCTCCCCCTCCCCCTCCTCCTCCTCCCGCCCCTCCCACTCGCTTGATGGCTCGCGCCACTCGGACGTCCGTACGGCACTCCTCACTGGTCACCTCCTCACTCGTGAACACCAGAAGGGGGGCCGGGGAGCCTCCGGGGGGGCTGCTGGAGAGCAGGCCTGTGTGTATTGGGGAGTGGGTGGGGGGTAAGGGGTTGGTTTAGTATTAATGCAAGGAAGGTAATCATGTTGTTGCTTTCCCCTCGCCCTACCCCTCAGAACAATCAGAACTTCCCCTCCCCCCCAGCTGCAACCCATGTTGACGCCTTATCCCTCAGTCAGTTAGTTGTTTCCTCTTTACCCCCCCCCCCCAGCTCCTACCCGGCATCACCTCCTCCGGCGCCCCCACCGCCACCAGCAGATCGCTGCCCACCTCTCGTAGTCGGGACTGGTCGAGGGGGAGGGGAGGGGCGGGGGAATAAAAGATAAGCGCAGAAACGAAGAAGATGAGGGAAGAGGAGTGGGGCACGGCGCGTAGATGCGAAGGAAGGGGACACCAACCCCGCCCTCATCCACCCCCGGCCCCCACCTTCAAATCCTCCACGCACTGCAGCTGGAAGGCCGCCCGGTGCGCGCCCGTCTTCAGAGAACCCCAGGGGGTGGCGCCGTACTGACGCGGGTCGAAACAATACACAGGCAGCACCTGGGGGGGAGGGTACGACATGTTACTGTACGACAAGCGCTAATCAACCTCTTAAGAAGCTCTGCATCAGCAGTTGTTGTTGTATACTCGAGCATTTTGAGTCGTAGTGGCATATTATCTTAAACGTTGCTATGTGAGAGTTAGTTGAGCGCATACGGCAATCCCCGGCTCTTCTCCTGCCGTACGTACCTCGCTTGCCTCGCCACGCTTCACCCGTTGTACCGCGTCGTACACCATGTAGTTGTCGTGCAATCTTAGGTCGTTCCGAAACCACAAAATGATCCTCTGCGCACCGCCGGTTTTACTACTACCGTTGTTGCCGCCGTTGGTCCCAGAAGAGGTGATACAAGAGGAGGAAGTAGAGGAGGAAAGGGGCCTAAAGCCTCCAGCATTCCCGTTGATTCCATTAGTCATGTTATGAACGCTGCTGGCAGCCATCAGGAGCACCCTGAGGCCGCGACGGCGGGGTTGGCTGGCTGGGTGAGGATGGGAAAGGAGGAGGAGGTGGAGGTGGCGGCAGGCGGCGTAAGGTACTGAGGAAGAGGGTGGAGACGAGGGCGAAGAGGAGTGGGAGGCGAAGGGCTTGTGGGAAATAGCAGCTGGACTGGTAGGTGGCTTCTGCTGGGATGGTGAGGCGTGGTTGGGCACAGGATAGGAATTTTGAGAAGGGCACAAGACCGGGGTGATTTAGAATGGGGTTTTATGATAACGGTGGGCTTTGGCGGAATTTGGAGTTGCGCGGTACCGGTGGTAACAATCAAAAGAACGGTTGTAGCTGACCGTCAAGGCGTGTAAACAACTGAGAGGCGCTATTGATACTACTTGGCGCGTTAGAAGTATCGAGGTTTAACTGAGGAAAGGGGCGACAAGACGTGGCAACTCCCTTCGCTCTAAGGAGTGATTAGGAATTCTTAGGCATCGCGGGATGTGCGGTCGCGTGGAGCAATAACCTCAGGGCAGCAAATAACATTGCCAAGGAGACGATGTCTAATATCTCCAGGAAGCGGTTTCTCGCCCGTCCACGTAGGTGGCTATGCCGTTCGGATGTGGACTCGGCGAACATCGCACGGTTCTGCTTACCCGGATGCCACAGGCGCTGACGATATTACGTTTCAAAGATGACCGAACAACCCACGACGCCCCGTTCCGCGCCGGGAAAAGGCGCAGTGCAGTCGCCAGCCTTGCACCGGTTGTGTGGTCGTTGTTTGCGCGATACCGGTAATGAAGAGCCCGCTTACAACGCTAGGAACCCTTTCAGGCGTACAGTGAGGCTATTGCTGGTAAGGTGTAAATCGACTGGCCTGTTGCGATGCCACGCCGCGAACTCGTGATGCCACAACAGCCACATACCAGTACCGTGCTCGCTCCGGGACCAGAAAATTGAAGTGGAACCCAAATCAGTCATGCTGTAGAACGTTGCGAATGACATGAATATTGAACACCGGGTTATCTAGCTCCCATGAACAACATCTCGAGCACAGGAAAGAGTGTTGTCCAGAGCTTTGGTTACATGAAGCGACAGCTCGCCGGATCCTGTTGGAAAGCTTGGATGCATCGCAGCTGCAGCATCATTAATGGTGAGCTTTACCGTCTCTTGTCTATTTGCTCTTCCTATGGCACGAAGTTGGCGTTCACTCTCAACCGAAGTCCTTGTAATACATGCTCCAGCGATTTGCAAGCCGCACCCATATGTATTTAAGATTGGGCTTTACACGTTCTCCCTGCCGCCTCTCGCTGTCTCGCATCTTCCATTAACATCTACGGCCATCGATAACCCCCGCTCCTTACCGCAACGCTTACACAACCAGAAGCCTTCAATGTCAATTTGCATCACTACAAACCCCAACTTGCTTCAACCCTCATGTCCCTCCTGTTACTTCCCTGTCTGCCTCCTGTCCCTCACAGGTCTCCCAGCGCTGCTCCTGCTGCTGCTGCCCCGCCTTCGCGCCACCCTACATCCTGAACCCAGCTTTCCTCGCCTCTAATCGCTTGGCCCCCTTTAATTCTCGACACCAGGACGTGTGGGGATGCTCCTCCTCCTCCGCTGCTCACTCCACGCGCTTGAAGAGGTAGAGGTAGCCCAGGTCTCGCGGGGGATGCTCCGACACCGCCACCTTCTCATCGTTGAAGATGATCCACCTGCGCACACAGGGCAGGGCCGTAACCCAAAAGGATGTGTATCGCATATCAGATCGCACGGGCGTGCGGGAGAGATACCGTATACTTTTGACATGCATGGCGCGGGTGTAACCGTTCAGTAGGGGTTGCTGGGTGGTGGTGTAGGAGTAGGCGGTAGTCAGGCTTCCCCCACCCACCTGCCCTCCTTCTTGACATGCGCCACGTAGTGCCCGCACCCCAGGTTGGAGCCCATGTGGCTGATGAAGCCCGCCAGCTCGTAGCGGCCGGGGCCGTCCAGCAGGGCAGCAGGGGCGGCAGCGGAGGCAGCAGCAGCAGCAGGGGGAGCAGCGGAGGCGGAGGCGGACGCTGCAGCGGCTTCCGACAGTACCTGTGCGCGCGGGTGTGAATGGGTGATGAGGGCAATGCACAGGGGGCCGTACCACATGGGTGGGTCGGGTCGACATGCCATCTCTACCCCTGTGGGGCAGCGTGCAAACCCCGTCCACGCCTCCTCTTCCTCCCTACCTTGCCCTAACCTCTGGTTTCGTTGTACCCCTCCCCTCCCCTCCCCCGCCTCTCCCCCCCTTACCTTGGCCACCGCGCCCTCCAGGTCGTCCATGTGGTTGAACAGCCAGTCCGCGGCCCGCTCCAGGGAGCCGCTGCAGGCCTGGGAGGCAGGGGGGAGGGGAAGGAAGGAGGGGAGGGGAGGGGGAAGGAACAAGAGTTTCCCTGCTTTGCCTCTAGGAGGGGAGGCCGGTGCGGCCTCCCCTCCTACAGATACCGTCCAGCGAACACCGGTACCGACACCAGTGCACTGCACCCTGCCCCCTTCACTGCACTTCACATCAGCCCCCTCCCCTCCATCCCATGCACAGATTCTCCCCACCCCCCACCTTATTGATTAATGCTACTAACTATACAACAACTACAGTTAATTGCTACCCCCAACTATCCAGCTTAATTCGGATTCTGTCTCCAAATTAACCCCCCACCTGCAGTGCCGCTGCCGCATGCGTGTCGGAGAAGCCCATGGAGGTGAGCTGGGTCACCTTCTCGGGGTCCGCAGCAGCGGGGGCGGGGGCGGAGGAGGCGGCGTTGGCAGCAGTAGAGGGGTCTGCGAGGGCCGTGATAGGGGGGACGGGGCAAGGGTGAGCAGGAGGGAGGGATAAGGCGGTTGTGCAGGTGCGGGTGAGAGTACTGGCGGTCCAAGGGAGGAGCGGACGTGCATGGGCTATACAGCACAGCCACGGCAGCGGAGGCCGTATGAGAAGGGTATATACCGGTATCTGGTATATATCTATGACCCCCCCCTCTCACCCACTCATTCCCTCCCCATGCCCCCCCCATCTCACCCACCCCCTCCCCCTCTCCCCCTCCCACCCGGCAGCGGCTCGTTGATGTCCGGGTCCTCCAGGTGCCCCAGCAGCCACTCCATCGCCGCCTCCAGACCCGCACCGGCCCCCACCGCCACCGCCGCACGAGCGCATGCATTCGCCTCGAAACCCATCTCCACCAGCGACGCCACCAGCGCTGCATCCGGCTGCTGCTGGGGCTGCCCTGCTGCTGGGGTTGCTGCTGCTGGCTGGCCCGATGCAGGCGCTGCTCCTGCCGCTCCCGGTGTCGCTGCGTCCTCCTCCGCCGGCTGCAGCTGCTCGCCCGGCTGCGGCCCCGCCCCCCGCAGCGGCTCCAGGTCCAGCCGGTCGGGCACCTCCACCAGCACCTCCAGCTTCTTGAGCGTCCAGTCGGTGTCCTGGAAGTACCTGGGGGGCGGGTGGGGTGGGGGGCGGGTGGGGTGGGGGGAGGTAGGGGGAGGGGAGGGGAGGTAGGGGGAGGGGGGTCAGGGATGTACAGAGACCACAGATAAGGGCAAAGCTAGGGGAAGTGAGGTAACTGGAGTCCCAATCCCAGGACCCCTGCTCATGTAGTAAGCGCATACCGGTGTAGGGGGGGTATTAGGGGGCAGGGGTGGTTGGGGGGAGGGATTCTGGGAGGAGGGGGAGAGGGGTCGCTGTACACCTGCCCTATAACCCTGTCGACCCCTTCCACTCGACCGCTCCCCCACCACTCCCCCGCATGCTGCTACCCCCCCTGGAGCCCCCTCCCCTCCCCACCTGTTTATCTGCACCAGCAGGTAAGGCGGGAAGGAGGCGAAGCGGGTGCGCTTGGTGGCGTGCGTGCGCCGCCCGCCTAGCGCGGCACTGCGGTAGTCGTCCACCACCTGTGGGGGCCGGGGAGGGGCAGGGAGGGAGGGGGGGAGGGAGGGAGGGGAAGGGAGGGAGGGGAAGGGAGGGAGGGGCTTGCAGCGTTGGGATTGTTACCCACCGCTAGAGACGAGGAAAACCAGCGGGAGGGCAGCGCCGCTTAGCCCTAACCCAATCTCTCTCACTCACTCCTCCGTCCTCCCCCCTCTCCTTTCTCACCCCCCCTTCACCGCACCCACTCCCCCCCCCAACACCCCCCCTACCTCCGTCCCCGCAAACCGCTGCAGGCATGCGTCAAAGGGCACCCGGGGCAGCACCGCCTCCTCCTCCCCCTCGTCAGCAAGCACCACCAGGGAACTGCTACCTGGCCCCGAAACCTGCTCACTGCCGCCGCCACCGCCGCCAACAGCAGCAGCAGCAGGACCCGTTGCCGTATTGGTATCGCCTGGGGTGGCGGCGGTAGCAGCAGCAGCTGTTGTTGTTGTAGCATCGGGGGCAGCGCCGATGTAAGCCTGATGGGTGTGGGGGGGGGGGGAAGGCAGCAGTGGGAGCAGCGGTAGCGTTAGCGTTAGGGGCGTTGGCAGTTGGCAGTGACACGATGTTGGCCTCTTGTCGCTGCCCTTACCACACCACACCAAGCAACAGGCCCGCAACTCATCAGGTGTGCACATCCTACGCAGCATACCAGGGTATGATGTGCCAACACATGTATGGGATGCATCCTCACCAACCCGCCCCCCCCCCACATATCAACATGCGGCGTGTATTACATGCGGCATACCCCCCCCCTTCTCCCCCGCCCCCTTACGACACTGATTACAGTACTTCGACGTCAGGAACACCATCAAGCAATTTCCGGTAACCTACGGTCAGGGTCAGTGTTTCCGCGGCTCCGTTTATCTAATCCCCCGCCCCCCACCTGCGCCTGCTGCTCCCTGAGCCGCTGCCTCTTGGCCTGTCGGTCCCGGTAGCTCGCAACCGCCTCGGAGTTGACCGCGGCCTCTAGGGGAACCTGGGGGGAGAGAGGGAGGGGGGTGGGGTGGGGTGGGGAATATTATATGAGAAATGCAAACAACTAGAGTCCCAATCCCATATCCCGACTCATGCAGTGAGTGCATTCGGAGACACTGTCCTGGTGGGGGGTGGGATGGGGGAAATGATCATATGAAACCACAGAGGGATGGCGGGGAGGGTACGGGGAGGGGGATTGCGTCTTTGCCAGTGCGCTGCTGGTATGACGTGTTGAGAGGAAGGAATCGCCCCCCCACCCCACCCCCAAAGCTCGTCAGTTTTTCTTCCTCTTTTCCCCTCCCCCCCCCATCATCCTCCACCTCCCACTGCCCACCTGCAGCATGAGTAGCGCCGAGGGGGTGGTGCGGTAGCTCACCGCACCGCTCTCGCCGCACTGCAGCCGGTCCTCCAGACTGAGGCGGAAGTAGGCGGGAAGGGGGAGGGAAGAGGGGGAGGGAGCGGAGGAGGAGGAGGGGGAGATGCCCAGTCGTGCAGCTTGGGCGTGTTCGGTGCGGGAGATCTGTGGGTGGCAGCGGGGCCAGGAGGGGTAGAGGGAGAGGTGGTGGGTACGCGGTAGTCGTAACCAAACATGGAGCGAAACACAGCAGTGAGCAGTGCACACGCAGCAGCAGCAGCAGCAGCCTCATGCTTTCATGCATGTCCCTCCTTCCTATGCACCTCCCTTTATGCTCCCACAATCACCTCTTACCCCCCTTCCCCCATGATGACGCCTTATCACCTAGTCAGTTAGTTGTTTGCTCTTTATCCCCCCCCTCCCCCCCGCCCCCCCACCAGCTCCATGAGGTGTGTGAAGTACTCGGCCGCGTCCTGCTGCCGCCCGCTGCTGAACTCCGCGTGCCCCCGACCCGCCAGCCACTTGAATGACAGCGGTCGCACCGCGTGACTGCGCTCGTCATCAGGCAGCGGAACCAGCTCCTCCTCCTGCTTGGGGGCATCCGGGGCCTCCTGCCTATTCCTGTCGCCGTCAGCTGTTGCTGCATCCACCTCCATTGCCTCTGCTCCTGCTTCTTTCGGCCCCTCGCTGCTAGCAGCAGGAGGGGGAGGCGGGAGGTGGCCCGTGAGCCCCTGAACCAGCGCCCGACCCAGCTTGGCCAGCTGAGTGGGCAGGTCGCCCGCCGGATCGGAAGGCGAGGAGACAAACAGTCGCGAGGCAGCCTCGGCGGCGGAAGACGAACCGTCGCCACTGACCGCACTTGCATTCGCATTGACCGCCGCTGCAGCAGCAGATCCGTACCGCGCGGCGACTTCCGGCAGCGAGAAGAGCAGCTGCAGAACGCTGTTCATGTAGCAGGAGTTGCCCAAGTTGATTAGGCCGGTGTGGTGGGGGCCGGAGAGGGGCTGCAGGTGGGTGCCCGCCTCGGTGATGCGACTGAACTCGTAGGAGGTGTTCAGGTCGGCTTGCAGCTCGGACATGGTCTTCTCGGTCTTCTCCATCTGGGTTGGGGTAAAAAGGAGGTAAAGAGGAAGCAACTAACTAACCGTGTGATAAGGCATCATCATGGTTTTCATCTGGGTTGGGGGGCGGGGTTGAGTGGCGGCATGAAAGGAGCCCCCTGCAGTGCCGCGTGGCATATGCCTACGAAGCCAACTCCCTCCTCAGCACGCTGGACAGCCCACCCTTCCTCGCCACCGCGGACTTGGAACACCGGGGCGGACCGCTCACCCTCCCTGTGTCTTATACCTTCATGATGTCGATCCCCCAGTGCGCCAGGTGCGCCGCCAGCTGCGGGTCCGTCACCATGTCGTCCTCATCGGGCGCGTAGCTGTACACGTCCGCCCCGTGCGGCGTGATGGTGCCCAGCTTCACCACCAGTGGGTAGCGCCGACCCGTGGCCTCGAAGTGGCGCAGCGCCGCTCCGTTGCCGCCGCTGCCGTCCCAGTTCTAGGTAGGGGTAAAGGGGGAGGCGGGGGGCGGAGGGGGTTGAGGTGGAGGGGGTTGAAGGGGGGGGGGGGGGGGGGGGAAGCAGCACAAACCGCAAGTGACGGCAAGACAAGGGGGATGCGGGTCTTACTTAGCAGTCACGGTCATGCGCGTGTCATCACAGCGGCCCCGTTCCCCAAGACCCCACCACCACCACCTGTCCCCCACCGCCACCCCGCTCCCCCACCTTGCGTCCCGAGCCTATGAAGCCGGTGGACAGGTTAAGCCACAGGTTCTCAGCCACACCCGTCTCGTCGCAGCGCCAGTCAGCGGGGTTGGGGCTGCGGGAGGGGGGAGGGGGGAGGGAGACAAGCAGAGGTGGAAAGGTAGATTCGATAGCGGAAGACATGTGTGGTTCCTCCTTTGTTGCCCTCCATCTCCCTCACCTCCCTCCCTCCCCCGCCCCCGCCCCCCTCACTTGCTTCGTCAGTGTCTCATTATATACTTTTTACCCCCACCTTATCTTCCTGCCCGTGTCCAGCTGCTGCAGCCCCGCCGCGTACTTGCTCACCGCGCGCGGCTCCTCCAGCACCGCCACCGCCTCGGCGGCGGACACACTCTCGTGACGCAGCACGCCCTCGATGGCCTGAGCGGGTAGGGGGTGTAGGGCGGGTGGGGAGTGTACGGCAGGAGGAGGCGTGGGAGGTGTGGGAGGGGTAGTACCGTTGGCGGTTGGTGAGGAGGTGCAGAACGTCGCCTTCTCCTCATTCCCCACATGCATCGCTCTGACATTCTTTTACCAAAACTGTACCGCAATGCGCACACGATCACCCGCCCAGGAGTTCACTCCAGCCTTGCCTCCTTTCCCTCCCTTCCCAGTTCCCACGCCCACCCCCACCCCCTCCGCACCTGCAGCACCCTCTCCGGCAGCTCGGGGCAGGGCAGCGGCACCCGCACCACCTCCACCTCCCCTCCTGCCGCTCCTCCTGCTCCTCCCCCTGCCGCCCCTGCTCCCCCTCCCCCCGACACCACCACCAGCTCCGTCTGCTTGTCCAGTCGGAAGGTGGGTGCGTTCAGCAGCAGCTGCCCGGCGGCCTGCGCGGCGGAGCGAGCAGCCTCCACCTCGGACTTAGGGAGGGGGACCTGGTTGGGGGGCAGGGGAGGGAGGAGAGGGGGAGCGGAGGGGTTCACGATGTGGGGTTTTATCCTGGGTTCACAACATGCTCCACCCCCTCCCCCTCCGCAGCTCACCCGGGTATGCTTCAGATGAAGGTAAAGGGCGGTGCCGCTGCGGCGGTGGTCCAGCGGGAGAAACGACTCGCCGAAACCCTGCAGCGGGGAGGGGGAGGGGGGGGGGCAGCAGGGGGCACCAGTCTGGGTAACTGCAATGACAAGCGTGGCAGGCAGAAGGAGAGGCAGCAGCAGTGGGCGAGGCAGTAGCAGCAGCGGCAGCAGTCGAGGAAGGGGGACCGTACATGCACACGTACCTGGAAGGTGGTTAGGTTGACGTACAGCCCCCCCGGCGACTCGGGCGAGTCGTAGCTGAACATGCACTCGTCCTTGTAGACCTTGTCATTGTACGACGGCACACGTACGGCATGCATGTGCCGTCGTACGAGAGCCAGTACGGCCTCGTCGACGGCGGGGGCGGTAGCGGTTGACGCCATGTGGGTGCGGCTTTGGAGAGGTGTGGGAGGGGGGAGGGTTGGCGTGGGGGTGACCTATGCAGGTAAAGAAGCTAGGGATGGAGGGCGCGAAATTGACTAGAGGTAAAGAGGAAACAACTAACTGACCGTGTGATAAGACATCCTCATGGTTTGCAACATGTGAGCCAGCCCGACCCGCTAGGGGTAAGGTGGGGGTGAAAGGGTTTGGCAGGGACGGGGCGCGGAGCAGCGGTGGGGGAATGCTTTTGGGTTTGATTGGAGCCCGCCTAGCAGCGGTTATTGCGGTGTGTGTAGGCGTGTAAGGAGTAAGAGCATGTAAGGGGAATAGGAGGATGGTGACGAAATGCGGCACGTCGTTCTGCAAGGGAAGGCTGGCCCATTTATACTGTATGGGAGGTGGAAGTTGCAGGGGCGAGTGTTGCGTGTGGACTTGGCGACCACAGAGGCCCCCCAGGGTTGGAACATGGTACTGATTGGCATACCAGGACAAGGTTCACTAGGAAAGTAATGCAAGGTACAAGGCCATATGGAGTCTTAAGGGTGTCTGTGCTTAGGATGGGCCTCAGGGGCCCTCTGGAGTGGACCTCAGGGGTGCGCGCAGTAAGCGTCCAAAACCAGCGCACAATGTTACTGGAAGCCCAGTAACGCGTCATGCTGTGCTGCCACCGAGTCATTGGTTGCAAAGCTGGGGTGGATCTGCCAGATCTGCCCAACGCAAACCCATTACTGCGCGTAGTTGCATAATTCCGCAAGCCCATATCTACCCACCTGCTTTTGTATTACGTTTTGGAGCCACCTGCGTGGCTTACCACGAAGGGGCTGTTAAGGGCGCCAAACCTAGCCTGCCTCAAAGCTAGTTAGCGAGCGTGTAAACGGATTTGGGAATGCGATTAAAAAGTAATACGAGCAAAATTGCGTGTTATGTCCTCATTTCGTCCATGCACTGCCTTTGCTGTACATAGCCCTGCTGCTGTGCTGCCGTTTGCTATGATTGCAATCAGTACCTGTGCGAGCGTGTAGCCTTCCAGGCACTGGCAAGCATACAATGATCTCAAAGTACAGAACGTGAGCTTTTTGTCTATAATAGCGCCAAATGAACCGGGCCCGGACGCGGGTGTTGGTTGCACCCGAATGGTCAAGTAATATACCTAGCACTTCAGGAGCAGTAAACACGGAGGTGTCTTTGAAAGAACGACTTTCCCACTTGGTCAGCGCTGGAGTTGCTCCTCATGCCGAAGACCGCGCAACGAACGGGCTAGAGGTGGCGAAAGCAGCTCCTACGTGCACACGAAATGATTCCTTGCAGCCAGGGTCAGCCGCGGTAGCCCCTTCCCCAGTTCCTGAGCCGGCATCATCAACAGCTGTTCCGCCCCAAGTGCTGTATCCACCGCCCATCCCACCGTACATCGCCCTGCGTTCAGCCTGGCCAGAGGCCGCGCTTTTAGACCTCGTAAAACAGCAGGCACTCTACCCTACTGATGTCAACGTGCGGATTGGACAGCCATGGATGGGCGCAGAGCCTGCTGGACCGCCCCAATCCCGGCTGCTGCACGCTGTTTCAAACGAGTCCCAAGCAAACATCGTGGCCACACCGGCGTCAGCCAGCTCCCAGCTCCTACGTCTGCTGGCGGAGGTATGCAGTCGGAGCTGCAGCAGCAGCAGCAACCCCTCCTTCTCCGGTTGTGGCAGCAACACCAGCAACTCGGGCGGTGCTGTGGCAGCGGGAGGCGGGGGTGCTATTCCACCCCCACCGCCTGACCTCGCACCCGCCTTGACTCTTGCTGCTGCTGCCGCAGCGACGGCCGCAGTGCCTGCTTGCCCTCCGGGCCACAGCGAGGTGGTGCTGCCGCCCCTGGAGGCCACACAGCTGCCCACACCAGCGGCGTTAGTTGGATTCCAGGTGCGTTATAACTGTCAACTGTCCGCACGCATGACGCTGATCTTAACATGCATGGCACTGCCCATGAGTACATGGGTTCTCGGGTGCAGTCGAGCCCGTGTGGAGGTGTCGAGGTGTGGAGGTGTGCCCTCATGCTTGTGGGCGCCGTACCAAAGCGCCGCTCGGGATGTGGTCTCCTTAACTGCACAGCCGCACATTCATCCCCGCCCCCCTTCCGCCATCCCATTCCTCGCTGCTGTCGCGGCCCCGCCTCACCAACAGACCTCTCCCTGTCCTCCTGCCCTTCCCCTCTGCCGCCCCATGTGCCGGTGTTGCTGCTGCGTCATGTTATCGGCACTCTACTGCTGCCGGTGCTACTGCCATGCGGCTGTCGTACGGCCGCTATCGTACGTCGTTGATGCTGCTGCTGACGCATCATTGCGGCGGCCAGGGCGAGTGGTTGGCGGTGCAGCCCCAAGTGCTGCGGTGCTGGGACAAGGTGGGAGCGGGGGACCGGGCGGCGGGGCAGGAGAGGAGGAGGAGGAAGGCAAAGGGCACCCGGGGCAGCGCTTGGGAGGGGTGCTGGTGCTGGGTTTGCTGCCGGCCGGCTAAAGTCGGTCTGGTGCAGGCAAGGCTGGTGCGGTTGGGAGGTTCATGGAGGGGGTCAGGTCTGGGGCGCTCCTGTCCCCCATGAACCCGCCTACGTTGAGCCCATCACCCGTCGCTCCCTCCCCCCTGGAGCCCAACTATCCAGCTTCCTGCGGAATCTTCAGCCGTATTTGCCCCCCTGGGTCCGCCGCAGGTGTCTCTGGAGCCGTGCGGCCCGCCCAAGGCAGCGCACTTCTACCTGCTGTGCCCCGAGCAGCACGCCTCAGCAGCCAGGATGTTTGTAAAGGTAGGAGAGGAAACTAGAAGGGTGTTTGTGAAGGGAGAGAGAGGGGAAGGAGTGCTGCGCCTGGTTGAGGGGCACACCTAGGGAAACGCAAGGGAAAGAGAAGGAGGAAGGGCCTGTTGGTTCACGCGTTCAGCGATTCTGACTTTAGTAGCATCCCCTTCATGTCCTGCCCTCCTTTATGTCCCCCTCCCCATGATGCCTCCCTCCCCATGCAGGACCTCTCCGCGACCTTCCTAGCCATGCGCCTAGGCACCCACAGCGCGGGACGCACTCTGGCGCACCTGCACTCCATCGACGGTGTCGTACCGGTGCCGCTGGATCCAGGACCCGGCCCGCCGCCGCTGTCCTCGACATCAACCGCTGACGGCGGCGGCAGTGAGGGTAACGCAGCCGCCGGCGGCGGCGGTGCAGCACCGCCTGCGCCGACGTGGCATCCGCTGGGGCGGCGGCCGGACAGAGCCGTACTGAGGAGTGCCGTACTTGGGTTTCGGAGCAACCATGCGGCGGCGTCGGTGGCGGGGGAAGCGGGCTGGGCGGCGCCGGATGAGCCCTGCTACCGGCCGAGGCGGGGGCCCCAAGGAAGCAGCCGACAGCAGCAGCAGCAGCAGCCGCAGGTACATGGCGTGATGCCTTTTCAGAGCCTCTCACAGCAAGTGCCTGCGGTGGCGCTGCAGCAGCAGCAGCAGCCAGCAGGCGTGTTTGGTTCGGGGATACCGTTCCCAAATCGTGCCGGTGTTGCTGGGCAGCAGCAGCAGGGGCCCCACCAGCACTATTGGCGCAACCTACGCCACGTCAGTCGCCAGCTGCAGCGGCAAATGCTGCTGGCGGCAACGGCTGCGCCGCTGCGAAGCAGCGCGACGGCGGTTGCCCCGCCGCTATCGCTGCCGCACCCGCCGCCGTCGTGCGGCGGCGGCGGACCCCAGCAGCACCAGCAGCAGTCGCGTCCCGATCAGCACCACCAGCAGCAGCAACTGGGACTGGGTGCCCCTGCGTTGGTGGTGTATGTGGTTCCGCCGTCTGACAGCCCCGAGGACGTGGCGAGGGCCCTGCTGGAGGTGGCGGCGGCACTGGCTCCCGTCACGCCAGCGGCTCGAGCGCCGCCGGCCGCTGCCGCGCTGCCGCCCCTGGTGGTGCCGCCCGGCAGCGCCGGTGTAGCAGCTGGAGGTGCCGCTTGTGGCGGCGGAAGCAGCAGGAGCGGGCAAGGGATTGCTAGCGTGCATGGGACGCACAGCCAGGATGGCAGGGCGGTTGGCTGGGGAGGCGGCGCAAGCGTAAGCGGCAGCAATGGCTGCATGGGCGGCGTTGCCAGCGGGGTAGTAGGGTTAGGGAGAGGGAAAGACAGTAGCAGTGGCAGGCAACAGCAGGCAGGGAGCAGCAGAGCCTCCACGCCACCGGAGCCGCCCGCCCCGGCTGCCGCAGCCGCAGCTGCTCATGGCGCCGCTACTACCGGCAGCACCGTTGCATGCACCGCAGCTGGGGCCGCCGCAGCTGGGGCGGCCTCCGTACGGGATGCGGACGCCGGGGACCCCGCGTTGCTGGAGCGGCTGGGTGGCGCCGCCCGACACCTCTACCGCACCACCACCACCACCAACACACCTGCCATGACTCCCGGCGCTACCAACAGCAGCAGCAGCCACCAGGATCCCCAGCTGGACCCCGCGTCGCTGCCCTCGACGGAGCTGGTGCTGCAGCTGGTGCTGCCCTCCACCCTGCATGACATCAGCGGAGCAAGCGTGAGGGCGACGGCGTGCGCGGCTTACAGCAAACTCATAAGGCGAAGGGCAGCGTACGGCGCCGCTGTTGCTGCTGTTGGCAGTGCAGGCCCGACAAGCGGCATCTCTGGCATCAGTGGTGGGTTCGCTGCTGCTCCTGATGCTGCTGCTGCTGGCCGTGGGACTTTGTCCTCCCTTTCTTCTTGTTGCAATGGCAATGCTGCTAGCTGCTGTGGTAGCAGCGACTGCAGGAAGCGCGGCAGCTGCAGCGTCCTCAGCAGCTGCAGCGGCTGCTGTTCGTTGTACGAACCGCTTGTCGCTTTGGCGCCGCAGCTGCAGTTACAGCAGCAGCAGCAACACCCTCTTCCGCAGCCTCCGCCAGCAGCAGCGTTGCCGCCACCGCCGCCGCCGCCACCGACAGCAACGCTGTTTCCGCCGCCAGCCAGGTCCCCTTCAGCGGTATGGGAAGCCGCAGCCGGCGGCGGCAGCGGTGGTGGCGTTGGTGAAGATTTCCGTACGACAAGGGCGTACAGTTCCTCCTCCTTTTTAGAACAACTGGGGCACGCCGGACGCGTCGCGTCGTCTCCGCCGCCGCTGCCGCTGCCACAGCGGCAGCAGCAGCAACGGGAAGAGGAGGACGATGGGAAGCAGCAGCAACACCAGCAGCAGCAGCAACAGAGTGCGCAAGGGCTGCTGCCCCCTACGCTGCATTGCTGCTATACCTGGCAGCGGTGCACACACACCTCGCCGTTGCAGCCATGGTCTTCAGCGGCATTCGAAGAGGACGGTGAGGAGGAGGAGGAGGGTAGCGGGGGTCCTGAGGGTCGGGAGCAGCAGGTTCCCGCACCCTCCCTGCACCCGCACCCCTCTGCAGTAGGGGTGAGGTTAGGGCAACAGCACCCTAAAAAGCAGCTGCGGCAGCGGCAGCAGCGGTGCTGGCTGGCGATGGCTTTCTGCGACGGAGAAGGTCGCATGCTAGATGCGCGGGTGTTGGCACTTTCAGCTGCGCTGCCAGACACCTCAGGCACCTCTCCAGCAGCAGCAACCGCACGGCCTCCAACGTCCTCCTCCTTACCTCCGCTACCGCAGCTCACGGCGCCTCAGCGACCCTGCAGCTGTGGCGGAGGTCGAAGTGGCGGCAGCGGTGGATTAGCAAGCGGAGGCGGCGGTAGCGGCAGCACAGCGGCCCCAACCCCCGCTGCATGCACCTGTGGCGGTGCTGCCTCTCCGCTAGACGATGGGGCAGCACCGAGAGGAGGAGGGGGCCCTATGACTGCGGCGGCGGCGGCGGCGGGGGCTTCACTGGCGGTTGCTGTTACCGCTGCGGAGGCCGCTGATCCGCTGGCGACAGCGGTTTGCGCGGCTGTCCTCGGACATGCGCGGCTGCTTCACCGGCAACTCTCAACCGCTGTTGCCGCTGCCGCCGAAGCGGCAAAAGCCGGTGCTGCTACAGCTAGCGCAACAGTAGGAGCTGCTGGCGGCAACGGCGTGATAGCGGTGACGCGGTTAGGCCGGCCGGCAACCGCTGAGGCCGCCGCATGGCAGGCCTTGTTGCTGCAGCAGCAGAAGCACATGCAGACGACGACGACTACGAAGGAAGCGCTGCATGGAGGCAGCTGCGCCTCCTCGATAACTGCAACGGCCACGGTAACGGCTGCAGGGGTGGTGCCCGAAGTGACGCTTGCATGGCTGGATCCGCACCCCCCTGTTGCCGTACAGCCCGGATGCCGCCTGCCGCATGGGGGCTTTGTGCTGCGGTACGCTTCTTCAGGGCAGCAACAGCAGCAGGTGCAGCAGACGCGACAGCAGCAGGGCGGGTTGGTTGAGGGCGCGGTGGGCCCCTGCCCGGTGACGCTTGTGACCTTCCCCATGCAGCTGCCCGCAAGCACCACCTGTGTTGCCACGGAGTCGCTCAACCGACAACTGAGAATGCTGTCGGTGCATCCGTTCCCGCCTGCCCCGCCCTTGCACCCAACATCGTCAACAGCAGCAGCAGCGGCGATGTCGCTACCTGGCACGCTGAAACGGACCCACGGGTCATTAGAGGCGTTGGGGGATGGGGTTGACGCTGATGATGTCGGCGGAGGGGTTCTATCGGAAGCGGAAGGCCGCGCGGAGGGACACACACATAAGAAACGACGCTGGGACGTTGGCAATGATTCGGCTGTTGTGTTGACCGCCGACTGCGATGGCGGCGGCAGCATGAACACCAACAACAACGACGACGCTAGCGATCTCATTGCGGGCGGCGGCAGTGGCGGCAGTAACACCAGCAACAATCTGGGCGGCTGGTCGGGGTCATCCGGCTGGGATGCGGTGCGCGGGTTGTACGGGCTGTGCGTGTTACGGGACTGTCTGCTCGCTGCGCAGAGCGGTTCCCGCGGCGGCCCTGCTCCTGGCAGCTGGAGGGGGGGCGCGGTGGGTGATGGGAGCGGAGAGACGGCGGAGGACGACGCGCTGCTGCTGCCGCTGCACGCGGCTGTGTGCCAGCGGCTGCTGCGACTTATGACAACATGCGAGCAGCTCGCAAGGGCTTGAGAGGGCTGCTGGCTTGGGAGGGCCCGGGAGGGTCCCACCGGTGTGTCCCGGCGGGACACACCACCAGGGGTGAGGTGTGTAGAGAGGAAACATCTGACCATGTGATACGGCGTCATCATGGTTTGCAACATGCTCACATGTCTCGGTGGGGGGGATTGGAGAGATGATGACAGGGTGTTGGTACATGACAGTGGGCAGTTGTTGTGGGCTGGCTGTGTGTAGTGACGCTTGGGAGTTTCCGTGTACGGTGCTGCGAGTAGGAGTAGGAGTTGGGCGGGACTCGGGTGGCGGACAGCATCTGCAGTGGGTGTGTATAGTTGAGTAGGATAAGAGCAAGCAATGGGGAGAGGTTCGCATGTGAACCGCGAGTACAGGCAAAACAGAGTGCAGTGGGTGCGTTGCATGGGTGTGATGCATGGGTCGTGACGTGCGCATACCCCGCATTGCACATGGACGCTGCACATATCTTCCCTCTGGTAGAAGGAATGGGGGCATGCATGAACGGAACGAACTGATCGCAGCCCTCTACCAGCGCTTGGTGAGTGCGGGCTTGCGTGCTCTAGGATTTTGGGCCTCGTGGTAATGAATGGACGTGCAAGTAGCTGCGCTTTACTGAAGTAGTAGTAGTGCCCATGTGTCAAATATGCGGGCGACAAAGCTGGTGCGCCTCTAGCTATAAGTATTGCCGGTATCTCTATTCCTTTGTTCATGTACGCACCATGTGTCCATGTCCCATGTATGCTTTTGCAGTTTTGCACACCTCCTCTCCATGCCGTGTTTTGGGTAGACAACCATCGTATAAAAAACCTTTTCACGTCTCGAAGGCGATGAGACGAGGACGAGCAGGAGTCGTCGCTCAGAGCACGCGCGCAGGCAGGTGTACGGAAGTCCAAAACTACACACGCCCGCGCGCGCCGCTTAGAGAACCACACCCACCCACCTAACCTCCTCAAGCGGTCAAATGTCCTCCACGACACCTCATCCTTCCCACGTCTTATTCGACGCAGACACTTTACTGCATCCGTACGCGTCCGAAAACACTTTCCGCATCAACAACAACGGTTCTGCCCACCTAAAAGAATCGGCTGCAACACGGCCGAAACCAGAACGAACACGAAAGCGCAAGCAACGTAAACGTTATAACGGGAGTAAGAGCGGTACAACAACGGACCCAATGCGGGCCATGCAGAAAACACGTCCTTATCCCAACTCGCCCCCGCCTCCCTGCTGTAAGGTCTAGCACCACGACAGCAGGCAATCCCTCCACAGGCATCAAAATGAACCACATGCAAACCCTAAACCTGCCTTGCCATGGCTCCATGCGTGGATCGAGCCCATCTCGGCTTCCCAAAGGGCTCCATGCGTGGATCGAGCCCATCTCGGCTTCCCAAAGGGCTCCATGCGTGGATCGAGCCCATCTCGGCTTCCCAAAGGGCTCCTCCACATTCCTCCCGATTACCTCTCTACTTGTGGTCTGCATCACAGTACCACACCGAGAACAGCAACACGCCTACGCCGCACCAAGAAGACGGCTGACACGCCATGTGCGGCATGCCTACCAAGCACGTTCGGCGCTAAAAAGGATATGCACGCAGCATGGCACAAGCAATGGAAATCACGAAGGACCGCGGCTGCTGAACCAGTAGGGAGGTGTGATTGCGTCCCTGCCGACCCATGGGTCAGTGTAACAGGACCTCTTTAGCACACGACGATAAGCCGCTGACTACCGGGTACTTCTTCGGTCTGTGCAAAACCATGCAGCAGAGCCACACCAGCCAGGAAACTCGTGTCACAAGGACGGACCATATGGCTCCTGTCCCCACAGCTCCTCAACCGAGAAGCAGCGCCAGTAGCAACGGCCCTGCCGGGTCCGCGCTACCCGAAGGGGCAGCAAGTGCAAGCGCTTCCTGCCGCTCTGCAGCTATGGGTGCAGCGAGCGGGCACATGCAGCGGCCGCAACGGGCGAGCCCACTGCCAGCCGCTGCCATTGCTGCAGCAGCAGCAGCCGTCGCAGCAAGCCCGATTACGGCTATTGTCGTCTGTGCTCCTCCTCTGCTGGCTTCCACATGCTGGCTTCCACTGCTGCCTGCTACTGCTGGGGTGCGGGTGCAACTCCTGTCGGCCCCAACACCTGCAGCCTCGCAGCTAACAGCTAGGCAGGCCCCTTACACCGTGCTGCTGCTCGGCAGCCCTCTTCTGCCGCGCTGCTGCTGCTGTTGCTGCTGCTGTTTTGATGCTACGTGGATAGCAGCACCACTGCAGTAACAGCAGCTGCCACAGCTGCCGTCATAGCAGCCGCGATACGTGCACGGGGAGCATGCCCCTGCCCAACTGACGGGCCCCTGCCCAACTGAGGCGCTTCCGGGCCGCGGTGCTGCCGCTGCCGCCGCACTGTGATCCCTCATCTCGGCCCTCTTGTGCTACCGCCGCTTAACTGGATGGCGGTGCTGCCGCCGCTGCTGCTGCTACCCTTCCCTGGCGGCTCTTGCTTATCCAAATCCAACCACCGCTACCCTGCCGCTGCTGCTGCTGCCTGCCTGCGCCCTCCTCGTCCTCATCCCTCTGCTGCTGTCCTCCTCCGCCTCCACCTGCTGCTATCCCCCTCGGCCTCCGCCTTCCGCCTGCTGCTCCCTTCCCCTCCCCTCCGCCTGCTGCTTCCCTCCCCTCCCATCTCCTGCCTCCTCCCTTAGTGCCCATCAAAGTAGCACATGACGTCGCTGGTGGTCCAGAACATGGAGCTCTCGCGCGCGTGGCCCAGCGTGTACACGGGGGACATCAGCTCCACGACATCCTGGGGGGGAGGTGGGGGAAGGGGCGGGGAGCATGAGGTTGGGGGGCAAAAATTCCAAAGTGGGGGGAGGGGGTGGCATCCAAGGTGGGGGACATCAGGGTCGCTGGTGTTGCATGAGAGTACCCGCCCAGCGGGCAGGCAGGGGCAGCCGGGATTGCAATTGTTTGCGCTGGACACGTGAACGCATGCCCCCGCAGCCCCTTCGCCTTCCTGCCTTGGTCTTGACATGCCTCTGCCAAGCGCTTCCCTCCCTTTCGCCACTCTCCGCCCCCTGCCTGCCACCACACTACCATCACTTTGTCTTGTGGCACCCTGCCGCCTCCTATCCCCATGCTTTGCCCTAACCTGTGGTTTCCTATAGTTTGGTAAAATCTTCGACCCCGCCCCCCTGCCCCGCTCCCCTGCCCACCCCCACCTGCAGGATGAGGAAGCCGAAGAGCGGTGTGAAGTCCAGCTGCCCGAACAGCGGCGGCAGGATGCCCCGGTAGATCTGCAGGTAGGGCTCCGTGATCTGGGGGTGTGGAAGGGAAGGGGAGGGGGGGAGGGAAAGGGAGGAAGAAAAAACCAAGTTGGTTAGGTTCATCTTTGGCCCCCAGTCACCCTCTCATGTGTTGCCCTCCTGCCAATCGCCAGCTCCCCGTTCCCCAGCCCCCAGCAGCCCCTCCACCCACCAGACGCAGGAAGGCCCAGGGCTGCGCGTTCCAGTCGATGGAGGGGAACCAGGACAGCAGCACGCGCATGAACAGGCAGAAGAGGTACATCTGTGGGCGGGGTGGGGGGCGAGGAGCAGGCATGGGGGCAGGAAGGTAGGAAGGCAGGGAGGGATGGAGGCAAAAGCAACTATCAGGGGCTAGTTGCTCGCAGGAAGCCTAACTTGGGTTCCGAGCAATTGGCGCTTGGATAGACCCACATGGAGTGGCCTTCTCACCAGCCCTACCGTAACCCGCCCTTTGCGAGGAGAACAACGTGGTTAATCCTTTTGGATGTGAAGGGACAGAGGATATGCAAGCCGTTGGCAGACTTGGCGCATCACGGAAGTCGTGCTTGTATATGCACCAACAAGGACCTACCTTGGCGAATCCGAAAGCCGCACGCTCAAAAGTGCGAGCGTACACGGAAGTCAGGGACTCAGCTGCAAAAGCCCTTGCAAAGGGCAGCACGAACGCCAGTAGCCGGGTATGCTTGCGCATGTTCATCAATTGCTGTCGCGCATCCTGCATATGCCCAGGAATGACGTCGGAACCATGCCGAGTGCGGATCATCTTGCTGTTATAATGCAGAAGGCGCCATATACACCAGCCGATCCACTATCGCCCTCGGCAATTGCCGAACATACGCCAGTTTACCTCGGGCAGTTTGGAGCGTCCGCTAGTCGGAAGAGCAGCAGTCAATACATCTCGCGCCTTTTCGACATACACAGCAACAAGCTGGAGAACAGCCTTTGCCAAAGTTACGGCTGCGCAGGTCGCCACGAGCTCTTGCCCAACTGATACTAAGCGCGCCGCCGGGTGCTGCTGAATTTGCCTCTCAGCTGCCTGCTGCTGAATCGCACTGCAATCTTGCAGGGGAAGGGCGACGGCTGCGCTGGCCCGAATTGTAAAGGTCCTCCTAACTGGGCAAGCTAGGCGATGGGCCGTCCGCACGCAAGGCAGCTGCTGCTTGCGCAATTGCGCTTCCCCGGCTCCTTTAAGCATTGTTTATTTAAGCGTTTCGATCCTCAACTGGCAACTAAGTCACGGAACTCTCGCAAGTAGGGCCGCTATGTTACTAGTTATGTTGTGCCTCAAATTGCCCCGTCAGCAGGTGATCAGCAAAGCAAAAACGCATTACAGTTTCTGTGCGTAGCGTGAAGGTGCCTAGCAGGGCCCTTTGTGCCTGTACGGACGTTTGCACGGCTGAGGATAAAGGATGTGCCGTACTCCAACAAACTATCCGTATATCCTCCTTGTTTTCTTTGTGTCTGTGCAATTTAGGTGTGTGTGGATTACTTGACGAATAGCATAGGCAAAATGCAGACCACCATGATGAAGCAGCGCGCCCCCGCAGTTGCGGGCAAGCAGGCGAATGTCCTGCCTCGCATCGCACCTAAGGTTGCCCGCTCCCGTTGCGCCATCGTGGCTCAAGCTGCACCTGCGGCAGCAAAGGTTGCTGCTCCGGCTATCTCCCGCGACCTGGTTGACAAGTGCATCAACGCCATTCGCTTCCTGGCCGTCGATGCTATTAACAAGTCCAAGTCTGGCCACCCTGGCATGCCCATGGGCTGCGCTCCGATGGGCTACGTCCTTTGGAACGAGGTCATGAAGTATAACCCCAAGAACCCGAGCTGGTTCAACCGCGACCGCTTCGTGCTGTCTGCTGGCCACGGCTCGATGTTCCAGTACTCTATGCTGCACCTCACGGGCTATGAGGATGTGTCGGTAAGAATACTCGCTGTGATCAGGCGCATCTAATTGGCTACGCTGTTTCCCCAGCGCGCATGCGCGAGCGTTCCATTGCACCGACCTCGCCCACGTGGCTGTTCGCAGTTGGACCAAGTCAAGTCTTTCCGTCAGTGGGGTTCGAAGACTCCTGGTCACCCGGAGAACTTCTTGACCTCTGGCGTAGAGGTCACCACCGGTGAGCCCAACCGCGTGCGTTTTTTGTGGGGTCCTTTCATAAAGGACGGCCAAGCAATCGTCAAACGCGACGTTCTCTGGTGATCGATCTATTCCCTTTTACTTGCGCCTTTCGCCCAGCTGTTTGTTGGCCTCTGCTTCTTTTGGGGTCCTTGTCGCGCATAGTCAGCGCCGCCGCTCCGCTTCTTAGGAACGCTTCCCTGTCAACACGCGTAGCAATTTATCAGTATAGCGCTTATGTCATACTACATGTTGGTAGTTGATGGCCCTGCAAGGAGGGCCTTTGCAGCGACGCTAGACCTAAAGGTCGCTTCTAATGTTTCTAAGGACGGGATCGGGTCTCCAGTACTTTGCATATTCACTTTTCATGTTGTCCCCCGACTTTGGTACAGAGGCGCGCTGAACGTTGGGTCTTGTTGGTGGGCATCTGCGGTTGCCCCTTGCATACTTTATATCCAAAGCGCTGTCGTTTCCCTTCCATACTTACTTTTGTATAAGGATTGCTGAGCGGTCTGCGCCCTGCCTTCGCTCCTACCTGCCAACAGGTCCTCTGGGCCAGGGCATCTGCAATGCCGTTGGTCTGGCCGTGGCCGAGGCTCACATGGCTGCTCGCTTCAACAAGCCCGACTGCAAGCCTATCGTGGACCACAACACGTGAGTACACGGTTCCCTTGCTGGCGTTCCCTGGGGTCCAGGTTGGGGACGTTGCAGCAGTAGTACGGGACGGGGATGGCGATCCCAGCCATGCACAGCCGGCGCCTCCTCTGTATTGGAGGGCAGAGGAAGCCGGGCATACCGAAGCAGCCGGGGTACCGCCGCCTGCACAATTACCTAGCTTGCCGTATCGCATTCCAGTGCTGATTACCTACATGTTTGCGCCCTAGGACACGGTTTCCGATTGGGGCCAGCGACCCAAATGGAAAGCGACCTCCTCCTAGGCCCTCCTTGTGGGACTGCACTGTAGTTTTGTATGTGGGGCCACCTGTGGGGCCAATTCCGTCCCTACTTACCCCATCCCGTCCCCGCTCGTGCGCATACCCCCGTGCGCATCCCCTTGTCACGGCCACAGCTCTCGCCCATAAACATCCCGCTGAAACGACAGCCGGCCCCCTGCAGGTCGCCTCTGCCCAGCGCTTCGTCCCACAGCACACCCAAACAGCCCCAACCTCTCCCCATTCCTCCAGCTTTCCTTCCCTGCCCCACCCTTACCCGACCCACATCCCTAACTCCTCCCCTTGCTTTCCCTTCCTCGTGCGGAACATACATCACCCTCCCTCTCCCTGTCCCCCTCCCCGCTCCAGTTGCTGCACTTTCATTACTTTCCCCCTTCCCCTCTCCTCCCACAGCTACTGCATCCTGGGTGACGGCTGCATGATGGAGGGCATCTCCAACGAGGCCTGCTCGCTGGCCGGCCACTGGGGGCTGGGCAAGCTGATTGCGCTGTACGACGACAACAAGATCTCCATCGACGGCCACACCGACATCTCCTTCACGGAGGATGTGGCCAAGCGCTACGAGGCGCTGGGCTGGCACGTGATCCACGTCATCAACGGCAACACCGACGTGGACGGCCTGCGCGCCGCCATTGCGCAGGTGAGGGGTGAGGGGTGGGACAGGAGTTAAATAGCGGTTGGGAAGCGAGGTGGGAAGGGAAGGAGAGGGGGATTTAGGGCTGGGCTTGGCTTGGATGGATGGGAGGGATGATTTGTGCCAGGACGGACTGCCGCTCGTTCCTTCCCCATCCCAATACCAGTGAAGGACCACCTCACCTCACCCCTCAACCCACCGCCCTCCTGTGCGCTCCCCCCACCACAGGCCAAGGCCGTCAAGGACAAGCCCACGCTCATCAAGGTCTCCACCCTCATCGGCTTCGGCTCGCCCAACAAGGCCGACACGCACGACGTGCACGGCGCGCCGCTGGGCGCCGAGGAGACGGCTGCCACGCGCAAGAACCTGGGCTGGGACCACCCCGAGTTCGAGGTGCCGCAGGACGTGTACGACGTGTTCCGCTCCGCCATCCAGCGGGGTGCCGCGGAGGAGGCGGAGTGGAAGGCGGCGTGCGCCGAGTACGCGGCCAAGTACCCCAAGGAGTGGTGAGTCATTGTGTTGGGGTAAAATAAAATAAGGAAAACTGATGAATTGGAGTGCATGTTGTTGGGGTGTGGGGTGCGGGGTGCATGTTGGTGTGTTTGAGGAAAAAACTGGTCACGAGTCGGAACGGTTGGATTCTGGGAAGGAGGAGTAGCTATGGGGATGGGGCCGGGTAGGATCAAATGATGATTGGCCGCGAGCAGAGTGACAGAGGGTTACGAAGATGACTGGCAAATGGGTATCCTTTCCCTCTGCACTCATCATTCTTCCTCCATTTCTTTACTCCTCCTTCCTCCCCCCATTCTTCCGCCTCAGGGCTGAGTTCCAGGCCCTCACCAGCGGCGAGCTGCCCGCCAACTGGGAGTCCGCGCTGCCCGTCTTCAAGCCCGAGGACAAGCAGCTCGCCACGCGCCAGCACAGCCAGACCATGCTCAACGCGCTGGCCCCCGTCCTGCCGGGCCTGGTGGGCGGCTCCGCCGACCTGGCGCCCTCCAACCTCACCCTCATGAAGATCTCGGGTGACTTCCAGAAGGGCAGCTACGCCGAGCGCAACATCCGCTTCGGCGTGCGCGAGCACGCCATGGGCGCCATCTGCAACGGCATTGCGCTGCACAAGTCGGGCCTGATCCCCTACTGCGCCACCTTCTTCATCTTCACGGACTACATGCGTAACGCCATGCGCATGAGCGCGCTGAGCGAGGCGGGTGTGGTGTACGTGATGACGCACGACAGCATCGGCCTGGGCGAGGACGGCCCCACCCACCAGCCGATTGAGCAGCTGGCCAGCTTCCGTGCCATGCCCAACATGCTCATGATGCGGCCCGCGGGAGGCAACGAGACGGCGGGCGCGTACAAGGTGGCGGTGGCCAACCGGTGAGAGGGCTTGAGGCGTGTGTGGGTGGTTTGGTGGTGCTGCGGTGCGTGGTGCTTTTGGTGCCCTTTTCCCAGGCGGGCTATAGCCGCGTACTAGCCGCACTCGACACCGCATACTAGGCACCCCTGCCGTCCCCCTCTCATCACTCGCTCCTCATCCCGCTCCTGCTCCTGCTCCTTCCTCTCCCGCAGCAAGCGCCCCACCACCATTGCGCTCTCGCGCCAGAACATGCCCAACCTGCCCAACACCTCCATCGAGGGCGTTGCCAAGGGCGCCTACACCATCAAGGAGGTGGAGGGCACCCCCGACGTCATCCTCATGGGCACCGGCTCGGAGCTGCAATTTGCCTGGGACGCCGCGGCTGCGCTGGAGAAGGAGGGTGAGACGCCACCCGCATGACGTGCCCTGACACCCCTCCCCTAGCGCGGGAGTTCGCTTCGCACGAGTTCATACACATACGAAACTGCGACAGAATTGCGTTATGAGCCGCCAGACGCGGGTATGTGTCTGTTTTCATGCCTCGAGAAACCCCCTCTCCTGTTCTTTTTCTCATCCTGTCCTTATCCTGCCCGCGGCCCGCTCTCCCCACCTCTCCTCTCGCCCCCCCCCAGGCAAGAAGGTGCGTGTGGTGTCCTTCCCCTGCTGGGAGCTCTTCGAGGAGCAGTCCGCCGAGTACAAGGAGAGCGTGCTGCCCGCCGCCGTCACTGCGCGTGTGAGCGTGGAGGCCGCCACCTCCTTCGGCTGGGCGCGCTACCTGGGCCTCAAGGGCAAGCACGTGGGCATTGACGACTTCGGCGCCTCCGCGCCCGCGCCCGTGCTGTACGAGAAGTTCGGCATCACGACGGCACACGTGATCGAGGCCGCCAAGCAGGTCATGGCTGCGTAAGGAAAGCAGGAGGAAAGGAAAGAGTTTGGGTTTGCTGCTGAGGGTGTTGAGTTTTGGAAAGAGTCGACGATGACTGACTGCTAAGATGCGTTGGACGGCGGTTGCAAGATGGGGTTTGGTGCGCCCCAAGAGGGCTGAGTTTGTGCGCTGCCACTGCTAAGGCTGCGGCCGCTGGTTGGCTTGAGATAGGAGCGTTTCCGTGACTATCCTCACCTCATTTGGGGCGGAGATGAAGGCGGCGCATAGGCATGCAGGTATTCGCTGTGTGCCGTTGCGCGCTTCCTCCCACGCTGTTGGCCGCGTTTCCCCTTGGCGTGGCGAGTGGATTGTTGGTTGGTGTCGGTTGGGATCGGTACACGAAAGCAAGTGCTGGAAACCCGTTGGGGCAGCAACGGTGTTGGTTGCTGATGACCCGTTTGGGTGGCTTTGTTGGAAACCCGTGTTATGACATGAAGGAGTGCTGATGCAGGTGGGGCCAAGCCGTCGCCACTCGCTGTGTCGTACGAATGCCATTGGTTGTACAACACCACGACGTCCGCACGTTGCTGACGCCTTTCTGATGACGACGTAGAGGGAAAGGGGAGGGTGTTGGCGCTTTGGTTGAGATGGTGATGCTGATGAGTGCATGTGTGCCGTGTTTGCTTATTCGAGATTCTTTTGGACTCGTGCTTTTGGGACCTTCCCTTTATAAATATAGCGTTTATGGGGTTTCGAAGGAATTTGTAGCGAACATATTTGTGTCTGGCATTATCTTACGCCGTTTGGCTGCTGCTACTACTCTGCTGCCGGCTGGGTTTTCTGTGGCTCGAGTCGATGAACAACATGTTTGCGAGGGGGACGAGAGCTGCTCGCTCGAGCCCAGGTTTTGACAATCCGGTCAGCGCTTGAGGGGCGGTCAGGCGGAAAGGATATGCTGCTGTCATGGGTGTCTCTCGTGGGCGTGGGACCACCCCTCACGGTCGTCTACGCCGCGTGCATTCAATTGTATGGGGTGGCAAGGACGTAATAACAGGCATCTCCGGAGACGGGGAGACGTGCCAGGGGCGTGCCAACCCGTATAGACGGGAACACATGGCAGGACGTTTGTAAAATGCAAAAATGAAACATGCCGGGCTTTCGTTTCCTGTCTGCAACGCGTAGCAGCCAGCACGGTGCTGGTCGGGGTAAGAAGAGCTGAGGGTAACTTAGCCACGTGTTGCATTCAGTGGTTACTACCCCATTGGTTGCCTACGCTTTCCCGGGCTATACAGCGTGCCGTTTCGGGGCGTGGGTACCTGAACCGGTCAAGGCTCCTCAATTCCAAAGGAAGACCGTCACAAGGCTCTTCTGGGTGCTACCGGGCTCAGCACGACTTCTACATAACGCTACACGGACGCGAAAAGGGAGGCAAAAGAGTATACCGTCAGCGTCGTGAGGGTTACACAGTATTCCTCGATCAATTGAAACTGTGTACGACAGGGTACGGGGTGTTGCAGCCTTTTTGCGCAAATTGTGACGTATCGCTCCTCGATTACAAGCTCGGTTACGTCGGGAGTTATCAATTAATTTCCAGGGGTCTCATAGTTATCACGTTTCTTCAGGTTCATGCCCTTCTGACATAACCATGGACTTTAGAAAACAACGAGTATAAAACGATAATGCGCTCTGCGCATTATGGTTTAAGGCAGGGGCTTTATTTGCTCCTGCTGACCCTTGCCCTGGTGCCTTGGGCAACATGCGAACACCGGAACCCACTTTTACTTGTATACACCGGCGTTCATCGCGAACAAGCTCTCGATGTCTGGGCGCTTACACAACATCTCGTGTTAACTAAAGGCTATGAGGCGGTGGTGCTTACCCCAGACTCTCTAGCGACTGAAATTCGGGAGACAGCTGGGACTGTCCCCGATGAACTCGGTCGCCAAGAATGCAGCAACAGTGCTATTAATGTAATTACCTATGCCAGTGTTTCCTTTGAGGAATATCAGCCTCACGGTCGCGGTACCATTCGCGAGCTGACCGGCCGTCTGGATTTCCACCTTGCCAGCTGCGCCGGTTTGTTACTGAACCGCACTCTCATAGATGGCCTGACGAAACGTTTTACCGTCATGCTTGGAGTGGCGATGGATCCCTGCTCGACCTTCTTGGCGGACAAACTCAAGGTAATTGCCTCATGGGGAGGGTCGTCCACATCGCTGCACCACAAGTCCGTGATGCCACTCCTTCACGGGAACACGAGGATTTGCGCATGCGGGGAAGCGAGACGGTTCCTAGAAACATTGGACGGGGTGTGGGGCAACATACCCTGTCAGGGCACATGCAGGTCGCTTACGCCCCTTACCGTTCTCACTTATCCTTTCCTCCGCCTCTCATCTTCAGCCACGCCTTCCACACTTTGCCTGTTTAACCAATCTCCACGCACACTATCAACTCCAATCGTTCCCCCTTTCCTTGCATAGATTCGCCGTCGCGCTGTCTACGACGACGGCTCCTCCACCAGCATGCTATGGGGGGTGCTCATGGGCCGCGGCCACCCCACCAGTCACGTCGCCTCGTACGGCACCGCCCTCGGTGGTGGCGGCGCCATGACGCTGTACGAACGTACGGCAAACCTCCTGCAGTACATGCGGCTGCAGCTCTGGCGGCGCCGAGTGTACGGCGCTCGGTTAGCTGCATTCCGTCAACGGCACCGGCTGACGGGGCCGTGGTTGTCAGGGCATGGAGGAGGAGGAGGTGGAGCGCCGTGTCACTTGCGAGGGCAGGTAAGCGGGGCTGTGCCGGCACGCACGCATGTGTATGACATGCATCTGTTCCGCCCCATGCTTCCATACTTCCACTCCCCCATGGACGTTGGGAATCGTGTTGGTGCTTTCACGTCTTCCTCTTCTTCCTTCCCACCCCATTCTCCACTCTTATGCCCATTGCTTTGCCCTAACCTTATGAACCACCGGTTCTGGTATGCCTGTGACCCCCCTTTCTTGCCATGCAGGTTGTCATCACGGGGGCGGACTGGGGCCTTGTGGAGCCGCAGCCGCTGCCGCCGGAGGTGAAGCTGGTGGGGCCGCTGAGGGCGGGGCCGGGGGGGCCAGCAACAGCGGCATTAGCAGCGGCGGCAGCGGGTGTGGAAGATCCGACCGCATCAGCAGCAGCGGCAGGTGTGGCGGGAAATGCGGGTGAGGAGGTACCAGCTGCACCGGCAGCACCACCAGCCGCACCACCAGCAGTGGCAGGACCGCTGCCGGCTGAGCTGGCGGCGCATGTGGCGGCTGCGGAGCGGGGCCTGGTGGTGATTTGCTTCCCGCAGGACTACCGGTGGGTGACTGTGATGAGAAGGCGGGCCGGGGGGGGGGCGCACTGGAGTATTGGAACGCGTGTGCGTGTGTTAAAATAACTGGCCGTGTGCGTGTGCGTGTGTGTGTGGGGGGGGCTGGTGTGCGGTTGTGTGCGGAGGGGGCAGAGGAGCAGGGTCGTCCCCAGGGGCGGACGCGGGGACACAGCTTGGATCTGGCCTCGGGCGAGCCTGGAGGATGCATACACACACACAATTCTCAAGCTATCCCCTCCTTACTCCCAAGCATCCTCCGCATCCCGCAACACCCCTCTCCCCCATCTTCCCCTCTGCCCCCATCCTCTTCCCCCTCCTCCCTGTCCCCCTCCCACCAGGCCCCCCCTGCGCGCCCTACTGGCTCTGGCTGAGGCGGTGATCGACCTGCGGCTGCACATCGTGTGGCAGGCGCCGGAGCAGGACATTGCGCGGCTGAGGCAGGTGAGCTGGGGGGGCGGGCGGGGGGCGGGGGGGAGAAGAAGAAGACCCATGCGTGGGTGAATGGTAGTAGATAGGCAACCTAGGTGAGCGATCTGTTGGGGTTGCAGCCTTCTGATGGAGCTTCTTTTGGCCCTTCCCCTGCTGTGCTTTCACGGACGGACCCCCTGCCCGACCGTAAACCTTTCCCCTAACTGGACACTCCTCTCCGCCTTTTCTCCTCCGTCCTCCTGCCCTCCTTCCCGCCTCCGCCCCCCCGCCCCCAGCTCTACTTGCCGCTCAAGCACGCGCGCCACGTGCTGCTGCTGCCGCCGCCGCTGCCGCTGGGGCCGCTGCTGGCGCATCCGCAGGTGGTGACGCTGGTGACCGCGGCCAGCGTGCAGGTGGGGAGAGGCCGGGTGGGGGAGGAAAACCTTTTATAAGTCGGGTGGGGGAGGCAGGAGGAAGAAAGGGACCTATAGCCAGGTGACAAGGCACCCCCATGGGGTGCATCGTAGTTGCAGGAGTGGTGGTGGCATGACCGCATGAGGGGTGAGAAAAAATTATATAAGTGAAACAACGAAATCTACCAACTCCATTCACAACCGGCCAACTCCATTTACAGACGCACCCTCCCTCCCTCGGGATTTGGGATTGGGACTCCGTTGCTGCACTTAATGGTCAATACTGTTTCCTCCCGCCCTCCTCCACGCCTCCCCCCGCAGTCCCTCTACCAGGCGATCTACCACGCCAAGCCAGTGGTCGCCGTACCCCTCAGTGCCGTACAAGAGGACCTGGCGGCTCGTCTGGCGGCGCTGGGTGCGGGTCAGCGACTGAGTCGCGACGAGCTGGAGGGCGGCGCGGCGTCCTTCCGAGTGAGCGTGGCGCTGGAGCGAATGAGGAACGTGTACTCGTGAGTGGGGTGGGGAGGGGCGGGGGGCCCGGCAGGTGGCGGTGGGAGGGATGGACTGCTCCGTAGCTCCTGCCGGCATTCCTACCAGCGGCCTCCCCTACCTGGACACAACCCTGCCTCAGTTCCTCTCCCTCTACCTTGCCTGCTCCGCCCGCTACCCCAACACCCTCTCTCCACCCCCAGCTACACGCAAGCCATGCAGCAGCTCTCCACACAGCTCCGAGCGACCCTTGGGTCGGTCTCCGCGCTCGACCGGGCAGCCGACTGGGTGCACTACACCGCCTCCCTGGACGACGCGGGCAGGCAGTTCCTGGTGCCCCGGAGCGCCCCAGCACTGGCAGCAGGAGAGGCAGGAGGCGGTAGCAGCAGCAGCGGGCTGGGCGGCGGAGGCGGTTGCATGGGGTCGTTGGAGGCGGTTAACGCGGCGTCATACATTGTGTTGATTGTTGCGGCGGTTACGGCAGCGGGGTTGGCGGTGTTGGTGGTGCATGTGTGTACGAGGGTGCCGCCGCCTGCGGCGCCGAAGCGGCGGGGAGCGGTGACGGCAGGGCCTGGAGCGGCGGCGGCGGGGGCGAGGGGAGGATCGGGAGGGGGTGGAGGAGGGGCGCTGAAGGCGAAGGATGAGTAGAAGGATTTGGGGCTTTGAGGGTTTGGGTTGGGAGGAAAAACGGTGTGTAGCGGAGGGGATTAGGTCAGGCAGGAAGGATAGGAGGGAGACGATGGTATGGGTACGAGACACTGGGAAACGGGGTAGCGGAGAGTCAAGGTGCATCGCACAGGGAGCGTGAGGAGGGGCAAACGGCATTGGCTGCTGTTGCTGCGCACGTTGGTGAACATGGCAGTCGGGTACACAGTTGTCCTGCCTGACTGCCAGCTATCCATATGCAGAGTTGCTACCTTTGGGGCTTCACAGCTATAGCTAATGGCCACGTTGCTGCTGCTACTGCAGAGGTAATTCATGAGTGCTCGCGTGAGTAGACGGATCGCGAAAGTTAATTCTGCTGCTGCTGCAGCAACGGCGGCGTTGGTGTCGCTGTTACCTAGCAGCAGCAGCAGCATTGTAGTGGTGGAGGCGGAGGTGGTGATGGCGATGACGGTGATGGTGCGAAGGAGAGGACGTCACCGAGACTCCAAAGAAACCCCCCTTCTCACCCTCACCCTAACTATGACGGCATATTATGGTCTGAACGTCATTTACATTTTCGGAATCATCGCCACACCAATTTTAGCAATTCAATTCAAGTAATCGTGTCCGTGTTGTTGCCTAGCCTCGGCGCACCCTCACGCAGCCGGCATCTCGTTTCTCGTTTGAGCCGACCGACTCTCGGACTCCTCCCCCTACTCAGCCCAGCCCAGCCCAGCTGCCCGCATCAGCCCCTCACCACTGCCTGTACTCGCGGTTCACATGCGAACCTTTTCCACGTGCTTGCTCTTGTCCTACTCTCCTACTTAACTACACACACCTACACACCGCTCCCACCCGCAGCCTTGCATGCCGTTGCCAAATCTGCTGCTGCCGCTGAGACAGGCGGTGCTGCTCGTGTCACCTCCAGCTGCACCCTAGCTGTCGTCTTTGTCAACGACCAGCTACGGCGGTCCTGCCTTCCTACAGCCCCGCATGCCCACCACTACCCCTACCTGCATACCCACCTACCTAGCACATCCGCTAGGGTCCCCTCACGACGGCAACCTCTTGGCTTCTTCTACCTTCGCCTCCTGCCTCGCGTCTCCCTCCTTAGTCTCCCGCCCTAGTACATCACATACGACATAGCAGCAGCTACCCTATCCACTAGCATCACATGCCCCTCGCCATCTTGCGTCCGCACCCCTCCTCCCTCACCTCCTACCTCGCCTCCTCCCTCGCCTTCCTCTGCACTGCCCTGCTGCTTCTCACAGCCTGCCGCCTGCCCAGCCCCTCCGCAGCAGCAGCAGCAGCGGCAGACGGGGCTGAGGCAGCGGCCCATGCGGCCCATGCTGCGACCCCCGCCGACCTCCTTGCATGCATCAACTCACATGCCCACTCAGCCCTACCACCAGCCGTGGCAGCACCACCCCCAACCCTGGCCGCTGCAACGGTTGGAGCAGCACCAACAGCGGGCGGGTTCCCTTCCTCCTCCTCCTCCTCATCATCATCAACATCATCCATCCCCGCCCCCCCCGCCAGCACCCCGTCCCCCCGCATCACCACTTGGGAGGCAGCGCTTGCGGGGGAGGCCCCCTCAGTGCGGGCTGCAGCAGCCTGGTGGTCGGCAACAGGAGCGCTGGGACCGCCGCCAACAGGAGCAGCGGGAGAAGCAGCAGCAGCAGCAGCACCCAGGCAGCATCAGCCACGGCAACAACAACCGCAACAGCAGCAGCATCCGCAGTTGTCTATTCCGAAAGATAAAGCCGATGGCAAGAGTAGTAATGATGCTGATAGTGATGAAAATGGGATAATCCTGACCGTTACAACGCACATGTCGTACAACCGCGTACGGCAACTGGCAGCCGTATGCGCCTCCTGGGCTGGACCGCTGAGCGCTGCCGTACTGTTGCCGTTGCCGATGTCATGGCCGTTAGGAGCAGCAACAACTGAACCAACGGTTTCCAACCGATATCCTGTAAGTGATGGAGAACACGCCGCTAGCAGAGGCGTTATTAGAGGCAACAACCGAAGCACTGGTCCCGGTGGTAATGCTGGGGCGGTCAGCTGGGAGGGCAGTTCCGCCACCACCACTGCCCCCGCCACCACGTTTACCACCGCCTCTTCCCTCAATGAGAAAGACCCGGCAGCGCCCAACTCAGGTGCTGGTGGAGGAGGGATGAGGGCCAGGGAGGAATGGAGGCCACAACAACAAGACCACACCCAGTCGGGAACAGCGCAAGATATTTCAGGTCAAAATTCAGATCCAATTTCCCGAGAGGTCCAGCAGCTGCCGTACGATCCAATGTTGTCGAGGGAGCAGCGGTTGCGATTGCAGCGGGCGGTTTCGGAGCTCGGGGCCTTGCATAAGGCCCTCGAGAGGAAAGGGCCCTGCAAGCTGGATCTCCTGCTGGTCTACGAATTGTACGACACCCCTCGTACCGCAGCCTTGAGCTACCCCGTAAATCTGATGCGCAATCTAGCTCGCCTGCAGGCGCGCACGCCGCTAGTGGGTGAGTGCGCATGCTCGTGTGTTTTGCATGTATGCTAAGCGCTAGGGGCATGGAAGGTACGATGCGTGCACCGGTATGCATGTATGGTGCATACTTGTACCATTTAGTTCTTGGCACGTGGGGCGTGCCCTTCCCGCGTCTCCGAGCCAACCTCCAGTTGCCACCGCCTGCCGTAACATACGATTAAAGACGATGGCAACTGCTGCCTTATTCCGTAGGGCCTTCCCCCTTCCCCCTTCCTTCCTCCGCCCTCCTGACCCCACATGGGCGGTTTGCTTCTGCTGTCTGACCCCCCATTCAGGCATCTTCGATGCGGACCTGCTGGTAGGCGGCTGCCCCTCCCTGCCGCTCCACCTCGCCTCGAACTCCTCCGCGGCTGCAAGTCTGTTCCGCCGAGTGCGCTGCTCGCCCGCCGGCCCCTCTGCTCCCTCGCCCTCGCCCTCCACCTCGCCCTCGCCCCCGCAAGGCCTCCCCTTTGCTGCCGCCGCGGCCGCGCCCGGGCCCTCCTGCGAGCCAGGTGCGGTGGTCCTGCCCGCTTTACAGCTGCGGTCGCACCCGGGGAGGAGCGGGAAACAGCAGCAGCAAGCGGGGCAGGAACAGGCAGGGTTGCAGCAGGTAATCCAGCAGCAGCGACAGCAGGAAGGGCGGGAAGGGCAGGAGGCAGGGCGGTATGCAGAGCAGCAGCTGCAACAAGGGAGGCACGTAGGTCAGCAACAGCAGGAGAGGGAGGCGAGTCGGGAACCACCAGGGCGCCAGCAGCAGCAGCAGCAGCAGCAGGAGCCAGAGCTCGCAATGGTTTGGCCTAGCAGCCTGGCAGCATCGAGGTTGCTAGTGGATCAGTTGGCCGGGATAGCGGCAAGCAGGGCTAGCGGCGGGGGCGGGGTCAGCGGGGAGGGTGGGGAGGGCGGCTGTGGGAGCAGCAAGGCGGCGCTGTTGCCGTATTGGAGGCTCGGCTTGCTGGACAGGTTAGGGAGGAGGCAGTAGAAAGCGGAATAGCGGATGGGGGGGGTTAGGGAGTTAGAGGAGTAAGGGGCGGGGGGATTAGGAAGCAGCACTGTTCGGCAAATAGGGCCTGTGTTGCGACCCTGCTGAGCTCTACCTAGGGGGCTAGTCGCCGCTGTGTTGTAAGGCTTCTTCTTGCCAAATCGGACCCTCTCGATCTTGTAATGGTCTTTGCGTTGTGATTGTTGTTCTTGCAGGGCCCCCCGACGTTGATGCACGTGTCAATCCGGTACATGTCCGTTCTTCCATGCCTCCTGCCCTCCTGCAGGTTTGATCCGAACGGTAACGGTCACGTGGCCACACAAACTGCCCGTTGGTTTGGATCCAACGACTGGTACGAAGTGACGTACGAGGACCGGTACGAACCTTGTGAGTGATTTACAAGGAATACGGGTGTTGACGTACCGCCACGGGCGGGGTGCTCTTAATGCGTTTGCAAATTTCTGTATTTAAGTGAAGTTAAGTTGCGTGTGCTGTTGCTGCTGTTGCCATACCTACTGCTATTGACACTGGTGCTTGTTGCCGTGAGCCTATGCTGGCCTCAAAAGTCACAGTCCCCTCAACGGTCAGGGTCAGTGTTTCCGCGACCCAGTTTGTCTACCAGTAATCCCCTCGACCTATCCTGCCACTAACCTCCCCCCAGGGGTGATTGTCGACCGTCGAACGGCCCCCTGGCATGATGTTCGGTTCCGAGGGTGGGTGGAAGTACCATGCGGGCGCTAGGTCGGGTTGGTCACCGGTACGAAGAACACCATGAAGACCCATGGGTCATTTGCCCATGCCATCCATAACGATGTCAACTAGGGTTTATGGTGCCAATGCATGGGCGCGACGGACGCCCCCTTCAGACGATTTTTGAAACGGATTGCATTGGTAGCATGGCTCCATTCCATCGCACCCTCCAGGGCACCCTCCTCTACATGATGCGTGTGCATTCCTCTTTCGCCCTCTGCCCCGGATGCCGCACAGGTACGGTCAAAACAAGATCGTGCACATGCAGCATCTGGCGGCCAGCGGCTACCGACTGTGGGTGCACCCGGAGGCATTTCTGCTGCACCGCCCTCACGCTCCCTCCGCTGCCAAGGTAGGAGGATTACAACCAGAGGTTGGGTTCAACCCACAGCCCGCCCAGGCGCGCTCCCTTGTTGTCATGGGCCTGCATGAACCGTTGGAGCAGCAGCTCTCATGCATGCAGCAATGACGACTCTCGGTAGCAGCGAACAGTTACCACAACAAGGCAGGGTGGCAAACCCACCGCCCCCGACCCTGAGGGTCGCACCTGTAGTCTCCCTAGTTGCCTAGCTTACCCTTTCCCCTCGCCTAATTTTGTGCAGTTGACGCACGCACGGGACTTTGCTGCGGGCCAGCAGAGGCGGGGACAAGACAGCAGAGCCACCAGAAACAACAAGAACCGCAACGGCAACGGTGTCAACACCACCGCTAGCAACGAGGATCCACTTCCTAGTCAGCACACAGCAGCAGATCCCTACCGCGGAACGTTGTACGGCCATGCAACAGCGCTGGGAAGGGCTGTACGGCAGGCTTTACAGGCGGGGAAGTACAGCCCGGTTCTGGATTCCTCGACTCAGGCTTGTAGCCGGTTGCTGCCTTGGTGGCGAGATGGAGAGCCCGCAGGGTGGAACGGGTCGCAGGGTGGAACGGGCGGCCAAACCTACTACCGGTAAACGCCAACTAAAGGTTGTTTTGGCGATGCGGCCTCTGTGGGTTATATACGGCGGGTTGGAGGTCGGGGTGGCTAGTACGCGGCTATTGAAGAGGACGCCAACTAATTGGGTTAAGGGGTGGAGGGGCCTGAGGATCAACAGGTCCGTGATGGAGCAGATTGGGGCAGACGTTGCTGTGCAACCGTTACCGTACACCGTACACGCGCTGGCGGTATCGTACGGCCGCTTTCAATCGCCTGGCCTCTTGCAAACTCTTACTTGCAACCCCAGTTACTTGTTCGCGTCCTACTAGAACTGCTAATATAATAACTGTAAGTAGCAATGAACTGCTGTAACTGCTCGGGGTTCAGTAAGCGTTCAACAAACCGCACAGTTTTGTTTAGTTAGGGTTCAACCCAATGCAACGGACAGTCCATAGATAAAGACGAGTACCGTTAAGTCGTGTTCAACAGAGGGCCCCAACCTCTCATCCTCCATATGCGCAATCCGCTTTTGAACCCTGGCGTTGGCAGGCCCAAAGAAAACGCAACAAACGTCCAATTGTCTTCAGTACAAAAGTCCTGCACATGACGGCTTTTGCAACCACCAAATACTAAAGTGCAGCACTGCAGCCGCATGTGACAATGCAAGGACGCTTTGAAAGCGTTCCTCGTACCCCCACACATACATAATTAAGGCTCCAGCTGCCAAGAGCTTGCGAACACAAAAGGTGTGCACGCAAAAGCAGGCTAGGGGATGCGAACATAGGAACGGACAAAGAGCAGGCAAAGCAGCAAACATAGGGAAGAACGCATTACTCCTTAGATTGGCATGAAACATAGATACAGCATCGCCCACGCAAAGTCCCATGAGAGAAATTTGGAGCCTAGCAATGGAGTGGATGCCAGCACACGGATTGATCACGAGAAACCCGATCACAGTTGACCACAGCAACCCAGATCAAACCGACTGCTGCTAGCCCTCACTCCCTTTCCACCAAGCAACATTCACAGCCCACCACTGTGGTCAATTCAGCAGTACCGTATACCCCCACCGCAATGTAATACCTCTTACCCTCCCAGACCCACTCCCACACCAACCTACCCCCAAACCACCTATCCTCCTGCCACATAACAGGGATCCCAGCCTGCTCCCTCCATTCCAGCAACCTCCAGCAAGACAACATACACCCCATTCCGCTTCGGCCAGACGACCTCCTAAACAGCCCGCCCGGAGAAACACAGAATTTAATTCCTTTCCTTCTTCCTTCCTCCCCTTCCTTCCTCTTCCTTCCTCCTCTTCACTTCCACACTCCTCCTTCCCCTACAGTGCCCAGTTGGCCCCGCCCATCACCACCATCATCGCACACAGCAGCGCCGCCAGCAGCAGCAGTGGAGCTGACAGCGGGCGGGCCGCAGCGGCGCTGCTGCCCACAGGCGAAGGAGACGGGGTGCTGACGACGGGGACGGGGCAGGAGGCGGGCGCGCAGGGCTGCTCGGCCGTGGCAGCGACCAGGGAACCGTTGCAGGCACTGCGGGGGGGGGCACGGGAGGGACACGGGAGGGAAGTGGGAGAGTGAGAAAGGAGGAAGGGTTTGAGGAAGGGTGGAAGCTGCAGAGGATGCAGAAAACCGTAAACAACATGGTAAAGCAGGGATCGCATCCTCCAAAAACTCCCGCCCCCCGGGTCTCCCAACCGTTCATCCTATAGTTGCTCCCCCTTCCTCCATCATCCCAACCAAGCACACCCCACCCAACCATCCATCCACCCACACAACCACCCGGCCCCCCTAGCCCCCCACACCACCCACATGTACACCGCGGGGCAGATGGGTGTGATGGCGGCCGCGGCGCCGCACTGCTGCCCCGCCGTCAGGCCGCACTCGCCGGCAGTCGCCGTCACCACCCGGCCGGGGTTGGAGGCGAACACGGAGCGGACCAGGCGGGGGGCGGAGGAGTCGCCGGCGGCAAGCAGGGCGCCGGGCAGCAGCGCGGAGACCAGGTCGCGGAGGACCTGGGGAAGGGGGGAGGTGAGGATGGGGGAGGTGAGAGGGGGACTCCACACTCGCGGTATTATACATGTTGCATGCGAACAGCCCTCCGTTACCCTGCCCCTTGACAATCCTGCCTCTCTCTTCCCCTGCACAGCCCCTCCCTCCCCCCGCCCGCCCGCCCTCACCTCATCCGGCCGCGCCACCGCCTCCTCGTACCAGGCGGTGAAGCCCCCGGGCGAGGCGGAGCCGTCCAGCCGCAGCAGCCGCTGGTTAGCCAGGAAGCGCAGCTCGGTGGTGGGGGCGTTGGTGAGGCCGTAGCGGGCCAGGAAGTCAGACAGGGTGTAGCCGGCGGGGTTGGCTGCGAGGGGAGGGGAAAAGGGAGGGGAAGAAAAGAGATTCAGCTCGACACCTTGCTTTTTCTGCGTGCCCATCCCGCCCTCTCAGCAGCCCGAACCCGTTAGAGCGTGGGTTGACCCAACCGACCCGAGCACGACTCGTCAATCAATCCCTCACTCACCGGAGTACGACTCGTCAATCACCACGTCCACGTCCTTCAGGATGCGCTGCAGCACCGCCAGCGAGGAGCTCAGGTTGGTGAAGCGCAGCTGGGTGCCGCCAGCAGCCAGCGTAACGTTGGCTCCGTCCCCGTAGGCAGCGGCCAGCTGGGCGGGGTTGTGCAGCCGGCCGCCGGCGTCCTGAAGGAGGGGGAGTGGGGGATTGGCGGGTTTGGTGTGGGGATAAGAAGAGGAATGGGGGTAACAAGAGGAAACTAGGCGGACTGCATGGGGTGAGGGGAGGGAGGTAAGTAGGTGGCGATCACGGGCGCAAAGGGACCCCTCCCTTCACCCCTCTTTTGAGTCATGAGACGTCAACATGCGACTGTGCTTTACCTCGCACTTCTTCTCCCCTCCCCTCCCTTCCCTTCCCTCCACCCGTCCACCCCACCTCGGTGTACTGCTTGCGGTATGCGGCGAATTGGAGGTCCACCTGCTCGGGCAGGCCGTAGGAGGGGTAGGCGGGCGAGTAGTAGAGCCAGGCCACCAGGGGGGAGGTGGCTGCAGGGAGGGAGGCAGGGGGGCAGGAGGAAAGAGGGGTTAGGAGAGTCGCTCAGGGGGTTGTGTGGGTATAGGCGGATACACGATACATGCGAACAGGAACGGGCGGGGAACACGTGGCATGCTTGCCAACATGCTTGCCAACACCCACCACACACCTCGCGGCCAGTTATTGTAACACAAACATACAAAACAACTCCGCCGCTCTTCCTGCGGCCACAGTTTCCTCGCAGCACACACACGCACACGGCCAGACGACATCCCCTCCCACGTCCTCACACCCCCCATTGGGTCACACACGCCCGCGTACCGTTGGTCTTGCTCTTGTAGCTGGCCGCCTGCTGGCGGATGTTGTCGTACGCGGCGACCAGGGAGTTGAACTGCGCGTTGGCGACCGACTCGCGGTTGAACAGCACCGCCAGGTACTTGATGTACTCGGCGCGGTTGAGCGGGCCGGGGTCGGCGGTAGCGCTACAGGGGGGAGGGGGGAAAATATTATAAGTGAAACAACGAGTCCCAATCCCATATCCCGAGGAGGGGGGAAGGAGTGGGGAAATCATGGGGGCAAAAGAGGAATTCCCAATGCGTTGAAAGGGAATGCAAGGAGATGTGGGGAAGAGGATTGGAGGTGGATGGGCTCCGCGCTACGGTACTCACGTGAAGGTGATGGCGAGGGGGTCCTTGCTGTTGACGCTGAAGCCACCCAGCCGGGCGTCCACGGTGGCAGAGGTGGCGGCGGAGTCGGTGTGGTTGCAGGCTGGGCAGGGCAGGGAGGGGCGGGGGGAGGAGGGGGAGGATTAGGATGAACTGAACCGCGGGAACAACACTGACCCTGACCGTAGGAGGGTAGAAGGGTCTCCTGGGGGTCCTAGAGCCGCGAGCTGTATGCCTCACCCCCCATCACACAGTTACTTTCCCCTCCTTAGCTCCCCCCATAAGCCCCCTTCCTACCAAGCGCCCCCCCCCCCCCGCCCCCACCTGAGCTGGCGAGCTGCTGCATGCAGGGGTCCACCGCGTAGGGCGTGACGTACGACACACGGCTCTCAACACCCAGCAGCTTCTGCGGGGGGGAAATAGGGGTGTGCAGGAAAAGGAAGTTACGTATGCTGGGAGGAAGGGGTGTTGGAAGGATGCGGGAGGAAGGGATGCTGGGCGGAAGGGCTGGTGGGTAGTGGGCTGAGCGTTTTCCTTGCAGGCGATCCAAACGTGACCCCGGTTAACCTCAGACTACCGGTATACGCTGTCATAGATATAGTGAGGCCTTATTTGCGAAACTTGCGACTCACCATGAATGTGAGGACGGAGGTGTCGGTGACGGACACGGACCTCAGCGGTACGGCAAACATCTTGGTGCTGGCGGGCAGGCCGTACTGCGTGACGTCAGGGGGTGTCGTACCGCACTGGTACAGCACGTACGACTCATTGGCGTAGGTGTAGAGGTTGGTCAGGACCTAGGGACGGGATGGTTTGGGGGGGAACAGGTGAGGAGGAGCGGTCCGGGCGGAGGAGGAAACAGGAGGAAAGATGAATGGACGCGAAGCTTCGTGGTTATTTCAGATGGGTGATGTATGGGGCCTGTAGGTGTAGCTAGGCAAATGTGGGTGTCCTCGGATGAGCTGCATCAAGGGCTATCCAGGCCGCCAGGTCATTTGCCGTAATTTTTTTGTCTAAATATATCGGAGTGTTGCTCAGCCCTAGAGAATGCGACCGCTGCTGTTCGCTCCTAGACCAATTAAACATGGCTGCTGTGCAGGTACGGAAGCTGTCATTACGAACCGGGTGACGTTGGTAGTATCATGCATCGCACAACCGGTGCGCAGCCACATGCCCAGGCTGCTTTAGGTAGGCAACCGGAGGTGTGCTAGAGGGAGGCGGAATTTGCAACCGCGACATGAGGAGTCACGTCATGACAGAGGCGGGACAGGACTGCGACGTGCGACTAGCGGGCGCGGAGTACGTGTACGCAGCGCGCAGACGACATACCTTAAACGTGCTGTAGTAGGTAACTTCGAAGTTCTGAGCAACTTGAATCTACACATTGGGTGAATTGCCGGCGGCGCGGTCAAAACGATCTGCCAGGCGAAGCACCCAATAACTGATCATCGCATTCCCTTCGGTGGGAATGTCAAACTAAGAGGTAGATTGGGGCGCTTAGCGCAAACTTGGCTTACCGTGGTCTTGTCTTGAACGCTCGTCACCTTTGTAGACTGGATTTGATGTGTAGTTGGGTATACATTCAGCCCTGAGACCTGAAGCAACTGCGACGAGACGCAGTCCGCATCGTTGCGGACAGGCGCAGCGCTGGCAAGCACAATGCTTGCGACGCAAGCAAAAAACAACAGGAAGCCTCGGCCAGCCATTTTGCTCCGTTTGAGCAACGTGTTAGCCAATGCAAACACGCCGAGCGTATATACATGACATGAAACGTTAGTGAACGCTCCGAAGCCGTACTTTAGCTTGCTAATGTACTTCTTTCACCTGCAGAACGTTTGCTTAGTAACCGCAAACAACATGGCACCTCACTGCACAGCTTTGACTACGCGTCATTGGCCTTTAGCATGTCAAGCCTGTGTCCCAACGCAAGTCGCGACCACTGCAGCCCGAGCCCGGCGAATGCAATGTGCAGCTCATCGCAGAGCTGGTTTAGCAAGCGGCCATCAAGGCGATCAGTTGGTTAGCCCCTTTGACGCCCAAACTCCACTGCTCCCCACATCCGATGACCTTATCCAACACACCCATCTACAAGTCAAGCCACCCAGCCCCGCACGGCGAACTATCCAACACCCTGAACCTTTCCTTCATGAGCTTCTGGCCCTGGATGTCGAGTTCACCCACGTGCAGCTGCCTGACGGCTCCCAGCGTAGTCTGGCAACATGGGTGTGCCTGGTCGATCGACATGGCGGTGTGCCGCTCAAGACATACTGTAGGTTGCCAAACGACCTTTTAAAGGACGCACGTCGCATAGGTGGCGTGCATCCTGCGGTCCTTCAAAACGCGCCCAGCTTGGATGAGGCGCGGACCATGCTCATGGATGTCCTCAAACATGGTCGCTGCCAAGTGCTAGTGGGACACGGGCTCACCAAGGACCTTCAAGCCATGGGTTTCAAAGATGCCAAACGCGAACTGCAACAACTGGGAGTACGTCTGTTTGACACCATGTCCTTTAAGAAGTTCCATGGACATGGCCAAGGCAAGAGTGGCAACGGCAAGATGGCGCGGCCTTTGGCGCAGCTAGCAAAGGAGCTTCTGGGAAGAAGCATTCAAGTTCATCCAGGCCAACATGATCCAGAAGAAGACGCACGGGCGGTTATCGACTTGTATGTACGCAATGTGGACTACAAGTACATGGTGGAGTATGAGACATCCCGGCTGTTGGCAGACATCCATCAGCGCGCCACGGCCCAGGCCTCAGCTTGGTCTGAAACAACAATTACAGACGACCAAGGTGACAATCATGGCGACTATGCTGGTGATGCTGGTGGCAACCCTGGGCAGGGCGGTGAAGGTGAAGGAGCGAGGGAGTAATGCAGAGCCCAGCGATATGAGACGATGGTTTAAACCAACGGTGGCGGCAACAGTGGCGGTGGTAGTTGCCCACTTGGTGTTGGTTTCAGGGCTCATTCCCAGCACATGGGCTGACTAGGATGGGCAAGGATGCGGGAGCAGTAGGACCATAAGGTGCAAAGAAGGGCATTACAGCACCGTGTTGCGGGACCGGATTTGATCCACGGTTGACCTGGAGTCCGCGGCGGTCATGGGCAGGGTTACACGGATACTGGGAGAGGGGTTGACTCGTGGCCTGAGAGCAGTTGGACCCCCCGAAGTACAGCCTGGGGCAACTTTAGGGACCGATAAGACGGGGGATAGCAGAGGAAACCTGCTTGCTAACTCTTAGGAGTTTCAAGGGAAATTCAGCCGTGGGTGAGGTGCGAAACACACGCGACTGATGAGCCGGCAACTTGGTTATGTTGTAACTCTATTGGTTAAAATGCTTTGGATAATAGCTGCATGAAGATGTGTGCAGCAAACAGGTACGGTTCGTAGGCAGGACAGCAGCATGGAAGCCACGTGCTGCGGCAAGCATTTGTCTCTTATGTCAACGTAGCCGCTATACACCAAAAGGTAGCAAGCTACTCCATGCGTTCGGTTTACGACTAGCTTTGCAGCTCGCATTTCGGCTTGCCTAGGAGGTTGGACAGGTTCCGGAGCCTTGGGCCGACGGCTTGCTTTTGCCCCACTAGACTGCTGGAAACGGAAGCCTTCGGGAAACATACACTAACCATGCATCGGTTATTGCATTCGATGCCGCTTGGCATGGGCCAGCTGGAGCGGCCAAATGGGTGCCACATTTCCGGTTTGCGTATTGGCGCGACGCACAGAACCAAACGCGCCATCGGTGTGAATTATGCTTCGCCTGTCATTTGCAACTCAGACGCGCGCGGCAGGACAAAATGGTGCGTCTCGCGTTGCATTGTGCGATTGACTCCCTGTCACAAACTCAAAACAGTCACAAACAACCATCTTGAGACGAGTACAAGGATCTCTGCTTAACAACATCGGTCGGATTTGTGGGTCACTACTCACTGGATCCAAGCCCTCCGCACCCCTTAAAACGTTGCCATTCGTAGTCCAAATTGAGGTCCACACCTGTGGCCATTTCCCTCCACCAGCTGAGACACGTTTCTTCACTCTTTAACCATATGGGCTAAGATTATTGCTTCTGATATGATGCAAACTGTGTGTGTACGACAGGTACGGCACTTACACGGAGGAGCAGTACCTTGCCCAGCGGCAAAGTGAGGAGCGAGAGAAATGGGCTGCTAGCGTCAGGTGGGTACCAAGCGAGGCTTGAGGCTGATAGGACACAACCCCAACGACGAAGGTAAGACACCCAACGGTTAACTCCCAAAAACACTGTAAAATGCTTGCAAAAGACCTCAAATACCAGTGCATGATCCCATTCCACCAGTTTCCTCATCCCTTTTCCGCGTGTGCTTTTCTCCCGTCCTCCCTCCTCACTCCACTTTCCGCAGAAGCCTCACCGGCAACCTCTCCCAGACCTCCTGGGATGCCTCCCCCCTGGCTGACCCGCCAGCGCTTCTGGCGGGGGTAACTGTCGTACTGATGTCACCACGCAAACCCGTCAGCGTGGGCACGGTGGCTCGCGCGTGCGGCAGCTTTGAGTGCGAGGACATGCGCATTGTGATGCCGCGACAGGATTCATACATCACACGGTACGACAGAGATGCCGTACGGAAAGTGACCAGGGCGGCGATGCCGTAGAGGTATTGCTTATGATAATGGTTCAGGTGTTTACGTTTTCCGAGGTGTTCTGATGCGGGGCGTGTCATACCCCCACAGCCCGAGAATTCTTCCCCCTAACCCGCTCCCCCTCCCCTTCTCTCCATGTGCCAATGCCATCCCCATACACACACGCAGCAGGCACGCCAAGAGTGCCAGCAAAGGGGCGCAGTACATTTTGTACGGCGCTCGGCACTTCGATTCCATTGAGGAGGCAACTGCGGATTGTGATGTGAGAATGAAGGGGTTGTTCCTTGTCAGGAAACTGAGGAACACCGAGGGGGCGAAACGTGAAATGAAGGGTGCTTGGTGCTAAGCTCAGTTCATGTCTGTTTAGCCATGTATGTCTGTTTAGTCATGTATGTCTGTTTAGCCATGTATGTCTGTTTAGTCATGTATGGTGCTAAGGGTTACATAATGCGAGTGCTGAGTGCATGGGCCACGGAAGGAGTACCGGTGCTTTACATGCGTCCTTTCGTGCATGCCTGCTTACCGGTGCTCTGACACCTGCTGCTGCTGTGCCCTCGCTGCATGCATGCATGCTGATTCCACACTCCGCCACCCCTCGTCAGGTCCGCATCGCCTTCACGCGCTGGTCTCAAGCCAGCTCACCCCATGTGTACAAGGTGGGGCGGGGGGCTGCTGGGCAAGGCGGCGGAGGTAGTTGTAGGTGGGGTTGGAGGAACGGCGTATAACGGTACTGGAAATGAACAAATGATACACCGTGTAATGGGCCCGCTTCGAACACACGAAACCTAACAGAAAGCCAACCACCCTAACCGCCTACCATGCAGGTGGACATTAACGGTCTCACCAGCCACCCTGCCGTACGACGAGTCCTCACTCAGCCGTTGACCGCCGTTGACGGCGGCGCTAACAACGGTCCTGCCGTACAACCTTCATCATTTGCCGTACCTGGGGAGGCCGAGGCGGAGGGAGCATCATCTACACCTGGAACAGCATCCTCCTCTTCGCCATCATCGTCATCATCATCATCATCATCAGCAGCAGCAGCAGCCAATGCAGGGGAGGAATCCAGACATGTTGGGGATCTCGGGCAAACCGTCAGAAGCAGCTGCTGCGGCGGCGGCACCAGCAGTACTAGCACTAGCAGCAGCAGCGCTAGCAGCAGCATGGATCAAGACTCCTCTACAAGCAGCAGTAGCAGCAGCACGTCTGGCCAGCAGCCACCCCAGCAGCTGCCCACTTCTGGGTCCCCTGCCCCCGCTGCCCCCAAGATCGCGCTGGTGTTTGGTCGCGAGGAGTTGGGGATGAGCGATGAGGAGGTGGATGGTTGCGAGGTGTGCTGCTCGGTACCCATCGGAAGGCTGCAGGTGAGCGGGCGGGGGAAAATTATAAATAAGTGCAACAACACAGTCCCAATCCCGAATCCCGACTCATGCAGTGAGCGCATTCGGAGACACTAGTGAGCGGGCCGGGGGGGGGGGGGGCCACAAAAGACGGTACCAGACCATTGAAAGCCACAGGGGGGGTAGCGTACGGAGGGGAGGCGCCACGAACGACGACATACCGGCACCATTGGACCGTCTTATACCATTGGACCGTCTCAGTAAATTACTCCCAAACCTCATCTCATGAGTATTCGTCGTCATGCCACCCTCTCTCACCACCCTCCCCACCCCCACAGGAGTCTCTCAGCTTATCTCACGCGGTCAGTATTGCTCTGTGTGCGCTCTACCAAACCCGACTGCAGTTCCTCACAAGCAGCAGTAGCAGCAGCGGCAGTGTGAGCAGCAGCAGCAGCAGCAGTACCGATAGCGCCCCTAGCAGAGGCTGCTGCAGTCCTGGTAGCAGCAATAGCAGCAGCAATAGCAGCAGCAGCAGCCATAGCAGCAGCACTGGGGAAGGAGTTCGACCCGAGGATGTGGCTGCCCCCTATTCCTCTTCAGGCTTGGGCTCGTATACAGCAACAACAGCAGCAGCAGCAGCAGCAGCAGGAGGAGGTGGGGTAACGGCAGGAACGGCTGTTGCGGTGACAGCAGAGGAGGCCCCGCCGGGTGTCGGGAAGATGAACCGGCGCTACGTGGTTGACCCGAGTACGGGTGCCATTCGAGTGGCTGCCAACCCATAGGAGATGACCCATGGGTCATGCCGGTCATGGCCGTCATGCCAGCGACATTTAAAGCTGTACGGTCTTGACAAACGCGATCGTAATAAAGCGATGTATTAAGAAAACTAGTGCGCTAGTGTATATGCGTGTTGCTTGGGTGCATGAAGAGTGAAGTGGCTTAGATTGCTGAAACCTGTGGGGGTGATGATGGCGCAGGTGATCCGAGGAGTTGCGGTTTTCAACTCTCTTTAAAATAGGAGAGGTTCAAGCTGTCGGGTGCGGAGGGGGCCTCGTGAGGGGGGACGTGGGCGCTATCCAGGCGCACAACATACTCGTTGGGCAGCTTTCTCGAGCTTGGGGCCGCGAACAACTGCCAACTGGTAATTGACAGCTGGCATGGGACAGGAAGACAAACAACCCAAACCAGCGATGTACTGCCTTACATTGTCGATCACCAGGTTACATCCATCTTATCGGCTTGTACGCGAGCATCGGTACCAGCAACCACCACCACCACCACCACCGCTGCCGCCACCACGTCGCCGCGAGTCCGTTAAAACTCCCGCACTGCCCCCTGCTCCCCTTTCTACCCGTCCCCAGCCCTCCCTCCACCTCCCAGCATCCCCTCTCCTCCAGCCGCCTCCTTCCCCTTCCCCGCCGCCTCTCCATCCTCCTCCTCCACCCTCCCCCGCCGCCCCCCTTCTTCCCCTCCCTCGTCCCGTTCCCCCTCCTGCTCCTCCTCCACCCTTCCCCCCTGCACCGACCCATGGTGGCTCATCCCCACGCCTGTACCCGCCTGACCCTTTTCCTGAGACTCCTCACCACCCAGATGACCCATGGGTCGTTCCCTCTCCGTCACCTCCCCCTCCACGTACTTCTCCTGCATGCTCAGCCAGATGTCGCGATCCGCCACGCCGCCGCTGGCAGCACTGCCGTACAGCAGCTCAGGCGGGTACGGCATGTGGTGGCCGGCTCGCAGGGTGGAGAAGCAGTAGCCGTTGGCTTTGTCGGCCGCAATCATGAGCCGCTGTAGACTCTCCTTGTCCTGTTGGGTTTCGGTTGGATTCGGTTGGCATGAAGAACAGTTGACAGTGGTACGGTCGACTACATATCGTCGTCGGTATGTGCGGCATCCCGCTGTGTGCCATGAACCCCTGTGTCCCCTTCTTAACGTGTGCCCCCCCGTAACTGACGAGTAACCCCATCCTAATGTGCATCCCCAGTCTGACGTGTGTGCGGTACATAGGCGGTACCTGTACGGCAAAGGGTACGAAGTTGACGAGCCCAAACTCCTCCACCACCTCACATAGCCCTGCGCTCAGCTTCCTGTGTTTGTGTGTGTGTGGGGGGGGAGGGGGAGGGGGAGGGGGAGGGGGAGGGGGAGGGGGAGGGGGGTATGGAATGTGGGAAACGTTGGTTTGCGGTGCAGGTACGTGTGGATTATAAAAACACTGGCCGCAAGGTGAAACGTACTGTGATTGCCAGTTGCCCTAACAGAGGCAACCCATAGAGCAAACGTGCCTTGCGGCGGGGGTCTGCCACTTCCACTTTCACCTTCACCTTCACCACCCCTGAAGCAAATCCCCATCTGCATTCGTCTCATCATACAGCTTGTCAGTTTCCTGTTGTAGTCTTCTTCCTACCCACCTGAACTTCTGCGAGAAGGGCCGCCCCCCCATGGCCGCCACCAGGTGCCCCAGGTCCTGGACCTCCATGTAGAACTCCAGGTTGAAGTCTGAGGGGGGGGGGCAGGCGGGAAGCGGGGGCAGGGGAGCGGGGGCAGGTGCAGGTGCACGTGCGGAGGCAGTGGTGGGGAGGTAGGTGGGTAGGGAATGAGGAAATCAGGAAAACGTAGGAAAAGGAGTGCCCTAAGACGGCCCTTTTCCCTACCTAACTTGCCGTACTGGCCCCCCCCTCCCACCTAGTTTGCCGTACTGCCGTATGAGATCCATTTTGCTGAGTACGTTGATGTGCGGCAGCTCCAGGTGCAGCATGGTGTGCAGCGACAGCAGCAGCGCGGACAGGTACCTGGGGGGGGGGTTAAGGAAGGGGTAAGGGGGGGGGGGGTAGGGGTAGGGTGTGTGGCAGGGAAGGCTACAGAGGCAGGGCAGGACTGGAAGGGTGCGGGTGAGGAGCAGGAGGAGTGTGAGGAGCAGGCGGCGGCGGCAGCTCAAGGCGGGGGGCAGCTACCGCCCATCCCCCCCCCTCCCTCTCTCCCCCTTTCCCCCTCCCCCTCCCTCCCCTTCCTCACTTGGCCGGGTCGGTGCACAGGTGCGCATCCACCAGCTGCACCGCCACCAGCCGGTAGCTGCACCGCCGTAACACCACACCGCCGCCGCCACTGCTGCTGCTGCTGCTGCTGCCGTTGCCTCCTTCTGTTCCTCCTTCTGCTGCTCCCGATTCCCCTGTGGCTTTCGCTTCTCCTGCTCCGCCTGCTCCTGCTCCTCCTCCCCCTCCTGCCTCCCCCGTCAGCGACGCCAGTGTCCGCCTCAGCGCGCCGCCCCCCGCCGCCGCCAGCAGCTCCACCTGGCCCGGACAGTCGAACAGGAGGTAGGTGTCGTCTGCATGGGAAAGGGGGGGAATTGGGGGGAGGGGGAAATTATATAAAAGTGAAACAACAAATCCCAATCCCATATCCCGACTCATGCAGTGAGCGCATTCGGAAGCACTAATAACACGCATCTCAAATGGGGGGGAGGGAGGAAAACAAAGCGTTGAGTGGTGGTGGCAAACCAGGTGCGGGGTTGCTGGGATTGCGGGAGACCCTGCACATGTGTTTACGTGTCTACCCCCCAACCCTAAACCCAACCCCTACTTCTCTTCACCTCCCCTCCTCTTCCCTCCTCTCCCCATCACCGCCCCATCACCCCCCGCCTACCCTGCTCCAGGGGCGCCAGTCGCTCGTGCAGCCAGTCCAGGTTGGCAGCCAGGTAGTCCATGCAGTACAACAGGCCTGCGGGAGGGAGGCGAAGGAAGAAGGGAGGAGGCGAGGAAGAACTGAGGCACGGAAATACCGATCCCATGAGGTAGACCCGTCCTTATTAATAAAATACGACATAAACCATGGAGAGGGCTACAGAGTAAGATCCCATGCCGGTCCTACCTCCGTTCGGTCCCAGCTTTAGCTCCGCCATGACCTCTTCCAAGCAAACCAAGTCAGCAATGTCCACTGCTGCCTCGTACGGCAACATGTCATTGGCGGGGTCCAAGTTCACGATCGCCACCTTGCGGCCTGCAGCCTGGAGGAACTGCTGCATGCCGCGACAGTACGTGGTCTTGCCGCTGCCCGGCGGGCCGACAACGACTTGACCAAACGGCATGATGGATAATGTTGGCTAGACTAGTTCAACAGTAATGACCCTGTCTGTTAGCTACAATCTTAAGCGGATCAATAGTTGAATGTTCTGTTGAAAGTTATCATAATTGCTGTGCCAAGGTTCTAGATGCTCACTAAGCAAACTTCTGCCGCTAACCTCTGGAATTCGTATAACCTCACAGTACGTAAAACAATTGTGTTTATGCAGACGTAATTGCGAAAGGTAACTTGGATGTCCACCTAACATCAATGGTGGTTGGTGGCGTACGGCGCCATGCGACTATAGCCAGGACGAAGAAGCGCTCGCTTTCGTAACCCAGACGCTGCCGAAGCTTCAGGGTCTAGCTCTACGCACCCCCAGCACCAGATAACCCTTGCTGACAACAAGAGCCAATCCTTGGACTTGCGATTACGCTTGCGTGCATGGTGGCTAAGCTCCAGTTCCCCTGCCCTGCGGGATCTCCCCGAGCTTCCTTAAGTGAACCCTCCCACCACCCCCTTTCTTCCTTATCCCCCTCATGCGTGCTCCTTGCTCGCAACAAGCCGCAAGCACAGCGCCCATCTGTCTAGGGCATTTCTGTACGGCAGCCTGATGTTGGGTAGGGCATGAGCCTTACCCCTTGTTACAATCCGGACTGCGTTGGATGTACCGTATACCCCTTCTCCTGAAGGGACCTCCGCCCCTTGGGACTCCGTTTGCCTGCCCTTGCTGCCGCCAACCGCCAACTGGGCAGCGAATTTCCGGTGATGCTACCGGCTGTACCTACAAACAGCTGCCCTTCCCTAAAGTACTCGACAACACCACGTCCCCACCCAAGTCCTAAGCCCCCAAAAGTCCAATATGCACAAGGCATGACCTACTTTACCTTTCCCTCGGTCCTTCACCTCTGACCTCAAGCCGCGCGCAGCCTCCCCCAACATCTCAACAGCTCACCATCGCATGCGTACCTAAACCCCGCCCGCCCCCACCATAGCCCCCAACACACGCTCCTCCTGTTCTCTTCTCCTCCCTTCTGGGCTCCCGCCCAAACTTCTACCCAAAACAAAAACGTCCGGCCACATTACGACAAGGGACCCTGCAAGGCCCTCAGAGGACCCTGCAAGAACCCGCCCACTCTCCTCGCAACTCCCAATCCGCTCAGTCCTTGCCAACATCCGTGGTACACTTCAGCACGGGTGCGTTGTAGTTCTGGACGGGGGCCGGGGAAACGGGGCGAAAGTGGGGTCTGAAATCGACCAAATCATAGGAGATCACACATGTTTAGGGGAGGAACAAGGCGCAGGATCGGAAGGATTTCAAGGTGCTACAGGAGACGGGAGGAGATGGGAAGCGAGGGCAGGTGAGGCCCGCTGCATGCAGAGTGCACGACACGACACACCTGTTTTTGTCCAACCAGCCAAGACGTATGCTGTCATACTGCGATGTTTGGTAATAAAAACTCACCTTCTCGTAGATCTTGGTTCCGGGCGGCACGGGCAGATCACGAATCAGGATCTCCTGCTCCAGCTCCATGTGCCGTACATTCACCTCAATGTACGGCGGTACGGCACCGCCCAGAGCCTTGTAACGTACGGTGCGCCTGCGGTGGTATGTGAACGGGGTGTTTACTTGGTGTTATTTGCTGTTCAAGTGGAAGTGAACCGGGGTGAACCAGGATGTCTGCGGATTTCCCTGCTACTGCATTTCCAGGACCAAGGCCCCGCATCGCCCAAGTAGCTGCCTGCAAAGAGCTCCCACCACCTGCCCGCCTCCCAACACCAATCAACGACAACCAGTTTGGCCTTTACACGCCACACTTGCACGTGCCCTCCAATCCTCCACCCGCACCCGCACTCCCAATCCCAAGCCCCAACCCCCCAGGCGGTCAGCTACCGGACCATGGCCATGAGTTACAGTGGCCCTCTTAACCCAACCCCTAGCCACACCATTTCCTTTCCCAACCCTCTCTCCCCTTCCCCTCCTCAGCCCCCTTTGCAGCCCCGTTCCTCCGCCCCCCCCGCTTCCTCATTCCCCACCTGTACACGCACATCCAACCGCCCTTCTTGACCCCAGGCGCCAGATCATCGTTGACCAGCCGTACGGGCACGTCCACCAGTACGACACGATCCGGCGGGCAGTACAGCAGATCCACCCCCTCCAACCGCTGCGTCACTGCGTTCATGTGCACACGCACCGGCTTCACCCGCATGACACCCAGGAGCTCCCCTTGACCAGGGCTGCTGCTAACTGCTGCTGCTGCCGACGAGGAAGAAGATGGTGATGAAGAGGTGGAGGAGGTGGTGGTTTCAACGGCAAGGGTTTCCGTCGGGCGAGCCAGATTGAGTTGCAGTACGCGTGCCGTACAGCCGTTGCGTCCGAAAGAGCGGATCTGCGTGTGATGCAGAAAGGTTGCGAGCAGCAGGGGATTGGACGGAAGGGGCCGGACAGGGAATGCGTGGAACGAGGTATTGATGGATATGTTGAAGTTGCTACGTTTTCCCCTCTCGCTGGTTGCACGGAGGCCCTCGCTAGGCAGCGAGGAGGCAGCTTGAGTGCCCCCCGGCTCAGGGGAGGGCCGTCTGCAATCCAATGGCGCCAGCGGAACCCACCCATCCCACCATACACACACCTCCACATCCCACCATGCACACCTTCACCCATCGAGCTAACACACACCCCACTCCCACCAGCTCAGCAACGCCGCCAGCCCCAGGCAGCACCAGTTCCGACTCCCCAGGCGTCCGCCTCACACACGCCCCTAACCCAGCGGCCTGTCCTACCCAACCCCGTCCCCCTCCCTCCCACCCACCCACCATCTTCCCCAGCTCGTTCTCATCAAAGTGCAGCAGCAGCTCCCAAGGCCGCCCGGCCGCTTCCTCCTTCCCCTGACCCCCTCCTGCAGCAGCCTGCGAGGAAGAAGCCTCCTCCGCCGCCGCCGTGCCGCTGCTGCTGCTGCCTCCTCCCACGATGGAGTGCACCCTGCCGGGCACTCTGCCCGCCCGCCTCAGCCACTTGGATGCGGTGCCTCCCACCGCCTGGGGTGGGCGCACGTGCGCGGTGAGGCAGGGCAGTCCCGGCTCCACGTCATGGGGCGGCAGCGGGGCGGGCAGGGAGGAGGCGGAGAGGCGGAGGGAGGTGCGCTGGCGGCCGTCCAGGCGGGAGGAGGAGAGGAGGGGGCCCTCTGGGGGAGGGGTGGAGGGGAGAGGGGCGGATGGGATGACATGCAGGGACTTGGGAGTGGGATGTGGGTTGGGAGGAGCGTGGAGAAGATGGAAGATCGTGGCTTATGGTAAGGAGAGGGAACGCATGAGCATGTCGAACAGCTATCTGTGCGTGATGTTAGGGGTTGCATCGGAACCGCTTGCGGTGGCTGCGCCAGTGGACCACAGCTGTGCGTGATGCTCGCGCCCACAAGGCACCACCAACATCCTCTCAACAACGCTAGAGCGCCTTGTGGCGTGTCTTACCAAGCTCTCTAAGCTCCTGTAGAATGGCTTCTGGAACTACTGACGCCTGTTGTCGTTCCGATGGCCGAGCCATGATGTGCTGCGCACGGCTACACGATGGGACCGCTAGCTGCACGTTTGACTCCACATGCTGGAACAAAAGGCTGCATAGCCAGCCACGAGCAGCTTGTAGAGGAACAGGGCTGCCGCCCGCTGCGGCAGCGGCGCGCAAGGACGCCACCGCCAGCGCCATCTGACTAAATGGTATATGTGAAATATAGCTACTGCACAGTTAAATTAAACGAAACATACGGCTCGCGAAGGTGCACGCGTGGGACAAGAAAGGCAGTAATGCGACGGTAAGCGGAGTGAAGGAATCGTCTTCACTTCGATTCTGCTAAGGAAGAAGACTCTTGCATTCCATATAGACTCCAGGTTAAGTCGGTCAACTGTACGTTGGCCCCGCCAGTTGCAATAATACGGAAAGGAAGGAATGTGCAATTTGGTGCAGTGAAAATCGAGTCCCTAGAACAATTAGGACAAAACGAGCACGTGACTTTCGCTAGGCGTATTTATTTTGTAACCTATGAATCAACTAGACCTACACTTGTTGCCATTGTGAGTCCTATAGAGCTGTCGTGATGGTAAAAGAGAAGGCGGATGATGATGGCTACGCCGTCCTCGCACGATCGGATGTGGAAGCAGCTCCGGTAGGGTAATGGACTGGCCTTTTACCTCCCATGGCATGGCCATTGGGTTGCTCGATTTGTTTTGGAAAGCTTTCGACGGCCAGTCAAAGCTTGTCATAGGAATAACCATAGGAACAGGGGAAACATGTTCGGTGGTTGTCGGCGACACCCTGGCTACAGCCCAAACCACATGCGCCCCGCAGGCGGAAAACAGTGGCAAGGCCGCTGCTCACGCCAAGCCACCGCGGAATCAGACGGCCTTTTTTGCAGCTTTAGCTATCGGGTAGGGCGCTGGCATCAATACCTTCCTAGCACTAGAGGTCCAGCCTCCCCAAGCAAAGAATGGCAACAGTACCATCCACCGGAACGCTAACCTCGCTTCCCCAACACAACCTGCTCTTCCTCCCAATCCCCCTGTACGATGACCTTCTTACCCCAACAATTGGCCTTTGTACGGCAGGTCCATAGCCTCTGCTCTCGGCTTTTCCACGCTCCAAGAGAAGGTATTCAACATCGAGGGCTTCCAGTACGGCGGCTGGATGACCTTCATCACCTACCTCACCTACTCCGCCTGCGGGCTGGCGGAGTCGCTTGTTACACGCAGCTTTAAGCGCCACGCCAGCCTTAGGGTGGGTCCCTGCCCTGCCCGGGGTGCATGGAGGGGGGGATGGCACGGAGGGGGTGGGGGTGCGAATCCCATACAGTAAACGTACATGAGGAAGTCTCGAAGTGCCCTGAGCGTGGCCGCCTGAGCCGCAGAACTGACCACGCTGTGATTACTACAGCGCATCAGTGTGCTGTGTTACGCGTCAAATCAAGTCGACGCATATGTACGGCATCTGTGTATGTGTTACTGTGCACGCAGGATTACGCACTGGTTTCGGTGCTTGCGATGGGCGGCGCCTACTTCACCAACTGGGCGCTCAACTACCTGAACTACACCACCCGCATCGTGTTCAAGTCGTGCAGGGTCATACCCGTCATGGCGTTCAGGAGGTGGGGTGGGTGGGAGGGGGAGGGGGAGGGAGAGGGGGAGGGAGAGGAAGGTGGGAGGCTAGTTGATTGAAAAGTGGAAGGGAGAGGAAAGAGGAAAAGAAGGGAGAGAGGGAGGCAGGGGTATGCCGGTACATACACGCCACACCGCTAACACCAGCATTCCACCACTGCCCCCGCTGCTTTTCCCCCTCCTCTCACCTTCTCCCTCCCCCTCCTCCCTCCCACCCTCCCTCCTCTTCCTTCCTCCCTCCTCCTTCCTCCCAGCCTGGTCGTGGGTCAGCGGTACAGTGCAGTACAGTACGGCGCGGGCGGGTTGCTTGTAGCGGGCATCACGTTGTTCACGGCGGGGGACGCGGAGGGGGCGCCCAACTTCAGCGGAGTGGGGGTGGGCCTCATCGCACTGGCGCTGGTAGGGGAGGCCGGGGCGGGTGGTGGGGGGTGGCTTGTGGGTGGTGGGGGGTGGTGCTGCAATTGAATGTGCAGCGATGGAAAACTGGCCTTGGCGGGTGATGTGGGGGGTCGGGTTAGTGTTTTTTATTTACCTATTGCCCCCCTCGTCCCTCTCCCCCCCCCTCCCTCTCCCTCTCCCTCTCCCTCTCCCCCCTCTGCAGCTGTGTGACGCGCTGACCGCCAACCTGGAGGAGCGGCAGTTCTTCCGCATCCGCACCCCCGCATCGCACGCGGAGGTGATGACCTTCCTCTCGCTCTTCGCGGCGGTGGAGGCGTTTGCGGTGCTGTGCGCCACAGGTGGGGCGGCGGGGGGGGAGGAGGGCCGGAAGTGCAGCAGGCGCCCTGCGCCCGCCGGCCACTGCGCGAGAGTCGGGCCATGGGGGACTAGGCGTGGACTCCCCGTGCTTCAACGCTATTCAACTTTTCTTTTGTCAACATAAAGTGCAGACATGGTAGGGAGCGTGTTAGCTAGTATTTTACATGGTTGGACTACTGGTATGCGTATATGGCTTGCCCTCTTCCTCTCCCCTGTGCCGCCATGCGCCCAGGCGAGCTGCCTGCCGCGCTGGCCCACTCCTCCGCGCACCGCGAGACCGTCCCCACCATCTGCGCCTTCTCGCTGCTGGGCTACGTGACGGTGTGTCTGGTGCTGCTCATCATCAAGCACTTTGGGGCCACCAACGCAGAGGTGGTCAAGTCCATGCGAAAGGTGGGGGTGCGAAAGGGGGGGCGGGTGCGAGGGGAAGGAAGAGTGGGGGTCGTGCGGAAGGGTGCGAGAGAAAGGGTAGAATGGGCCTTTGGTTCCTCATCCTTCCTACCCTTTGCCGCTTTACCTCGGCGCCTTCTCACGAGTGTAACGACCCATGGGTCTCAGTGTCCTTTGGCCTGGCTATCTGATCCCCTCTCGTCATGTCTCTCACCTCCTTCCTAGCACGTTTCCCCCTGTCGCCATGCGTGTGTTTGTATTTTCCCGCCCCTGCCGACCCGTGGGTCACACCTGCATACAGGTGTGCCAGGTCATCCTCTCCTTTGTGGTGTTCCCCAAGCCGCTGAGCTGGAAGTACCTGGCGGGTGGGGCGCTGGTGGCGGTGGCGCTGTACGCGCTGCAGCGGACCGGGAAGAAGCCGCAGGGGGAGCGGGAGAAGGAGAAGGAGCGGGAGCGGGAGGGAGGGAGAAGTGGCGGGATGGTGGGACCGGGGCCGGGAGTGGGAGAGGGGTCGGGGTAGAAGGCGAATGTAGAGGTGCGGTAGGGTATGGGGGTAGGTAGATAGATACAAATAGATAGAGAGGAGGGGAGGATTAGCTGGGGCTTGGATGGCTCTGGAGGAGGAAACAACAACGATTGCGTTAATATAGGACCGGACCTGACATAACCCATTACATTTGCATGTTGTGTGTGATGTGGTGCTGTGCTGTACAATGTCTGGTTCCCATGCAAGCAGCTTGATTCTTTAGGTACTAGCAGCTCACTACTAGGGGGCCCGAGTTGCATCGTCATGATAAGGTTAGCCGCACTTTGAGGACGGTGGCAGGGTGGGGGACCTGAGAGCTGTGCCACGGTATGCAACCATGATGCAGTTAGTGATTGGGAAACTCCTTAAACGTCGCAGCACCCGGACCGACATCAGTGCTTCGGACCTGCGTGTGCATTTGGGCGTTACGGGTGATACCGTAAGATAACTAAAACACATGGTTTCGGGTTATGCGCCTACCCGTGAACTTCGTTTGTTGCGACTTGCCTGGCAGATGAGGAGGGTGTGAAGCTAAGGTATTCCGTGGGAGAGGAGGTTTATAACTGAAGGTCGCGGCTGCTGTCCTAGCGCTATAGACCCTAGCTCGTGGATGGGGTACTAGTGTATTCCTTTCCTTTGTTAGGCTTCAATCTGGATCCCATGCGGCATTGTGCTATGCTAGTAAGCGGGCAGCCCCGTAAGACACACGGCAGGGTAGTAGCCTAGTACGACTGACGGTAAACTGTGCACCTGGTCGTTAGGCGTCGAGGAGGTTCTGTGCTGAACTAGGGAAATTTGATAACCGCTGGCACTGACATGCCATCAACATTAGCGACATGTGTAGGACTAGGACAAAGCTTCATGACGCTTGCATGTGATAACATTTGTTCAGGGGATTATGCACAGCTTGCAAGGACGGCTGTCTGGTCAACATAACTGCGGTCGTGCCCCGCCCGGCTACTGCCGCTTGCAGTAGTACCGAAGCGTTGCCGGAGTCCAGTCCAATGCGCTAGACTTTGCATATACTTCCTGACTTCGACTGGCGCTTACAATTTGGTGATAAAGCATCCTAGTAAAGGCGAAACTAGTCTTGTCCATCCATCTAGTCGAAAAAATGAGCCGCTCCCGACCGAATATACTCATAACAGGGACACCTGGCACGGGCAAAACGACGACGTCAGAGATGGTCGCGCAAGAACTGGGCTTCCGGCACATAAACGTTGGCGAATGGGTCCGCGAAAAAGGCTTGCATTCAGGATGGAACGACGAGTTCGAGTGCTACAACATTGATGAAGACAAGGTAACGCCTTGGATAATGGATTGTTCCCATAGGGGACCCATGCGCGCAGCGCCGCCGCGTCAAGCGTTGTCCGTGGTTTCTTGGCATCATCAATAGCACTTTTATAATATCAGCAAGAGTGACGTAAAGCTAGGCCGTGTCCGCGAGGGATTGTAAGTATTGATCCTCATGTCCCGAGGGGTCGGCATGGACTAGCTTGCCACTCTGCTGCACACCATACACACGCTGAGCCTACTTCTTAGGCCTCGAAAGTTACCACCTATGAGAGACTTCAGGCCACTTCCTAGAGCCTCGATCCACTAGGCCACTTCCAGGCCCTTGCTTCTTTCCGCCCATCCACTCCCAGCCACCGCACCCTCTCTTCCGCCCAAGCCCTCCATCGCACCCTCCTTATCACCCCACTACCCTTCTGACTCCCATCTTCACCCATGCGTGTTCGACACTTGCATGCGTATACTGCAACCGCCACCCCAAACCGCTTTGTACGGCACCACAACAACCGCAACCTCCACCACACACAGGTTTGCGACGCGTTGGAAGACTTGATGGGCGAGGGCGGCAATGTGGTCGACCACCACGGCTGCGACTTCTTTCCGGAACGGTAGGGCGGTTACGTATATAGATAGATTCAAACATAAAAAAGCCACAAACTATTAATCTCGTGGTCCCCTGGTCTCTCCTCCGCTCTGGATCCCTTCCTGACAATTGTTGGAAGCCCTCTCCCGCCATTTAGCTTTCTTGATCTCCGCTCCCCACCGCAAAATGCATGCAGGTGGTTTGACTTGGTCGTTGTGCTACAAACCAACAACACCGAACTGTTTGACAGATTACAAAAGCGGTAGGTGGCGCGTGGGAGGCGCATATCGGAAGTACGGCATGTAGGCGGTGTGTGCTACCGCACGCTTAAGAGGCCCTGCAGTGCCCAGGGGTGCGGCGGGAGGCGATTGAACCTTGTACCGGTATGCTCATAGGACGCCATGTTCTCATGTCCATGCTAAAGCGTCTCCCTCCCTCCTTCCTTCTCATGAATTGGGCCCTCTTCGCTCCCTTCTGTCCGCAGTGGCTATTCGCAAAAGAAGATCTCTGAGAATGTGGAGTGCGAGATCATGATGGTGGTGGCGGAGGAGGCGGCGGAGAGCTACCGGTAGGAGGAGGGGGGGAAGACCCTATCATCGAACCATATGTGGGAGACTACAGGTTGGGGGAAGAGGGGGGCTGCAGGGGGCGGGTCAGGGAGGATGCCCTGAGGCCGGAGCCCTGGCCATCTCTGCACGCCTCGGCCTCCACACCCCCAGCGCCTCCCTTCTCTTCCCTTCCCTGCATGCCTCCCACGCCACCTCCCCCCGCTCCTCACTTGCACTTGCAGTTCCGAGATCGTGAAGCCGCTGTCCAGTGACAACACCGACGACCTGGAGCGCAACGTGGCGCAGATCGTGGGCTGGGTGCAGGGCATGATGGGGGGCAGGGGGTAAAGAGGAAACAACTACCGGTAACTGACAGGGGACAGGGGGTGAACTGGGGGGGGGCATGATGGAAGCGGCGAGAGGGTGTGCTGTTACGGTAGTGTGCAGGTCCGCTTCGTAACAGGCTGAGGAGGGGGGTGGGAGTGCGAGTGTGTTAAAATAACTGGCCGCGAGGCGAAACGTACTGTGATTGTGCGAGTGTGTGTGTGGCAAACTGGCGGCGAGTAGGAACGAGGGGCGTCCTGCCGTATAAGCGTACATGCGATCGCAGTGACGCAAGCAAAAGGGCGGTTTGTACGGCAGCCTCTTGCGTGTATCTTGGTGTGTCAGTTGCGGACAGCAGGACACGTCTTCACCTCGGGAAACGGTACATATCCTTTCACTATCCCGGGCATGCATGCAACGGGCTCCTGCCCCCACTCAGCATCCATGCATGCATGCGTGTGAAGGTCGTGAGCGTGCGGGCAGCGTACAAGTACCGGTACATGTACGTATGTTGACCACGCCGCACACGCCGCGGCTGCACGCCTTTATAGCAGGTTAGGTTCCGGATTGTTACGGCCAGGAGGAAAATGCTTCATTAGAGGAGGTAATGCTTGAAGGGATAAGTTGGAAATTGTTTAGGGGAGCTGCGGTTTATGAGCTTATTCACCAAAACCCGTGAAGGCTCAAAAGCTCTTTGGCTGTTAGACACCGGGATGGGTGCGTGCGCCCCCTCGTTTTCGGGTCAGGTATGGAGCAAGTGAGGTGACCTTGCCCCGCCGCCAAATGTCCCGCACCTTTGCCACAGGCCCCATCATTGCCACCTCGGATGTGGGCACAGGACATCACCAACTGCTTACAACTGGACGGCTCAACGGGTTACAAAAAGAAGCTAATAAGGCCTTCCTGGTATACGAGGTAAGGTCTAAGGTGCTTGCGGCCGATCCGGGTAACCGGCTTGCGCGCTTGCCTGATCTCGGTTAGAGCCGTACAGACAGGGTCGCAATGTCAGCAGGAGTTGCTTTCTCTCCTTTAGGGCTACCACCTGGATAAGTGGTTTTCGTGACCTTTTTAAGAATAGTAATATCGCAGCTTGTTGAACATGCAGCTGCTTGCACAGCGTAATGCTCAGCGCGCTGCTGTGCAGCGTCGCAACGGACAGCTTAGTCCTTTGTCGACTCGTGCTCGCTGTGGCATAACTTCCTATGGAGCAGCTAGGTTTGTTGCTGGAAGCCGGAGGGCAGCATTTCGCGTACAGGCGCAAGCCCAGACCGCTGTCGCGCCTAGCAGCGCGCTGGCCGTGGGCACTATTGCGCTGCGCAAAGCTGTCTCTCAGACAGCATACAAGGGGACCAACGTCTTCGTTGCAGGTCGGCAAGTCAAGTCAGCATTAGCTTGCGTCGCTAGTCGCTTGGTCGCTTTACCCTGAGCTGCATTCTAGCCTAGCACATTACATAATTATCCAGAAAATTAGCTTTTTTCACATGCGTAACATCAGCGGCTTAGCTGATAGTGACAGACGTTGGCCCATCGAGTTCGTTGGTTTACATCACGCTACGCAGGGGGCCAAGGGCAACTGGCGATCCGCGTTATCCGTGACCTACTTACTGCCGGATTCAAAGTCACCGCTGGTGAGTCGATAGCGCGCGGCTTCCTAAACAACAACACCTGATTAGCATGTCTACCTTCCTTACGTACGCAGACCCCCCGCCTAACACGCAACACCCTAACAGTCCCATAACTCAAATTCCGCCACTCCCTCCCCCCCTTTGCTGCTCCTTCTGCTATACTTCCGCTCCACCCACATCCCTCCCAACCTCAACCTCCAGCCTCCCCCAACCCTTACTCCCTCCATCCCTCCTCACCCTACCCTCCCTCCCGCCTGCCCTTCTTCCTCCCTGCCCCACTTCTCCTCTCCCTGTCCCCCCCTCTCCCCCTTCCCCCCCTGCGCAGCCGTGTCCGACCCCGCTGCTGCTTCCGCCGCGGTGGCCTTCTTCACGCGCTACGAGCTGCTAGGCAAGACGGCCGCAGCCAACTTGAAGCTGGTACCGCTGGGGGAGCTGCTGGAGGCGGGAGAGGAGGGGCAGCAGGCGTTGAAGGGGCTGCCCAAGTGAGGGGGAAGAGGGGGGCTACGAAGGGAAGGAGCCCAAGGGGGGCAGGGAGTGAGGTGACATGGGCCCTGTGGACGCGGGGTTGCGGCGGGGTTTACAGGCAGGCAGGCAGGCAGGCACGGCAACAATGAAGGGCATGTTGGAGTAGTGAGGGCAGAAGGGCATGCCGCTGTTCCTTAAGCATGGGCCCCTCGCTTGCTGCAACCCCTGAACAGGCGGGCTAAGATTGTGGTGGTGGAGGGCGATGAGGAGGGTCGCAACAAGACAGGGGTCAAGGTGGGTGTGGGGGTGACGTGTATACCGGTAGGAGGGCGCCAGTACCCTGTCCTGCCCTCGCCGTGCTATGCTCTCCCCGCCTCTCCGTGCTATGCTACTGGCGGTCGCTTAGGCCTTCCTTTAATCTTCTTCCTCCGCTGGGTTGTTGCCTTGCTTTCTTCCCAAATCCTGCTGCTGCTGCTGCTGCTGCTGGGTGCTGTTGTTGGTGCCTCCTGAGGATCGTTTGCCGCTCCCATCATCCCTCCTCCCAAACAACTAATACTGTGGCTAGGTGCTGCACCCCTGCTGCTGCTGCTGTTCTCTACCTTCGCCCACCAACAGCAACCGTCCCCCCCTTTCTCCCCTTCCCACGCCAACAGGAGGTTCAGCTGGCCCTGCGTCTGGCTGAGGCCACCTCGGCCTCCCAGCTACTGCTGGTGTCCACCGGGGCTGCAGGGGCAGGGGCGGTTGGGGTGGCGGTTGGGGTGGGCGGTCTGCTAGGAGGGCTGTTCGGAGGTAGCAGCAGCAGCAGCAATGGTACGGGGGCTGGCGCGGAGGGCAGTGGTGAGGGATCGGAGGGACGGCCGGTGGAGAAGCTGACAAAGATTGAGCAGATGGTAAGCGGGAGAAGGAGGAGGAGGAGGAGGAGGACGAGGAGGAGGAGGCAGGGCTTGGGGGATTTGTGGGATTGTTGGGGGATGTGTTTGTATGAGGCCTTGAGTGGCTAGCAGCCCCTCTCTCTCCCTTTCTTTCTCCCTCAAGAGAGCTCAAGAGCCTGCTTCTTGGCTTGCCTTGCATTGCCTTATGTTGGTCACCTTCTTGTCATGTGATTGGCGTTCCGTCACACGCCATTGTTGTCCCATTTTCGCCGTCCTCCCCCCCACGTCATCATCATCGCTCCATCTCACCCCAACTCACTCCTTCTATCTCATTCCATGCTCCGTGTACAGGTGGCGGATAGCGGTCTGCCTTACAGTATTGTTCGCGTGTACGGCAGTGATCGTACGGCAGACGGATCCGAGCCCGGCAGCTACCTGGCAATCGGGTCGCTGGGCTCACTGCCTTCCACCCGGGTGGCCTCGCGGGCACAGGTAGGGGAGGGAGATGGGGGTGGGGGTTTGCGTACCTGTGTTTCTGGTTATGTTTTATCCTGTGTTCATGCTCGCCGTCTGCTATGTGTGTGTTCGATTGCCCTCAAGCCGCCCGTGTAAAACGACCTCCTCTCCTGCGCCCACCGCCACATGCTACACACCCTGCTGCTGTTGCTGCTGCTGCTGCCACCCCCACCCCACCCTCACCCGCCCCTACCCGTCTGCTGCTCTGCTGCTGCTGCTTCCCCCGCCCATTAGGCGGCGGTTGTGGTTTCGGAGGTTCTCAAGGCCCCCGGGCCCACCAGCGGGCTGGTGTTTGAGGTGAGCGGGTGTGTGTCGGTGTTTGTTGTGTTTTGGGAGTTGGAAGATTGGGCTAGCTCTTCTCTTCCGCCGGGTTGAGGTGAGGTGGGGCAGCTATCGGTCCTCCACACCTCCCTCTTTCTCCTACCCGGGCTTCCTATGACCAATCACGGTCAGCCTTTCATCGCGGCTCATCCGCATTCATCGCGGCTTATCCGCATTCTCAACATCCTCTTGCCCCCTCTTCCTGCCGCGCCCACGTCCGCAGGTTGGGGCAACCACGGAGGAGCAGCGCGCCCCCGCAGACGCGGTTGCGGAGGTGGGGTTGGGGGTGCGGGGTGGGGAGGGGGGGTATTTGGAATGGACGAGGTGGGGTGTGTGGAGCGAGGTGTGGAGGGGCTGCGGTATGGCGGACCCATGGGTCGCCCATGTGTGAGGTGTTGTTGTGTGGGTGGGTGTCTCGATGCGCCCCTTGCGGGTTTAGTGGCGAGGTCGTGTAGCGGAAGTGTGTCCGGCGCCTCCCACGATGTCATAAGTTGTGAACCTCACACGCCGCTGCTATAACTGCCATTACTGCCGTCGTCCCCTTTGCTGTCGTCGTCCCCTCTGCTGAAGCCGTTTCCTTTCTCATCGCTGCCGTCGTTGCCTTTCCTGCCATCGCTGCCGCCCGCTGCCCCCCCGCTTCCAGATCATCGCCGCTGCCGAGTCAGCTGCTGCTGAAGCTGCTGCTGCTGCCGCCGCGGCTGCTGCCGAGGCTGCCAGTGCTGCCGGCGCCGCTGCTTCCTCCTCCCCCGCTGCTGCTGCCGAGGGCTTGTTCGCCGGCTTTGCGGGTGTGCTGCCGGCACGCAAGGCCGCTGCTGCTGCTGAGGTGGGCGATGTTGAAAGGGGAGTTTTGCGGGGGAAAACATGGACCGAATTTTGGGAAACCACGAATAAAGGCAAACAATGGTGGAAAGAGGCGGCAGGGTGCCAAAAGACAAAGGGAAGGTGAGGGCAAACCGGGGTGCACAGATCGGGAGCATTCGGGGAGGGCCTCTGTGTAAGGCTGTCCCTAAGGCTAACCCTGCCCGCACAGTGCGGAGCTTCAATTCCTACTGCTTCCCCCAGCTGACTCTCCCACACCCTTTGCCGCCCCCTTCCCCACGGCTCCAGACTAACGCCGCAGCAGCCGCAGAGGCCCAGCAGCGGCAGGAGGAGGAGGATGCCGCAACCGCCGCCGCCGCCTCGGCCACTGCGGCTGCCGGCAACGTCTTCCTAGGTTTCGGACTGCCGCTGAAGCTCGCCTCAGCTGCTCCGGCGAAGCAGGCGACGGCGGCGGCGGCGGCGGAGGAGGAGGACCGCCAGGTGAAGACTGCGGAGCTGCCGGCAGTGGGCACTCGCAGTGCTCGACGCGCCGCGGAGGCACGTGCCGCCGCCGCTGCCGCTGCCGCTGGTGGCGCCCGCCGGAAGGGGGCGGTTTCGGAGCCGGAGGAGGTGGTTGTGGAGGCGGCTAAGAAGGCGGCAGGCACCGGCTTTTCCTGGTTTGGAACGGGCAAGGTGAGCGGGAGAGGGCATGGGGGAGGGTCGGGAGGGGGTGGAAAAGGGTGGCGTGGTGGGGTTGGTGGTCCCACTGGTGTCCTTGCATCACCGGTGGGTAGGCGCTGCCCCATACCAGTAGTAAGAGGTAAGTGGGGCATGGGGGTGTGAGTTCGAATGCGTGGGAGGTAAAAGGGGCTGTGGTTGCTGAAGCGGATGCGTGGATCGCATCACGACTTCACCGCATAGCCGTAGAAACCTCTTGATGGCAATGAATGGAGCATGGTTTATGGAAGGGAATTTTTGACGACAAGGGTAAAAGGCCAAATGCGACCCATGGGTCCGTGGTTCTCGCCGCGTACCTCGATCGCCCCCAGGTCGCAGCTAAGAAGCAGCAGGAGGAGGAGGAGGAGGAGGAGCAGCCTAAGAAGGCAGGTAGCGGATTTTTCAGCTTTGGAACCGGCAAGGTAGCGGTCAAGAAGCAGCAGAAGGCGGAAGAGGAGGAGGAGGAGGCTCCTAAGAAGGCTACAGGCAGCGGCTTCACCTGGTTTGGAACGGGCAAGGTGGGTGCAGGGTGCAGGAAGCTGCTGGGTGCATATGGGTGAAGGGCGGCGAAAGGGAGGGAGAGATGTTTGGTCAAGGAAACTGGAGGCCCCGTTCATCTCCTCCTCCTGCTCATCCGTGCTGGCTTTCGTCCTCCACCACCGCTCCGCGGTCGCAGGTCGCAGCCAAGAAACAACAGCAGGAGGAGGAGGAAGAGGAGGAGGAGCAGCCGGCTAAGAAGCCCGGGTTCTTCAGCTTAGGAACGGGCAGGGTCGCCGTGAAGAAACAGCAGCAGGAGGAGAAGGCAGCAGCGGTGGCTCCCAAGCGAGGAGGCACCGCAATGCGCAGCAGCAGCAGCAACGGCCGGGCAGCAGCCGCTGCCACAGCCGCACCGCCTAAGCGCAGGTGGGTGGTGGGATGAACCATGGGTCGCAGGGATGCGAGCAGGGGCATACGGAGTATGTAGACAACTGCCACTACTTGGGGCGCAGCCTGAATGGTTTTCGTTTCGCATGCCTGTATGGGAGGTGACTTCGTTTGAAAGGCTTACCCCTGGAAGTGCTTTTGCATGTAACGGGAAGTGCAGGGGAACAAGGTGGGGAGACAAGTGCTTGGCAATTTTATTCTTGTTGGGCATGTCGACTGTCATGATCAACCTCCTCCCGCTCCTAGCTTCCCCTTTGTCTTGCCCTCACTTGTGGCTTGGGTTATCGTCTTAAACCCCAACTCCTGCACCCCATTTTAACTAATCCCGAACGTCAATTGTTCTGTTCCCACACCTGCTGATCCCCCTAGGGCCCCGGAGCCGGAGACCCCGCCCACTCCCTCCAAGCGGGCCTCCGCCTCCGCCTCTGCCTCCCCGACTGTCGTACGCTCCCGGCCTGCCACCCCCGAACCCGCTAAGAAGCCCTCACCGCCAACATCTAGCAGCAGCAGGAGCAGCAGCAACCCTAGCAAGAGCAGCAGCAGCAGCTCCTCCTCCTCCGGTCCCACCTACATTCCCGGCACTCGTGGAGCCCGGTTGGCGGCGCTGCAGCAGCAGAAGGAGCAGCTCAAACAGCAGCAGCAGCGGAAGAAGTGAGAGCAGCAGGGGTGCGGGTAGGAGGGGAGGATTATTGGAGCAGGAGAGGGAGCGGAAGTAGAGCAGAGGCGCATGATGGTAGGGGCATAGCACGGAGATTGATGATGGGTGATGAGTGAGGCGCGATCAGGGTGCTTACTAGTGTATCAGCAGGGGATGCCCAGGGTGTGCGCTGCTCGTGGCGACAGTAGCGTGCACGGTTTTAAGGAGAGGTGGGTGGGGGGGGGGTGAAAAGAAATGCCAAACCACATAAGTGAGAGCAAGACAAAGGGGATAGGTGGCGGGGGAGGGATTGTTGCATGAGTATGGATTGGCTGTGGAGCAGAGTAGCGCGATAGACGCATGGATGGACGAGTGTTCAGCTCCAAGAGTTCCGGCATCGTGTTATTGTTGTTGCTAGAAGGCTAGGTAGGTGTGCCCCGCAACGGTGATCACAAGACACTTTTTTACTGCGTGCAAGCGGTGCGTGGGCGATGCAACAGGCATGCATGGGCGAGGTGCAAAGCTACCTGTTGAGCTGAGAGGCCGGCTGCGTGGAAGGTATGCGAGTATACCTACCTATCGTGATCTTTCGTGAGGACCCTTGCCCCGTGAGTCTGATGTGTGGCGACCCCAGCGGAACCGTGGGGAGGGAGGTCTGCTGCTGCCTAGAGCAAGCCCTGCTGGCTTTTGTTCCTTTTTCCTAACCATGGCAGGTTTGGTGCCGCTCGGACGCAGCAGCATTCTTAGAACGAGAAATGTGTCATTACATCGTGACCCACGGGTCAGTACCGCGGTTGTGCGGTTATTGTTGCCTAGAGCCAGGGGCGAGCTGCACTACAGGTGGGCAGGTGTGGTGGGGTCCATGTGTTGGATTTTGGATTTTGAACTGTAGTGCCGCTTATATAGAGAAGAAAACTAACGATTTTCAGGTGAGCACAATGTGTTTTGCTTAGGAGGGAGAATACCAGTAAGAGGGCAAGAGAAGTTGAGAAGCTGGTACGAGTATATAATTGTTACAAGCTGCTTACTTCAAACAATTACATATCACCAGGTCGTAATCTCTGGTTGTCGTACTGTTTACGGTCGTGCGGCACACAAGCCGATGCATGAGAGCTGCCATCAACAGGCTATCATTACAGAGCCGCAGCAAAGCAGGAAATGCCGTTGAAAGACTACAGGGCCAGCCAAAACACGACATCGACGGAACCACAGCTCAACCTGTTAGGGACCTCCACTTGCCTCTCCTCTCCCTATGCCCCATGGACCTAACTTTTGGATTCCTTCAAACGGGTGGGTTGCTTTCCGTGTCACCGGAACAACGGTTTTCAATTGAATTAAGCACGCATGACTACAGCAAGAGGCGTCAGATGACCTACATGTACAGTGTTTTGGCTTCTTGGCGTACGTCTTCCAACACTGCCGATCGGGCTTCAGAAAGATACAAAAGGGTGTGAACTCACTCAAACTTGTGCAGCACGAAAAATGGTGAAAGGAAAAAGATAACGCCCCCTTAACATGGCCTTCATAGTACCACCACCTGCTGTCTCACCTCATATAGCAGCAAAACAATCACACTGTAAAACCACACCGTGTTTACACTCGCCAAGTTCATTGCATATTTACGTCTTCCTGTGTGGCCTCGACGGCAAACCGCACCACAAGGCTTCGCATGCGCCTGACGCCGTAACGCCAGAAGTAGAGCGGGATGGCTTGCAGCGGCTGGAGGGAGCAGCTCAGATGCGGACCAGGGCCACATATAGGGCTTCATCCCCAAGTTTGCGCTTGAGCTAAAAGTGTTCCCTCGCGTTTTGTAAGATGTTTACTGGGACTTTGGTAAGTAACGGTCTGTTTCTTGCTTGTTGTTTTCGTTTCCGTCTATGAACACATGCCCACCAGGATCGTGCACCTATCGAACGCCTTACACCTAGCACTTGATGCGCGGGATGTGTAGGGCGCAGGGGATGCACGTCCGGCTTCCACCACCTGGCCCTTCCCCCCAAATGGCAGGGTGTGTGGCCCGCCCAGTCCCTCCCCACCCGGACCCGGCTACATCGTCGACACGAAGAGGCTCTCGCCCAGTTCTGCCGCCAGGTCAGTGAGGCAGCGGAGCACCGCCTCCACATCCGGCTTCACGGGGTCGTCATCGGCATACTCTTTGTTGATAAGGTCTTGCAGGAGCGTGTTGGTGACCGGCTGCTTGCTGCCGTCCTTCACGCGAGCCATTTCCGGGTGCACGATGCGCGTGCCGATGTCCTTCAGGGACTCTAGGCCTTCCTGAAGCCCAGGGTACTTGCTCACTACCTGCTGAAACGCAACTATGTTGAGACCCTTGTCGCAGCCCTTGGACAGGCGGTTGAACGTCATGTGCGCTGCTGACTTCGGCGCAAGGCCAGGTGCTACGCAGCGCGCCAGCTTGTTCTCCGTTTGTGACGCCATCTGCCGCAGCAACAACTTGTCGTGTTCTTGTTGCAGCTCTACAAGCTGGGCCTCCACCTTCGTGAGCCTGCCTTCAAGGAATCTGAGAGCGTCCGTCAAGGCGTCCGTCATGGCGATGAAGTTTAACTATGAATGAATGACCGTTACAATGGTGCCCTAAAAGGGAACACTATATATAGCCTTTTAACTGAGTGCTCGTGTGCAGTTGAGATGGAGAGGCAGACTACGCAATAAAGATGGCGAGGCTCTAGGCGAGCTTACGTGCGACGATAACAACTAGGAAAGGAGTCAGCGATCATATATTGGCCGTGTGATCGCTTCTGCTGAATATTTTATCCGTGACGGGGAGAAGCCTCACATGTGCGAAGTACGATTTGTCCTTACGTTACCGTTACCGTTGCTACGACAGGCCCACACTCAGGCCCTTTCCTCTCCCACCCCAGTGACAAGCGGTAATGGTCACGTCGGTGACACCAGGGTCCACGCCCACCTTGTCCACCTTCTCGTCCGCCAGAACCAGAGTGGGTGTCGGGCATACATGTCACGGCCTCGTCTGCCCCACCGTCTTGGGTGGGCTTGACACGCGTGTGTGCGTGAATGTGTGTGCCTGGGTATGTGCGTTGGCAGTGGGAAGCTGACTGCCCTGTAGCTCCTTCGCCGGGGTGGGGTGATGTACGGTAGCTCTGCGGTTGGGGTCAACAGCAGGTCGCTACACATGAACAAGCCACACATACCTTCGCATGTCCGGGTGCAAACCTCCCCTCGGTCCTCCCCGCGTCTCCCTCTTTCTCCTCTTCCGGTCTTCCTATGATTACGGTCAGTGTTCCATCGCGGCTTATCCGCGGTTTTACCCCCAGGTTTTGTGCCGCTCGAGTGCAGCATGTTGACATGGAGATATGTGTCGTTGTATCGTGACCCACGCAGGGGCCAGTACCGCGGCGCTTCTGTCACTGCTGTGTCTAGAGCCAGGGGCGGGATGCATGCGGGCAGGTGCGGTGGGCTTGGTATGTTGAATTTGAGCCGTAGCCTAGCTTCCATAGGAAAGGCAAGAAGCGCGATTTCTGGCTGAGCACCGTGTGTTTTTTTATCAGGAGGGAAAATAAGGGGAAACGTGGAAGTGAGGGGCTGAAATGCGAGTTTTACAAAACGTGGAAGTGAGGGGCTGAAATGCGAGTTTTACAAGCCGTTTACCTCGGATTATTTCATATTACAAGGTCGTCATATCTGGTTGTCGTAAAACTGTTAACGGTCGTACGGCACACCCTTCAGAGCATGAGAGCTGCCGGTAACAGGTTATTATCAATACAGAGCCACAACCAAGCAGCAGCCACAACCAAGCAGCAGCCACAACCAAGCAGCAGCCACAACCAAGCAGCAATTGCCGCTGAAAGACTGCTGCACGACCAGCAGCTGAAACACGACATCAACTGAACCGTAGCTCAACCTGTTAGGGGCCTCCACCTGCCTCTCCTCTCCCTATGGCCTTTTGCCCTCACTTACGATCTCCTTCAAACGGGGGGGGGTGTTCTTTTCGTGCCATTGGAGCTCACTTGCTCAAAACAGGTATAAGCACACAGAGCTACAGAAAACGGCATCCCATGACCCGTGGGTCAATACATGTACCGTGGTTTTGCTTCTTGACGTACGTCTTCCAACACTGCCGATCGGGTTCCAGTAAAAATTCAAAAGGGCGTCAACTTGAACGAGTGCAACGAAGAATAGTGCAAGGAAAGAGAAGATAATGCCCCTAGCAAGGCTTTCATAATATTATCACCAGCCGTGTCACCTCACAGATAGCAGCAAAACAACTATCGAACATAATTTGTACAGTTTCGCACTACATTGTAAAACCGCACCGTGCCATACACAATACATACCAACCTCCTCACCCAACCCAACCCAACACCATCCAGCCGCCTCGTATCCTCATCCCTTCCGCAAGCTAATACGCTCCTTGACACGCGCTACCACTAGTGCCCTCGGCCTCCCTAGCTGGCTCGGTCCGACACACTGCTGCACACGTGTACGCATACAGACTGTAACTAACTGTCAACGGTAGCTACCAGGCTACCTACTACCCACCCCATCCCTCCATTCTCACACAGACCTCCGCCACGCCACGCCCTCCGCCCCACACTCCGCCCCGCACTCGCGCCCCGTACATTCTACCGCCCCGCCCTCACTCCAGGTTGGGGTCTGCGAACACGGAGCGACCCGCCGCTACCACCGCCCCCTTACCTCCTGCTGCTGTCAGGGAGGCCCCCGCCGCACCTGCCACACCCTGCTGCGCCTCCGCCTCGGCCTCCTCCTCGCTCTCCTCTCCAAGCAGACGTTCCAGGTGAAGGGGTCCCTCTGCAAAGGAGCAGGTGTATGTAAGCTACGAAAAGCGTAACTGCAGGTATCAGGATCGCGAGTGCGCGGGCTTACAGTGTAAGCAGCAGCAGCAGCAGGAGAAAGGGAAGGGACAGGATTAAGAGGGAAACTGATGACGATGAGAAGGGAATCAAGGGATGCGGGTGCCATTAAGCTTGGCGCAAGTCGTTGACGTGTTGCAGCTGTTTTAGGTTTGAGCAGTGTAAGGAATGGTTCATGTGGTGTAAGAAGCCTGCAAGGCTAAGCCAGCAGGCGAGGTGCCGTAGGTACGCAGGTGCACACGAACCCACTTCCCCCGCTCCCTCCACACACATGCACACCTGTCGGCCCCTCCATCTCCACCTCCACCATCCACCCGAACGGATCCGCGACCCTGCCGTACTGGATCCCCGTCAGCAAGCTGTACAGCCGCTGCGCAACGGGCCCCACGCCAGCCGACAGCGACTCCCGAGACGGAACGGGTGCGGCCGCTTGCAGCAACAGCGCCGCCACCTCCTCCTCTGCCACCGCCGTCTCCTCCTTCGTCGTACAGTGACCTGATAGCGGCGATTGCTGCGGCGGTTGCTGCTGCTGTCTGCTTCCTCCGTCCCTCTCTTCGTCCTCGGCAGCTCTTTTAGGCAGGACCGCCGTACCGTTCACAGCACTGTCGTCGTGGCCGTTAACGGATTTGGCATGACCGTTATCGTTACCGTTATCCTGGCCGTTGCAGGCGCTGGGATGACGGCCATTGCTGCAGCCGTTACGGCCATTCTCCGATGTTGTCGTACCGTCAATGGCGCTAACGGTGGCGGCGGAGGAAGAAGCAAGACCGTCTTGCTGCCCCGTGCTGCTGTCGCGCCCATTGGCCTCTGAACGGTCGGTGCCGTTAGTGTTGCCGTTGCAGTGGCCGTTACCGTTGTAACTACTGCTGCTATAGCTATCATCACGTGGGAACGTAACTCGTTTATCTTTGTACGTCACACTGCCAATGGGTTGTACGACCACCGCCGTACCGCTTGCAAACATTTCTTCCGCCTGGGGGCATAACGCATGAGGCATGAGAAGGGAAGCTGAGTTGCGGAGGATACTTCTTACCACAGCACATTCGTACGTCACACTAACCCAACGCCAAGACTCTGCGCCGCTCCTTCTCGACAGGAACGAGGTGCATGGCATCGAACGAGGTGCATGGCATCCTTGTCTTAGTAGCATGTATAACTGCCGTACGACTTTCCCACTCGACTCGTACAACTTTCCCCACACATGTCGTACGTGTCGTACATTCATCACCTGCATGGCCTCCTCCACCGTGATTGGCGCCTCCCTGCAGCGGTATCCCAGTGCCGCCGCCAGCTGCAGCAGCGAGGCGCGAGTGATGCCGGGCAGGATGGAGCCGGCGGCTGGCGGCGTGGTGACGACTGACCCGTGGGTCACAAAGATATTGCAACCGGAGCCCTCCTCCAAGTAGGTGTCACTGCACAGAAGCGGGTGGCGAGCAGCCGGGGTAGATTGGGCGTTGGCGGAGGGAGTTGACGATAGTTTTGTTAGGGTTTGGTTGGGGTCGGGGCTGGGCCAGATACCGGAATACAATACCGGTACCTCCTAAAGCAGCCCTCCACACCCCCCCATCTCCTCCTCCTCCTCTTCCCTCTCTCCATACCACCAAGCCCCTCCAACCTGCCCCACCTCTACCTGCCCACCCACCCCTTCCCAGCCCCACCTCCGAGCATCCAGGAAGATGCAGTCGGCGCAGCCCCGCTGCCGCGCCTGCGCCTGCGCCGCCAGACAGGGGCTGTAGTTGCCGGCCGCCTTGGTGGAGCCCACGCCCCGGGGCGCAGCGCGGTGCAGGGAGTCGTGTATGAGGTAGTCCAGCGAGCACAGCCGACCCTCCTGGAGGCGGGGGTGGCAGGACAGGGCGTGGGCGTGGGGGGCGGTGGTGGTGATGGTGGGTGTTCGGGGTGGCACGGTTAGTGGGGTAGGTGGACGTAAAGAGGGACATGGGTGCGTGGGAGTTGATAATAAAAGGAGAGAAGCTGCTTATCAATGTCATCATGTGACAAAAGGGTGATATCGGGCCCCACCTCCCACCTCTCACCCACACCCAACCCACAGTCAACCCGTACCCCTACCCTACCTTAGCTCGTCCGCCCACCGGTACGGCGTACACCACAAACGTGTACGACGGTGCCGGACACAGCCCCAGCAGCGGCCCCGTGCCCAGCAGCAGCGGCCGCAGGTAGAGGCTGCCGCGACCGGGGGGCGGCACCCAGGCCGCGTTGGCGCGGACCACTGCATGTAGAGCTGCCAGGAACATGCGGCGGGGCACCGGCGGCATGCACATGCGCACCGCGCCGGCGGAGAAACGAGCGGCGTTGCAGCCGGGGCGGAACAACAGGATGCGGCCACCGGTGGCCCCGGCGGTGGGGCCGCAGCAGCCGCTGCTGTTGTTGATGTTGTTGTTTCCCGCAGCATCGGCATCGGAAGCGGAAGCGGAAGCGGAAGCAGTGCAGCGGTAGGCTTTGAGTCCCTCAAACACGCTCTGGCCGTAGTTGAGCACCTGCGCGGCGGGCAGCAGGCTGAGCGGGCCGTACGGCAGCAGCGCGCCGCCGTCCCAGCGGTGCGTGTCGGCGGACCAGTGCGCGAGGAACATGGTGGGCGCGGCGTCGACGCCCAGACGGATGCGGGACCAGTCGATGCTGTCATTGGTGGAGACATTGACACTGACATTGACATTGGTGGAAGTGGAGGTGGAGGAGGACAATGGTGGTGGTGGAGGTGGCGGGGCGGTGGTGGTGTCGGGGGTGGGGCTGTGGGGTAAACGGGAGAAGCGGCGGGTTAGTTCGTTGGGTTGGGTGAGGATGTACGTGAGGAGGTAGAGGTGAGGAAGATGGTGTTTCGGACGGGAGCGCGCCACACGGCAAAGGATAGGCTAGGAAATAAGAGAGTGTTGAATTTAGGAGATTGCGTAGCTTCAAGTGCGTTTTTGGCGGCGGCGTCTTCGCGGCAGGGTAAGTCGTTCTGGACCGCACGCACGTCGGTTTATGCAAGTAGACGCAGGTTGGTATGTTTTTTCATGGCGTTTTATTGCCACGAATACGATATTCTATTAATTAAGTACTGTTGTTTTTTGCTTGAAGGCACTATACAATGGAACAGCCTACCTTAACGGCGACATTCCAAATCCGACGCAAGGGCACAAGCTGGCACCTACGTCGCTGAACTAGGCACGATGCTACCAACTGTAAATATATGTTATAAAGGAGCTAACGCAACAGTGCTACTCAAGGTATTAGCAGCTGAATAATTTGGGCCAGGACGTTGGCGAATGACAAAAACTCTTTCGGCAGTGGGAGCTGCAAGCAGTTATATTTTGTGCATAGCAGTGTATATATGTGTTGGTAGCGAACGCACGAACAGTAGGTGCCGTGCCACCCAGGTATGACCTGGATCATCGTCAACTCCCGTCAACGCACCATCGGCGGCTTACTACAGCTTGCGGCATCGAGGGTTCGCGGGCGCCTACGCTTGTCTCAAAATATAAATCGTCTTAGGCTTCAGATAGAACAGCAAACATCTCCTCAGAAGTTCTCCTGAAGACCGCTTGCACGAAGCATAGCACGCATCGAGGGCGAACCCTTCGACGTTGAACAAGAGCGCTACGCCAATGCGCCTCGTGCCTCACGCTCTTAATTCCATTTCCACGCTTATAAGCTCGTGCTAAAGCCTTTACCTCTGGCCAATCCTTGTCCAACTAGCACATCCATGCGCCTGCCGGCGCCCTGATGCCAACGACCAGTTCTCCCTCCGGCGTCAACATAGCACCGTTCCAACTCCCCTTCCCAATTCCACAACCATACCCAACCCGCTACCACAACACCAACTCGCATTCCGACCCGTCCGCATCCCAGATCCCACCCTCGAGCATCCTCCCTTATACCCATCCTCCCTTACTACCAACACAGCCGCACCCCCCCCTCCTCCTTCTCACCACCACCACCACCTACCACCCATGCCCCCGCCTCTCCTGTCCTCCCTCCTCTTGCTGTCCCTCCCCCTCCCCTCCTCCTCCGTCCCCTGCCGCCAGCGCCAACCTGTGCCCCCGCTGCGGCCACTCCGCCGCCGCCCCGATGACCTGCGCCGCCCGCACCATCACCACCAAGGAGCGAAAGGGGACGGAGGACGGAAGGGGACGGTGGGGGGAGGGGGGTTGAATGGCACACGAAGGCAAGGCAGATGAAACAGGTAAGACAAGGTCTAGGGTAGGGGTACGCGCCTCATTCAACCCGGCGCTCCGCTCTTCACCTGCTCCGCCCCCACCAGCAGCACCCCAGGCAGCCCAGCCATCTCAGCAAGCGCAGCAGCCTCCTCGGGGCCGCCCATGCCACGAACACCGTCCACCACCACCCACACCTGCAGCCGGGGTAAGTTGGCGGGAACGTGTGAGAGGATGGGTGGCTGGGTGGGTGAAGGATATATAGGCCAGCAGGCCACGGGAAACCACCCAAGTAAGTAAGGGTAAAGGCCCGTCTGCAGGGCACACGGGATGTCGACTTTACCAGCGCCAAAGAAGCGGCCCTGCTGCTGCTGCAGGGTCTCTCCAAACAGCCACATCGTCGCTCTCGCACAGTCGTTACTACACGCAACCAAGCCTTCACAGCCCCTCCCTCCTCCTCCTTCCTCCTCCTCCTCCCCTCCCTCCTCCTCCTTCCTCCTCCTCCTTCCTCCTCCTCCTTCCTCCTCCTCCTCCCCTCCCTCCTCCTCCTTCCTCCTCCTCCTCCCCTCCCTCCTCCTCCCCCTCCTCCTCCCCCTCCTCCTCCTCCTCCTCCTCCTCCTCCTCCTCCCCCCCTACCTGGTACCCCAGCCGCACCGCGTCCCTCACGCTCCACAGCACACAGTGCTCCGTGGCCACCCCCGCCACCAGCAGCCGCCCCACCCCCGCGGAACGCAGAGCGGCATGCAGGGGGGTGGCGTGCAGCCTGGGGGGGGGAGGGGGGTTGGGGGCGGCGGGGCCGGTTGTAAGGCATGGTTCGTCGCCTCTCTTCACCCCCCGCCCTCTTCTCGATTCGGCATGTGCTACTGCCTTTACTGCTTAGCGAGCACCCCCCTACTGTTTCATATACCCCGTACGCCCCCACCCTACCCCCACCCTAGCTACTGCCGCCTCCCCCACCTGCCATTGTCGTAGAAGGCGCTGTAGCCGTCCACCTCCCGCCGAGTGCCCTTCCGTATGATCAGCTCCGAGGGAAGCGGAGCCAGCAGCCCCAAGCTGAGGTCCGCCCCCGGGCTGCCGGCGACGCAGTGTGTGGGCCACAGCCGCTGAAGCACAACATGCGGCGCGTACTCGGACTCGGGCTGGACTGGAGAAGAGGGCTCGAACTCGGTTTTGGGCTGCTCGAACTCGGGTTTGGGCTCCGCTGGCGAGACAGCTGTCGTACTGGGTGCTGCGGCTGCTGCTGCGGCTGCTGCTGCGGCTGCGTCGGCGTCGGTGATGATCTCCGGTGGTGGGACATGGGTTGCAATTCCGGGTGGCGGAGGAGCTGATGAGGTGGTTGGGAAGAAGGAGGCAGCGGATGGCGAAGGGGATGGCGGAGAGGCGGAGGAGGCGGCGGTGGGAGATTGCGAGGAGGAGGGCGGCTCTGGAGGCGGCGGCAATACTGGCAGTGATGAAAGCAGCGAGGGCATTGTCGTACACTCCGTGCCTCCGTCATCCCCTGTCGTACCGCCGGCGGGAGCAGCAACCCCGATCTCATCACCACCTGGGGCAGCAGCAGCCGCATCCCCGGTACCCTCGACGCCGCAGTTGCCGTCACCGTTAGCACAGTCGGCGGCGCCGTTAAAGTCAGCGCCACCTCCGCCACCACCGCCGCCGTCGGCGCCGCCTCCGCCGCGGGCCTCCAGGGGACCCGCCGGCGCGTCCGCTAGGTTCTTACTGACAGCCTTCCGCTCTGTTGTCGCCGAACTCGCCGTAAGCAGCGACGGTGCCTCCCCCTCCCCCTCCTCCTCGACATCCACCGCTTCCGCTGCCGACCCATCTGCGGTGGCCTGCATCCCCTCAGCCGTCGCCGCCGCCGCCGCTGGCGCGTCTGCTAGCGGTTTATTGGCCTCCGTTTGCATCCCCACGTCATCCCTCCAGCCCGCCTCCGCCAGACGGGCTAAGCGATCCCTCGCCGCATCGCCTCCTCCTCCTGCTGCTGCTGCTCCTTCACTGCCGCCGCAGCCTGTTGACCTTGCTTCTGCTACAGCCCTCGTGTCTACATCCATTGACTTCCCATCAGCCTTCCCTGGTGATGCCTCTGCTGCCGCTGCCCCTGCTGCTGCTGCCTGACCTGACGAAGACGGGTGCTGCTGCTGCTGCCGCTGCCTCGCGTCTCCCCATGTGCGCGCCAAGCAGTCGACGCCGCAGCGGGAGCAGTCCAGCAGGGCGCCTGAGGCGCGATCGTACGACAGTCGTACGTACTGCCGCGGCTGAGCTGCTACAGCCGTGTACGGCATGTACGACATTGCAGATGGCGGCGGCGACGGCTGTGGCTGTAGCTGTTGCTGTTGTTCACGTTGTTGCGGGTCGCCGACGGCGGCGACTCGATGTCCGTCGGCGGCCCCATTAGCATCTTTGCTGTCGTCGCCGCCGCCGCCGCCGCTGACGACGCCTCCGTCGTCGCGTGACGGCGGCGGGGGCGGGACGAGTGGCGGCAGCGGTGCCGGCGGCGCGTGTGTGTCTGCGAAGCTGACGTGTCCCGGCGGGTGATAGTCCTGCGTGTAAGCCACCAAGGTGAGCTGATCGCGGCAGCTGCGTCGGAGCTTTGTAGTGACAGTCGGAGTGGGCGGGGGGTGGAAGAGGGGAAGGGAGGGGAGGAGGAGGAACATAAGGAAGGAGGGAGGAGGGAAGAGGGAAAGTGGTGAAGAGGGTGATCAGAGAAGCATGGCGGCACCCGCGTAGCAGTAGCGTCGAGCAGCAGCAACTTTAAGAAAGTAGTGTTGAAACTGCTGGGCAACAGGGCCATGGTGCCCTGCCTGCTGCTGTGCTGTTACTCCCCAACTGCCGTACCTTGTTTATCACAGCCACCACCTCGTCTCCCCTCGGCACTGCCAGCGCTCCCCTGCAAAGCAAGCCGCAGCAACAGCAGAGCACACGCGCCGCATAGCAGTGGCAGCAGCGGGTTCGGATTTCGACCTATGCAATTCATATGCATTAAACCGCCATGCATACCCAGCTCCCACTATTGTACCCCCCCGCGCCCTACTTTCTCACCCTTTTGCCCCTTCTCCTTTCCCCCGGCCTGCCATACAGTCTCGCCTGCGATGTTGCCCCGCCCCGCCCCACCCTGGCATAAAGTCACACTGCACGTCAATACACAGCAACGCCGTACGCAGCGGAGCCATGGCGCCAACCATCATCGCTCCGCCTCGCTCGCCTTGCTTCCTTTCAGTGGCGCTCGCTGGAGCTTGCTTGCTCGCTGTTCGTTTCCTGAACACGCTCTGGTTACTTGTACGCTGGGACTGTGAGGCGGGCCAAGAAAGGCAGCAGCGCCGCCGGAAATGTCAACTAGAAGCGATTACGGCTGCGAGGAAGGCAAAGGCAGCAGAGCAGGAAGCGAGGCCTGTCAGCGGGCGAAATGGCTGGATGTGCAGAGTGACTTGGCGCTAACCAGCAGCAGTAGGAAATGAGCCAGTGAGGATAAAAGCAAATTAGAGGCGCTCTCGGCAGATGTGCGAAGAAAGGAGATAGGTAGCGGAGGGGACGGCAGCCACTAGTCATGTTACAGGCCTTACAGGGCTCAGTTAGGCACCTCTTCCATTCTTTGAGCAATTTTACAGGGGCGATGGCTGCCGCGCTAACGTATGTTGCCGCGAAAAGTAACGACTGCAAGACCCTGCATGACTCAACTTGCCTTTTAGAGATGCCCGTAACAAGCAAAGCAGGCCAATAGGTTTGGGCTCATGCGACACAAGAAATGTTTCACGTGTACTGAGCAATGCCTGCTGTGCCGGCTTTTCTGAACAGATTTGTCAGGCAGGCAAAATCCTTTTTACAAGCGCCCAATTTAAGGTCGGCTTGGAATGTCCAACGAAATAATATGCAAACAGAATAATTGAAAGGCGTAAGGATGCAATATACCGTGTTCATGGTTCCATGTGCCTTGGACCTGACCAGTACCATAACTTTCAGAGCTGCGGAAGCGCACTTACTTACTGATCACTTACTTTCTGGGAGTGTCGTCTTGTCATTCGCCTTTGAATAATAGATGGTGGTCGTAAATGCGATTTCCAGGTGAGTGAAATGGGGCACAAATGGGAACAAGTGGGTGCAAACGGGAAGCCTTTGGCGCTGCTGTGTTCTTGGGTCCTGGAAAACGTGGGTCTACCGGTCTCACAGATCAGCTGCTGCGTATGAGGGCATTGCA